AATTGTAAATGATCTACTCTGACTTTTTTTTTAAGACATCAGTGTGACAAATAGCAAAAGCAATCTCCAAGTAACAGAGAGATGCTGGTGTGCGTGAGCACTGTCACAACCAGCCTCAGTCAAGTCTTTTTCTTCAGCTGCTCACTGCATGTAGAAGTTTGTGTGTGTGTTTATCAAGGTAAGAGATTAACTTTTAACCCTCCTGAAGGCATGTTTTACCCTCCTGATGTTATTTTTTTTAGGATATCTTTGGGTCTGATATTGCAAAATAATAAACATACATTTGTTTTTCTCCCCCTTTAAACACTAACAATTTGATTTGTGATGATGGAGATTTAATTTTCATCCTGATTTTATTCCTTCTTCCTCAGACACAGTAAAAACACAGCTTTAAAGTGCGTCTGTGTTCGTATACATGTGTGCTGTATCTGTCAATCAAGTCACGTGCTACAGGGCCTCTTAAGGCGACAGTGAAAGTTACCAGCATGTGGGATTTGTTGTGACTGTGTCATGGCTTGTGTGTGTGTGTACGGTCCGACTGGTCTGGCAGCATTGTGGCATGTCATGTTGGTGTAGCAGCAGTTGTAAGGGACTGTGGCAAAACCTGTTAGTTTGGAAAAAAAAAGGTTAAGTGTGAAAGGGGAGCAGGGAGAGGAAGTGGCCAATGAGGAAGATGAAATCAAACTTCCTCTTCCCCAACAGCTTCAAGGGAAACAAGGAGGTCACGCTCACACTGACAGGCTTTTTCTGTCATGTGTTGTTTTATTTTTCTCTAGTGAATGCATCTTTACAAATAAAAGTCTTTCCTGACCTTGATTTAACTCCTCAAAACAATCTCACTTTCCAGGAACTGCAGTAAGACTGTTAAAATAACCCCCAAATACAGCTTTTCTAGGCCGAAAGTGAACCCGAAAGCCCTTGTGGCAAGAGGAAAAGACCCAAATGAAAAAAAATCTCAGGCTGTCTGCGGCAAACCCCTGCTCATTGAAACGCACAATAGTTGCCATATAATATCCTCCTCTACTATTGAATAACTGACACCTGGAAGATTTGCTTTCATACAGGCCCCTGAGGCTGTACAACCTCACCCCAAACCTAAAGTTAGCAAGTCCCTGCACAACATCCTCCAGGGTGGGGGGAACCTGAGCAATGTGTGGCTTTTGTCATCCCACCTTCTCCTTTCCTTTCTTTTTACTTTTTTTTGCCCCCCTCTGAAAGCATAATCACACCCTTCTCTCCTGAGAGATATTTCCCCCCTGCTCACAAAAGAGTAAAGGGATTGTCTTTTTTTTAAGATGAGCAGAAAAAAGCAGGTGGATAAATGGAGAGGGGGTGGGGGTTACAAAGGCTGGCAGGAGAATATTCTCACAATGATAAGATTTCTCTAAGGGAAGTCATGAGAACTTAATGCCAGGAATATTTCCTACAATAATGGATAATTACTAAATATCTGTATATACACACAGCATTCACTCTAGTTTATTTTCTTCTTGTGGTTTTCTGATTCATACTTTTTTTAGATTACAAATGCAGCTCTTTCCTCTTTTCTTTCCTCTTTTTATGTTTCCCTGTCCATACTGATTTATATTTAGCACGTGGTTCTGTGTTATGGAGTGGAGTCACATTTCATTTGCATCTTAGCTGAATGTAGTCAAATACAGAGAAGAGAAAAGCTTCACTGTTCTTAGCCAAATGCAAACCACAGTTTGCCAAAAGATTAATATCTAATGCAGCCCTGTGATCCATGTTATGGTGCACGAAGTAGATCATACTGCAGCACATCTGTCTTAACACGTGATTAAATCATTAACTTATTTTAAATTAAACACTGCTCTTTGAAATTTTGTTTTTCTTTATATTTTAAAGCTGCTATGATATTAAAGCAACTTTGATGAAAAGCAATATTTGTCAGTAAAAGTTTTGTGCTCATAACTACCAGTCTGTGATGTTGAAGTTGAAAACTCACACCATGGTTTAACCTTGACGTTCCTCTGAAATTCCTCCTGCAACACACAGTACTGTGCATAAATAACATAAACAACAACATAATAACCCTCTCTGTCTGCCCTCTAGTGTTCCTTTGAGGGACCCGCACTAAATGACTGTGTCTCACTGTTAATGTTAGCAGGTTGGCCCTGAATATACAGGGGGGAATAACAAAAATGGAAATATTCAACTAAAAGTCAAAGGTGCCTGTAATGTGCAAATCACTCAGCAAACAGTAGAATAGAATAGAGTATGGAATATAATTCAAATTTATTGTCATTGCACATGTCACAAGTACAGAGCAATGAAATGCAGTTTGCATTCATCCAGAAGTGCTTAGCAAGTATAACATTAAAGCACTTTAAACATTGTTATGAATATGCTATAACTGTAAGTATATACAGACTATAGTAGTGTATGTACAGGCTGATTATACATATGGTTATAAATATAAAGGCTATAAACAGACTATAAATATAAGTATATGACAGATAAATTATGCAGTAGTGCAATATTGGATGTATTTACAGTAGTGCATCATCTAACAAGCAAACAAAAAGATAAAAAGGGAAAATTCTGACAGTTCATACAACAAAAAGAAGTGTTGACCAATAATTGACACTGAACTTGGTAGAAACAGCAAAAATATCAATGAACTGTTATTAGAGTAATATTTGATTGATTGCAGATTTCTCATCCATTGAGGTGGCCTGGATTTTGTTCCTCCTCTTTGCGGCCCTTTTCCAGATATTTTAAGCAAGATAGCCTCTCAAGCTGGAGCTTTAATTTCATCACTGGAATAAAAATATATTCTAACTTGATGCATACAATTCAGTAATTGCATTTAAAATTATCACTATAGCTGCAAAACTTTATTCGAGATGAGGAATTTACCATCAATTTTAGTGCTGACCTTGCTATGATTATTCTTTATGTCTGTATCTATCTGTTTGGATTTATATGGATCTGTAATAATCAAACTCAACCACCTGGGGTCAATATCTCCAATGTCTAAAATACACCAGCCTTTCAACTACAGCCAGCCAAGCCTACAGATGCGTTTAAGGGCTCCTCTTTGGCCGTAGGCACAGGTTAACTCAAGAGTATCTCCATCCTTCATTTTATAAACGTACAGCCCGAGAAATACTCTTTGTTTTTTTTTTATTTATCCACGTTTTAAGTATAAATAGGTTTGTGTCTTCTACGAGTTACTTACATGGTCTAAAATTGAATGAAGTTTGGATAGTTCGAGTGACATTGAACGCACCATCTGCTTCAGCTGTCTGAGAACTGAGCAGCTGTCACTCGATTTTGTCTACCCCTTTTACAGACCCTCACTATTCTTTTCAGAGGTAAGAGTTTTTGACATTTTACAATTTGGTGAGCTGTAACACACCGCTGACACTTTAAACGGTTGACGCTACAGAAAGGTGTTTCGAAATAATGGTGGTGAGATTAGCCGGGTAGCTAACGGTTTCCCAGAGTGAACATAGTGTAGCACAGTGTAGCATAAAGCTAAGCTAACCCACGTTATTTTAACGGTATTGTCACCTGCTGCTCAGCTCCAGATTAAAACTGGATTTATGGAAAGAGAAACACACTGGCGGCCAATAATTGTAAATGGCTCAGGTGTGCAGTAATACTATTTCCTTCTGGTTTTCGTCTAATTGAACATGAGAGTTTGTCTCTCTCTACTCTACATTATAGAGGAAACAGTAAATCATCATTGTACTGTTGATGGTTAGCTCTTAGCTTGATAATTTGTTTGTATTTCCTTATATTCTTTCATACAAGATCAACTTTACCACTTAAATATCACCTCGGTAGTATTTCATTGAACCTCTGAGAACAACAACAACAAAAGTTTTTGGTTAGAGAGGGCATCAGTGCTGCTGACATAATCTGGCACACACAGATCTTACCTTTGTTATCCAGATATTTCAAAAGTTAACCAAAGCTAATCAAACACTTTTACATTGCTGACTTGCAGCAAACTATTAATAGAGGTTGCTAGTAAAGCAAGGTTAGATTTCCCAGAAGGCAATTGGGTCCCTGGACCTTTAGAGGCCTTGAAAGCTGCAGGATCACTCTCACAGTATAACAAGATACCTCCGAATATTAATCACATTGTTCTCTTACTTGATGTCTACATTGCTTAAACTTTCACCAGTGGCTGCATAAACCTCTAAAATCCCATTATTAGTACTTTCTCAGAAGGTGCTGTAAAAACTAGGATATCAACGAGTACAAGGACAAGAGAAAACTTGTATCCCCTCCTGATGCCACTCCCTTAAAAAATCTCAATTGCAAATAAATCTGTAACAACCTGTCAGTCCTGGTCCTGTTCCAAGAAACGGGCTTAGCACCCGAGTTGTTAAAGCATGTTACACGTCTCCTCCCTAAAAGTATTTGATAAAATGAACCACCACTGCTCTTGCATGAGTCAAGGTTTTACAGCCCCACCTGAAGCACTCTCACTCACTTCTGTTAAAAAGTGTTATGTCACATTTCCACACCTAGACATGTAAAATGACCAGACTTAAGTAACTGAGTTTTTTTGTCCTGTCTGATTCCAAATCTTTCCTTTAAGGTTCAAACTTCAAATAGTCCTCAGCCACTTGATTTTGTTAACCATCTTAAAGTAAAAACTGAAATGAGATGAAGAGTGAGGAATGACGAGCAACTGTATTTTAGCTTGTGTTACTTACAGCTATTTCAATTGCATGAAATATAAACATAAAGGAAATGGAAATATGTTACCTCTGCTTGATAGTACTAACTTTCTGCTTTTTATTTTATTCCTGCTTAACCTATTGCTTACTAAAAAGCCTTACACTTACCCAATAAAGAAGGGGTAGCTTTAACAAAAGACTATTGTTTGTTACAGTAACTGACATGTTCATGTTAGATGCCTATCAACAGTGATACAAAGCAAGCTATGTCCACAACATTGATGTACATCAGTAAATATACACTTCTTTGTACATGCTTCTTCCTCTGTAGGCTTTACCACAATGGCACGAGGACATCAGAAGATTCAGTCTCAGCAGAAAAATGCTAAGAAACAGGCTGAGATGAAGAAGGCTAAGGGTCATGATCAAAAGACTGCAGCCAAAGCAGCGCTAGTTTTTACCTGCGCTGTGTGTAAGGTGAGTAAGAATTCAAGATGAATCATCCAGTAAAAAATCTGAGTCAGGATTAATCAAAAAGGCTTTTATTTTTCATTTGAACTTGTTAAATCTGCTACAATGAGACTGTTTTCATTTCCTGAACTAAAACTGTGTATTTGTTTGATTTCTCATCCTTGTCTGCAGTCCCAGATGCCCGACCCAAAAACTTTCAAGCAGCATTTTGAGAGCAAGCATCCGAAATCCCCCCTGCCTCCTGAGTTAGAGGGAGTGGAGGCATGAATGGTCACACTGGATACCAAACACTGAGTTCATAAAGGCCCTGCACCAACCCTGCACTCGTCTCAGCCAGACAGCATCCAATGATTTGATGTGACAAACATGGAGCAGTTATCCTCATTAAGGCTTTTCATGGAAAAGGTTGCCTTTTGATGCAATGCTCCCTCCCATCCAGCATTAGCATTTGTTTAATAACACTAAACACAGATAAGGATTCCAAGGCCAATGAAAACCTGTACAATCCAGGAACAATCCACTCTCAGAACAGACTCCTCACTACCCTCATGTGTTGTGCACATATGAATATTTTTTTGCCGCTAGCTCATGCTCCCCTTTAGCTCTGTTGACCTGAATACCTGATGAAACCTTTGTAGCCACCATGCCACATGAGGGAATACTCATGCAGTGTCTTTAAACAAAACTCAGTTTTGACAAAGATGGGAAAAGTCAGATGCTTCAGCCAAGGCAATGGAAAATGTGACCTCATCAGTTTTAGCTTTTATTATTGAATCAAATGGAGGCAATGAAATTTTCTCTCATTTTAAATGTGATAAGCCTCCACAGCGCTGTCTGCCTTGTTGTAATACTGTGATCTGTCATCTAGCTAATCCTAATTTCATGTTAGCTGACAAGAATGTGAAATTTTTGCCATGGCCATTTCCAAGCTGCCACATGAATGAAAATGTAGGTTATAATTTTACCGGAGAGTGTCAGCGAAATTTGTATGCTTGGAAAATGAATGTATGCTCTAATGATGTATTATAGCATTTTAATAAATTTTACTTTGTTGTATATCTCCTTTTCTTATGATTGTTTATTTTTGTAATCCACTAAACTCATTACCTGTATCTCTCTAGCAGTGTTACATCCATCAGATCATGTTACAGTCTCAATCTGCATGAAGTTTGTGTTGTCCTGTTATACAGAGGAAAGATAGCAGCATCACTGGTGTTACAAGCTAGCCTTAAAGTAGAATAGAAGCATATGTGAAAGATATTCTTTCAGTTTTTATGTCTGACTGAACACACAAAGTGGACTGATAAAGCTAATTCATTAGTTAGATTCCCACAGGCAATAAATTGTCCAACTCTATACCCCAGTACAGCTACTGCTCTAACTTTACTGGTGGCACTGTGTCTTGACATGTGTTAAATTAAATCACATTATTAGCTTCTCTTGACATTGATGTTTTTGCTCTCTTTATCTCCTAAAATTCAACTCAATACTCTAACCAAAATGATCAGGATCAAAGCATGCATCATATTCCACAACATGTTATTGTTTGAAAAATTAGTTCCAAGGTGCTGCCTGCTGGATCTTGTGATTGTCTTAATTCTGTTGCAAATTTTGCGGCTTGATGAAGTTACCAGAAGTTGCAATTTTTTCTCTCCAAAGAACTTTTTGTGAACAGCTAGACAGCTATCAGCATCCATTTAATATGTGTGAGAGATAGACACGTTTCCATCAAGTATGTAGAGTCCTTATCATTTAAATTTCTTTCTTAAAAAATAAATAGAATTGAACAGAATGATTACATGTTTTAAAATAGAAGGTTTTCAAAATTGCCCTACTATTTTTGAACCTTCCAAGACACTTTTCTACACTAGTAAGCTTTCACAAAACTTGACCATGAAACCATTTTGCTATATTTTCTGAAGGAAAGGCCAACTGAGACTAAACTGTGTGCAACTAAAAGGAAAAACTAATGGTTAATTCACGACTCGTGAAACTAGATAAACAGGAATGGTTGCTCTGCTATGGAGTAGCAATGGCTTTATGACACTGCCAAATATAGGCTACTAGAGCACAAGCAGAGGGTAAAGCCTGGATTAAAACAAACAAACAAACAAAAATATCTACTGGGAAAGGCTGGGATTCAAGATAGTGAATATTGGTCAAAGTTCAGTAGAAACACAGTGTAACCTGTCCTAAAATGTAATATATTTAACTGAACTAAAGCTTACAAATACATCAACAAAAAACAAAAAAAAAAAAAAGTGATATCAGTCTGTTGTTAATGTTGCTTATTAAGCGCATCAATAGACCTGACATGACTATACAACACACACGGATACATTTTTAAAATAGATTTTTCAATGTAAGGAAAATGGTTATTGGACTAAGATGAAACGGAATAAATCCAAGGTTTACATAAGCATTTCAGCGAGGCAGTACCTGAAACTCATGTGGAAAGTTTTGGAAGTAAAAAAAATGGGGGGGGGGTAAGGATTGAGCAAGTCCCGTCCCACTTCCGGGTTGGTGTTCCTGGTTTTCATTCATCAGTGATTCATTCCGTTTCGCTGGAAAATTGGTTTAAATAAAACTAAATATCCTCAATTTAAATCAATACACACTGTTTAGCGTGGGAAAAAACATTTGCTTTATCACAATTGTCTTGAGTTCTCCTCTGAAACATTCGTGCTGCTTCACACAGACAAGACTACAAAAACTACCTGTCCCAGAAGTCGTTGTGTCAACCCCCCCTTACCACGTTCACGAAACAGTTACAGCAGTTACAAAGTTAGATACTGCTTTTTTCACTGAATTCAAACCGATAAATATCACACTGCGTCAAAAATACCTTGAGAATTAATATTTATTTGGTTAAAAAATGTTTAAACTGTTCTCCGTCCGAGCAATAGCAAACGTTGAAACTCGGTTGCCCTGGTAACCCTCATCTGACGTCATTCGTCCCGGTGCGACCCTGCTCCTGTGTCTTTGATTGGAGGGAAACCCCGTGGATGAGCGGGAGAGATCATCAGCTGTGCGGCCGGGGAGTCAGGAACAGCATCGTCTAACCACACTCACAGGTCAGTATGAATCCATAAACTCTCTATAATCGATGCGGTTGTCGGTGGAGAACCTTTAAACGGTCGCCCTTTGTGTTGTAGATGCTTTTTAACGCCGCGTGATTCCGTGATAATCGTATGAGGAAACCAGTGATGCGCCGTTGCTCAGTCATTGTTCAGCAGCTCGTACTGAATGGGGACGACGACGCTTTACTTGATCTATTTCATTGATTTGTTTGGCCTAGAAGGCATCTTAAGGATTTATATGATCTATTTTGGTGGTGGAATGAACCTTAAATAAATGCTTATCGCTCAGAAAACGAACAGATTGGTTTGTGTTCCGGGAAGCGAAAAAGGGCGTTCACTTTGAACTGAACTAAAGCTCGGCTTCCTTCACTCACACCAGAGCGAAGATTTCACCGTCGTCCTTAGAAAAGATTCAAGGTTTCTGCACATTAAATAAATATATTAAAGCCACTTTTTCAAGAGGAGGGGGTCGGCTGTTCTTTCACGGGTTCAACCCCTCCCGTACCGTAGGCTTACACAGTAGGAGCCCGGTGGGCAGGTGTGCGTGCGTGCGCGTGCGCGACGTCGTGACGTGAAACTGGGTGGCCGACATTCCTCAGAAGGGTGCAGGTGTCTGGGTGCTGGCAATCCTTTACTCACTGATCGTGGGATTTTTGAAATGCTGCTCTCATAGACTCGGTGAAGACACTTGTACTACTTCTGCGTTTGGAAAAAGACAGCTGGTAAGAGATCATTTTCAGCTCAGAGGGTTGTTTTTTTTGTAAATATAGATTCAGTTTTGAGTCTTACCTGGAATGAATAATGGAAATTGACTTCTTTGAGCAGAGAAGTAACCTGAATATGGACAAAAAACGAGATTATGATGGAAACAAGGCAATTCTGAGTGTATTTGATAGATAACCGTTGTCTTTATTTGTTTACCTGTCTTTTTGTGTTCTATTTTGAACCGTATTACATAAGTAGGTGTGTGTTTGTGCGAGCATGTATACTACCTAATAATTGACAGAGATTAATTAACAATGAATGACCTTTTAAAAACAAATTACTCAGAGGTTCTGTCTGCTTATAGGAGAGAGCTTCCTGCTTTTGAGTCATTTTGGTTTTAGGAAAGTCAATGGACTTAAAGGAACAGTGTGCACTCCCGGATATCGCAAAACTAACTTTTCTGAATCAGAATGAATGAATAATGTTATTGACAAAAAAACATCCTGATCCTACCAGTCACATACATACGGCGAATGGCTCTTTCAGTATATAAATACCCATTTTCACCTATTATAGCTACTCTAGAAATAAACCACTGACTTTTTGTTTTGAAATGTCTGTATTCATCTGTCAGTTTCATACATTTGTCTTTTAGTTTGATAGGAATCCGTCAGAAAAATGTAGAGCTGCCTCCCTTTGTTGGATCTCAAATGATCCGAGGTACCAGGTGACTCGAGTCTTAGTCAAGTCTGTGCCAGCCTGAGTACAGATGAGTCAAGCTGGTTCAAATCCAGAAAGCACTAAGTTAAAGTGGACACGCCCAACCCACATTTAGTATTGAAAAAGTTCTCCAGCATAGTGTGAGACTGAAACGCTTTAAAGATCCGAGCCAGAAAAGAACATAATTACTGTACTGCCAAACATCAAGGGTGGTGTTTCTTTTATATGGACTTCTTTGTCAATTTAATCCATAGTCAAAAACACTGTACTTCTGTATGGCTGACTACTTAAAGCACTGCTCACGAACTCAAATATGCATGTGTTTACTGTCTTTTCAGGTAATTTTGCCTTGGTGATGATTACGAAAAGCATTTCCAAATGTCAATTCCACAATGCACACTGTAATAGTTTTAATCTAAAAATACACATTAAAAATGTGCTTTTGTTTTACATTTACTCGCATACCCAAGACCAGGTTTCATTGAGAAATCTGGTTTAACAGGAAGTTAAGCAGGAAGGACATGGTGTTACATGCAGGGCTGTCCTATACTCAGGTGAAATGATTGAGAAGAGGAAAAACATGACAAAGGACAGGAGCCTTCTTCTCATCATGATGTCGTTCTTCTCTATCTTATCTTGAGTCTGCTGTCCCTTAATACACTCTTGTTTTTTTTCCTTATCCTACTCCTGTCCTATATAACCGGTCCTTACCAGCTCTGCCTTTCTATCTACAGCCCACACAGGAGCCATGGCTGAACGGGAACAGCTGGTACAGAAAGCCAAACTGGCCGAGCAGGCGGAGCGCTATGATGACATGGCCGAGGACATGAAGAAAGTGACAGAAGTTGGTGCTGAGCTCAGCAACGAAGAGCGCAACCTGCTCTCTGTCGCCTATAAGAATGTGGTGGGGGCGAGGAGGTCCGCTTGGAGGGTAATATCCAGCTTGGAGCAGAAGTCAGATCCGGCCAAAGTCCAGCAGATCAAGGAGTACAGGGAGAAGATTGAGGATGAGCTGAAAAAAATCTGCCAAGAAGTCCTGGTAAGAAGCAAAGTAGAGAGGGGGGGTTGGCTATGTGTAAAGGATTAGAGCCAAATCTGAGATCATAATAAATAATAAATTGTATCCGTTTAAGATTTATGTCCAACTGTTTGTATGTGATTATATCAAATATCTGTAGCAATCAGTGATTTTGTTTTCAGCCATAACTAAGGAAATTAAAATCTTTGTGCTACAAAAGGCAAGATATATAAAAAAAAAAATCAGTTATCCAAGATTAATAGTGCATTTGGATTTTCATCTAGTTGAGCTGCATTTCTGTCGCCACAGGTATCGAGTGACTTCAGTTCATTAGCTGGAAACCTGTTTGAAAGAGAGCTAGCTCTTTTTTTCCTTCGGGGAAAGTTTGTCACTTCACCCCAAAGTCATCATTACATCATGACAAGCGTGCAATGCTATGCTAGCTATTTGCTTCTTATGAAACACCGTGAATACATGTGGTATGTGTGCATTGTATTACTATAGATGTTTGTCATGCTTAGGTTGGACCATGTTAAAGCATTGAAGCTTTACACAGCTTTGATAGATGATTCATCTTTCTGTAGTTATTAAATATTAAAGCTTATATTTATCCTCAGAACAGAAGTATGCTACACAGTCATAAATACCTACAGGATCTGTAGTCTGTAGTAGTTGTGGAAGCATGCTAAAGCGTTTTAGTATAAAAACCAAGTGTACACCTTGAGGAAAGGACAGTTATCTCTTTTTCTAAACCTCATGGGCTCATTTACCTCAGAAAAACGTTCTGTTTCCTGACACGCCTCTCCAACAAAATTGTCAGTGTTATCTCGCAAACTGACTTCTTAGTGCCGCTATTCCTATTGCATGTTTGATGCCACGCAATTTAACACCGGAGTTGCACATTTTCACCTGCAGGATCTGCTTGACAAGCATCTGATTCCAGCTGCAAAAGATCAAACCGAGAGCAAAGTCTTCTACCAGAAGATGAAGGGAGACTACTACCGCTACCTTGCTGAGGTGGCCTCTGGCACAGAGAGGGAGGGTAAGCGAAAGAGATGGTTTTCTTTTCTCCCTTTTGAGGGATGGGGGATTTTTGAACGCTGTTAATCCATTGGTTGTGGAAACGCAAGAGAATTAATAACATTGATCACTGTACTTATGCAAGACCTTTTCAAGAAAGAACATAAATGGTCTGCTTCTCGTCTCTTGGAGGACAGTCTACTTGTATATCAATCGATGATCCTCACAAAGCCTAATTCAGTTTGGTTCAAGACTACATGCTCAAAGTCCTCTCTGTCTTTGGCCCAAGACTGTCACCTTTTGGTATAACTTCAGTGACCCAACCCTATAAAATGATCAGTTTGGAATAAAAAGGTATTCTTCTCTTCAGGTCATAATGTCAAAAGTGCACAGACCCCAGGGTTTTATTTTTTTAGGAGGATTTATTGCTTTTATTTCTTTTACAACGCAGTAAATCGAATACTGCAACACTTATTACCCATAACTTAAACCTTACATCTTCCTGTGTTTAAACAAATCTTTGTTTTTTGACACTTGACGAATTTAAAGGGAAAAATGATTCTCAAACTAACTGATCATCAAACAGTGAGTTTTCACAGTCCTTCGAGGCAGGAGTAAGGCTAAGCTGATTTAAATGATAAACAGGCCTTTGCGTTTTCTGTTTGTTTTTATGTATCCTTATTTTGTACGTGTGAATATTAAGCAGCGCTGTTAGTAGTTTTTAGAAATATGTGGTGTCATGGACCATCGAGAAATGGCAAATATCTTGGTTTGACTTCCCTTTTCTGTCTTGTCATGTGTAGGAGTCATTGAGAATTCCAAACAAGCCTACGCTGAGGCCTTGACATCAGCCGAAGGAGAGATGGCACCTACACACCCCATCCGCCTCGGCCTCGCTCTGAACTACTCTGTCTTCTTCTACGAGATCGTCAACTCGCCTACTTGCGCCTGTAATTTGGCAAAGAAGGTAACCGCCATTCTCTTCCAGTGTAATCTCATTTGTGTTTTTGTTGAAATGTCCTGATTCAGATGGAAGAAGGTTATAAGGATTGTGTCAGTCTGGCTGAGTATAGGTCAATGCCATAGACTGTATATAAAATGGACGCCGTCTGCCTCCTTGCTGGGTGAAGCCACTCTGAGAACAGCACCATCTGGTGGCGGGCTGCAGTATAGTTCATAAATCCCGCCCCCGCCAGCAAAGCTGATGGAGCTGTGGACAAACTTTAGAAATTTATTACACAGAATATACAATTTTTTCCCCCCTGGTTGTGATGTTGACATGTAGTTATTCTAAGACTTTTTTGTGCTCAAGTCCTCTTTTTTTCTGTGAAGCTCCGTTTTTAAAAGTTATTAGGGGGTTCATGTTTTCTTTGATTGACACCTGATACAGCCTATGGGCGTTCAGGGATTGTGTAGCTCAGCCGGGGGATACACTGTTTGAGCCAAGCGTCATCACAGCGACTCTCCTGGCGCATGCGTACAATGCTACTGTGCAATGTTGGTTTCAGGAAATGAAACCAAGAGCTTTTTGGCTTCAAATTTGGATACTGTCTGGAGGCGGAGCCAAGTTGTCCATAGTATATACAGTCTATGGTCAATGCTGGTTCTAGCAAACAGGGGCTGGACACAAGATGGTTAGGATGGGGCTTTTTCAAAGCAGACATTTCGGCTCACTGTGTTGAAAAGAGAAAAATAACTGGTCGGCTGTTTTCTTCATTTGTGGTCATTATGCTCAGCTAACCAGCTTTGATAAAACCCATAGACTGTATATAAAATGGACGCCGTCTGCCTCCTCGCTGGTTGAAGCCACTCTGGGAACTGCACCCTCTGTTGACAGGAAGCAGTATAGGTCATAAATACCGCCTCCGCCAGCAAAGCTTATGGAGCTGTGGACAAACTTTGGACATTTATTACACAGAATATATAATTTTTTCCCCCCGGTTGCGATGTTGACATGTAGTTACAGTAAGAGTGGTTTGTGCTCAAGTCCTCTTTTATCTGTACAGCTCCAAGGTTATTCAGGAGTTCATGTTTTCTATGATTGACACTATGCTGGTGAATTTTTTTTGTGTTTTGTTTTTGAAACACTGACAGCCGTCTCTCTGTCTCTTCCAGGCCTTTGATGACGCCATTGCCGAGCTCGATAGCCTCAGCAGTGACTCTTACAAAGACAGCACCTTGATCATGCAGCTACTCCGTGACAATCTGACAGTGAGTGTCTTATCTCCTACATTTGATGCCGCCCCCCTTTTGTTCCGCACTTGTACTGTGGGGATCTACTTTTTCACTAATGCCGGTCACATCTTTGACAGAGTCTCATGGAAAGTTATAATCGTTATGAATAAACATTTTAGAGCCAAAGAGTGAGATTTTTAGGATGAATAGAAGCCATAACGATTCATGATTGTGTATCAAATTATTCTGCCCCCGATTCTAATAAATGTCTTATCTGTTTCATCATTTTTTACCATCATCAATGGTCTTCTCCCCCATCAGTTGGACATAGTACTCGTAATGCCAAGAACCCCTAATCCTGGTGTGTCAATTAATTTTGTAATCTATTTTTTCAGCTCTGGACGAATGAATCACAGGGTGAAGGCGACGCTGAGCAGGAGGAAACGGAGCAAGTAGCCGAGAAGAACTGAACTTCGAGGGAGATAAATAAACAGAAACACACATTTTTTACCTCTCACCAGCTTAATTTGTTGTGTGTTTGTGTGTGTGAGTGGTTGTGTTTGCACCTACATGCACATATATGTATGTTTACACTCCACATTGTGTAAAGTACAGTATGTGTGTGCAGATACAGCGAAGCGTGTGTGCGTACTGACTGTGTGAGCACCTCCACATAAAAAAAAAAAAAAAAGACAAAAATAAAAACAAAAGGGATAGATCTTTTTGTTTTTGGAGCATAAATCATCGTGTGAATCAATGGATGTTTATTTTTATTAAGATATTTTGTCCATGGTCTTGTCAATATTAAATCCCACCTGTAGATCTAAATCAGTCCTATGTTCCATGACCTTGTTCACTGTAGCAAACAACTGCTGTTTCAGGATAAGACAAACAATTGACTGTAATTTTGATAATGTGTGTGTTTTTACTTGAACTCTGTATTCACAGACGGTTGACTCTTAAGTCGACAAAACTGCTTTGAAGCATGTGAGCTGTTAGACGCGGTCACAGCTTCATAAATTCATCAAATTCGAGGTCCAATCAGACGAGTAGCAGCAATCACACAGACGGCAGAAGTTCTTTTAGATCTATCTCGACATTGCTCGCATTCATCACACCCAGTCACTGTCCAGTTCAGCAGGTAGTGTTTTTGTGGACGGTACGTGTCATGGCTCATTGGATTCAAATGTGCGTTCAGTTTCAAGAAAGGTTTCCCGTGTGAATGGCTACTTGCAAAAACTATAGTTTAAACTCTGGTTGAGAGGATTATTTTCCATCATACTGACATCTTTTCACTTTTGGTGAAATGTGTAGACTGTATAATTTCTAGCAATTTTCCATAACACATGACAAGGTATAGACAGCCTATGAAAAAGTGAACAACTTGACAAAATGGCTCGATACTGTAACTTTTTGATATTTTTACCTTTTCAGCTGTGCAAAGGATACTTTTGCCATATGCGCTTGTATGTGGCTTTCTACTCTTTTTCTATTCAGGTGTTTTGTATTTTCTTTTTGTGTGTCTTATTCCCTTTGACTCTTGATTTGACTCCTGGAATGGATGTGGTTCTCAGTAGTATGGTGTGAGGGTTAGCTGTGCTTTGAAACTTGCAAGTTTTTTTGCGTAGAATTTAGCTCGAACCAGGTGGTCTGCAGTTACATTTATCTTCCCTGAAAGGACCTTGAGAAAAGAATGACTAAAACAATGATAAATATAAACCGGTTATTAAAAGTAAGTTAGTTGAAAGATATGTATTGACCATTTAGTAGTTACAAAGTGTAGAGCCCTGTTTCTTCTACTGACAGTATCTTGGTTTTTTTAAAGTTGGGATGCAGGATTCAGAATTTGCAAGTTTCACTGAGTACATTCTTTGGTTGTGTGCTTTCATGTAAGTGGAATAAAAACTTTAAAAATCAAGTGTTCTGTGCTAAATCTGTTTGTCTCTGTATATAGTCACTATAATTATATACAAACACATACAATTTTATGCAGAATTTGTATGGGCTCTAAAATTTGTGGGGCATCTTGAATTTTCAGATTGTTAGACCTCAAAGACTTGGTTACAATGTAGTCTTAGCTATGAAAGAGAGGTTTTCAGTGAAAATATAGGTTGGATAGGGTTTTGAAAATGATTTTTTTCAATGTTAAGAACCACCAAATAACTTTTAGATCACTGCATGAGACTGACAAAAGATGAATGATCATAAATACGATTTAAATCTGTCCCTTGCCCAGAAATATTCTTTTTTTTTCAAGTTAATCAACAGCCAGGATATAAAACCTGAAATGTAGGATGTCATACACCCAGAATAAGATATTGAGTCTGTTATAGATGTAGTGCAACAGAATTTACAGTGTCAACAGCGCCCTCTGCAGGTAGATATGTAGATAAATGGACAAATCAGGAGACTGTCAGAAAATGGCCCTCCTGCTTCATACTTGACAAAAACCTCCTTTTTAAAGCCAAGTCACAATTTATCTCATCGCTCTGATGTGGTATCAACTTAATTGAAAAGTCCAAGTCTCGTGAGAAACAACGAGGTGTAAAGTCAGACAAAAAAACAAAAAAACACAACGGCTATCTGAATGCTATCTGTCACCAACCGTGCCAAGCTGTCACGCCTCACAAACACAGCTGCTAAAATCATTGGCCTCCCCACACCCAACCTGACAGAATTAAATAACAGGTCCATCACTCGACTGGCAAACACAATAGTTCAAGACATCACCCACCCATTACACCGACACATCATTCCACTACCCTCTGGGCGCAGATACAGAACCCAAAAATTCAGGAGGGCCCGTCTTGGGAAAAGCCTGATCCCTGCAGCCATCGCCGCCCTTAACAGCAGGCCCCGCTGACCTATCTGACCACACGTCACCTTTTGCTGTTATCACTGTCCCACACTATTTATGTCTGTCCTTACTGTTTGTAATGTGCAATGTCGTTGTCTTTCCCATAATGTACAGTCAGTGAAGATGAATTTTTCCAAGGGGACCAAATAAATCAAATCTCAAGTAAATGAAGTAAAAAAAAATAATAAAAAAATTACTTACTGCAAAAATATAAGGATGCAATATCGACTCAGGCACAACATGGCCAAACCAAATGACACATTGAAAAGTACACAAAGCGAAACTGAACAATAACCTTTCCACTAACTTCTTGTCTTCTTGCCGTCATCTTCTGTGCCGAGATCGTAAAACACCAGTGCATCATCATTATTGGTCCCCAGCAGCTCACTTTGCTTTAGTCACTTTTAAAATTTGCATCCTTTTATTTTCACAGTAAGTAACTTTTTTTTTCCATCGCCACTTTTTTTTTGCATCGTTAACTTCCGTTGTGGCTTTTTTTATCCGCACCGTTTCTTTTTTATTTGCAGCGGGCTTTGTTTGTTTTTTGTTTGTTTGTTTTTTCATCAGCGACTTCCTTTCGTGACTCCTTTTTTTTGCATTCTTTTTTTAATTTGCAGCAGTGGCAGTTCTCGGCCACCGTACTTTGGAGAGCAATAAACGCTTGATCAGTGCTCTCAGGAAACAAAAGGTAAATTTAGCTGAGTCAGTGATGTGGCTGTATATTCATGATAAAGATACTGATTAGTAAATTCTTGTTATTTTTGTTGCTTCTTTTCCTTTTTCTGTTTTTTTATTTTTGCGCATCAAATTTTAAGACTGAAACACTCGTATCCAATTCTGAATATCACTGTCACTGTTACAGTAAAATGCGTACCTGGGCCTGACGAGCCCCATGATACTCTAGATAGTACGCCATCTATCAGTGGGAGTGGTCGTGTCATGGGTGATATCGCCCCAAAGCCGCAGGCTGATTCCACGAACGTGGAACAGGGTAGATTCGTCAGATTACCACATGGCACAAACTTGCGCGTCATGCTCCATACATGTGGCTGTAGTGTCAGCCTTTCACATTACGGTTTTACACGATTTCGTCATCATGCTTGCAGAAGTAGGCAACACCCTTTTGTTGACTCTCCTCGCTATTCTCAAAGATGATTGGTCGATTTCTGTGACGCGTCCAGCAGTATATATCTAACCACTTCCCCGTTGCGCCTTCCCCCTAAACCCCGGCTGTTAGTGCTGTGTGAGTGCGCGTGTGCTCCAGAGCTCGCTCGGCACACATTCTATAAAAAAATAAAAATGCAAAAAAATTTCAAAACATAAAAAAACCAAAAAATCATTTTTTTTCTTCTTTTTGTAACGAAGCTTGTGGAGTAGAAATACGAGGAGTGGACGGTAACGTACAAGAAAGGGCTGAATAACGTGAAATGACAGAATTTCCAGTCGACGTGTTACTGGTACAGAAGAGAGGCTGAGTAACGCACCAGTTTGCTTTTTAATATTGTTTTTTTTTGTCTGATTTTACCTCAGTTTTAACAACATTACAGGCTGAACTAGCGTCTGTTAAGTGTCTTTATTTTAGAGGTTTTAAATTGTAACTGACAAAGCAAACGGTTGCCAACGTTCACCATCAGCTCTCTGCCCCGTAACTGTAGCGACGTTAGAGCCGTTATCTCTAACCAGTCAGTCGGTTAGTCGCTGGAAACTTTTTCCGTTGAGAAATTCAAGCGTCGCCCGAGTACTTTTGCTAGCCTTCACAGTCAACGAGAATGAACCCCAGTGCTCCCAGTTACCCCATGGCCTCCCTCTACGTCGGGGATCTGCATCAGGATGTGACTGAAGCCATGCTGTACGAGAAATTCAGCCCAGCTGGAGCGATCCTGTCAATCCGAGTCTGCAGGGACATGATCACCCGGCGTTCACTCGGATACGCTTATGTCAACTTTCAACAGCCAGCGGACGGTAAGTGTTTTGGCGAGATATCAAGTCAAATGTATGGAAAATCAGTGTCTGGTTTGAAGTGACAGTTGCACATAAGTGAGGGGTACTCTCCCCTGTCACACGTGACTGCGGCCGACATGTTGTCGGTAGGGTCTCCTCAGTTGAACCTCCCCAACAGTGGCGGAGCAGAGAAGTATCCCATCAGCTCACCCGGCCCACCCCAGCACTGTCTGCTGGTCATGGACCGAGAGTTAGCTACTAGCTTGCACTCACTGCTTTTTATCTTCAGCAGGGGCAACACCCAACTGGCATACTCATCACTTCAGTTCAATCTTATCAGAAGGCTACCAGGCAATTTTTAGTAGTATGTGAACATTTGCCATTAACAATATTTAGTTGTAAGTCTTGTTATGGTGTATGTAATATTTATGTCTGTAACGTCCTCGATATATAGGGGAGAGTGGGGTAAGATGAGCCATTTTCCATATTTCGGATCATTACATTAAGGCAATCATAGTTTTGTCTCTAACAGGATGTTGTGCATCCCTGCAAACCAACAGAATGAGTGTAAACATAACTGTCTTGATAATATAGCATGCCAAAAAAGTGGTCTCCTATGGTCAACTTTACTCGTGTATGGGGTAAGTTGACCATAGGAGTGGGGTAACAGGAGCTGTATCCCTACTACCCCTCCACTCTGCACCCCAGCCCTCCCTCGCCTTCTCTCTCCCTAAATAACAGTCACTTCTTCACATTCATGTGTATTTTTACTTGTGTACTTTTATGCTCAGTTTTTGACCTCATGTTGTAGCTCATAGATACCACAATTGATGGATAAAACAAATTTAAAATGATCTTTTTTAAACTGAACACAATTTTAATAAAATTTATGACCGATCAAATTTACTTTCAAGAGTGAAAAATAAATTGATACCCATCTCCTAAATATTTGGTCACATGATCAATTTCTTTTACCATTTCCAAGCAACAGGGAGTGGCTCAACTCACCCTTTGCCTCAACTTAACCCTCTCTCCCCTGTAATGTTGCATACTGTATCTCCTGACCCTAAACCCTACTCCTTGCCAGTGAGACAGAATTTATATTCATTAGTATTGAAGAGAAGTAGAAACTTTAAATAATAAGTGACTTCCTACTCCTGTTCAGATTTATTGCAAAATTTAAAAAACAGGTTCAGTTTAAAAGAGTAAAAACAGTTTCTGAATAATCATTTGTGATAGCAGTGACTGAGAGTATTCTCTTACTTCAGAAATGGTCAAGTATGCTGAAAGACTGCTGCTGGCCAACACATCTATCAAACATGTTTAACCACCATGATAATGATGATTGTGTCAGCAGCCACTTTTTTCATCGAAATTAGCATACAGAGAAACTTGAAGATCCAGGTTTCCACCCTTTAGCTAAATACCCCCTCAAGATTACAAACCCCACCCATGACAAACGCTGCAGAACTTGATTTTTTTCAACTGTTTCAGTGACCCAGTCTCTGTCCCTTTGTCCCCTCCCCCCACAGCGGAGCGTGCACTGGACACCATGAACTTTGATGTGATCAAGGGGCGGCCTGTGCGCATCATGTGGTCGCAGCGGGATCCATCATTGAGAAAAAGTGGTGTTGGTAACATCTTCATCAAAAATCTCGACAAATCCATCGATAACAAGGCGCTGTACGACACTTTCTCAGCTTTTGGAAACATCCTGTCCTGCAAGGTAAAATATTAGTGGTTGATCCTGCTCTGCTGTGTCTTGCCTACAGCCAAGGGTGTGGTCAGCTGACGTTGTGGTCAGATAGCATTGTAAGTGCAGGCATAATGTACCCTGTGTGGTAATTTGTCGCTCTGCAGATAGGATTAAAGAGGGATGAGTAGGGAAATTTTGATCAGATTTTTACTAATGGGATTCAGAGGCAGAGATAAAAGTTTGATAGTGAAAAGTGGAAGAAACTATTTAATAAAACAATGAACTTGACAACAATTTCATTGCAAAGTAGGTTTGAGGGGACACTTGTTTCAAGTGTGGTTCAACAGAATGTGTGAAACTGTCACTGCATGTGTGTGTGTGGACTTGAAATAGCATGTGTCTCCCCTCTCAAAGGTGGTCTGTGATGAAAATGGCTCGAAAGGCTACGGCTTTGTGCATTTTGAGACCCAGGAGGCAGCCGAGAGGGCCATTGAGAAAATGAATGGCATGCTTCTCAATGATCGAAAAGTGTAAGTGAAAGATTTGATAAGATTACAATGTTTTTGTCTTTTCTTGGTGTGTACAATAAAAACAAACAAACAAAACAAATTGAAGCATGAAATGTGTTTGCAGTTTGCATGGTAACGCACACTTAAAAGTTTGACTCATTTTTTAACTCAATTGTGGAGACAGCTTTTTCTGAGGGTAATTCTTACGTAATTTGAGTAAGCTCAGTTTTGTAGAGGTATCGCTGACAGTACTTACAGATGTGATTAGCAAAATACCATTGTTTTATTGGTAACTGATGTAGATGACTTCTAAACTAAGATTGATAAATTTCTTTTCCATCATAGATTCGTTGGTCGCTTCAAATCTCGGAAAGAGCGCGAGGCTGAGCTGGGTGCCCGTGCCAAGGAGTTTACAAATGTCTACATCAAAAACTTTGGGGAAGAAATGGATGACGAGAAGCTGAGGGAGCTTTTTAGTAAATATGGTCAGTTAGAACTCAACCTGCATGTCTGAATACTTAAGGGTTTTGATCCTCTACGGTGACACATAATGAGACAAAATAATGTGTATTTGTCATACAGGAAACGCCATGAGTATTCGGGTCATGACTGATGACAGTGGAAAGTCTCGAGGCTTTGGGTTCGTCAGCTTCGAGAGGCACGAAGATGCCCAGAAGGTAAGTTGAATTAAACGTGTTCTTGTGAGCAAATTCATATGTCAAACACATCTTAAGTTGTTTTTCTCCTAACGACAGGCAGTGGACGACATGAACGGGAAAGAGATGAATGGAAAGATGATCTATGTCGGTCGAGCCCAGAAGAAGGTGGAGCGGCAGACGGAGCTGAAGAGGAAATTTGAGCAAATGAAACAAGACCGCATGACTCGATACCAGGTTCTTTTTTTTCCTTCTAGTAATGCAAAAGTACAGCATAATGTGCCACCCTGTCTCAGCCAACTGGTGATCGCAGCTTTGTCAAATTCAGTGCTCTCTCCTTGGTAGGTTGCACTGGCCAAAATGGCTGCAACACTAAACTTTGTAGTTCATGGGCCCCACATCTTCACCATAGATCCTGGGGATAAATATGTGCTACAGACAGTACATTTGATATACTGAACATAAGTAAGAAGAAAGGCAATTTTAGTGGCACAGCATTGAAATTATTCCTCATTTGTCATCTAACATAACAGCCACCGCCTCTTATCTTTTCAGGGTGTCAACTTGTATGTGAAGAACCTCGATGATGGAATTGATGATGAACGTCTGCGAAAGGAGTTTTCACCATTTGGCACCATAACCAGTGCCAAGGTAATAATCAGTGGATTTGAAACTTTGAAACTGCTGTACTCTTTGACTGTCGTCCTCTTTGGTTCATTAGTTTGATTCCTCTTTAAGGTCATGATGGAGGGAGGGCGCAGCAAAGGATTCGGCTTTGTCTGCTTCTCGTCTCCAGAGGAGGCCACCAAAGCGGTGACAGAGATGAACGGACGTATTGTAGCCACCAAACCGCTGTATGTGGCCCTGGCTCAGCGCAAAGAGGAGCGACAAGCACACCTGACCAATCAGTATATGCAGCGCATGGCCAGTGTACGTGCAGTGCCAAACCCAGTCATCAACCCCTATCAGCCGGCCCCACCCTCTGGATATTTCATGGCAGCCATACCTCAGGCCCAGAACCGTGCTGCTTACTACCCAGCTGCTGGGCAGATGGCCCAGCTCCGCCCAAGCCCACGCTGGACCACTCAAGGTGTCCGGCCACAACGTAAGTATCTTATCTTAATAATGTCTGTATCTATAATCTTTCAGAGAGCAAATTAAGGTGCAGTGAAACACAAAGTTGAAGATGTTTTGACAGAAAACGCTTGTGTTTTGTGTTTAGACTTCCAGAACATGCCAGGTACCATGCGTCCCTCAGCTCCACGCCCTCAAGCCTTTGGTACTGTGCGGCCTGCCTCCCAGGTGCCCCGCATGATGTCCACCCAGCGTGTTGGTGAGTAACTGTCTCTGTTTGTGTATTTAATAGATAGTCTTTCTAAATACTCAGCAAACACAGATCTCTAGGAGGGCTGCCACTTGTGTCTTTGTGTTGATGTTTTAATGTATATCCCAGCTGCTCAGACGATGGGCCCCCGGCCAGCCACAGCAGCCGCCGCAGCAGGCACCCCTGTGCGTGGAGTTCCCCAGTACAAATATGCCGCAGGGGTTCGCAACCCAACACAGCACATGACTACACAGCCACAGGTCAACATGCAGCAGGTAGGGATGCACCATTACCTTCCTGTCTAATGGTATCATGCTCTCTGATATGACACAAACAAATCTCTAACTTTAAATTCTTTTTCAGCCTGCTGTTCATGTTCAGGGACAGGAGCCTCTGACTGCTTCCATGCTGGCTGCTGCTCCACCACAAGAACAGAAGCAGATGCTGGGTAAGTGTCAGCGATGGATATCTCCTCTGCATCTCACTCCTTTGAGTGTAAATTAACATCTGTACCCTTAACTAATAAAACATCATGCACGTCATACCTCATTTATTTTTGTGAAAGGTTTTTTTACAGTTTTGTAAAAGTATACCATACACAGAGATTGTTATCAACTGTTTGTAATCCTCCTCTTCCTTGTCTTTTCTAGGTGAACGTTTGTTCCCACTGATTCAGAACATGCACCCCAGCCTTGCAGGAAAGATCACTGGTATGCTCCTTGAAATTGACAACTCAGAGCTTCTCCACATGCTGGAGTCTCCCGAGTCTCTCCGCTCAAAGGTAAATACTTCAGCTTAATGCTGACAACTTCCTTTTTCACCAGATATCACCGCAGCTTAATGGGTAAAGGAAAGGGAGGTGCTGAACTCATTGTGAGAGGATTGTGCTTCTTCACTTTTTTAGCAGTAAGTTTACCCACAATGTAGTGGGGTTTTTAACATTTAACAATTGTCCTTCCAGGTGGATGAGGCTGTGGCTGTGCTTCAGGCCCACCAGGCCAAGGAGGCTGCCCAGAAGACTGTGACAAATTCCACCAGTGTCCCAAGTGTCTGAATCTAAGGTACATGTCCAAAGAGCTGCTGTTATGAGGACAGGATAGCATTTCAGGAGATTGTGGATCATAAATTCTCAAAATTAACTTATACACAAGCCTCCTTTTAGTCTTGGATGCAGTCTTCACTAAAAGACTAGCCAGGGGTCGCCAGACTGATTTTAATCTTGTTTTTTTTCTTTCTATATTTACAGGAGCGGGTACCCTGAGAGACTAGCTTCACAGATGGAGGAAAATGTCAACAGCAAAAAGTAAAAAAATGCATAAAACAAAGTAAAAAGAAGTCAAATAATATATTTAAAAAAGAAACTATGGAAACAAGTCTCCAGTCAGGTCAGAATGAAGACGAGCACCAGGGGCCTGGTTTGTTGAGTTTAATGGAGAAAATACAAAAACAAAATAACAAAAAAAAAAAAGAAAAAGTTTAAAATCGAAAATGATCATTTGATGAGGAGTTTTAAAGGAGAATTCTGTAAGAAAATAAGACTGAAACCATTCCTTTCTGCTATTTTATCCCTTTTAAATGTTTGAATGTTTTGGCTGTTGCAGCCTGTTATTGTGAACTTTCCCTTGACCTTTGCTTGCTGAATAAAACTAAAAAAATATCTGGGTCTTGTTGTCAGCTCTGGATAAAATCACCTGCTTTCCTCCTTCCTTTTTTGTGTTGGACTTCTCAAATCGATTCACAAATCTAATGATAAAGAAACCGGAACTAACTCTGATTATACAAACACAGAGGCACAAAACAAAGCAGACGCAGAAGTTGTGTTTCAAGGTTTATTTGTGCTTATTGGACATAAGATGACAAAGCCAGTACTAGAAACCTCTGAATCCCATCTTAAGTTGTAGATCTTCAGCCTCTATTTTCAGGCCAGCCATCAAATGCAAGTAACTCTTGAGAGGATGGATGTTTGGAAGCACTTTTGCCTTTGTTTTGGGTGCACAGTTTAGTTTCCAAGGGCTGGGGCCTGTTCCATCAGCTTCCTCATGAATCCCTCCATTTGCTCCTGGAGGTTGGTGATCATGGGCTGAAACTGCTCCTGCATGTTGGCCGCAAGTGGCCCGACCTGCTCCTGCATGTTGGCGGCGGCTGCCTTCAGCTGCTCTTGGATCTGAGCGGCCATAGGCTCCAGCTGGGCCTGCCTTTCAGTCATGAAGGCCCTGTTGGGTAGAGCATGGAAAACTGTCATATGTGACAATCATAGATTTATGTTTGAGCTGCAATTTAGAGTGCAGGTCTTGAGAATCCAGCCATGAATCTAGTAATCCAGTAAGAATGAAATACAATTAACTTGAGATTTTTTTCCATAATGAAGTTCTACTTCAAATAAATGCCTTACATAATGACAAACACATGAACGATGATAAATTTTCAAAGTAAAATTAACCGTACCACACAATAACATCAGTCAAGAGTAAAACACATGTGTTTGATATTTTATATAGGCTGTAAAATTACCGATGAGCAAATTTTGACCTGGGGAAACACTGATTTTTAGTTCAATAATTGAAGTCATGTTGTAAACTGATCACTTGTGAAAGATTGTATAAACTATAGAAAGGCAGGGGTTACAACTTTAAATACAATGTCCAAACAAGAGTCAAGAGATTTGAATAACTTTGAACACAAGTCATGACTGAAGCCTGTTGATTGTAGGTGTAGGAGTGGAGGTAAAGGTCTGATGAGGCTCTCTGTACTTACTGTGCCTGATTTACCAGCTCTGGGTTGCCGACTATCTCAGTGAATTTAGTCTTCATCTCTTCAATGTACTTGGTCAGCTTCTCCATGTCAGTGGCTTCTTGGGCGAAGCTCCCTGCAGGTTTCCAAAAATCAAAACAGTACAGTTAGTGAGGCTGTTTCAGACACTGACAACCACTTGGATCTTCTGGCGTAATAGTTAATGTGTGACTGTCATACCTTGTGCCAGAGCAAGGAGAGCGACGGCGGCAATGAGGATGAATTTCATGACTGCTGAGTGTAGAGGACCTACAAAAACAAACAATCAGTAACTCTACATTGAAATACTCTCATTTTTGCTATTTGGGACAACTGAGAGGTGAATCTAAACCTCTTGTCATAATGTTTACTTTTGCTGATCCTAATCAGAGATGTTCCCTTGAGGTTGTTTTCCACCAGTTAAAAGCAGAAAGGCTTTCTCTTGCTCAATCAGATGAGTCACTGATAAAATGTCCCGCTGAGTTTCCTTTTTTTAACTCCACAAAAGTAAAGAAACAAACAAACTTCAGGCCAGATTAAATTTGTCACTTTTCTTTTTGCATTATACTGCAATAAAGTCAGCTGGGTTGACTTTGAGAGGTTCTATTGTATTGTAACTCAAATAGATTAACATTAGAACTTAGATTTTAACATGATTTTAAGCATCTTAAATTCAGATATGGTCCTCTTCTGGTTAAAAAAAAAAAACGGTAAGTTTCAGCCTGTAGAAAAGAAAGGATAATTGGAGTGCGACTCACCTGTGCGGCAGGAGAACTTGGACCGGATGGTGCCCTACTGTTGGACGCTCTGGCCTCTTATAGCCCTGTGCGCTGATACAACCCCCTGAGATATGAACCTGATTGGACTAGATAAAGAAAGAAAACATTATTGGATGTTTTTTTACGGTAAGTGACTCACTGTGCTGACCCTTGCTGCTCAGTCCTCCACCTGGGCAAACTCAACCAAAGTCCAAAACTCCTACTGCTGACTGTCCAACATGAGATGGCATCTTATCTTATTGATTAAATAAAACCCTTAATCATCATTGGGATAAACATCATCATCATGACAGTGAGGTCCAGTTATAATGCCACATCAGCCTCTACAGTTATGACACAAAGCAAGACCTTGTTTTACTCTTGAAAAGTTCTCGATTTCATTGTACAGTTTTGTTTTTCAAAAAACGTAATCAAAAAAATCTGATTTTTGAATGTTCCTCAGTTTTATTATATTTCTGTGTGGTCTTGATAAGCTTTGGTGATCGTTGAATATCAGACTTAAAGCAGACATTACCCAAACTTTTACAGGTTTCTACAGCACTTATGAGCTCTGATTGAATGATCAATCTGTGTCACCTGTTTTACTTTTAAAAATAATGTTTTTTTTATTTGAACCTAAATCTGCCTTAAGGTCGTACTCTTGTTTAGATGTACAAAAAATACCTCATGCATCGATGCTAACTGCTCATCAGCAGGAGCACGTCAGGGTAAAACTGGGGCATGTTAACTGTGAGCCCTCGTCTCTCTGCTCAAAGTAAACACCATACCTAACTTTTTCTTATTCTGACAATCATGATTATAAATTGAGAAAAATATGCAGAAGAACCTAATGCCCTTATGTAAATTTACCTTTGGTTTTTTGTCCACCACGTTGTTATTCCTCGCAATTTATCTTTATGGTTGTTGTAAAGTAATTAATTCCCAACCCTACTTCACCTCCAGCAGCCATAAACGGTTCATGACAGGGGGAAAGAACCCAAAGTATGTGAGCAGAGGGCAAAGCAAACATAAGCTGTTTCATAAAACTTGTTGGACATTTCTATGAGTCTTTGTTCATCTATTGGGAAAGCCCCCGCTCTGGAGTATTAACAGTCAGATTTTGACATAAAGCTCAAATCCAAACCAGATGTGGGAATGTTTTCAACCAGATTACTGTCCCAGTCCAGGGCATGTTCACCATTGGCCTGGACTCCCCTGGTGGGAAGAGCATGTTATTTTTTTCATCACCGTAACCTGTTTTTTAAAAGTAAAAATAAAAGAAGTGGAACAATTTTACTGTGGTATGCAAGACTGACTGAAAGCTGAAAAAGTCTGCTGCATAACTGTTGTTACAGGAAGGGTGGAATAGACACGGGCTCTGAGTGGTTTTAAAAGAAAGAGAGCGAGGTAAATCTTTTTGACTGTCATGATACTGTTAAACTCATTATTGTTCTTGCAGCTTTTCAAATATAGCTTCATCTAGAGAGTTGTTTTTTAGCTTGATGCATTGAATCATATTTGAAAGACTGATCACTGGTTGCCAGCAAAACAGTCAGGACCCTTAAGAGGAGAGGACAAAGATCCACGCCATCAATTTGTGAAATATGCCTTTACTTTTCCACTTTGGTGACACAAACTATTTCACTGAAACTCTTTGAGAAGTTTGAACTCTATGGGAACACGCTGATATGTATAACCTTAAAAGCTACCCCATATTTTAAAACCTTACTATATGAGTGTTTTTCAATTAATCTTGATCTGAGAGAAACTCAAAGTCATTTATAGGCAGTGTAAGTGTAACTGAGTAAAAGTGACAAACATGTGGAAGTTGAAAAAAGTCGAGTAAAGTATTTCAAATTAAGGTCAAGTAATTGAATTTAATAATAATTTTAATTTTTATAAACAATAAATTGAAACTACTTAGTTTGGTTTCAAGTTTTTTCAACGTTTGGTAGACATATAGTTAATCTTAAAAGAAATGACTTGCTCACTCGATCCAGCCAACCAGTGAAAAGTTATTTTCTTATTAGGTTAATTAAGCGCTAACTCTCATGCTAGATTGCCTCTAAACAGGTGGAAAACAGCAGCTGAAAGTCTCAATTTAAAAGTAAGAAGTTACCTGTTCGCCACTAAGACTATCTCAGCTGGTGCAACCTCTAAAACACTGATGTCCTCATCATGTCCTAAACTGGAAATCACATAAACAAATAAAGGCAATGTTTGAACTTTCACATAGTTTCCTAGTGCTGATGATTTACAGCATGCTAAAGAGACAATCTTGTTTTATAATTTCAACAACAAATATTCACAATAGGTGATATGTTTGCACAATGATGGAAAGCAGAAAATGTTGTCCTGGTGAGTTTAAAAGCCAAAAAGGCACCAGAGTTGACACGAACCGGAAGTTCCTTATAGGACCTTTAAGTCAGATACCAAACCTTCATCCCATTATCTTTAAACCATATCAAAGTCTCTGGAATGTAAGTTGTACCTGTTGAAGAGATGACCTTGATAAGATTGAACCAGAAGTGAGGCACTGCTGAACAGCCACACAGCAGTTCATACAAACTTAACACCTACCAGAGTCCAAATGTTATTGATCTGCATAGCTGAGGCTATTAACTGATGTAATGAAATGAGAGCACGCCCTCCAGTGTGCCAAACACTCATTACAACTGTGATTTATGACTTTCCTGTTGTGTACTCTGAGGTGAGCAATAACAACAGGCAACATTGTTTGAGAAGATTGTTTCTCAATCTTGCTGGAATTAAAAAGGGCCAAACTAAAAAAGAAAAAAAAATATTCAAATGCCTCACAGCCCCTCCTTTAAAGCTTTCCTGGTCTCACACCAGACCGCAGCAAGAATGAAAAATTACACAAGTTCCAGAGAGTCATAAAAAACATTTAGGAAGCACAAGAGGAGGTCCCACTTCCTCTAAGAGTCTTTGTTCTGTTCAAAGTTGGTGGTCCACCTACTCAAAGTTAAACACAGCTCCACCTGGGTGACTTCTTTCAGTGTCACAAAAAGGATAAATTTTGGGTTGTTTTTTTAAGTCCTCTTATCAAGCACAATGACGGACTCTGCTTCCAAGTGTTAATCACATGCTTCAGAGCTGAAGCAGCAAAGCCTCACTGTGCTCTGTTGGTGCCAGAGGAGAACAGAGGAGGCTCAGATTTCTTCTCTTGATATTTTCCTGACTTTCCCCTGCTGCCTTCAGGGGCTGTACAAATCGTGGTAAAATCCAAGACATGCATTTTAAATGGCAATCTACTCAATGTAGATGTTACAGACTAAAGTATGGTGGCTGAGAACTGCCACTGCTGCAAATAAAAAAAGAATGCAAAAAAAAAAAAATAAAGTGGGAATTAAAAAAAAAAAAAGTTACATACTGCGAAAATAAAAGGATGAAAAAAAAAAAGCTACAACAGAAGTGAGCTGTCAGGGACCAATAATGATGATGCACCATGTTTTACGATCTAGCCAGCGAAGACAACGGCGAGAAGACAAGCAAAGAAGTTAGTGGAAAGGTTATTGTTTAATTTCGCTTTGTGTACTTTTTAATGTGTCATTTGGTTAGGCCATGTAGCGCCTGAGTCGATATGAAGTTGAACTGGAGGATGCCAATGTATGATTAGCTTCAGTTCATATCAACTCATTAAACATTCGTAAAACACTGGTGCATTATCATTATTGGTCCCCAGCAGCTCACTTCCATTGTGAGCAACTTTTTTTTTCCATCGCCACTTTTGCATCGTTAACTTCCATTGTGGCTTTTTTTAATCTGCACTGTTTCTTTTTTTATTTTCAGCAGTGGCAGTTTTATTGACACTACTGACTCAAATACCAGTAACCAGATTTTAGACATAAAAATTAGGTGTAATGTAATGCAATATAGATTATACCTTCATTACTTGTTTACAGCTAATTTGAGTGAATAAACGTCCAACAAGTTACAAAAACCAACAAAATATGTGTTTAAAACTACAAATGTACAGTTGTCTGGTCCAATTTAACAATTGTACTCAATTTAATGGTTTCATTCTCCAAATCCAGTTGTATGAAGAGAACAGTTTTATTTAGATCTCTTGAAATGTGGAATCATTTGCCTAGGAGCACACAGCAAATAAGCAGAAGGTATTATTTGAAAAGGACTTTAAAACAAAACTGTATGTATGAATGAACTGGAAAAGCATAGGTTTTGGAGTGATTTTAATGTTGTGAAGAATCTGTAATTGTATTTATCATTAATTAATTTTTTAAATGTAATTGTATTGTGATTTTAAATCAAATAAACAACTGACGATAGAAGCTAAATTTATGACAAAAACGTGGTGTTGCTGTTCTTTAACTCTGAAACTGCGGATTACGAGCTGCCCCTGAAGGCCTCATTTGACTGACAGTCCCGTAGCCTAATCCAGAGAGTGAGGATGCATAGCAGCAGTGATATGTGTCGAATCAACATCGGATAACTACTTGTTTCGGCAGTGATTGACAAAATCCTGTTAATACTGTGTCCATTAAACCCCCGAAGACCATTTTCGAACCTGAACTCATCGGGTTGATCGCCTTGAATCGCATCCGGACCGGGACTTTGCAGACGTTACGTTGGGACAATGGAATCTAACGTGAACAGTATCCGCCCTCAGAGGCTACAGCCGGGGATTGGATTTGGTTCAGGACCGACCGGGACCCTCCGCTCCTCTCTCCGGCCCGGGGTTACCGTCCCCATAGCACCGCTCCTTCCCTCCCCGGCGTCTCTGGCCGCTTCGTCCGGGCCTCCTCCTCCGCCGCCTCCGCTGCAGCTCCACAGCCTGTACGGCGGAATGGGAGCGGGGCTCGGGCCGGGGGCTGCCGGCCACTGTAACCCGGGGAACCCGGCGGTGCTGAAGGAGGCGGTGGAGGCTGTGGTCCGCAGCTTCGCCAAACACACACAAGGTTATGGCAGAGGTAACGTCCACTGGTGATAGATGCAGAGTTAACAGTATTGTCAGATTGTGCAGTTTTTTCCTTTTATTTGAGGGGTCAGACGACCTTTTAAAGCTGCGCCATTTATTGGGACGTTGATTTACAGCAATAAAAACAAAGTGACACCCCTACAATATCCCTAAAACAGTGTTAAAATTATCACTCTATTTTTTTTAATGTCCCAAAGTACATATAATTTTCACGTAGTTCTCTAAACTTTGACTACAATCACTTCATTAGGATTAAGTCCCAAATCTCTGTAGGATTAACAGCATGTTACTGTAAATCAGTCTGGTTTTACTCACCTGTTTGAATTCTTACACTGTAAACACTGGAACAATAGAGTCAGTATAAAAATATGGATGACAAGGGACATATGGAGGCTTAAAATATTGTCTTTTTAAGGGTAATATCAGATAGATGTATTTTAAGACTGGGAAAGCGTTCACCAAACAACAACTAAACTCATTCCTTTTTGCCAAATAGAGAGTACTTCTGTCTCTGATCACTGAAGCACACAGATAAAGCCATGCTTTACATTGCAAATGACCAAAATCTGCAGTAATTTTTGCAGCCTAAGCAAATACTAAGGACGTCTGTAGGATTAACAGTATATTGCTGTAAATCAGTCTCGTTTTACTCACCTGTTTGACTTCTAACACAGTAAACACTGGAGCAAGAAAGTAAGTTTAAAAATATGGATGACAAGGGACATATGGAGGCTTAAATATTTTCTATTTAAGGGTAATATCAGATAGATGTATTTTAAGACTGGGAAAGCGTTCACCAAACAACAACTAAACTCATTCCTTTTTGCTAAAAAGAGAGTACTTCTCTCTCTGATCACTAAAGCACACAGATAAAGCCATGCTTTACATTGCAAATGACCAAAATCTGCAGTAATGTTGGCAGCCTAAGCAAATACTAAGGATGTCTGTTTGGTGCTAATAGGATTTATTTCCAAAAGACTGTCCTCTCATGCTCAGACTTAACAGCCTCTTCCCTCTTATATCTCATTTAGGCGACTTAACACCTTCCACATTGGCAGCACCAGAAAGACTTTTTTATTAGCGCTTAGTTTTACTCCTAATGTGGCTCCAATTATGTCATTCACCCTCTGGAAGAATGGGTTATTATGCCAATTTTCACATTTTACTTTAAAACACACGCTATATTCAGGCATTTGTCAGTATTTCTCCCTGTGTTGAATGAAGGTTCTGTTCTGCTTTTTTCTTTTACATTTTTTTTATTTTCAAACTCCATGTGCTATATTTGCAGACATGTGTTGATTGATGTCTTGCCACTGCTGCAATGTAGGTTTGAGTCTGGGCCAGCACCATTGTGAATGTCATCCTCCTCTATCTACTACTGTTTCCTCTCTCACTGCTTTATCTTCCAGGAAATCCTTTAAATTTGATCAACAAAACAAAACAAAATGTAACTTATAACTATTCGAAACCCTTCAGGTGCTTGAAAGCAAGTTTGAATTATGATTGTTGAGTTTCTTTCTGTGGCTCATTAAGATATAACACATATACTTTAAATCCTATGTTTTGTAATCACTTTTTTATTAAAGCTCATAAAAAAGATGTCCTGCAAGGTTTTACTTGACAATAATCAATCTATGTATCAATTTAATCTTGTGAGGGTAACATACCAGAGATCAGATTACACATGTGAAAGTCAATAGAGCTTAAACTGTAGTTTCCAAATGCTGTCACAGTTTAAAAGAACATTTTAATTTGCAGACATTAAGAACGCTGAGAACAAATATTTGGATTGCTGTTAAGGGGTTTCATATATCTGATGCCAAGCTATAGCTCGGTTTGTTTACAAAGGCTGAAATAGTCCCTGAGCTGCAGCTTTTAAATGTTCTGATTACGCTCCAGACTCGGTACAGAGCGAGAAACAGGCTGCCTGCTCGCTGCCTGTTCTCGCATCTAACAGCAAGAGCTCAGTGGGGAAGCCGAGAGGCAGCAGAAGTCAAATAGCTCGGGATAATGTTGGCTGCAGCTGCGCTCTCTTCTCTTCTCTCCACAGACCCCGAGCCAAGTAATCATTTCTGCCTCAGCCGCAAATTTCCCTGCTCGTCTTTGTTGTTGTTCCTTTTCAGAAATCAGGATTAAAACTCTGTCAGACAGATAAATTAAATGAGAAGTTGAGCGTATGTTTCTACTTCCTTCGAGCAGCTCCTCGGCAATGATGCAGAATTTCCTCTTAGCAGCAACCCAAATATTTTTCAGCAAAACCTCTGGTATCCTTGTGTTGCCCTCCTCTCCCCTCCCCCTTTTCGATCTCTTTGCTTAGAGAGGATGTTGCAGTGAATAGCCAGAAACTATTCCCAGGAAGTAATTCATTTTCTGGAAACCTTTATGTCTTTGTTTAGATATTGTAAATGACTTTATGACAAGGCCTCCTTTGTCTTTGTGCTCTACAGTGAACGTGGTGGAGGCTCTGCAGGAGTTTTGGCAGATGAAGCTGACTCGAGGGGCTGACCTGCGGAACGGAGCTCTTGTTGTTTATGAAATGGTCCCATCCAACAGCCCTCCTTATGTTTGCTATGTTAGTCTTCCTGGTGGAAGCTGCTTTGGAAGTTTCCAGGTACAGAAACTTCATTTCACAGCAACATTTTTATTAAAAACTGAAATGTTGATTGGATATTAAAAGGCATGATTCTCTGCGGGCATATCCTTCATAATCTATATTTAAAGTAGGATAAGTTGTCATTTGCAGACAGACAATCAAGACTCCTGCACACTCTTACGACTTCGCTCCACATAACATCTGCTTTCTTTATCCTTCACAGTTTATATGTGTTTGTGATTTTATCCAGGCGCTAACGCATGTCCTCTCCACTGTTTGACAGTTCTGTCCCACCAAAGCAGAGGCAAGGCGCAGCGCTGCCAAGATTGCGCTGATGAACTCTGTTTTCAATGAGCACCCTTCCCGCCGCATCACAGACGACTTCATCGAGAAGAGCGTCAGTGAAGCGCTCGCCTCCTTCAATGTACGTTGAGTAGATCAAGGAGGGTTAATTGCTGAAATCCTAAACAGTCAGTAAACACAGAGCAGACCTGCAGTTTTAAATGAATGCGCATGTAAGATATACTTTATATGCAGCCAGCAACATGAACAAGTATCTGCAGAGGAGCAGATGTTTAGAAAGTATGTACAATGCATGACAATATCTGGAAGTTTCTAGAGGCAATCTCATCCTTTCATTACAGGGAAACTTTCTCATAACTTTTACTTCCCATAAATGTTTCCTCATCATTTTATTCCCCCTCAAAATTCTGTATTGAACGAACTGTTTCTTATTGTCGTTCGTAGGGAAACAGAGAAGAGGCCGACAACCCCAACACAGGAATCGGAGCCTTTCGCTTCATGCTTGAATCCAACAAAGGAAAATCAATGCTGGAGTTTCAGGTGCATTAACCTCAGGAATTTATGTGTTGTAAGAGGTGTTTTATGCTGCATAGATGCACTGCAATTGTGTGAAAATAGCATTTGTAAGGACTGAGCCCAGGCATCATGTTTACTTGACTGTGTACATATTTGCAGACCAGACAAATATAGTAAAGAGATTTCAGCCGGTCTGTCTTCTGTTAACACAAAGAAACAGGAACAGCTTAACTCTGTGTCTAATTTAAAGGAAATTTGAAAGAAGCATGTGTGTTTTGGAGTACTTTATTACTACATATTGAGTCAATCTCCTAATTTAGCGTTTTTTTTTCTTTGTCGCTGTTTCTGTTTCAGGAGCTGATGACTGTGTTCCAGCTGCTGCACTGGAACGGGAGTCTGAAAGCCATGAGAGAACGACAGTGTTCCCGACAGGTACTAACAGAAGTTCATTCCCCAACATCTGGCTTCAATTATCTTGATAAATATTCAAAACTTTTTACCAAACTTCTTAAACTGAGTGTCAAAACTTTCCCACATGATATGAGTTACGCAGAAAGATTCACAATAGGATCATTATTCATCGTGAGATTCAGGGCCTTTTTTTCTTTTACATAAATTACACCTTAATTTTGTTGTTTTGTTGTAAGCATGTGCTTGTACTTGAAGAGCCTGGCAAACCAGAGTCAAAGTCTTTCAATGTTTGAGGAACTTTTGTGTTTGTGTCAATTTTGGCGCCCCCTGTTGACAAAGTGGTAACCATAGACTGTGTACATAATGGACAGCATCTGCCTCCTCGCTGGGTGAAGTCACTCTGAGAACAGCAACCTCTGGTGACAGGCTGCAGTATAGGTCATAAATCCCACCTCCTCCAGCAAAGCTTATGGGACTGTGGACAAACTTTAGAAATTTATTACAGAATATAATTTTTTCTCCCCCTGCTTGTGATGTTGACATGTAGTTATTATAAGTCTGGTTTGAGCTCAAGTCCTCTTTTTTCTGTGCAGCTCTGTTTCTTAAAGTTATTAGGGGGTTCATGTTTTCTATGATTGACACTTGATACAGTCTATGAGCATACGAAGATTGCGTAGCTCACCCAGGGGATACGCTGTTTGAGCCAAGCGTCATCAGAGCGACTCTCGGCAACTCTCCTGCCGAATGTGCACAACACTACTGTGCAATGTTGGTTTCAGGAAATGGAGAAAAAAATGCTGAAATGCCGAGAGCTTTTCGGCTTCAAATCCATATACTGATGGAAGACAGAACCAAGTTATCCATAGTATATACAGTCTATGGTGGTAACCCTCTTTGATTACTGGTGTCAGTTGACAATAAGATCTTCTCCTGCTGTCTTGTTTAAGAGAAGTTTATACTCACTGTAAATATTTGCTGTTGGGAAAAGTAACAAAGTCTTTGTCTGTTGCGTATTTACCCTCTCAGAGCAGACACAGGCATCAAAAATTACAATATAGAAACTGTTGATCTGGTTGTTTATGATCTCATTTGCCTTTTAACATCATAACTGTTCATTTCAGACTGTTTCATAACCCATCAAAAACCCTCACAGGAGCTTTAATTCACTCTTTTTTTTTAGTTGATTTGTAAAATATGTAGTTATGCTGCATAAGCTCTTGTGATATAACATAATTGGTTCCAACCCCTTTTAAATTTACCCCTGCACTCTTTATTATCACAGGAAGTGCTGGCTCACTATTCTCACCGGGCTCTGGATGATGACATGCGCACTCAGATGGCTGCCGACTGGGTGAACCGAGAGCAGAGCGTGGCGAGTACCATCGCTCAGGAACTGGCGTCGACAGAGCGTGAGCTGGAGGATGCCAGACTGGCGGGCAGAGAACTGCGGTTTTACAAAGAGAAGAAAGACATCCTGATGCTCGCTGTCGGTCAGCTCAGCGCAGCCAACACAGCCACTCTACCCTCGCACTAAAACCCACTGCTGCCCATCTTGGAAACAAGCCTTCACACGCCGTAGGATTCCTGGTAACAGTATTGATCGCTTGATAGATATGAAGGTGGCTTCTCTGGACCTTTAGGTTTTGTATCTGGTGTTTTGGATAGGACTAGGTGTTCAGGCCTTCACTAACAGAACATCCACCATCTGTCCATGACACAAACACAATACCGCTATAGCCGTTACCTCTTTGTGCCTAGTGAAAACAGGACAACTGCGCTTCTTTGGAAGAAACTACAAGTCGATATTGTTGACATTCCAGCTGATGAGGTTTACAAAGCTCTTTATACTTTATTGAAGCAAATTAGACCTGCATAAAGAGAGCCTGCCTTTCACCAGTGAATGTAGAAAAACTGTTATAAATCAAACCCATCTGATTAAAGTAGCGATGGGATCAAACCTTGATGGCAAACACCATATTTCTCTGAAACAACAACCACTAAAAAGATCTCAAATGTTTCCTCAGCCTTTTTCTTGAAATTACACCCTCAAGCATTGCAACACAGCTTTTGGATCATGTTACGATTAGAGGGTACTTTCCAAAAATGTCAGCGGGAGGCTTCTATCTCTGACAGCAGCTCAGGTTTTTCAAAGAACAGATACTAAACCGTCCCTTTATTTTCTTCTGGTGTTTTCGTTTTGTTTGTGAAGGCTTATTCTAGTGTTTGTTGTATACTCGGTGACCGTGACACTAGCTGAATGTATATTTTTTTCTTCAGTGACCTACCAGCTAAAGGATCCGCGGAGTGTTTAACAGTTAAACCATTAGGTTACTCTTGTGATACAGATTGTGTTTGTCATGTGCTTCGTCTGGCAGAAACGAGGAAAAGCCACATGGCAGTGATTGTAGGGAAAATGTGAAGGCCAAAAAAACGAGTTGAGGGCTCTTATGCTGACATGATTCATCACGCGCAAGTCATTGCCGTCTATACAAAACAGTACCAGCACTTGTGGTTTGATTTTTTTTTTGTCAGAGTTTGATTGGTAGCAGTGTAAGCGGGCCAGAAAAATGTAAGTTTCCTGCACTTCTAACGCATCAAGTATCTGTATTTTGAAGTCTGTCTATAATGTAAATGTGATACCTTTATTTTTCTCTATCTACCTAAAATGTATTGAGTACATTAAAAGGATGAAGACATTTCGGCGGGTAGCCTTTTAAAGACCCCCGTGAGATAGAAGTGAGAGTTTGATTGGTAATACACGGCTTCAGCTGGATTGAGTTGTTGGCGCAGAGTTGTGCGAGTAAAACAGCAGGAGGTTTGTCTCATTGCTGAGTGATGGATTATCAACAACAGCCGGAACTGATTACTCTTAATATGAGGAGACAGTAAGAACAAAACAGAGAAGCAGAGATGGAGTATGATGAAAACCAGAGACCAGTTTTTATGATTTTATTGCTTCTTTTCCCTGGGATCAGTGTCCCTTCATGGATAACATGTAAAAAAAAAACCAACCTGTATTCTAACAAGGTCTGAACAAGGAGGTTAGTCTCTGCTTCATGGCATTTTATTGTCATTTTACGAAGAGGTAAAGTTATAAATTACATGCTCTGTTACATTTACTATACCTTAATGAAAATTCAATCATTTTGAAGATTTGCTTTTTGGCAGAGGATGTCTCCAGAAGATTGATACCACTCTTTTTCCTAAATCTAAAGCAGCCAGCAGCAGCCAGCATGGCTCTTTTTGAATAAAGACAGTTAAGAGCAAAACCGTTTCTGTCTCGCTGTAATAAAATAACTCCATCGATGTGCCCTCAAGCTCAGATCTTTATTCGTTTGTGATCTGCGTAGAGGTCATTGGGATATCTCTTGATGGACAGGTCAGGGGGTCAGTGAAGTATCCTTAGGCAAGTCACTTAACCCCAAGCTGCCCCTGGTGGCGCTGCAAGAGGTGTGTGAATTACATTAGTTAAAACTGATGGGCGCTTTGGAGCAGCTTTTTCCGTCAGTGTGTGAATGTGGTGCGAGTAAACAAATGTGACATGAAATATAGAAGCACTTTGAGTGATCAGAAGACTAGAGAATACACTACATAAATCCAGCCCACTTACCATTTACAATACAGATAATAAAATGGTATTAATCTTTGAAGAAACCCTCCACCAGGAAGTAAATTTTCCTAAATATCTTCTGAAAATATTTTACACGGCAGTAGATGAAGAAAAATATAATGAAATGTACTACGTTTAATGTGTGTATAACTCTATATATCGTTTATTTGGTACTTAATTCGCAAAATTTGTCAGCAGCACAAATAGCAAAATGTTTCTATGTATTTTTTGTTGCACTCTCTGCACTATTCTCAGTAATTATTGAAAAGTTAATGTAAAACTTCAATCTTATACAGTGAATATATTGACCTCACAACCCACCAGCTTCAATACAGCCCTGCCCATCCTTTCTTTTCTGTGCATTTACAGCTCAAATCGGCAGATACAATTGTCAAATGAACTAATGTGATTATAGGAGCAAAAAAAAATCAATAATTCTTCAATGCAGATGGTTACAAAGTTGAGTTCATGGAGTATATGTTACCTTACTTTTTTTTTAGGTGCTCATTATGTGTTTGATTTTTGACAACAAGCCATTAATTTCAAAGTTCTCTTCTTACAAATGCCTTTGACCTTTTTTTTGTGAGTACTATTAGTGAAGGCTTTTTTAAACACTTTGTTTTTTGCTATGCATTTTATATAAAAAAGGAAAACTGATTGGGCTTTTTGTTCTTTAGCTTTAATGCATGATGTGTTTATTAAGTTTGGTTTTATTATGTTTTTTTTTCAATACAGTATTGTTTTATAAAAGTGTTTCTCAAGGCCTTTATTGTATGTATTTTCTATTACCATTTTGTATCACCTGTTTATACTTTTAGTAGATTTATATGATGTAATAAAATGGCTCATACAAATGTTTTATTCAGTTGTCATGTCACTTATTTTACTGCTTTGTTCTCGGGACGTCAACTGGGCCAACTATTTTTGTTTGTGACATGAATTACACATTCATATCATGTTTTCCTGTTCAAAATGGACTAAAATAATAATCAATGTCATGCCGAAACAGTGCTGAGGTGAGACCATAGACTGTATATAAAATGGACAGCATCTGCCTCCTCGCCGGGTGAAGCCACTGTGAGAACAGCACCCTCTGGTGACGGGCTGCAGTATAAGTCTTAAATCCCGCCTCCACCAGCAATCCTTATGGAGAGCTTTTCGGGCTATAAATCTGTATACTGGCGGAAGACGGAACCAAGTTGTCCATTGTATTTACAGTCTATGGGTGAGACAGAAATGTCATACACAAGCATGTAGATATAGGGCTATGATGTCGAGAATATATAAGAGGTGTTGGCTTTATATGTAACTTTTAAGCAGACTCAAACTACAAATAAACTAATGTAGGATTGAACAAAAAATGCAGAATATTATGATTTTCGGAGATTTTTCTGTTTTACATTTTTACACTTGAAGCAAACAAGGCTTCTTTTCACTTTAAATATAACAGGGCTTGCAAAAAACAGACAAAAATCATTCTTTTCACAACAAAAACCCAACAACAGTGACTGACACTGCTGGGAATAATCAGTGAGGAAAAGCAAAGGTAACAAACATGACATCGAAATATAATGAATTATCTCGAATCTAATGAGTTCGTATCTTTCCTTTAATGAGAATTTATCTTGAATATACCAGAAAAGCCTACTACGCACAATAAAAGAATGTTGAGTTTTATTTTGTTAGATTATTCTTTTTTTTTTTAACTTCCGCACAGACAGGAAGAGGCGGGGCTTCAGTCGAGGACGCTTGCCGTTCGTTGTTCATTCAACATGGCAGCGGGACCAATTTCAGAAAGAAATCAAGGTAAATTGATTATTCTGATAACTTTGAGCCTTTTAATTTTATCTCCTTTGTGTTCACTCTTTTGACTGCATAACTCAGTTTATATTAGCTCTACTTTTTGCGTGTTTTTGTATAGTTAAAGGTAAACAACAGGATCACATGGAGATGCTCAGTTATCGTTAGCATGTCTTACTGCTATTATGGTTACTTGTTAAACCACGATCTGTATATTCGGAGTTGAATTCACTTGATGGCTGTATTGAAGCCTGTGCTTGCATTTTTGTGTAATGAATTAGTTTTGATGTTATTGACGCCTTTCAAAGAAAGTTACGTCCTGTTTACTTACTGCTAAAGTTAGCCTAGCAAGCTAGTTGTGTTGGATTGCTGTTGATTGCCCTGGTGTTTATAGTGTTATAGCTGGTATTTGAAGATGTTGTGTCAGTAATAAACCACCAGTTTGTTCACCTTTGCTTTTTGTTCATCTGCAGTTTCAGTGTCTTGTAATGGTTTTCAATCATCTGTCTCAGTACTGTTTATACTAAATTTCTATCACTTTATTACAGACGCCACTGTGTATGTTGGCGGCTTGGATGAGAAAGTCTCGGAGCCATTACTATGGGAGCTCTTCCTGCAGGCTGGTCCTGTTGTCAACACACACATGCCCAAAGACAGGGTCACCGGACAACATCAAGGTGAATGGATCAGCTGGTATTCCTTTAATAAAGGGATATTCCGGCGTAAGATTTAGTAATTTAGGGTTAAACACATTGTAACACCGAGTAAGACACACCCTGGAGAGCTGAATGTTGCTGACCGCTACCTTCTCTAGTTATACCAACTTTAGTAACGACCACACGATAGCAATACACAGCAGTCTGAGGATCCATGTGCATACCTCAACCAAAAAGCCACTCTATAGCCACAAATAATGTTCAGAACAGCACCTAACTTCATCAACAGTACATATGGGGTCCCAGCCATAGTACTAGCCACCAAATTCAGTGTTACGGTGTGTTTGACCCTAAATTCATTTTACGCCGGAATATCTCTTTAAACTGTGATTCATGTGATTCACAAGAGAAACACCCGAAAATGAGTCTCCTCTCTAAATTTACCAGGAACTGTATTAACAATGTTTTCCTGTCTCTCTCTCTCTCTCAGGTTATGGCTTTGTAGAGTTCCTCAGTGAAGAGGATGCTGACTATGCCATCAAAATTATGAATATGATAAAGCTCTATGGCAAACCAATTCGGGTAAATAAAGCCTCTGCACACAATAAAAACCTTGATGTGGGTGCCAACATCTTCATCGGTAACCTCGACCCTGAGATCGATGAGAAACTTCTCTACGACACATTCAGTGCTTTCGGCGTGATCCTCCAGACGCCAAAGATCATGCGAGACCCCGACACGGGCAACTCAAAGGGCTACGCATTCATTAATTTTGCCAGTTTTGACGCGTCAGATGCTGCCATTGAGGCCATGAATGGCCAGTACCTCTGCAACAGGCCCATCACAGTGTCTTACGCCTTCAAGAAGGATTCCAAAGGAGAGAGGCACGGCTCAGCCGCAGAGCGACTCCTAGCCGCACAGAACCCTCTCTCCCAGGCAGACAGACCACATCAGCTATTTGCAGATGCTCCGCCACCTCCGAGTGCTCCGACACCAGTACTGACAGCGCTTGGAGGTGGGATGCCTATGCCAGGTAAGACTGAAATCCTCTTATTGAACAGTTGTAGTGGAAAATGGAATACTTTTAATTCTGTTGGGAAAGACCCTGCTTGTATTCATCTTATTGGATTAAGGGTTAATTTATATCTGTACAGCTATAACATGATGTGTTTTGGTGTTTACATCTGAATAGCTTGACATGCAAACAACGACTCTCATATCACATATCATATCTGTCATACTAAATATACATGTCTTTTGATTATTGCTCATAGAGTGAACATATAATCGACAAAAAGAGTGACATGAGAATAGAATCGAAGTTTTTAATGAGGTAAAATCCCTCTGTTAACCAGAAAATTACACTTGTTTCATACAGGCATGCCACCCCCTGGGTTCCCTCCCGTTCCTCCTCCTGGGTCCATGCCCCCAAATATGCCCCCTTCAATGCCTATGCCTCCAAACGCTGCAGCACAAGGTCCACAGCCTGGTGGTGGTGGGCCTCCACCTGGGCCACCACCATTCCCTCCTGGCAACATGCATCCAGGTAATATTTCATGTCACAGCATAATAAATACTGTATTCTTTGGCAGTGCGTAGGGCTAGCTTTTGCTTGAACATGTCTGTAAACGTTATTGTTTGTGTTCTGCAGGGATGCCTCAGATGCCCATGCCCCCTCCTGCTCCTCCTGGCATGGTGCCTCCTCCTCCTGCCCCTCCAGGATCATCGCAAGCAAGGGCACCACCACCCCCTGGGATGCCTCCACCCCCACCCATGGGCATGCCACCCAGAGCACCATACGGACCTCCTATGGGTAAGCTCTGAGACATCACCTTGAATCTTTCTTTTATCACTGCCATGATAATTGGTGTTCTTTCCCATGATTTAGGACCCTCCCATGTGATTGATATGATTTTTAAGATACATTTCACTGTGGTTTCACTTGCTTGTAGAGCGATTTTTGGACATTGAATGAAATCACGACTCTTTGTTTCTCTCTTTCTAAGGTCCACCTGTGCCCCCAGGTATGAGAGGACCCCCTCCTCCCATGCCTCCACCAGGCTATGGTGCTGGTCCTCCTCGCCCTCCTCCTTTTGGCTTGCAGAGAGGTCCTCCAATGCCTCCAAGGCCGCCTGGTGTCCTGCCACGTGTCCCCATGAGAGCACCAATGCCCCCATAAACCACCTCAGACTGTGATTTCATTTTTTGTTTTTTTAAAAGCTTATAATCTGCTCATGTTTGTTACAGTGGGAATAATTTAACCAACTGTTTGTATTTTTTGTCGCTGTACTAATAAAGACAGATAAAAGTTTTAGTAAAAATGTTTAAGATATCTTTATAGACATAATATTTTGAAAGTAATGTTAGTTTTGCAGTTAGGGCCCTTAACACACAAATCAGTTCTCCCCTTCTGTTTCATTACGACAATAGTAGTTTGTTGATGTTAAAGGGATATTCTGGTGTAAAATTAATTTAAGGTCAAACACACAGTAACACCTAGTTAGACACCTCCTCGAGAGATGAATATTGCCGACTGCTTGCTTCTCTAGTTATACCAACTTTAGTAACGACCGCACGATAGCAATACACAGCGGTCTAAGGAGCCATAAACAAACCTCAACCAAAAAGCCACTCTATAGCCACAAATAATGCTCAGAACAGCACCTAACGTCATCAACAGTACAAATAGGGTCCCAGCGTCAGCACTAGCCACCAAACATCTTTGTAACTTTGCCTAATTTCTTTAGCAAAGACACTTAACACAACTCACCTACTCTCTTCCAGCAGCCACTTGTTTGTACAGAGCCCTCCGGTACATCCATTGACTACAGCGGGGTGAACATTTATGATCATTACTTGATAATTTTCTTGAAGTAATAATCACCATATTAATCATTTTGCACTGCATATGTGTTAGTTCTTCTGCCTTAGCATCTTGGTCTGATTGCATTTCTATGAAGTAATAATCATAAATGTTCTTCCTTGAGCTGCGTCACCCTGCAGCAGTCTGTAATGGACTGGGTTGAGGGCTTGCTACAAACAAGCGGCTGCTGGAAGAAGGTAGGTGAGTTGTGTTTAGTCTCTATGCTAAAAAATTAGGCAAAGCTAAAAAGATGTTTGGTGGCTAGTGCTGTCGCTAGCAAGGGGGTGTCTAACTCGGTGTTACGGTGTGTTTGACCCTTAATCAATTTTGCGCCGGAATATCCCTTTAAGATCTCCTCCAAAACATAGCAAAAAGTTCACTGTAGACTTCAAGATTACAAAAGTAGTTTGAAGATCTCCAAATATTCTTTCCACCAACCCTCCCACCTGTATCCCTGGAACTTTAGGTAGCTCTCACATTCAGAAAAAAACAGACAGCTCTCTGTGTGTCAGAGAAAAAATGGAAACGTTGCTCTCTGTCAGGAGATCAGATTTTTTTGAATGGTAACGATGACATCACATGGTGTGTGAGGAAGCTCACGTTTCTTCATCTCAATGCAGCAGAAGAGATCAAGAATATGGCAAGTGGTTGGCATAGCAACAGGAGTCAGGTGTGCCTGCACGTGCGCACAATCGGATATTCACGTTTAAAGAGAGTCGATTTGTAAAAAATGGATGAATGTAAGGTGTTGTTGAGCGTTTGCATGTCAGTGCATACATTCAGGGTGTTCACTTGGTGTAAATCTTTTTTTTTTTTTTTTTAAACATAAGCACAGATCTACCCGTTTGCAAAACAGTGCGTTGCCGATGGGTGCGAAAAAGTACAAAATACACGCGAATGAATGGAGGCGTACTGCACAGAAATGCGCCAAAAAAGTCCCCTCGGATATGAAGGCGTTAATGTGCTCGTGCGCTCGTGAGGGCTTGCATGGGGGGAGGGGACCCCTGCACATCACTGAGTGTGTGTGGATGGCGTGGGCTTCTCTCCTCCAAACCGCACAGCATCATCATCATCATCACTCGGTCTACAGCGACTGCCGCGTACGCATCCTCATCCACCTCCTTCTCCTCCTCCTCATCACCACCATCCCCGGGCTGAAGAGGGAGCGCACCACGGAGGAAAGGTGAGCGTAGATAAAATAACGTGAATACTAATAAGCTCGTTTTGGAGGCATCGTGGTGCGTTAAAGCGTATATATATATATGTGTGTGTGTTTTTGCAGCATTGAGACATCATGGGTGAGAAATAATGGGCGTGTTCTCCAACCATTTGCTTCGAACGGCGTTTAAAGATCAATTTTGTGAATCGAGAGATGGGCCTATTATGATCTTATCCAAGTCGTGACAAGCTGCTGTTGGTGAGATTTCTAAGAATGAACGCGGATGTAAGGAAACACGAGGAAACACAATTGGCTGCTATCTGCGAGAGATTAGTATTTTAATCCGACTGTATTTATGGGATGTGTAAATTGGCCTGTAAGCGGTAAGGCCTTTTTTTCCTTTTGCATTAATGAAGACGATTAGGACTGAACAGGAGGTTTGTATTTGCTTATTTCTAACTAGAATATTCAGTAATGCTCCGGATAAATAATCTGCAAAACACCGATCAGATTACTTGTGTTTGAATAGGTTTGTAAAAGCAGACGACTGTGATTTTAATAGTTTTTATGCTTCGTTGTTATATTTTGGTGTCCAAATGAAACATAAGGACACATTTCAATTGATCAAACCACTTAAGGCTTTAATATCTGGCCTGCATTTGATGTCCATCAGCCCTGCTGCCCTACAAGGAAGTGGTAAACTGATGCTGATTGATTTTTGAAAAGAGGGGGAGGAAAGAAAAAACAAAACAGTGTAAGGCTTGTTCAAGCCAGGGAGCATTTTCTCCCTCCTCCTCCTCTTCTTCATCAGACCTACCTGCTCTTCTTCTTCTCTTCATGGTGCTGTGGAAAGGCTGTCAACTTGACAACAGCTGCAAATAGAGAAAACTGTCTTAGTTTGGTCGGACTCCTGTTGCATCCAGTTTCATTGTATTTGGGAATAAAAATAAGATATAATATACCTGTTGATCAAAGGACTGAGTGAGTATCCATGGCTGTGCATCAATCTGTTCTGTTTTAACATATGAAATTACACAGGATACAATTAGACCTTTAATAAGCACCTGGACAGCCGCATGTAGGCTGTTTGTCTGTCAATTTTCAAGTTTAATTGCTTAATTCAATCACAAAGATGGTTTTATTTGAACAGTTAGGTTTAATGACCTATAATTTAATATTACTTTAAGCCTTTTTGCACCTTGCCTCACTGTCAAACTGCTCTGTCTTGCAGGACTCTTTTCTGTACGCTTTAAAACTGAAGGAGAAAATGGCTTCTACTGCGAAGTTCATCATTTTCTTAATTCACACAGAGGCCATTTTCTTTTTATGCCTTTACTCTCAGGATGGGACACTTACCGTAAAACTGCCATAATGTCTGCTGTCTCTGGTGGGTTCTTAGCTGTTTTATCATTCCTCGAGTGCCTAATGGATCAAAAACTGAAAAAAGAGAAAGTAAAAATCTTGACAGATAGCCAATATGTCCATAAAGGCTTTATTCAGTGACCTGTTACAGACAAACTATAGCACACAGTTCTCCAGCAAACATAATGTATGGCACAGAAAGCTGACATTTTTAAAATTTGTCAGATGAAACTGCAGATTACAAAATTAATCATGTGTTTCTTTTCCTGATGTATTTAATTAAAAAGTTAATGTCAGAGGAGTGCTTGAATGCTTGTGGAGCAGCTCTCTGATGCTAGCTAACCAGTTACTGCTCCTTAATGCTCCTCTTGATATTCTCTATCTCAATTTGTTCTATTTACCTGGAATAGTTTTACAGCATTGTAACAGAGCTGAAGCCGGGTTGTGAGAGGACAATACCCATCATGTGGACACGGACAATATCTTTGTTTTGTTCACTTTCTATTTGGCCATGAGAGCTGAAACTGATAGGTCAGTGACTGTGCACATAAGCTTAAAAATATTTGCTGTCTTGTTGTTTCCTTCCACATTGTTGTCTCCGGGCGTCTGTCAGTAAGGCTGTAGTAATTACAGTCCTGCAAGTACTTGACTCTGGGATATTATTGGGTTAGTATCCCACAGTTTAGCCTGGCAGACCAGGCCTGTGGGGTTCTTTTGATCTGTGCCAGTAAATGTGCTCGGCCTGCTGACATTGAAGGATCTGTGGCCCTATGGCTGAAAATAGTGTTTGAATTATGTTTAAAACACACACATCAACATGTGTATCTTGCTTTTCATGGAAGAGGATACAACATGTATTCAGTAAGCTTTAACTATTTAAAAATTCATCTTAATCCATAACATATTTCACCAAACATATGTGTGTCTTAAGACACCTTTGAGGACCTTTATGACCTACAAAAGCAACAAAAACCAACTGCTGATGTTTGAATTTTGTCCTTTCTTAATATTAATTTATATTTTCTGGGCACAGATTTTTCATAAGCGATGTATTTGACTGTTAAAGATGTAGGATGAGTTATTTTGTGAAAAAGACCATAAAAGGAAAGAGGGTTCGATTTTGTCCACAGAGGGTGCCAAAATCAGCACAAACTGAAGCAGCAGGACTGATCAAATAGTAAATTCACAGCTAAACAATCAGAAATCGAGGAATGCTGTTTTCTGTGAATTTATAGAGGATCAATAACCCAAAGAGCACTTTTGCTGTACTCCAATTCGATTTTTTAAGAATATATTTCAGATCTACAGTGCTGACATGGATGTTTGCACATCACCACAAAATCAAGCATTATCATTTTCTTGCACATCGATGCTGCAGCTCACATATACAAAAACAAATGGATGTGGTATATTAAAGAGATGAGCTTTACAAGTCAGTGACTTAAAGAGCAAATGCCCTTCTAGGCAGAGAGATAAAACTGACATCAATTTCCCATCTCTTTTTTTTTTTTCCAATTTCAGGCCTCATTTCTTTTTGTTCACGGCTCAAGTTGTTAGTTTTATTTATCTACTAAGCAACATTTTGTGGCTTGATTGGATTAATCCATCATGTTTCTGTTTAATAGGTGTTTGTAATTCACACAGTGAGGCCTTTTGGTAATGTTCTTCCTATTTCAAACCAGTCCACGATCCTTTGAAGCACTTTCCTGGTCACATTACATTTATGTTGAGGTGGTAGACAGCAGCTCTTTGCCAAGATCTTAAGCTGGGGTGTTCCGGGCATTTCCACACTCAGAGACACCCATTAAAAATCACTCTTACTTTTCCGGGCTCGATGTCTCGCCGTGTAATTACTCCTCTGGCTGGTCTGTGACTCAGCAGAGAGCACATGCTGAGCGGTAATGGAAACACAACAGGTGTAGTTTGAAAAAAAAAGGAAAAAACACGGTAGTTTTGTTTCACTTTGTAGTCATTTTCTGTGTCTTTATGGTCGTTTCACCTCATTTTGGTGTCCCTCTGGTCTTACAGCTTGCAGCTACTATACAAGTATTGGAAAACTCTAATAAGGGGGCTCATTTGCTTCTTTTTTTACTCTCTCCACAGTTATAAGAAGAAGAGTCAAATCTGTGAGATACTTAAAATCAAAGCAGGTGGCCTCCTCACCAAATCTTTGACCACCTTTGAATCTACCCGGCCTCTTAAAAATGGAGGACGGCTACCAAAACCGGACTGCCTTCATAAAAGGTGCCAAAGACATTGCCAAAGAGGTCAAACGACAAGCAAGCAAGAAGGTTGGCCGTGGGGTGGATCGGATGAGTGATGAGTACAGCAGACGCTCCTACAGCCGCTTTGAAGAGGATGATGATGACGATTACCCCGTGCAGGGGAGCCAGGATGGAGGCTATTACCGTGGAGACAGCCAGGCAGCAAATGACGATGAGGGCGGGCACAGTGACTCCACAGAGGGCCACGATGAAGATGACGAGATCTACGAGGGTGAGTACCAAGGCATTCCCAGAGCCGAGTCTGGCAAGGGCAGCCTGGCAGGAGGCCCGGGCTCAGTGACGGCTGGCGCTCAGCAGTTCAGAGATATTGGCGTGTCTGAAGCCGAGAGGAGGAAGGACCGCGAGGAGCTGGCTCAACAGTACGAGACCATCTTACAGGAGTGTGGACATGGGAAGTTCCAGTGGACCCTGTACTTTGTGCTGGGGCTGGCTCTGATGGCGGACGGTGTGGAGATCTTTGTTGTCGGGTTTGTCCTGCCTAGCGCCGAGAAGGACATGTGCCTGTCTGAACCAAACAAGAGCATGCTGGGTAAGACAATATTTACACTCCAGTGTCTGTTGTACACTCTCTGGTTTCTGAAGGCATTGTCCTATAATTGAATAACATTATGTAACATCAGATGCTTAAGTTCATCGCTAATTCAAGAATATGCAAATACACTAAAACACTCTCATTACGTTCTTCAATTGAGAGTTTTCTTTACTGGAAGTGACAGACACTACAGCAAACATTAAGTCGTATTCAAAAAGACAGAATTACAATCCAACCAGCTGCCTCATGAGATCCTCCTCGCCTGTTTCCACCACCAAGTTCAGTCTGATGACATAAATATACAGGAGGGTGTCAGAAAAATATGTGTGTGTATGTGTAATATCTGCTTTCATATTCTTGGTGCTGAGGGATGGAATAACTTAATACAAGTGTTGCTGCTTATAAGGGATTTGTTGACTGTACGAAAAATGAAACATGATAGCTGATCTTTCCAAAGACAAGCAAATAATAACTCAATATTTAAGCTGTTTCCTGCATGTCTTGAGGGGCCAGCTGTCAGTACAGCATGGTCAAACTATCAGAGCCAATACTACAAAAACAAAAACACACAAATAGAGATGACAGGACAGATTTACAGTAATTAATATTGACTGAAGTTGGATCTAAATTGAACCATTAATTCCTGGCTTGATGGCAAACACGTTTTGTATCTGAAGAATGACTTCATTTCCCGCATCTCTCTTTCCGCAGGCCTGATTGTTTACTTTGGGATGATGGTGGGAGCGTTCCTCTGGGGGGCTCTGGCTGACCGGATAGGCCGTCGGCAGTCTCTTCTCATCTCTCTCTCCATCAATAGTGTCTTTTCCTTCTTCTCCTCCTTCGTCCAGGGATACAGCACCTTTCTTTTTTGCAGGCTCCTCTCAGGCGTCGGGTAAATTTGAATAGTATTGAGTGTAATATGATTTACATACAACAAAAGCTCATGATTGATGTAGCGCATTAAGTGCATCAAAAACACATTTCATATATCTTTTTAATAACATTTGGCTTTTTTTGTCTCAAACGTTGATAACCTGACGATTAAATCTATATTTGTGTGTCTTGATTTCTGCTCTGAAACATTAAAAACACTGTTCTCTCTGTTCTGTACAGGATTGGTGGCTCGATCCCCATCGTGTTCTCCTTTTACTCTGAATTTTTGGCCCAAGAGAAGCGTGGCGAACACCTCAGCTGGCTCTGCATGTTCTGGATGATTGGAGGAATCTACGCATCTGCAATGGCCTGGGGGATTATCCCACATTATGGTGAGAACACTAAACCTTCTCTGAATCTGTGAATGTCTTATTTCCAATCAGAGCTGTCTCATGATCCTCATTTTAAAGCTCATGTAGGGAGTTTTTGACCCTCATGAAATAGACTTGAATTTATATTGATGCCTTTTTATGGTATACAGGAGCAAACAAGACCAGACTGAGATTTTTATATGGTAATTTTCTTAAGTGTCAGCTGACTAGCTAAAGAAAAGCCCCTTTTTTTAACAACCTCTACATAAAATATTTACAATATATAAAAAATTTGACTGTCAGAAGTCAGAAGTTATTGTTAGAAGACATTACTTACCATATTTTTCACACTTTATGGCGCACTTAAAATCTTTTTGGCTTGTCGGAGCACTGCAGCTACTGTAGCCTCGCTGAGTTATTGGAAGAGTTAAATAAAGTTTGACTTATCTGACTGTTTTGTTTGGCTTAATGCGCTTTATAATTCAGTGCGCCTTATGTATGAAAATAGACGCGCTCATTGATGGTGCGCCTTATAATCAGGTGCTCCTTATAGTGTGAAAAATACGGTAAGCAAAAACCACTTCGTCCACAGGGGGCACTAAAATTACTACAAACAGAAGTTTCCATACAGGAGCTTTAAATTGTATTTAATAGGTGAAAAAAGTCTGGAATGTGGAATTTCCCTTCTGGGATAAATAAAGTTCTTCTTATATTTGATTATGAAATATTAAGCTGTAGCTAGTTAGCTTAGCTTAGCTTTTCTTAGTGTTAAGATTGGGAACTACTTGCTTATTTCAAAGGTAGTAAAAATATTGACTTAAGAAGGTTTATCCCACTAAAAACTTGTCAAATCTAATGTCCTGTCTCCGAGCAGTTTACATGCTCTGAGGGAACCTAACAGTCATATATTATCATTTCAAAATCGTATTCCAGCAAAACGCTCGTTGTTCCAAACCATACAGGTTCAAGCCTTTTTGCCAGCAGGCATCTTCTCAGAGACACAGCGCACTACAGCTGACCTTTAACTTCTCTAGGGCAAGAATTATAACATGGTTTGAACTGCGTCACGTCAAATGAATCAGAGTACACACTGACCTTAATGATTTGAAACATGCTAGTAGGTCAAAGTGAAAGTGTAAAGTGTGAGCTCATTCCTTTCTTTCCTTTAGGATGGAGTTTCCAGATGGGCTCTGCGTATCAGTTCCACAGCTGGCGTGTGTTTGTTTTAGTCTGCGCCTTTCCCTCTGTTGCCGCCATCGCTGCTCTGAGTGCGATGCCAGAGAGCCCACGCTTCTATTTGGAGGTGAGGTTGAACAGTTTGCCTCTGTCTGTCTGTGTCTGTCAGCGAGTTGTAGGTTACACAAATGTTTTTTTTTGTTATTATAAAAATAAAACTTGATCCAACCCAACTTGAGATGTAGTTATATAACAGAATATAACATAAAAAGTTTATAAAAATATGATGTTTACTTTTTCTGAACAGAACGGCAAACACGACGAAGGCTGGATGATTCTGAAACAAGTTCATGACACCAACATGCGAGCTAAAGGACACCCAGAGAGAGTGTTTACTGTGAGTACTTCTGTGAAAATATTGTTCATTATAGTCAGCCTTCAGCCAGTTATAATCCCAAAACATCTTCTTAAAGCTTTCAGACAAAATATTTACAGATATGTCATGATTTAAGTTACAGAACATGTCTTTTTGAGAGGTGATGAAGGATTGACTTTATTACATCCTATTAATTAAATTTATGCGTCTTTTTCAAGTCTATGTTTAAAGCTCCTGTGAAGAGTTTCTTGACATGTGTGAAATGGTTTGAAATTCATTCTGATACTTTCTCATGATACCCAAAAGCAAAAACAACAATCAAAGAGAAAGCTGAAAACATTTACATCATAATTTTTAATGTCTGAAACTGGTGTGAAGGGATAGGTGTCAGCTGAAAAGATCATTTTTTTTAATAATTTAGTCGTAAGTTATTCAAAAAAGATAAATTTGACTTTCAAATGTCAGAGGTTAGAGATTATTTTGCATGTTTTTTCTTGCTCTTGCTCAGCTGTCCTGTCTTGAAACGCAAAAATCCCCCCCAAAAAATATTACCTATAATAAAAAAAATGACTTAATGTGAAATAGCTGCATACATTAACCCCGTGTCATTATAGTTGTCAGACTTTGTGATAATCATTGAGCTCCCTCTCTGACATCTGGCGGGAGTTATTGTCTGAAGCATCCGTGTCTCTTTCATCCAAGGTCACGACCATTAAGACGGTGAAGCAGATGGACGAGCTGGTGGACATTGGCACTGACACCCCTGTCTGGCAGCGTTATAGACTGAAGATCATGAGCCTCTCCCAGCAGGTGGGTGAAGTTGAGAGAGAGAGTGAAAAAACTTTGATATACAGTGAATATGATTTGAAAATTCGGGGTTTTGTTTAAAGAAAATAAAAATGAGTTTTGAGCAGACAGGTCTGGCCTTGAACTGTAACCAAATACAACAGCCTCGGAGTATGATTTATGATCACTTAAATTAAAAAACACAGCATCTGAACCCACAGCTTGACTCTGAGCTTGTTAAAAGTTTGGGGGACATGTCTTTAGAAGGTCTCAGTGGAGTTTGAATCAGTGTGAAGTGAACAGTGTGGATGGAAACGTGGGTGGAATCGAGTCAGAGAGGTTAAATGTGTTTTTCTTTCTTCCTACCAGTTATCCAGACCTTTTGACCTTTGTGTGATTTAATGAGATAACTAAGTAGAGTCGACATATAAATGCAGTCTCGTCCTCATTAGCAACATGCAGATTTACTAAAAGGCTTTGTCTTGGCCAGATAAAATTTGATTAGAACAATTAAATGCAGTGTTTTCATGGTTTTTTTGTTGCCCTGTGCCAGAGTGACTAACACAGACTGAATGCATCCTAAACCAGGCAGAAAGGTCCACGCAAAGTGTGTTGGAGAGAGTAAATGTTGCAGAAGACCCATTTATTGCATCCCGTCTTATTTTATCTGAAGTCAGTTGTGGTTCTACAAGTTGTGTTTTGCTGCACAGAATCAAAGTAAAAAGAAAAAAGTGAGAGAAAAACCACTGTGTGTTAAACTTAGATGTGCTGCAAGACTTTGAACCTCATCTTTTGAGTTAAAATATATATTTTTTCCTTTTCCTGCAGATCAAGAACAATATCTTGGCCTGTTTCAGCCCGGAGTATAAACGGACGACTTTCATGCTCATGGCTGTTTGGTTCACCATGTCTTTCAGGTAAGGGGGACAAAATCAAAACATAAAATGTTTTACTCTAAAGGGAGTCATGTTTGGTTTTAATATAAATTTTATTCTACAATCTTACAGCTACTACGGTCTGACAGTGTGGTTCCCAGACATGATCAAGTACATCCAGAAGCAGGACTATGAATCACGCACAAAGACCTTCACTAAAGAGCGAGTGGAGCACGTCACCTTTAACTTCACCCTGGAAAACCAAATTCATCGCGAAGGACACTACTTCAACGACAAGTGAGTGTTATGTGAGCTTCAGGTTTGGTCTCTAAACCATGAGAGTACTTGAACAAAGTTGGATGAGTATTTGGTTTGTAAGATTTACATGTATTTGCTGCAAAGGAATAATAGCACAGGACAAAACAAGCGGCAAATATCAAACCTCGAATCTGTGATCTGTTCCTAGGTTCCTGAACCTGAAGATGAAGTCGATGGTGTTTGAAGACTCCGTGTTTGAGGAGTGCTACTTTGAGGACATCACCTCGACACACACCTTCTTCAGAAACTGCACATTTATTGCAAGTTTGTTCTATAACACAGGTAAATATGAACAGAATCAGCAGTGAGGTAAAGTTAGTGTCACAGAGAAGTATTCAGACGGTCAGTATTATTTGGTGTTTTAGAGATGCGTGTTGAGTTTCATTTTGGCATTGATCCGTTCTAACCAAAAGAAGTTGTAAACGTGAACTTAGTAAAAACATTCAGTGATTTTAGTTATTCAGCATTCATGCAGTATTCATTTTGGGTTATACTTCTGTCAGCCAGCATTTGTTAGTCTAATATCCCTCATGGTTTTTGTCTCCGATGACTCCTACAGAAAACATCTGACTTTTTCGATGTTAAACGCTCCTCGATATTCAGAGTTATTTGCTGTCAGGCAGGCAGCCCACTCAGGGGTTATCAGAGGGTTTCTTTTTTCGGTGGAAACAGCAGCATGTTGAGTCTGATGAGAAAGCAGTGTGCCAAAACAGCGATGTTAAAAGCCATGAGTGCAAAGTACTTCATTAAAGACACTTGAGTGTTTTGTAGGCCAAGAGTTACAGCAAAGTCATGATGATTATTGAGGAGTGTTGCAGAAGGTCATCTGCTCCAAGTGTTGATTTGCACATCTCAGTTTGATCTAGATACGAGAAACAGGAAATATAAATACTCTTTTTTGAACTGCAGACTAAAAACATCAATCATTTAATCCGAAATGTGATTCAAATTAGTTTCGTTGCAATGTTAAAAGAGAGAAAAGATAAAAACACATTTGTTCAGCAGGACTGTAACCATGGAAACAATCTGTTGCCTGTATCCCAGGGTTACCCTGCTGCAGACATGTTACCCTAGCAACGTAAACAAGGTCCAGTCGTGCCCGTTTGACAGACGAGAGCAGACAAGAGCAAAGAAACGGAGCTTCATCGCCAAGAAAACACATGTAGGAATGACAGGACTCAGTACAAACTCATGTTTGTGTAAAGACGGCATGATTGACACGAGCAGAAATGTGCCGAGCATGCACAAAAAGACAGAATGAATAAATCAAAATTTATTTATGTGGAGGCTGGTGGTCATGGTTTTGATTTCAGCTCATTAGATCTGTGCCTGAGAAGACTCCCTGACTCTGCTGGTGTCAGACTTTAATCTCAGCTTCTTACAGTTTCTTCTCATCACATATCCTCGCTCTGCATTCTTTAATCTGCATGTCATCTTTCTGCATTTGGAAGTTAGTGATCAGTCAGCACTCCTATACCAGACGATCTTTCATAAAGCTGCGATCAGTTATTGGTTTGGATGCACTCTGACAGTATCATCATCAGAAAACGGAGCTACGCAGTTTGTGCAGCAGCAGAAAGTAAAAACAGAAATCTGTGCAGCAGAGCTTATTCTCTTTATTTACCTTAAAAACTTTACAGTGATAGAGGCTGTTTCAATGTTTGGCTGTTGACTAAAAGGGATTTTGATCAAAACAGTCTTGTTTTTTGTCTTGGTTATGCGGCGGCTTTGAAGATGTCCTTGTTTCTTCCTTTTGAGATGGATGATTACATCTCTCTGTTTTTGTCTTTTTAGAAAACTAAACTTTGATCTAAAATGTTGCTAGTGGGTTCGGCAAAGTACCAAACAAAAAGACAGAAAATTGGTTGCCATACTTTAGTAAGAGGGATAGAGAATTATGTGTGAAGCCTTGAACCTTCTTCGTTTATATGTGTTTACATTTTTACTCTACACATATTTCCCTCCTTGTCTTTGATAGATACACCCTTTCCCCACTTTAAGAAGAAAAATAACTTAAATAAATGTGAAGATGACCTTTTTTTGCCTTGAGGAGTATCTCCAGTGATCTCCCTTGACTATATACATAGATCAGTTACTCTTTTCATAACCTATTTATACATTTTAGCTTTTATTCTTACCATTAAATCGACTATGGGCAGGTATGAAGGGAGTTAGCAGTTAACAGATATAGGGTGGAGCCTGTCCTTCTTAGGCTTTAAAACAAGCAGACCAGTGAAGAGCAGCATAGACTGGTGTTATATATCAACATTTTGAATTAATATCATCTTTGGATGTTGTGCTTATTGATCCCATAATGAAGTGTATTACAGTAGTGGAGTCTAGAGGAAATATATGCATGAAGGAATTTACGTCTGATCCAAACTCTGATCACCTGAGAGTCAGAGAAACGGTTGTGTGCCTCATCGAGACCAGAATTTAGACAGCAACACCCACAATGTCAGAGACACGATTAGGATCCACAGAGTCAGGATGTTTGCTGAGTAAAACATCAGTTGAGATTAAAAGAATAATAAAACTGTGAATCAGTTTTCCTGTTCTGTTCCTACCAAGATATAGACTATCATATTTAACCAGTACTCTGCGGTAGCTTTACAAATATCTTTACTCTGTGTATTTTCTTCTAAAGCAAATACACACTTAGACAAGAGCCACATCTTTATTGGTGATAGTGCTCATGGGAAATGTAGTTTTACCTCTGGAAAATATCACAAATTTCCTTCAAACCCGTCACCAGAGTCAGTAAAATGTGAAAACTCCTCACAGCGCCTCAGATCTAGAGTTGGTAGGATTGTGAAACTTTCCCCTTTCTTCATGAAACACCGCACTAAAACTGATAAAGATAAGACATTAAAATAGGAGCTAATAGTTTCTCGAACCTTACATGCTTGTATTTGTGCCAGTTAATCCCTCATATCGGATACTGAATATCTCTGAGCAACAGCGCCTCCTTCTGTTCCTCCCTCCTCAGATTTGTTCAAGTACAGGTTTGTCAACAGCAGACTGATCAACAGCACGTTCCTGCACAACAAGGAGGGCTGCATCCTCGACTTCAGCGACGATTTCAACAACGCTTACATGATTTACTTTGTCAGCTTCCTCGGCACGTTGGCTGTGTTGCCTGGCAACATTGTCTCAGCTCTATTAATGGACAAAATTGGGCGTCTGAGGATGCTGGGTAGGTAAATCTAATGACTATCCACTGATTCCAAATGAAAGAGTGGTTGTTTGTGATATTGCCATTGTTTCCTGTTGTTTGCCAACAGCGGGATCCAGTGTCATCTCCTGTGTCAGCTGTTTCTTCCTGATGTTTGGAAACAGTGAGTCAGGGATGATCGCCCTCCTGTGTCTGTTTGGAGGCATCAGCATCGCCTCGTGGAACGCCCTGGATGTGATAACAGTGGAGCTTTACCCCTCGGATAAAAGGTAACATAAAATGCAGCAACTCCCGGGCGCTTTGAGAGGTGTTTGTGAAATCTCACACGTAGGGGTTTCATTGATTCCTCTGTTTGTTGGCGATCAGTTTGTTCCTGCTGATGCAGTCAGGTTTTTTTCTATCAGTTTAAACTCACATGAAAAAATCCTTTCAGTCATGCTCGTGTACAGGTTTTTGTCATGATATGTTTTTTTTTTTTTAAGTGTTTCCTCGTGATTTAAGTGTATTTTCTTCGCATTTTTCCTAGTGTCTCTGTTCCTTATTGTTCCTGTTCTCCTGTAGTCGTGTTTTGTGAGTTTTCAGTTTGTGTTTGACCCTGTTTACCTCATGTTTTCAGTGTTTTCTTCTCTTTTATCAGTTTTCAATGTTTCCTGCTTAATTTTGTAGTTCATTCCCTGTGTTTCTCATCTTGTTTTACTTCCCCAGTTTTCCCTCGTCTGTAACTGTCTTCACCTGCCTCTCGGCTCATTGTATGTTGATTCCTCTGTGTGAATGCCAGTGTCTTTAGTGTCTCCTCGTGGTTTTTTCCCCCCTGTGCATTTTCTCGGATTTTGGATCTTTGAGTTGGACATTTTGTTGTAAGCTTTTGTTGCTTTTTATTCAGTTATTTTTTTCATTAAATCACTTTTCTTATTACAGTTTTATCGTGAAATGCAGCAGTATATTTGTCAGCCTATTCATTCAAGAGGAAATTATCAACCAAGAAGATGTTTCCTCTGTTGTTTTTTAATCATAGAGTGTCAGTGCACACAGCTGAAATCCACTGCAGGATAAAAGCAGCTTATTTCTTTTCACAGACATACTGTGTACAGATTAATATTTTATGCTCCACCGCTAAAGTTAAATCTTTAAAAGCCAGTTTGATCTTGCTTGTAGGATATTTTGGCGTTCCCTCATTTACCTCAAACTGATCAAGAGAATATGAAAAGATGTGTTGGGGGGAAACAACCTTAAATGTTGTTTTAATGGAAATTCTGGGGGAAGATTTTATTACTTTAATCATTTTTATTCTGGCAGAGACAGTTTTTTTTTATTTCCCTTGAATCCAGTGATTGTTCATCACTAAAAACATAATTAACTCAAAGGGATAGTCTTACATAACCATTACGAAGCTACTCATCCTTTCATATGTGGTTTATGGACTTATTTCTCGTCTTATCAAACTAGAATTTACATCAAATGCATGGATTTCAATGTCAATAATATACTAGCATACACATTTTAATGTTATTTTGAGAGATTAAGTTTCATTTTCAACCTTTTAAAATATTGGAGTGTTATGTTCAAGACAGTCAAACAACAAGTTAGTCCTTCAGTAAGAAGAAATAATAGAAATATAGTTTAAAATACAGATGCAAGATATAGATTTAAGAGTTATAGTGTGTGAAACCTGCTGAACTGGTGAAGGGAAGATGTGTTTGTATAAGAAAGTCCTTATTATAAGATTTTATGTAAAGAGAAAACGAGGCCTTTTAGTTTTAATGTAATAATAACGAGTCCCAGAGTCTCTTGAGGCCATTATTGAGAGGAGGACCGGGTCTAAATTAAGTTAATCCCGGGCTATAAAGATCATCTACTGCACTATGTCTTCAAAGGTCTTGAAGGCTCTTTTAGTGAGTGACTCGTGATGCCTCGGTGCTCCACTGAACGACCGAGAAAGTCTTTTGTTTCAGCAGCAGTGAGATTTTTTTAACAGTGTTTGTATGTTAGGGTCTGACTCAGCACTACTGCATAGTTTGTAGAAGTATTTATTTGATTATTTATTCATTTTTATCAGGCTTTTGTTGTATTTAATCATGTCCTTATCTTTTATTGTACCACTTTTAAATCATGTTTCACTGGCCTTTACTGTGTTTGTTGTGTAGCTGGTGTTTTTCCGATGTCTCCTTGCTGTTTGTTGTCTGTAGGAGTCTTCTTGTCCTGGTGGTAAAATAGTTTCCCCCATGCGGGATCAACAAAGTCTACCTTACCTTACCTTACCTTATTTTCATGTTTGAAAAATGTTGTTTTCGTACTGCAATAGTGCATGTTTCAGAATCTGTTTATGCCCACAGTCCGCCAGAACAAAAGCCTGATGCATTATATCTATCTATCTATCTATCTATCTATCTATCTATCTATCTATCTATCTATCTATCTATCTATCTATCTATCTATCTATCTATCTATCTATCTAGAATAAGCAGTAATGAAAGCTGGCCTGTATAAAGTAGAAAGGTAGTCATTAGTGCTGTATGTTTTTGTTGCTGAAAGTCCTCTCTCTGATTGCATCCTGCTCCTCTCCCCACAGGACCACAGCCTTCGGTTTCCTTAATGCTTTCTGTAAACTGGCGGCCGTCCTGGGCATCAGCATCTTCCAGTCGTTCGTCGGCATCACTAAGGCAGTACCCATCCTGTTTGCCGCCGGGGCGCTCGCCGCAGGTAGTTTCCTTGCAACAAAGCTGCCTGAAACACGAGGCCAAGTGCTGCAGTAAAACACAGAACCAGCAGTGGGCAGCAGAGCACTGGCATGCGTCTTTTGACAACGAGAGCCCGAATATCCCTGAGAGCTTCAGTGCTGCCTGTTACTCACCAACAGAACAGACTGCCATCCCCATTGTAAGCCCAGAATCCTTTGAAACATGGACTGCATCATTCAAAGTCCTCACAGTGCCACAGTGACAAGACAAGGGGGCACTATCAGGTACTAAAAAACCACAGATCCTTTTTCAGAGTGTGTTTCAGCAGCTTGGTCTGGTGATGCGATCCAGTAGTGCAAATTGTGGTGTGAAGTAAAGACGGCCTGTTCATTTTTCTGATTTTTTATTTTCATTTTTTCTGGGCCAAGGGATCTGCAAAACCAAACTGAATTGAGACGAAAGGGATGTCAAAAGAAGAGTGTGAAAAAGCCATTTATGAGGGGAAATACAAAGATTTATCTTTTACTGTTTGGATGAATTTTTAACATGGTTGCAGTGTTTCTTTCTAGTCCGCCTTGGCCTTGTTGACTGGCTTTCAGTGCTTTTTTTTCTTGAGTGTCGTGTTTACTGGTGCAATTCACTTCATGTTTACAGTCAGACTGATTTTGATTTAAGAGGAATTAATCATATCTGACCCTTCACCAGTGCTTGCTACTGACGCCAGATTTCTGCAAGCTCTTTTTTTCTACCAAATGCGATTCAAACATTCCAGTGAGACTCGATTTATCCGGAAACAGAGAACTCAATGTTGCTCTTGTCCCTGCATAAATCCAGTCTCCTCTTCCTCTATTTATCACCTCAAAAACACACAGACAGCTAAAGATGCATTTCACAGGATTCTCTGTCGTAAATGGGACTCGTTTGATCCAGCTCCTCAGTGTTCTGTGTTGAAGTCATGTTTTCTTTCCTCTCAAAACAGCTATGGCAAACACGGGAACATCTGTGGGATGGATTTGTCTTAAGTGAGAGCACATACCTAAGGTGTAAAACTTACCCTGAAGTCGAAGTTGTATGAGTGTGCATGGGATTGCATGTCTGTCTGTGTAACGTGAGATCAGAGAAAGTGTCTGATTTATGTTCAAACTCCTTCATTTCATGCAAATCAGCGCAGCTGTGTGAATCATATTACACTGATCCTACAGCAGAATGTACAAAGCAGCAGTCACACTTTTTATTTTGAGAAATTATAACAAATACACAAATTAGCTCAGGTGTGGTGTACTGTTTCGACCATGTTTACAGTTGGTATTAGGTTTCACCACCTCTCCACCAAAAATTGTACACGCAGGTTAGTTTTGATGACCGGTCCAGCTCGATTTATTCGCCTTAATGCAGAAACAAGTCGTAAAAGAAGTCGATTAATTGACTGTATAGGTTTTCTCTTACCTCAGACACAGCGCTTTGACGAAAATCTTCGATTAACCTCCGTTTATTGGCTTTTTTTTAATAGCTTTTAACTTAATCTCAGTCTTTGTAAACTGTTTGCCGGCTCGTCACAGGGACGCCATGTTTTCTAAGAGTCCTCGGTTCTTTTTGTCTCTTTATATTAAGACTCAGAAGACTCAAACAATGCAGTAACCTTTTCTTAAAATCTTTCATGCCACCTGAATGTCATTATAGAAGTTCATCATACTCATAAGCACAATCTAAAAAGGACCAAATGAGGAAAAAGAGATGAGGCAGAGCTGAACGTAAGAATAATAGAAATCAATTAAAAACTACTAGTGGTCCCTGTTTCGTTAATTTGTGCCAAGAAGAGTTGATCCCCTAACATGTCCCCCTGTATGAAATATAAGTTACTACAAAGTACACAAAAAGTAAAATATGGTGACTTTTGTCTTTATTGACACAACCTATCAAGGGAAAGCTGTTGAGACTCACCGTTGATACATATCACCCCCTCCGTATCATTTCTCCAAAGGTGTATCAATGTGTGCTGACAATCAGTGAGTGAGAGTGCGGGTGCTGCTGCCCTGTCCTGTGTGTTGTTTGACCCTAGGACCTCCTCTATGTGTGTGTGTGCACGTGTGTGCGTGTGTTTGGGGTGTCAGAGGCTTTGCTGTTGTCAGAGAAGACGGGCAATCCAACTTAAAATAAACACTCACCTCACAAAGACAGAGCATCATCACAGGAACAGGAGTTTATCTGGCCTCTAATATGTGTGTGAGTGTGAGGGTGAGTAAGAGAGACGAAGAAAGGGAGGAACTTTAGGATGAAAAATTAATCATGTTATTGCCCAGCTTCATGTAGGAAGGTTGATATTCTCTGAAAAAGTGAAAATCCAGGAGGAGATTAAACCAAAACGAGCTCTTTTTACACTTTGATGAAGAATTGGTTTAAAAGATTTGTTTTTCATGTAGCTAGCATACATCGCTAAATTCTGTCTATCTAAACTTGCAAAGTTATTGGCTGGTTACAACATCCAGTCTGTACAGCACAGGTACAAGATAATACATGGATGTGGGCATGTGTCCTGTTATAGAGCACCGTTGTGAATCTAGAACATCCTAGACGAGTCATTTCCATTTGTTAGAGTCTTTATTGAGGATCCTGTTGGCAATATAGAAAGTCGGAGTCATGTCAAATCGAACCTCCTGCTTACGAAACTCCATCCTTATTATTACCAACCAAAGATATCAACATAAAATATTGATGTAAAAAGAATTTGATTATTTTAAAATGAATTTATTAATTCAGCTATAAAGTAGACCTTCTGTTTTGACAGCTGGTGGTGCTTCCATGGCAACAGAATTATCAGCCAACATGTAGGTCAAATTAACACGAACTTTAATATTTTTTATTCACAAAACAGTCTTTAGTTTAGCCTGCTCTTAGTAACAGCAGCACATACATAAGGTCCTCTTCCTGTGACTTTTCTGCAGTAATTTTCAAATCCTGTAACGCTGCCAAAGCCGAAACCATGATGCTTTTTGTAGTTGCTTCTCGTTTTCTTCAATTTTGCGGATGTCTCTGTCTCTCAGCTTCTTGCGCGTTTTAACATCCCTCCTTTTCATCTTTTCTCTGTTATTCAACCATTAACTCAACATCTGAAGTTTCGTGCTCTCAAATGAATCCGTGTTATTAACCTGAGCTACTGGAAACTAACGTCCAGGAAGAGGTAGCGTCATCTTAATAAACGTGCTGGACTCCTCTCTGCAGGTTAATTTTACTTAATGTGTGTGTGATCAGGTTTTTCCAGAATAAGAGTCCATGTTTGGTCAGACATATTCAGCACAGTACAGAGATAAATAAGAAAGCCGGGCAATAAACTGAGCTAATTGCCTCCTTAATGCAGCTACACAATTAGCACACATGCTGATAAATTTCCCAGAAAGCTAAGCTGATGCTTGAATACTTTGTAATCGAGCAGCGTGTGTCTGCAGATCCGGAGGTTTTTCAGTAACGCAATTAAGACCTTTGTGACGGCAGCACCAAGAACACTGGATTGCCAAGGACTTCCTTTTTTAGTGTGTAAAGGACCCACTTTTAGTTCCCCCCCCTAACCCTGACCCCACTCCTAATCAAAGCCGTCACATAGCCGGGTCTAAATGATGAAGCTGTAGCCTCCAGCTCTGCAGACATAGAGCAAACGTTTGTATTCTATTTTTTTCTTTCTTCTATTGAAGTCTTGTGCTCAGTTAATGAACAAATGTGTCCCATTTCCATGTCCACGAGTGACTGGGTTTGTTGTTGATGTGTGTATGGTGTGAGTGTCTGTAAGGCTGTACGGCTAAATCGTCTGTTACATATTTTTCTACTTTTTTCCGTTGTGGTGTTTTCATCCCTGCGATGCACACCACTCATTTGGGGACCACAGAATTATATTTACACTAAGAGAAGAAAAAGAAGAAGAAGCAAAATCTAATGCAATGTATGCAGTGCTGAATATATCGTTTTGTTCGTTATGAAAGACTCAGATGCTCCATGGCGGATACAGTGGGGTCTTTAAAGCCAATCACATGAATGATAGCTGGTTTCAGGGGCAGTAAATGCAGTAAAGGATCACACTTCTTAAAACTCACATAAAAGGACTTAAAACTCTAATCCTTCTGTATTCAACCGATCGTGACGCATGTTTGTATCGTATTGTCTGACTTCTTGGACGTCCTGTATGCCAGCTGTTTTTGTCTAAAGCAAGAACTAGTATTTTCATTATTGTATGATGACATAGAATTGTTGCTTGCAGTGATTGTTCTTAATCAAAGTGGGGTTAAATTGGTGAAACTTGAGTATGTGTTCTGGAAGTAAGTTAGTGGTGATTGTGCTCCTTGTTTACCCTGGACCCAGGTAACCTTTTCTCATATATATGTATATACAGTATACGTATATATATACTGTATATATTCACACCTGAATACCTGAGGAGGACACAGGCAATTCATCTTGTCAGAAAGTTACAAGATTTGGTTGGAAAAGGGAGGGGGAAAAAGGTGGATTGTGCACAAAAAAACTTTTGTTTTTTCAAAAATGGAAGTGTAAGTAATAAAGGGGACACATTCCCCAAATCTGAGAGAGTAGTTTGACCCCAAAAGACCCCCGTATGTCAGTTTATCAAAAGAGCAAACTCTGTCAGATTGATGCTTCAGTCCAAAAATATACAAGTAACATATTCTGTGTTACTGCTGTGAGTGTAGAAGTTTAATTACCTCTATATTCCTGTAAAAACTATCAACAAGGTCTCTGGTTTGAGTTGTATCCATGATGAAAGCATTGACACAGGATGTGGTCATAATAAGGCAACACCGTCCTGAGGGAGGATCAGTCCTGGAGGGCCAAGCCTGCAAGAAAACTCCCATTTTCTGCAAAGAACTTTCAAAAACCCTTCTCACGTTTGGACTGGAGGAGTTTGCGTTTTCTTCAGTTTGACTCGAACCCGTTTATGAAATGATAAAAAGTTCTACTCTAAATGTGAGTTCAATTCAAAAATCAATGTGCTGTGTGTAGAAACTGTAGATGTTTGTATGTGCAAGTTTGGAATTTGTGGAACAAAAGATCACAGAAAACAATTCCAAAAAAATTCAGTATGACACAAAATCTATTGTGTGTTGTCTTTGTGTTTTGTAAATGAAATCTTGGTAAAATTCTGTATTTATTACTTCTGGATATTGAGACTATTTTAGTGATGCTGAAAAGGTGCTGTATTTATTTTATGTGAGAGTTGTTCATTATGCTGGGAGTAGCACTTTTGTGCCATTTATCCAGTTCTGACAAAAATGACAAATTATGAAAATAAAACTTGAAAGAAATCCAATGTAATGGTTTGCGTTACACAGCATGAAGACAGAGGGGTTTTTATACTTATTAAAATTTGCAGCTGGTGATACCAGTTGTTTAGTAGTCATACACTCTTTGCGTGATGACAACCAGGCATTAGTTTTAACCTTTGGCACAAGTTCTGGCAATAATAGATCGGTTTTAGGCCTCTTACACCCACATCTGTTGGGGTAGGAAATCTAAGACACTCAGGGATCGATACTCCACCTTCTAGACTAGAATAAAAACACAAGTTAAGGCTTAAACTGTTTATTTAAAAATGTATATCCATGTGCTGATCACATGATGGGGTAACAAGCATAGAGGGCGACGCCACACTGGTTGTTCCTGTTGCGAGCCATCTTGATGTAGCCTTCATCTCCGTAATTTACACCCCAACTAGAAAAGAAAACAATCATGACTTTAAAATTAACAAATCAAAAAAGTTGATGAAATCCTAAAGCTATTTGTGATATCTTGAAAAAGTCACCTGTTTTTGACCAGCCAGTAGTCCTGTCCTCTCTCAGTGCCATAGCCCACAGCCAGCACACCATGGTTCACATTGTGGGTGCATGTGTGATCCCTGTAAACACCTGTGAAGCCACACCATTAGAAAAAGTTGTAAATCATTCACTAAAAGAGCCCATCTCCTAAATCACCTTACAGTTTAATACTGCCTGAAAGTAATACTCACCACGGCGGTAGAATCCAAACTTTGGTCTTGAGGCGTCAATCGCTATGGAGATTGGGCCGACGTCAGCAAGAGCTGCTTTTAAAGCAAATTCATCTCCCTCTGGTAAGAAGGCATAATCTGAGCAGTTAGCAGCCCGATTCTTTGGGTCATACTTGCACTGTCCACGCTGCAAACAACAACAACAACAACAACAACAACAACAACATTCGTGAGACTTCATTCTTAAGGTTTAGCACCACAGTGATTGACAGTAGTTTATGGAGCTCACCCTGGCGACATAAGGGTAGGCTGCGTCTGAATCTATGCCGTCATTATCGATGACATATTGGAAGGCGTTTGACATGAATCCACCGTAACATCCGTGATTGCCGAATTTGAAGGAGCAGTCCACCAGGTTCTGGGGGCTGAGAGACATTAGGACGCCTGTGGTCTTCTTGAGTTGCCCCTCAAGCGCTCCAACTGCACTGAAGGCCCAACAAGAGCCACACATACCCTTAAAGATAGAAAAAGAAACAGAAGTTAAGTGTGGATCCTCTTAAATATGAAGTTTGCGTCTTAAATTTGCCAATGCTTCAATGCAGTGTGACCTTACCTGCATTTTAACCGCAGTCACCAAACCTTTAGTCCTCCAGTCTAGAGCTGCTGGTAAAGAGTTATTGACTTTTATACTTTTGGAAGAACTTCTCTCCAGGTCAGAGGGCACAACAGTTCCTGTCAGCGTGGCAGCGATTTCCTCACTAGTCTGTAAATGAAGAAAACTCATGTACCTTAATACTGGGACCGATAACCCAAGAGGCTAGTGCAAATGTTCAAAAATGTGACGGCCTACTCACCAGATCTCCAAGATGATTCATTGCCATCTCATAAGTGTGCAAGCCCAGAGAGGCTTCCAGGTTATGGACATTAATCATTTCTAAGTTCTGTTCCCATATCCGCCTGCGACCAAGCTCCTCAATCTGGGAAAAAACATAACACAAGCAAAAACCAGCATGCTCTCACCAAATGACACATAATTCACACTGTTAAAAAGGCTTTACCTCCTGAGAATAGATTTTTTTGTGCATTTTTTTCCATAGCTCCCAGTGTCTGTCAAGTTCTGTGGTGACAGGCGGTGAAGCTGCTGCAAATCCACATGCAGCCACAAAAAGCATGCACCAGAACATCTCTGAAACTAAAGGGGGAAAAAACCAACAATGACTCAACAGGAGTCAGCGAGAACTAATGTTTCCCAGATCAAACTAAAGGCCCGACTCATGCAGCAGCTCTCATTACAACTCTTAACAGCTGATTTGAACAAATATATCAGAAAAATGTAAAATTTAAATTTTCACATGCATGGGAAATATCAAGATTCTGATTTAAAGCCAGTAGCCTGTTCAGTAGTGGCACGTGTGTGACTGTGACCTACCTGAGCAGATGACCAGGGAGAAGAATCACAGAGTCCCCCCTGTTTAAAAGCACACTCACAGACTGCACACCTGCAAGTCATTAAGCCCTGAATATTTGAGTTTTTTGGCCACTTGGGGGCAGTTTAAACAAGCTTTGAACATAAGGCTGGCATAGTGGTATCCCATTAGAGTTAGAAACAGCTGCTTGTTAAACAGAGAGGAAATAAAAATGCTATTTATTTAAGGGTTATGAGTGTAACTTACACTCTTTAAGTGCTGTTTTTGGAAACCACTCAAAAGTTTTTGTTTTTTTTATCAGCTGACCTCCACTTTAGAGTCAGCTAAATATGTGACTTTAGCTTATTTTACTGTTTAATATCTCCTGAAACTTGACAATATAAGCTTTAACCTTTTCAAAATAAAAGAAAGTTTAATCAAAACAGGAAACAAAGCAATCTAGAAATAGACAGTAAAAATGACAAAATAAAAGCTTGATGAGGAACAGTGATATGTAGCAATGACTTCTTTTAGACTTTAAAATTACTTGAAAAAATGGTTATTCTATGGATTTAGGAAATAATCAATCTGTGAAGGCAGCGCTGACTTACATATCAATGTTTCTTACAAATTTAAAGTATTTTCTGATATTTTCCCTTCTGTTTCAACATTTTATGAGCAATCATGCGATATATCTTAAAGGTGAGTGTATATTTCAGTTCATTCAGATTATATTTAATATAAATATTACATTTTAACTGCAAAATGTTGCCTTGCACATTCCTGATCAGTCTTCTATCAGATTGTAAAATTGTATAGTCTACCGTGTATTGCATGAGTGTTGTGTTTGTAGGGCTGCTGTTTTCTGTGGAAGTGAAGTGAAGTGAAGTGAAGTGAAGTGGTGGTGAGGCCTGATGTGATAGTCATGATGGGAGGAGGCTTTTAAGGAAGTGTTGGTCGGGTCTGCTGCTAGGGAGTAAAAAATGTTTGTCACTGATGTATTTACAGATGGTGTTGCTGATAGTGAACGTGTGTTTTGATCAACGGTGTACTTTAAGGATAGACCAAGTCAGTAAATTCTTTGAGGCATATCATCAGGTTCAGTAAACTTCATTTACTCAACTTAATGTACCGATATATAGATAAATAAAAGAGTGACTTAATTATTGATAATTTTTAATTCTGACACGTCTCAACTCAAACCAGCGTTTGCATAAAACATACCTAAACAAACAACAAAATAGAACAAATTCAATGAATTTCAGTGGATAATCTGAAAAGGATAATCTGGAGGACAGGAGAGTCATTGCTGATCTGTTTACATCTATAAAAATGAATTGGAGGAATCCTGGGTCCAAACTCCAGCAACACTTGTATTCAAAGACACAAATTTACTCTTAAACCAACACTTCCTGCCCCATGGCCCTTATCATGTTCATTATAGAATGACAACAAATGACATTTGAATGATACTGAGAAAATTAACACTATCATTGTTTCAGTTTTCTAGTATAAAAAATAAAACCTTCCGGTCATTGATAAATAAAGCAGCTTCAGATCTACTCAGGAGATTCGGGTGAAAGTTCAAACTTTCACAGCGTAGGGTAGATCGCGAAGTTGGCGATGCCGCAGAGATTTTTCTTGTTTCTAGCAATTCGAATGAAGCCTTGCTCTCCCCACGCAGTTCCCCAGCTACAATCAGAAAAGCAAATCAAATCTCTGTCATACAAATGAAGTCATGCTTTTTCTTTCACATTTGGGATAAGTTATTAAGAAATTTAGCCAGCAGAGACAAACTTGCCTGTTTTTTACGAGCCAGAAGTCTTGACCTCTGTCTGTGCCGTAGCCCACGACCAAAACGGCGTGATTGGTGAACCTGGGGTTGCAATTTGGAACATTGTATAAACCTGAAAAACACATAAAGTTGAAAGGATAAGATTTCATTTATGCTGTTTAATTTCTGTATCACACAAATTCACTTAAAGCTGTTTTGAGAAACTTTCTGCTTGTGTTAATTTTGGCAACTACTTTGGACAAAGCAGACTCTTGTTTCTTTGCTGATCTTGTCCTCTATGCTGAGTGTTTTCTGACAAAACCTACTAATTTATGTTCTTGTTTACTTTTGTAGGTCATAAAGAAGCATCACCATTGATTCCAGTTCATTCATAACCTGCTTAAAGCTCCTTATAGTGGCTTTAAAAGTGTTATTCAGACTTAAGTTTCATGGTTATTCCTACGTCCAAAGCAAAAGTATGGCATATCAAAACATAACCTCATTTTACCTCCAATCTGTTTTGGTTCCTAAAATATTTTCGTCAGTGATGTTAAAATTATCCAAAATTAGTGTTTGTGTTTAGTTCCAGTGTTGTAGTGTGTGATCTTACTGCAGAAAAGGGCTTTAAGTGCAGTTTCTGAGATGAAATAACTTCACTGATAGTGTATAATAATAAAATAATATTTTGAAGCAAAAGACAGAATCAAGCATATTTATTTGATCCTGTGTAAATTGAAAAGGTCAAAGCTAAATATGAGCGGCAAAGATAATATCTGCAGGATGTCTGAACACATGTTACACACAGGAGTCTCCCAATCTCACCTCCTCTGTACAAGTGAAAGGATCTCAGCATGGCATTCACGGCCACAGAAACCGGTCCAACAGACGCCACAGCGGCTTGCAGAGCCTTCTCATCTCCATGTGGCAGGATGTGGAATTTGGAGCAGTAAGCTGCTTTTCCTGCGTCAGAATAGCGGCATTTTCCATTCTACAGAAAAAAAGAAAATCATGTTTAGTATATGCACTGAATGGCTCTTATAATTGTTATACATATTCTGTATTTCTGAAAAGTGCTATTTCAACACATTTGTATATATTAGTAAATCATATTGTTCTGTGCATGGTGGTATGAATAATAATAGTATAATTTAATGTCTCATAACCTGATTTTGGTGACTGTATTTTAGTGGAAAATTTTTACATTTTTTATGAATGTGAGTGTCATGATATGTTCCGTTTGAGTTCGTTTTTCCCTGGTTTTGTGTTTCCCTTGAGTGTATTTTCTTTGTGATTTTTCCTATTGTTTCTGTTCCCCTGTAGTCGTGTCTTGTGAGTTTTCAGTTTGTGTCTGACCCCTGTTCCCTCATGTTCTCAGTGTTTTATTGCTAACATCAGTTTTCAGCATTTCCTGTTTTATTTTGTAGTAGTTTATTCCTTGTGTTTCTAGTCAAGTGTTACTTCCTCAGTTTTCCCTCCTCTGTAATTGTCTGCACCTGTGTTTCAGTATTGGTTCATTGTGTGTGGTATGTTTGTGTGTCTGTATGTCTGCATACCAGTATCCCCAGTGTCTCCTTGTGAATTTTCCTCCCAGAGTCTTTTGTTGAATTTTGGATTTTTGGTTCATTTGGATTTTGCCTCTTGTTTTTTTTTTTTTTTTTGAGTTGGACTTTTGAAGTAAGTTTTTTTTTTGCTTTTTTCTTTAGTTAATTTTGAATTAATCATTTTTGCTCTGCAATTTTGGTCCTTCCCTTTTTGTTTTTACTCTGGACCATGACAGTTGTGACAGTGAGGACAAAACAAAAAAATTTTATTTTCCATATTTTTCCAAAACTGCTTGGTTGCAATAAGAGTAATTGTGTAGGGGTTGCTGTATTATTTGGACATTGGTGTTGACTGTTTTTGCCTTGTTGATAGACATTAGTCCACTGGCAAATAATGTGCCTTGTGTCAATGTCAGTATGATGCATTTTATCTTCAATTGTTTTCCAATCAGTTTACAGCTGCTGAGCTAAAATACTGCTGATTTGTTTTTATTAGATGGTAAATCTCTTGTTGGACAAACTCTGATTTGTTTGCGGATTTTAAATCACCTCTTAAAACCGACTTTTATGTGGTGTTGTATTGTTTTTATTGTCGTTTTTATATCACCCAACAGCTTCTAGCTCCCAATCTTTTTATATTATTTTGCATTCATGATCCTTGTGGTCTCGGTTTATGTTGCTCGGTTTATGTTGACTAAAAACCCTGACAGTTTCCTCCTGCTCTCTCTCTCTGTCTCTCTCTCTGTCTCTCTCTCTGTCTGAGGATCACCTGGTGCTCGTAAGGGTAGAACCTCTCTGAGTCAACGCCCCCATTGCGGATGATGTATCCGAATGCTTTGGAGATGAATCCTCCTCTGCAGCCGTGGTTCCCATCCTTGATGCTGCAGTCCACCAGGTTCTGTGGACTCAGTGGAACCAGCGCCCCTGTCTGCTTCTTCATTTGACCCTCCAGAGCCCCCAGAGAACTGAAGGCCCAGCATGACCCACACATCCCCTAAAAGCCATAATATCACCATCAGTGCCAACAAACTGATATTTATCAGAGTCTTCACATTAAAATGATTGTTTACCTGGTTCTGAACGGGGCTGACCAGACCATTCTTCCTCCAGTCTACGGTCTGAGGGATCGATGAGATGTTCACTTCCTTTAAGGTGCCGTTCATAAGGTGAGTCAACTCCTCCAGCTTCAGACCATTGAGTTTCTCGTTGACCTCCTCAGCTGTCTTTTTGGAAAATATTGAATTTGCATAAAGGGGAAACATTAATTAAAGATGAGTCAGCTCATCTTCAAAAACAGTGTCAGTTCATCAAACTCAGAATAAAACACCCCCTTACTGACCCATTTGCAAAAAGTTAAAGTCATGCAACTTTGGGAGCAGATCTTGTTTTGCACTCAGAGTCTCTCAGCCTTTAATAATCACCAAATTAATCACGAGTTCCTTTGAATCTTAACAATTTTAGCCTCTTCTGCTTTGGAAAAAAAGAGCAAAAGGTCTAACTTCATTAAAATTTCATTTATTATAATCAGCACACCACTTTTCAGCTTGGGTTCAAAGTCCCGTTACCCTCCTCTGCAACAAGCTGGTGTCAAATTTGACTTTCATCAGAGTTTTATTTTCACTGTTAAACCTTTTTACCCTACCAAATAGAGAACATGTCATTCAGCCTTATTTTTACCTGCAAAGAGACCGTTACAAGTTGTCCTCTGCTACCTTCTACACTTTTACTCCCTGCTTTATGTGCGGGATATTCAAAATTCGTCCTTCATTAATCTGACGGTGATCAAAATATATTATATATCTTAAACACCCTGAATGAAATGCACAAAATAGTTTTACAGCACAGCTCGTTTCAGTCATTTTGTACATTTTGTTCATGTACAGGCATGTTTACGTAACTTTTTTGGGATGTACTTTATGTCCTGTTTGTCCAGATTGGCCGTGGCGTGCTGGATTAAATTAATCAGATGCTTAAAGAGAAGATTAGAGCTGCTCTATAGGTTTGGGTTTAACCCAAGCAGCAGGGGTTGTACGGAGGGTTAATGTAGATTAACAATGTTGGTTGGTGACATGCATCTTGCACCAGATGAGGTCAGTGAGTATGAATGCAGGGTTGTTATGTAAAACACATGCCTGCTGTAACAACCGTAACTGTAGGAGCCAAAATATATTTGTTCAAAGTTTGATTTCTACTAGGTATGTCACTTACGGGGATCGACATTGAGGGGTGTTGATCCTCAGACTCTCACTGGTGCAGTTGGACAATGGGTTGTGGAAAGCTCTGATAATTTTCTGTTGACCGTTTCACTTATACTGTTTTAACCTCATTTCATCATATCACACAAGTTTTGGACCTGGATCAGTGCGTTTCCTTTTCTTTTTTGGATCAATAAACCACTTTTAACACTCAAACCGGACTGATAATTGAACGAGTCACAGATGCAAGCGCACCTAAACCCCAGCGGCCTTTTTGTTGAGGGAAAGCAGTCGCTACAATAACGTTACAGCAGGTTATGTCTTCCCAACTTGAACTTGACGTGTTAAAAGCAGGAAAAAATGGGATAGCAGAAAGATGGGAGCAACTTTTACTGGAGCTGAAATGTGACGGTGAGATGACTGAGTTGGAGAATCTCAAAAAGTGCAGCCCTTGTGGTTTTTTTCTGTCTTCAGGGACTTGTACCTAACAGGGGAGGTCTAAGGAGATGAAATCAATGAACCACCTACAAGGTCATGGGTAGCTTAGATTCATTGATGTGCATGTGGAGTATTCAAGTTGGGTCTGTGTTCAATTCAACTGAAGAGCCAGGAGCTCAAACTGCTGAAATATTTAATGCTGGTTCTGATAAACTGGTCAGAGTTGCTGTACACTGCACAAACAAGTACAAACCGTGGAAGCTCTGACTCCAAACTTACAGGCCTAATGGATCTGCTGTTATTATCTTGGTATCAGATACCAGAGCAAACCTTCAGAGGGTTTCTGGAGTCCAGGCCTCATCAGATCAGAGCTGTCTCTGAGCTTTTGTCCACCAGAGGGCTCTCTGACACATTTCTGTTCAAATATCCTAGAGCTCCATCCTGCAGGACAACACCGCCTTTATCTTGTTTGTAAGATATTTTTTTATTGTCAAATCTACTTTGGTGAGTTGTGTATCATAGTGAAAGTGCGTAAGGAACATGCCTCGGGCCAAACATATTTAGCTTTCATGGAGGATCTAGCTTGGTTAACCTGCTTTGAGTTTAATAAAGGCTCTTGTTGGCCCCAGAAGGTAAATGTCGCCTACACAGGACCCACCTAGTTCTAATGTTTACTGTCTGTAGATAGTATTCACATTTAAGCTCAACCATGAGGCCCCAGCAGATGAAAAACTCTTGAAAAAAAATCAAAGTGTTTTGAAGTTTTGTATTTGGCAGAAGACACAAGGAGCAAAACAGAGACAAGTGTGCACAAGAACATGCTTAAGGTCAAAGCTGATGTAACAAAGTAGTAGGAGGGCAAAAACAGTCGAGTCTTAAAAACAACAAGAACAAAAAGTTTTTGATCGATAACAAGAAGATGGTCATGAGTTATGCGAATATACCGAGCTTGAGGGCAGCAGAGGTGGTTGTATCCGGTGACTGGGAAAAACTGCTGATAACTTTTTTTTTCTCGTCTCACTGACGGTCAACTTTTCTGCTGTCGGAGGCTTAAAAAGTGTCAAATTCACACCCACTGAAGCCCACTGAAAACACCACAAGTTTTTCTGTAAACCGCTTTTTGGTTAAATTCTACTAGATATTATCAAGTGTATGTTATGCCATTAGAGACATCTTAAAACTAGACTTTGATAATTTTTTGGACTTGTTGCTGCAGATATAAGACGGTGAAGATGCAATGACAAACACCAGCTAACATCCAGAACCTGTTCTGCATCAGCAGGTCAGGATTTGAGACATGCCTGCCTGATCTTGCACCCCCTTTAACTCTTAAAACTCCAGCCTATATTTTGCTATTTTTGATTTAGGTTATTTATTTATTTGTTTTAAAAATCTACATAGTAACTCTATCCTTTTAAGCACAACAAATATATACACATCTTTTTTTCAGGACAACCTCAGTTGGCAGTTTTTTTTAGTGCTAAGATGACGTAAAATGAAAGTAAAAGTAGATTCAGCACCATAAAAGTCAACCAAAAAAAACAAAAGTCCAGAAGCAGTTATTGAGTGATATCAATTTTTTTAAAATCACAACAATACCATAAATAATCATGTTTTCACTGATAGGTCACAATGGAATTACCATTAAAAGTCTCAGATCAAACACCTGTTTTTGTCTCTAGATTGTAAACCTTGTGGCCGGTTTAGAAATGCCTGGAAACCCTCGATAGATCGCCAAAAAGGGTACGCTTTCAAACACATTTTACCCCATAGAGAAACACAGTATTTGTAAACTGTAAACATTACTAATGGTGTCACGTGTAAAGACAGTCTCTAGTGCAGGAAAACAAGAACCTGTCACTGTAGATCAGATTCATACCATGTCAGCCAGATGATTGAGTCCCATCGTAAAGCTGTGTTTTCCTGCGGAGGCCTCCTGATTGTGTCTCATCACCAAGAACAGGTTCTTCTCCCAAACAGCTCTCCTGTAGGCAGTCTCAGTCTAGATGAAGACGGACTCAGTGATTTGTTTGAATTCATGTGTTTAGACAAAAGTAAAGAGGAAAGAAGTTTGCACTGTCCTACCTGGTTATCGTAAACCTTGCTGTGTTTCATTTTCCACTCTGCCCACGCTTTATTTAAAGCAGAAGAAGAAGACGAGCAGCCAAGATCCAAAGAGGTCAAGAGCATCACAGCACAGAAAATGAGCATCCTGCAAATGTAAGGAAATGAATCTTTTTACCATTTATTATGAGCTAACAGATTTGTTGTTGTTGTTTTTTGTCTTTGGTGGTGTTAATCAATTAGTCCAAATGATTTAATGTTGGCTGTTCAACAAAAATGAAGTGTAAATATATAATTACTGCATCTCTAACACCGTACATGCATATTCTCCTGCTTAGGCTTCATGTATTAACTAAACTTACTCCCTTTTTTATAAAATCACAGCTAATTTATGAGTTATGAATCGACTATATACCATCTGGTCTTCTAGAGCCAGTGCTACGGTCTAAAAGTGCTCTTACTCTCTGCACTCTGCCACTGAGTCATCAAATTTTAAATACATATTGAAAACAGTTCTGAGAAATTGGTATTCACTGTATACTCTGAGTCAAATCCCCACACAAAACACCTGCAATTCTGTCTTGGGTTTTTTTTAGAAACTAGCCTTGAGTTGCAGAATATTTTAGCCTCTTACATCAGAACAAACAGCGTTTTGATCGAAGTCTGTCAGGAACTGTGTCAAACCAGCGAGACAATCTTAAACCTGCGGCACAAATCCTGACAAGACGAAAGCTAGACAAAGCAAATGCCCCCGAGCACAAGCCCTGGCATCATCCTCTTGCAGAAATGGACTTTTAATGTTGCTCATTTCCCCCCGTTCTCACCTAGAAAATCAACACAGTGAGCTGCATTTGAGCTAAAACACTTTCATGAGTAGAGAGAAAGATGACACCTTACTGCAACTTGTTTCCCTCCAATCTCTTTTTCAGCAAATCTTTCCTTCCCTCTTATAAACCCCATCCACCCACAGCACTTAACCTTTAACTTTGGTATGCAGCTAACAGCCTCAATACATGATCACAGGTAAGGAGAAATAGGCTGCATTTACCTTGTTGCAGAACAATCAGCAGGGTTACGCTCTGGTAGTAGGAAAGTAGAAAATGCTTTTCAACGGACCGGAATAATCTCCTCTCTTAAAAGAGGAAGTTTACACAAGTTTCCTCCCACACACACACATGCACAGTAGATGTGTGTTTTGACTGTGTTTGCAGTGCAAGGGCAACGAGTTAGGAAGCATCTACTCCCTGACTTGTCATGTGAATCTAATTTACTACCAGCTGCAGAGGCCAAAATTTCCATTTACCACCGGAGGCAGAAGTGACGCAGGATTCATGGTAGAAACACACAGAAATGAAACTTATTGTGGCATAAAAGATGTGAGTGGAAAGAGTGGATGGAAATGTGATGTGATAATTTTGATATATTTTGATATATTCATCAAGGTTATCTTTGGGTCTTTGTAGAAATAGGTTAATGTATGTCATGAAATCAAGAGGTTTCTTCTCTACAGGCAGAGGGATGCTCAGTCTCACACTCTAGACTGTGTCAGACTCAGGTTGTGTGGACAGCTGCAGGTGTTTTTTTCCCCTGAAGAAAAGAAACGTAAAGATCCCCAAAGCCGTCCACATCCACAGAAACAAGGTCTATACATAGGGAGGGTGTTATTCAAAATTAGAAATTTTGAAGGTGGTTTTTCTCAGCTGCTGTTTGTGAGAGCGTTTTGAACTTTCAGCCAAAAAAACAAACAAACAAAAAAACATTTTATTTATAAGTGCCTTTCTAGACACTCAAGGACACTTCACAGAGTAAAAGCAGCAACATAAAACAACAGGATAAGAGAAATAGAGAAAAAAATGGAACATATATATGTACAAATAAAATAAACGAAAATATGAAATGGTAAAATTATGAGGATTGTGCTAGTCTGAACAGGTAGATTTTGAGTCTGGATTCGAAGAGAGAGCGAGAGTCAAAATAAAGAGATTTGTCCCTTTTTTTAACATCTTCATTGCGAGCCTCCTCTCCTCTGCCTTTCAAACGAACAGCTTTTGTAAAACAAATAAACCAGTGAAGCTGTAGCCTGGAGGAAAACAGCCTGAACAATCAAAGTGGAATAAAAACAGTCAGTGTTTGACCCTGATGTTAGAGACTAAATTATGACGGTGCTAAACTATTATAGCGAGATGCTGCTGGACTTAAAATGATCTTTTTTTAGAGCTCCTATCTATAAACAGGGCAAAAAATGTCCTAAAACATGCGAAAAGACAGAGTTGCGTATATCAAAAGTCCTTCAGCAGTCTCCACTACAGGAAGCAACATGGATGAAACCCGATGATGCTAATAAAGCAGGAGGATATTATGCAATTGAATTTTTCATTTTGGCCGAAGCTTTAGTTGGCTTTAAAACACAAAGTTTCTATCCCCGACTCCGGGTTTGGACACAGATCTGCTGATGAATGCAGGTTCCCTGAGGTAACAGATGGTTGGGTCCTGACTCAGCACCTGCTCTTCTTCAGTGGTGATCGATACACACGTGTTTTTGTGGACACGCCTTACATTTCTGCAACTAAGCAGAAAGGCGGGCAGTTTAGGTCAAACACCTGAATAGAAATCATTAAAACTGGAGTGAGGGTTTGATAATCAGAAATTATTTGTTTCTTCTTCTTTATTCGGGAAACAACAATTAATTTACCTAATTTTTAAAGCCCTGTTATAGTTAACCAACAAATCATAGGCATACCCAGCAGAGTGTATCTGTGGATGCTTTAACTGTGTTTTTTTACATAGACTGAAGGTGGAGGAAGATGCTTCAAGTTGTGGCTGTGTTGACGTTACCCAGAATAGGGCTGGGCGATATGGCCTCAAATCAATATCATGATATATTGACCTCGATAACGATAAATAGATGATAACTCCACAAGCTGCTAACCCCCTCCCACATTAACTTTGTCTACTTCAGCTGCCGCTCCAGCCGCTCCAACTTTTTAACCCTCCTCCATCTCCTCACCTGTCTTTCCCTCTTTGTTACAGACTGGATGGGGTGGAGTCACATCTCTGACATAGGAGACCATAGCCTACCTACACACATCCAAAACCAACTTTTATTTATTTATTTGTTTGTTTTGAAACCAAATATTTTGACATGGGCAAAATGACGTTGGTTATTGTTGTAAATTTTGGTATTGGTAAATTTTTGGTTGATTGCCCGGCCCTAAACCCAGAATATGTTAAACTGTGTTTGTACAACACCATGTACATAAGAGTGGGGACACTGTCTAAATGCTGATGAAAACAGATTTTGACTAATAACATTCATTTATTGAAGATATAAAGAGGTTCACTGCTCTGTGAGAGACCAAGAGAGGAAGCAGACTAATGTTCCTCAGTGTAAAATTACAAAGGTTTAAGGATTTCATCATCTATATTAAATAATGTTATTGAAAGATTCTGAGACCTTTCTGCACAAAAGAGATAAAAGCCAAAAAGTAATACTGAATAGCAATTACATTTAGGTCCTCAACGGCATTAAAAAGAGAGATGACTCTCCACATGGATTTAAAATGACATCCACAAACCTGTCTGTGACCGCAGACTGTTGCTGCATCCACAAAGGGAACCAAACATGATCCATAAATCTGGGTCTGAGCTCATTTAAAGTGGACTGTATGGGGGCAAAGTGGAAAACCATCCAAAAAGCCAACAAATCCAATTAGATTTTTACTTTGGAAATCATAGATGCCGCATCATCTTCTCCACAGAAAAGAGGGACCACCCAGATGATAAGAACAGGTTTATGAGCGGCATGTGATGCTATTCAGACATTACCTTTGTTAGGAGGACTTATAAAGTAGAAGAAGAGTCTGGTTCCTGAACTGGCCTGCCAGCAGTCCCGGTTTCCAGGCTTGTTATCTGTTGAAAATACTTGATACAGAATAACACAAAAACACGTAATCACATTGTTTTATATTGAAGAGTTTTATTAGTGTTCCTGTTGAGTACCTGAAGGAGACATGTTTAATATAACTAATCTGTTTTCTTCTGCATCAAATGTTCAAAAATCTCTGACTCACTACAGACACACACATCTTTATCCTGAAGCAAGTGTCAGCTCTAATATTCTCATTCCCATCTGCGTGTTGCTGCTGAATCTCAGTCTTTGGCTGACCTGTGTCTGCCTGCCTCCTGTCATCCAGTGCAGCATGCTGGACGCTGGCCAGGATCTGGTGCATATAATCCCCCAGCATGAAACCAGCTCCTGCCTGTCCACTGCCAGGTCGTTGTTGTTGCCATGAGGACAGTAGAGCAACAGGAGGACTGAGCTGAGGAATCATCACAAACTCATAATCAGGGAAAGAGGGTTGTTGTGATCTGTTTTTGTTAATTTGGATTTATTTTTGAGGGATAGGAGGTGGACCTTAGAGAGCAAAAGTTGTTGGCTGCTTTTTGACTTTTCTTTCTTCATTTTTTTAACCTGTATCAGCAGTTTGAAAGGAGAAAATCTTCAGGTCAAAAGTCATTTAAAAAATTGTCAAGATGGCAACAGCAGTGACAAGCCCTCCAGACTGAAAAGACGGTGAGTTACACTTTTACTTTTTTTTCCCTTAAAGATGACCAAAATACTCACTCTTTCACAGCTGCATCCTTTGTGTTTTATATCTCCAGGCTCTCAGGCTACAGTTAATAACTGGGATTTCACCTCTGTGCTCTATTTTCATTCTTGAGCATGTGTGCTCCCACTGGAGTTCAGGAGGAGTCAGACTTCATCAGTCACCGCTCGTGGGAGCTGCTGCCATCACCAGCAGTTAGATTATACTGTACAGTATTTCCCCAGCTTCATACTTTAACTGTCAGGATGAAATTACCTCCAGTGAAATATGATGTTGGATACACTGAGAAAGAGCTCCACTGAATATTGCATACTTCTCAGTTCACAAAATTAGATTTTAAGTGTAAAATCAAAAGGGGACTTCAAGACGTAGAAGCATGTGGTATGTTCATGGTTTTAAGTGACTTTTGCGTAAAGAAAACGACAAAAGTGTGAGTAAAAACAAGCAGGGAAAACATACAAATTCGGTTAAATTGTAAAACAAACCTTTTACACTCAAAACTATGGTCCTTCCTGCAAAAATGTCAGAAAACATGGAGAAATCTGTCCTCCCTGTAGTCTCTCTGTCTCTGTCTTTTTTCCTCACATGCTCTATACTTCTGCATGAGGAGAGCTGCCAAAACACTGTGGCTTCACACCTTGAGCTGTTTTTCTTTTCATCAGCACTCCCTGGGCATCTTAAACAGCACATCTTAGTCAGTCACACATTTTTATCAGCTGTTGTCAGTCATATTGAAAGGTTTACAGTTTCTTTGCTTCTTAATAATCTCATCTGTCATCTTGAAGCACGACTTCCATCTCTATATCCAAAACTGTTTACATGTACATTCAAATTTTAATTATTTTTGAGCTATTATGGGATCATATATTGGAATTTCTCTGCACATGGTCAATTTTGCCATTTTCAGTCTCTAAGCACTGTTGATTGGAGACAGAAGGTAGTTAAATATACTTCTGCTTTTGCCGCCCCCAAGTGGTTGATTATGTAACTGTTGAAACAGATGATTTACATCCATGGCATGCAAATATAGTCCCATATCCAAATTCAGAGTTTGACTAGTGCACAATGTTTGTACAGCTGTAGCTTTGATTGCATTTTTGCAGATTTCTTAACCGTGGTTGCTCTGAATTTACACTTATCAACCAAACACCTACCCAAAATTAAACATATCTGTATTTTTAGATTGTTATCTCTGGGCTTTTTCCTTTTTTATTTAGAGAGAACGGTGGACAGAGAGGGAGACGAGGAGAGAGAGTGGGCAGTGACATGGAAAAGGTGGAAAAGGAGCCACAGGCTGCATCCAGTTTTAAAGGTAAACATGTTTGTTTTTTGACTGTATACTGTCACTTTATTTTTGCACACTATTACCCGATTAAATGCTCATAAAGGTTGAGCAATTCAGAACACAAAGCATTAAATGTCTCCTGGGTCTGCCTCTATAACTGAGGCATCAAAACAAACAAAATATATAATACTCAGTGTAATACGTACCAAAGAATATGTGTTCTCTGACATTATATTTTGCCCTGGGAGGAATAATGTTTACAATAATTGAGGATCTGCGGTTAATAAAGCGGTTAACTCCTCCATGTAATTTAATGCTGCACAAGCTGACACTTTACTGTCTATTTCTGCTTTGAAACAATCTTCATAAAACAGAAGTTCATAACCTGTTTTTGTTTATAACGTCTACTTGTCCTTGGTTAAGTTGTGAAGTCTATATCGACTTATCCGCAGCCTTGAGAGCGTCCTCAACTGCAGGTGAAACAGCTTTGAACAGAAAGAGAGTTTGTGAACAATGGAAATGGAAGTCAGTCAAGTCCATTTATGTTGAAGGTTTGATGATTTTAACATTTAGCACTCAAAGCTCAGGGACGGTTTTTTAAAGTTATGAAAAGCTCTGCTGATTGCACCTAAATTACTGTTTGTTAATAGGAGCTGAAGGTTAAATCAACAATGGTATGAAGGCGTCTGTACAGATCTGCTGTGTTGTCTTCACAATCTAACCTCTGAACTCTTAAAATCAGCCACAACAAAGACTATTAACCTGCGTTTGTTTAAAATCCTTGGTTTAAGTGTGTGTTTTTGTTAGACTTCTAGAGCCAAGATATAAAGACACAAAGAAATAGAGAAGGATGATATAACCATCCGACCAAAATCAGCTGCAGCCATTGAAAGGTGTAAAAATAAAAACTTATTTTAATGTACTGATTTGGCTTTCATTATGCTTGATATTACAGAACTTTAAAATAAATCATGAACCCTTTGAGAGAGAGATGAATACACCCTTTCATCTGACAGCACATGACTGTATCCTCTGTTGCTTTTTGACCTTTCATCAGCCGCTGATTGTTTCTTTAAGTCTACTTCTTATTCTCTCCTTCCACCCTTTTTTTCCCCTGATATGACACTTTTAAATATCACTCTGTTGACAGCTGTCTCTCTTTCATGCAGGCAGGTCTCCAGATGTTTGAGAGGACCACCATCCATGGCTGGCTGTGCTGGGGAGCTCTCTACCTGCTGGCAGCAGAGGTGACATTAACAACTGAATCGCATCGACTGTGCCCACAGCCTTGCCGCTGCAACACCATGCTGCTGGAGGCAAACTGCTCTGATTGCCAGCTAACCACAGTGCCCGACAGTCTCCCACAAAACACTAGACTACTTAACCTAACACATAATAAGATCAAGACTCTGGTGCAGCTGCAGTTCAAAGCACTAACTCAACTTCTACACCTTGATTTGAGTAATACTGAACTGGCTTTCATTGAAGTTGGAGCGTTTCTCAACTTGCAGAATCTGATAAATCTGCGTCTTTCTCACAACTGCTTAAAGATCATTCCTGTGGGAGCGTTCGCTGGTTTGCCAAAGCTGAAGTATCTGGATATAAGCAACAATGAAATCCTCGTTTTCTTAGATTTCACTTTCCGCGACTTGTCAGCTTTGCAGTTTTTATCAGCTGCAGATAATGACATAGTTTTTATTTCTCATCAGGCTCTCACTGGACTCAAAAGCCTGCAAGAGCTGCACCTCGATGGCTGCAACCTCACTGCAGTGCCAACCGAGGCGCTCACACAGCTTGTCAATTTGAGAAGTTTTTATTTTTACCGCCTTGGCCTCGCTACGCTGCCGAACTATTCCTTCCATAATCTAGAGCATCTAAAAGAGCTTGTCATTTCTCGTTGTCCCTGGTTGGAGACAATTTCAGGTAATAGTCTCTTCGGCCTGAATCTAACATCCCTCACAATCACACACTCTAACCTCAGCAGTGTCCCCTACATCCCTTTGCATCATCTTGTTTATCTTGTTTTCCTTGACTTGTCCTTTAACCCAATCACCTCCATTCAAAGGAACAAGCTTGGAGACTTGCTGCGTCTACAGGAGCTGCGTTTGGTGGGGGGATCGTTGCTTTGTATTGAAAATGGAGCATTCAAAGGTTTGTCATATTTTAGATTGCTGAATGTATCCAGAAATTTTCTGACCACACTTGAAATGGGTGTTTTCCAGTCAGCAGACACCCTAAGAACTCTGGGACTAGACAACAACCCTTTAGCATGTGACTGCCGCTTGCTGTGGTTGGTGCGAAGACGATCAGATCTAGATTTTGGTGGGAACTCGCTGACCTGTGCTTCCTCAGACCACCTTCAGGGGTTGAATTTACTAGACCTCGAGGGAGATGAACTCTCAGGGCTACTTACATGCCGTCAGCCTCGTATTCTGACCAGAAAAAGTCAAGAGATGCGGGTAGATCAGGGACACACGGTGGTGTTTTATTGTGATGCAGAAGGTGACCCAGCGCCATCTGTCACCTGGTTAAACCCTCAGTTAAAACCTGTTTCACCCACAGGTAGAATATGGGTTCTCTCTAATGGCTCGCTGCAGATTCGCTATGCTCAACCTCAAGACAGTGGTAGATATCTCTGCGTGGCGTCTAATGCAGCAGGAAATACCAGCCTACCTGTCAGCCTGCATGTCCGGGCCTTTCCAAAGTCTTCTAGAAACCCCTCTCACCTCACAGGTTGGTTTTTCCCTCCAGGTGTGCACGGAAATCACAATCTTCCGTTTGATTTCAAGACACTACTGGTGGCTGCAACCATTGGATTTATCTCGTTTTTCAGCTCTGTGAGCCTGTGTTTCATTTTTATGCTCTTCTGGAGTAAGAGTAAAGGGCAGATCAAGCACACGGCCACAATAGCATATGTGCCACGAAGCACCATGTCAGGTGGGAAAGGAGGAACAGGTGAGCAGACGAGCAGGTTCACCATGAAACTGATATGATAACAAAACAAGCGGTAAAACTAGAACTTGTCACTCAGTTAGATTAAGAATTATAATCCAAAGAAAATTGAGGCATTGAATCATTGCATGTTGGCTGTCCCTTTACTAATTCACATAATTAAGCATGTTTGTTAGAGCCTGGAAAACACTGATGCTTTTTAAGACCTTCTGAAAATTGTGAAAATATTAATGAAATATGTTTGTGTTTCTGATAAGAATAAACTATTGTCAATAGGAAGAGGTGAAATCGTAAACAATAAACTTGATGTGCTTCAGCTCTTTTACACAGATTGGTTTGTTTAATGTGTCTCATCAGGTTGTCCCAGAAGTAATAAGCATTATCCAACACTGAAGTTAATTGTCCAGCTGTAATAAGGTTGAATTACAAATCTTATGCAACTATATGACATCTAATTTCAAACATCATTTGAAAATACTTCCCAATAATATGAAAATGCATCCCGATACTTTTCTAATCTTGTCCTATTCATGCCAGGTTATAATATGCTACCAAACCAGGTCATCCTGCTTTTTTCTAAAAGGCACATGTAACCCTCTTTGTAAATATGTGCTTTTAAACATGTCCTGTATTTCCTGTATCTGCTTTTCTTCACTGTGCTGATCTGACCCTCCTGCAGTGATTTTAGTCATTTAAAAAAATTATATTAAAAATTATATTTTACTTATTTTATCTATTATTTATCTCCTCTTTTACTGTATTTGCGCTGGAGTATTGTGACAAAAGCAATGGAGATCATTAAAGTATTTCTGATTCTGAAAGTTTCGTGCATTTGAACCGTAATTCATTCATATCTGTAAAGATCTGAGCTTAGCTTTTTTAAGCATGTAACGTTTCATCTGCCACCTGAAATTGACTCAAAACAAAAGGCTGAAGACGTTCACAAATGAATATTTCACACCAGACAAACGGAGGTTCAGCCAGGCTATGTTGTTGCCATGGAAACTCCGTCAGTCCTGGGCACAGACTCCACCGGTTTCCATGACAACATGATCAGAGATTATTACAGTTTCGCTATTAATTTATCAGTCAAATTACCACAAAAAATTGATGTAAATTAAACGAAATGTATGAAGTGAAGAAGTATTATTTTCAAAATACGTTAAGGCTACACACCGGAAGTTGAACTACATGAACCGGATGTGGTTCTTGGTTACAAAGTAGCGTAAATTGAGTTTTAGCGGTTAGCCGTGTGCTCAGCTTGCTTTGATATTTGGGACCGCTTTACCTGAAAATTGTGTGAAATCAGGTCTCATTGTGAACTATTAATAAAGAAGAGTACGGGGAGATGACTGAGTGACGACGTTTCAAAAGTTCTTTCCTTAAAAAGCAAATAAAACGACCGAAGGAGCGCCACATTTAGCTTTGTTAGCTTTGTGTGGACGGTAAAAACAACAACAGCTATGACTCTGGCGGTGGGTCGAGAACCCAGGAAGACTGCGGGGAACCGCATGTCAAAGTTACTGGATGCTGAAGAGGAAGATGAATTTTATAAGACGACTTATGGAGGCTTCAACGATGTGAGTAACCGAGCAGACCGACTCCGAGTGAGCTAAGGAGTTAGCATGAGCTCCTGTGGGTGTCTGTAAACAGCTAAATGAATATTTGTCAGAATTTCACACAGAAGAAGCTGATTTGACAACTAAACTAACTAGTTACATTAAAGAAATCAGTAAAAGTATTGATTTTAAATGCAACTTATAGCAGATAAAATGACTATAGTAATGAAATCTGTAGCATTACCCAATGTATTGTATCATAAGTTCACTAAAAGCAGGTACAGGGTAAGACAACTGTGTATATAGGATTTTAACGTTCAGTATTGGGTGTTATAAAATTGTAATGCATTTAACCAAATCCAAAAAATAGTAATGATAATATGATATCAATTAGGGCTGGGCGATAAAACAATAGCGATATATATCGAAAAATGAATGTCCTGCAGTATCAATATAAAACATGATTGATATGCTTTTCAATAGTCGGGACTCTGCCATGTTTTAGTAGACTATACCAATAGCCCATGAAAAGGGGAGTTGCTCTGGGTCTGCTTCGCGCTGAACCAATTGTGCTGAATTAAAACACCTGTGTAGCCGAAACAGCGAACTATTCAGTCCGCTTTCTCTAGTGCAACGCCTTACGACAAAACGTCAAAGAGACACAAAGACCTCAAAGAGGCAGTAGCTTATTGTATTGCAAAAGACACGCTACCAATTGGCACTGTTAAATTTTATTTTTTATATTGTGATGTATATCAGTATCGACTGATATGAAAAAAAAATATTGTGAGAAACCTTTTCCCGTATTGCCCAGCCCTAATAACAACATTGTAAAACATCCATTGGTTTATGCGCTCTGTAACTATTGACTTTAGTATTGGCCATAGAAAAAATTTCTGGTGAACCTGTCAGGCTGCAGCAGTGATTTGTTCACAAATTTAACATCTTATTCATCTGCAGCATATGAAATGTTGAAATGTTGAATCTGCTCATGCCACTTTCTTTTTCTTAATGCGAACATATCATTAAAACAGTAGCTCAGGTAGAGCGGTCGGCCAATAACTGGAAGGTTGGCTGTTCAATTCCCCCTTATCCCTAGTCTGTCTGTTGTGTCCTTGGGTGAGACACTTAACCCATCTTGCTCCCAGTGTGTCTCCTCCACTGGTGTATGATTGTGAGTGTTGTGTGGTGGTGGTTGAAGAGGCCATTGGTGCAAATTGGCAGTCACATCTCCGTCAGTCTGCCCCAGGGCAGCTGTGACTACAAAGGTAGTTTACCACCACCAAGGTGTGACTGTGTGAGCGAATGAATGATGTATCCAATATAAAGCGCTTTGAGGGTCTAGAATATTAAAGTGCTATAAAATTTAATGCATTGTTACTATTATTTTTATTATTATTATTATTATTATTATTGTTAAAACCAGTATGCTTTAGTGAGGCATCAGTAACTGTGTCAGAAACTCACAGTTCTTCTTGGTATCAACAACTTAGTGAAGGACAGATGACAGCGCCAGTCTTCACTGCTTCACAGATGAGAGGAAAAGCTTGTCATGCGTCAGGACATCACACCCTATTTTTTGATGTTGCAGCAACTTAATTTAAGGTTGATGACGAATGGTACCATCAATTCTCAGTCTGGTTAATTTTCTTAAAACAGCTGCTGGTTCAGGAGTTGACTCGTGTAGGAGGACTTGGCTACGGCTTGTCAGGCCGTTCTGACGTTAGTCTCAGCTGAGTTTAACAAGAGTAACAGAAAAAAAAATCACTAACAAATCCCATGGTACCTTACTCATCCTTGCTGATGCTTAGAGAAAATGTGTATAGCTGAGCAGTTGGTTAAATTTGAGGCTAAACTGACTTATAATGTCTGTCTTTTCAACGCAAAATTTCAGAGTTTGCGTCTGTTGTGGTTTTTATGTTGCAGCTCAACAGCACTGAGGGTTTTCTCATGGCTTTGTCAACAGTTATCAGTAATTTTCCTTCCTCAGATCTCATTAAGTTTTGCCATAGAGCTTTAAACACTTACAAGAGCTCCTGTTGCTTGAAGCTTGAAATTACCACCATGATTCTTCCTGACTAACAGCATATATTCTATCTGGTACTGTATATCAGGCACTCTGAATACAACATAATTATAGAGTAGTTTAGCGATCTGACTTGAGGGGGTATTATGGCGGTAACTGCATTTACAGATGAGCTGCTAAATTTATCCCCTTTTCCTTTCCAGGAATCAGGAGATGACGAGTATCATGGAGAACATTCAGACACAGAGGATGAGGTGGACAGCGACTTCGACATTGACGAGGGTGACGAGCCGGACAGCGACCAGGAAGAGGACGCACCCAAGAGGAAAAGTCGAGTTGTCACCAAAGCTTATAAGGTAGTTTAAATTGTCTCAAGAGTCCCAGTCTGTGGATAAGGTTCTGTCTTTTATTAGGTGAATCTGAGGCAAACCTGAGATACCTTATTGACCTTCTGTAATACAATTTCTAGCATTCAGATTTTTCATCTCCACATTAAAGTGAACACTGTTAATATGATTAAAAGCTCCTTTCTAGTATGGAAACTCTGCACTCCAAATGAAACCTAACATAATGTTTTTCATTTCATCCAAGGAACCTATAAAGGTGGCAAAACCTAAACCAAAAAGACCTTCAGAGGAGCAAAAGAAGACCGAGAAAGCTAAAGTAGAGCTCAAAAGGAGGATTCCGCAAGAATTCCAAGATTTTGGCGAGAGTAAGATGACTCCGAACGTCATTTAGTGCCCACACATAGTTTTCAAATGAGTCACACAAAGTGCGTAACATTTGAAGGTTATCTGATTTGAGCGACTTTATCATTCAACAGCTCGGAAATCTGTGCGGCAGTCCACAAGTGAACACACCAGAAAGACCAACCTTCGCCTCCAGGAGCGACAGGATGCTCCTCGAAGACGGAGAGGTGCTCACCGTGACCGGCCGCTGACTCAGGAGGAACTGCTGGCTGAGGCCAAAATAACAGCGGAGATCAACATTCGATCTTTAGGTTAAAAAAACAACAACATCCCGTTCATATGATTATAGCTGTTTTCTGTGTATTAGAAATGAAACTGTAAATAAAATATAAAATCGCCTTTCTCCACTTATTGTTCTTTCTGCGAGCAGAGAACTATGAACGCCTGGAGGCCGACAAGAAGAAACAAGTGCACAAGAAAAGGCGTTTTGAAGGACCGACCATTCGTTACCACTCAGTCCTGATGCCGCTGGTCTCTCACTCTGTCCTGAAAGAAGAGAATGTGGATGTTGAAGGGTATGTTTGATCAACGTTAAGACTTCAGCAGCTACAGTAATTCAGCTAAAAGAATGCTTAACTTGCTGAACCGTTGTTTATATTATATAATCTGTAATCTGTGTTGGCTAAACTGAGCTCAAGTATCTCATCCCTTTCAGACAATGATATACCTAAACATTCTTTATTCATCAGGATTAGTAGGTTTGCCTTTTTGCAACGATTCAAACTCAACAAAAGAGTGAGGAAAGGAATGATGAAACTGTCCGTAGGATGTTTTTTTTTTGCTAAATTAGTCATTTTGTCATTTTCCTCTCATTGAAGGCTGGATCAGGAAGTCCCTCAGACGGCACCACAGAATCTCACCACACCTTCTCAGCAGCCCGCAGGAGGCCTGTGCTCTCGTACGTACATCACATTTAGCGACGATGAATCTTTCGAGGCGGCCTTTTCTCACAGCGGTCAGTCAAGTCCTCCGCTGCCTGTCCAGGAGATTTGTCCTGTTACCCATAAGGCTGCGCTGTACAGAGACCCTGTCACTGACATACCCTATGCTAACGCACGAGCTTTCCGCATCATTCGGGAAGCGTACCGTAAGTACGTTGCCGCCCATGGATTTCCAAATATGTCAGGAGGGGTGACGGGATTGGACTCTTCTGCGGGAAAGGGTGCTCGCCAGAAAATGGTTGTTAAACAAAGTGCTTCAGGGATGTAGAAGAGTTACCAAAAGTGATAGAGAATACATCTCTGCATATTTTTGAAGCGGACTCAGACTCAGGAAGAGTGACTTGATAAATGACACAAGGAAAACCTGAAACCGGTCAGTTCTTTAACCATCCATGCAACGTGGTTAATTAAAAAGATTCAGATCTTTTGACACAATGTTTTTTTAATGAAGCAATTAAAAGTAAAACACTCAGTGCAGCTGCTGACTGAATGGTATAGAATAAAGTTAAGCAATCATCACTGTAAGCAGACCAGTATACGTGCAAAAAGCCTTCCCTTCACCAAACAGAGAAATGATCAGTTCTTACTTTTTTACTGACAAAGGTTGAGTGAACAAAAAAATACAGTTTGTCTTTGAAACAAAAAAAGGAAGTAGTTGGTCTCTCTTCAGGGCAGATGTGCAGCTTTTCAGTTTTCTTGTATATAAAATAAACTTTTTTTATTGTTGGGGTATTTGGTTTCTTTAAGGGTACTTTTTTTTTTAAAGGAAAACTTCAATCATCAACATTTTCCATGTAAATGCACTTTTGATAATGACCTATTTTACCAAACACTGGGTGAACAGATACGCATCTGGGTCAGCACATTGAAAACACACACGACTCCCTCTGGTTTTTAAGTATTCAGCTCCAGTAATCACAATAATTTATTGTTCATTATCTGTAATCATGATTTACCGTCTCTAACGCAGGAGTGCTCTTCACAAATCCATCTTGAATCTTTCCACTGTCATCAAAAGTAGTTTACCGTCAATAATAGAAAAATAACTTTGATCATTAATATTAGTCTGACTCTGTTATTATAGGAGAGGAAAATATAGGACTGTGGGCTTTAAAAGGCAGTTATTTCTCCCTTTTCTACTTACCACTAAACTTAAACTGAACAACATGAATTTAAGATTTTATATAGTTCATGATAAAAAAAAAAAAGCTCTGCCCTCCGAACTATTCGTCTGATACTTTGGCATTTAACTAAAAATTTCTCAGTTCCTCACTGTGAAGACCACACATCCCAGTCATACTCATCACATCGCAGCATCTACATTTTGTGGACACGAGCTAACTAACAAGCATTTTTAGTATGTTGGAGCTGTTCGTGATACTTTAATTAAAAGCGTCATTTCTGTTCACAGTTAATGACAAAATTACTGAAGCTCCAATTTCAAGATTTACAGTAAACAAAGCAGCTGTTTTCAACTCTCTGGGGCTTCAAATAATGTTTCTTACTTTTGTTCTCTCAGGCAGCACCAACAATAACACCAACAAGAGGTTCAGAGGGGCAGTGACCTTTAACCTTCTAATACACCGACTGAGAATAACTCATGCTCGGGGTCCTGTCGCTCATGAGACATCTTTTCCTACGTCTATAAAGGCTCCCCGAAAAACTGATATAACATTCATTATTACTACTACTACCTCTTCTAACAATAATGAAATACTTAAGTATTTTACTTTTTCAAACTAACAGTTTTGACTCTCACATGTCAGCTGGTGACATGATGGATTAGGACGGCAACGTACTGCCTTACTGGTGAAACTGGTCTTGAATTCCTTTGGCGTTTCAGTTGCCCATCATGCTGGGTCTGCTTTCATGTCACTTTGGCCCTCAGCAGATGGTTCAGACCCCGAATTTTACCCCTGCATGGAAGCTCCCACACTTCTGTCAGCTGCTGCTGCCAAAAGATCCATGTTTCACTCATGCGGATTTTCTCCTGCTGCTTCTGTGATGTCCTGATGATGATCAGCAGATAAGTAATCATCCCTTCCTTTTTTTCCCTGTACATGAGTTTTGTACGAAAGAGGATTAGGGCCATAAGAAGAGAGAAAAAAATAATAAGAGGAGGGAGATTTCTCAAATTTCCATTTCGAGATTGAAGTCGAAATTTTGAGATTACAGTCAAAATTTAAAAAAGTCGAAATTTAAAAAAATTAAAATTTGAGATTACAGAATGTTGAAATTCTGTGAATAATGTTGAAATTTCAATTTTAATCACAAAATTTCAACTTTTTTTCATTTTGACTTTTTAAAATTTAGACTCTAATCTTGAAATGTAGACTTTAATCTCCAAATGGAAAGTAAAAACATCTCCCATATTTATTTATTTCGCTTCTTGTGGCCCTAATTCTCTTTCGTAGTTTTGGGATTCTGAATTTGGGAGTAAAAAAAGAAAATCAGAAGAAAGTGCAAAACAAGTATCTTGACTTTATGACTTTTGTAAACATCAAGAAAATAGGAAATATGACGCATTTTAATATTCAGTGTTGATAATAAACAATTATTTGGTTAAAGTAGATTTCTTAAAAATAATATGGGAACACTTAGGAAGTTCCCAACTGTAACCAATATTATTTTCTTCTATTGGCAGATGACATGTCCTGTATAGTAACGATTTGTGAAAGCTCCTCATTATTGTACGGCGTAGGGTTGAAAATAGTGCTAACTTAAGACTCTGATCTACGTCCAGAAAAGCGTAAACAGCAAACCGTACAACAGGCAGTCACACAAATGTTAACAAGTTTTTGGTGTATATGTAAATTTACATTTGCAGTGAATTGACCTCTGGTGGTAAGGCTCTTGATTCTGTATCGAGTAATGCTGTCATCTCCTCTGAGACTTTCAGGCAGTCAGATGTTTGCTGTCATGATTCGAGACAAAAAGTTGGTGAAGTGATGAGCAGAGGCACAGCAGCCATCTGGAAGTTTTTCTGCTTGAGCGTCGGACAACCAATCTAACTCGCTGTGTATTTGTCACAAGTTTGACGGTGACAGACGGATTATGGTTGGTATTAATCATAACAGTCTGCCTCACAAACTCACATCAATGACTTTGGTTGGGTGACTGTGTTTATGGTGTTAGGTAGATTAGTTTTACCAAGAGTGAGTCAGTCTCTCTTTACACACAAAAACAGCACAAGACCGACTTTTTGAACGTGATAAACAAAGTGACAATAGTGGTCAAGATAAAAAAAAGTCCTGAATTAAAAAAAAGCCAATAAATAACACAGAATGTTCCTTCTACAATGTTTTGGTGCTATGACTTAAACGTCATACCGATGGCTGCTGGGACACGGCTATTTTTGTGCTCGCTTTAAAAGGCTGCTACTGTATACCTACATTCAGACAGAACAAGGGTGGGAGTCGTCTTTTGACAGCCGTCCTCTGCTGTGCAGGGATTCCATGTTAAACTGTGGCTACACAATCAGCCCACACTAGACCATTTCACAGTTTAATTAAGATGATTTTTGTAGGTTTGACACCATGCAAAATGATCAAATGGATTCAGCAAATAATACAAAATAAGGTCATCATGTTTGTGTTGATGTGAAAAGAGGCTAGTTTTCTGAGCTGAAACAGACTGGAAGGTACAAGGATTCCTAGTAATGAGCCACAAAAGCAGACAAGACCTTCAGGTGCAAGACTGATGGTTTCTGTATTGTCATGTATAATACCTGCAAGCATTGTGAGGAGGTGTCAGGCCAGATGATTGACAGCAGGCTGAAGAAAACAACCTTGTAGCAGCAAATATTCACGGTTAGTACATTTACATGCACAGTTGAGTTGAGCTAAAGCTTGATCGGTCTTGTCCTGATCCCCAACTGCACTATCTTGACATGTTAGTCCTACTATAAAAAGTTCAATTTAATGCAGTTTTATTCAGACTAATGTGTTTACATGAAGTCCAGTTCCAATCAGATAAAGACAATAAGTCTGTTTCTTTTAACTTCATGTAAATATACTGAGTTCTGCATTTGGCTGTTAAAAACAGGATGTGATTTACGTGTCAGGAGAAACTACTAATGTGTGTATGTACAGGACAAGATGAGCAGGGAAAGAGGAGGTTGTACTTTGTCCACAGGGGGCGCCAAAATCAACTATTACCAAGTTCCTCTCAGGAGCTTTAAATCAGATAATCCTTGAGGCCTCCTGGTTTAAAAAATAAGAGTGATGAAAATTTGATTTTGGTGAATCATGTCTCCTCAACGTCCAGAGGTTAACAGCAATTCTCAATCTCTCTGTTCAGCCTTTAAGTAAACCACTTAATCAAGGTCATTCCCCCCTTACCCAAGTTTTCATTAAAACTGACATCAGTGTCTTAAATCATTATAGAAGTATTTGGAAAACCTTTAAATAATAACTGTCTTTAATGTCTTTTTGGTGGATCCAAATGTGCTAGATATTTTGTGGGTTTCTAACTTATTCCCTGTATTTCCAAACCGAGACTAAGAGAATCAAAAACAAATACAAATGAGAAAATCAGACAAATGAACCCCAGCAGAGAGCTGACTGACTTAATTCTTCATAGCAGAAAAGCAATAGTTAAGCTAACAGCAGCATACCATGTTGCTTTGACTGTGAAACAAGCAGTTCAGAAAAAAAATGAGTGCAAAATAGAAATTAAGGACCCAGGACGGGTGGTTAAAAAAAGGAGTGGTGGGTGTAGCAAGGACTCATTGTCTACAGTAACTACACCGCCCCCCTTGACTGTTAAGACATTAGATTTCGCACACACATTTTGTGCAGTGTCAACAATAGGCTGTCATATCCTCCCAAAATAACACCATAAATCAGACAGTATTCAGCAGCAGAGCAGTATTTTCACATTTTGAGGATACAGATTTCAAAGATAATCAAAGAACCAGCAGCGACTAGATTGGTGAAAAACCTTTATTTTATCCTGCGTTTTCATTTCTCCCAATCTCAATACTTGTTCTTTGAAAGCAACTGCTGCCCACACAATGTACCACTTGCTTTGGCAGAGGAAAAAAAAAACACCACCACACATTAATGCAAAAATAACAAGTTATCCCTTAAAGCGATGATGATGAATTCAGTGTCAGGCCAAGCCGACGTCTCTGGTGGATGGATTGATGTAATATACGCAGTCAAAATATTTAACCACTCGTGTTTTTCAACAGTCATGATTTCACCCCAAAAACATTTCCTGTTATCATGTGAAACAACAGGATACTGAAGGCTTTGTCTCCCACATACTGCACACTGCATATGGTACCAATTGAACAGTTTTCAGAATAGGAAGAGAGACTGAACTGCATTATCACTCGTTCTAGTGTGGTAGTTGCCATGGAGACGAGTGTAGGTGGTGTACTGTGCTGTACTCGGTGCTGTACTCCTTCCCCTGTCCTCTCCCCTCTTCTGTTGCCCACCCTCTCTGTTCTGCTATCTGCAACATCCGCGTAACTTTCAGCCCTGTACAACTGACTCCGGTCTCCCCGCTCTGTTTCCATGTGAACTCCAAAACCGCTGTCCTGTAACTACGCCTCACGAAGCAACAGAGATGTACGCAGACTGGGAGTATTTTAGGCTTCCTTCTTGTGGATTCAAAGGGTTTCAGTTAGGATTGAAACCTCAAGTTTTAACGAGATTATAGTTAAATTAATTCAAACATTTCCTCTGACACATCAGTGACCCCTTTAAGTTCTGCACAAACCCCCCAAATCTGCCTCCCTGCGTCTGTAAACGTCTTTCTTGCTGACCATCCAAGTTTTTCTGCATGCATTGTGTGTCTCTTCTTTCTGCAGACCAGCTATTCTTTTTATCAGTTTCCATGGAGATGTGTGTTTCTGTGTGTGTGAGTGAGTGAGAGTTGAGAGTGAAAGTGTGGGCATGTGTCATTTCCAGTTTATTTTTTATTTTTTTGGTGTAATTTTTGAAGACTGCATGTGCTGTCCCAAGTTAGTCTTTGGCCTTCGATTACATCACTGATGTTTGCTTCTCTATGCGGATGTATCAAATGTTATCCTGCTTCCTGCAGAGCTTTTTCTTCATCTCTGGTCAGTGCAGCTGGAAGCTAGAAGCAGGAATGGACATGAAATCCCAAGAGGGTAACCGCAGGAAATGCAAATCAGATCTTGTCAGAAACATAATGGAAAAAAAATCAGAAATGCAGATTTAACAACGATAAACCTGACAGTGAATGCATCAAATGTAAATCTATTTTCTCCTTTAAATCAAACAAGATTATCTATTCTGCAGCCTTATTAAAGCCAGCCTTAGAGTATTCTTTTATTTAATGCTCATAATTTACCCCCCCGCATCATATTTCTAACAAAAAACTAAAAATAAAACAAAAAACAAAATTAACCAGGTTAAATCCCCCTGATTAGGGTCTTACATAACATCTTCCGTATATACGTACATGCCCACGAAATGATCTATGACACATTCAGAATATGACAATTAGCAATCCACTTTACGTAACATGTTTACAGATATCAAAATAAAAGCCCAGAACAATAGCAGGTTCCCCCACGCTTCTGCACCTATATAGAGGATTGTGTTCTGCGTATTTTTTTGTATCAAGACTAAAATGTACAACCGTCTACGAAAACACAAATGAGTCAGAGAAAGAGATTTAATTCTCCTGTATATGGGTGATTAGTTTCTTTGTTATATGGCCAACTCTCCGAACGAGATCTGTACATAAACTTAGGGAAGATGGTTCTTGATATTTTACCACCTTCATATTTGTAATGCAGAGTTTACTTTACAAGACTCAACTGTTAAAAAAATGTGACAAAAGTTTGATTTATTTCCTGTCTATTTATGGCAACTTTAATTGTCGACATCATATTGAGACATGAACTTGAATGACTCTAATCTTTAATGTAGATAAAAGCTGCGTTTGTGCGACTGAACCTTTACAGTTTTAAATGTTAAACAGTTTTAAGATCTCCAGACTGTGAGACTAAACGTTCACACTGATGCAAATCTAAAAATTCACACGAGTTGCATTTTCCCTTCAGCCGAGATCTCAGAACAAGACAAATGATAAGAAATATTAGAGAACTCACATGGAGCTCACCATGAGACTGAACCATGTGCATTTCTCAGAAGTCAAAAATAAAATTCCCTGTTGGCATCTTGACAGTGAAAGTAACGCACATTTTACTCCAGACAGAGAAATAATTACCACAAATGTTCCACTCAGTGGATTTTTTAAGGTGCCTGGGGATCCTGTTAAGGAATAGGCTACTGCCGATATCCAGCTGACAAAGACAAAGACTGTTTTGTTTGAAATTTCCATTTTTTCCCCATTTTCCATCCAGGAGTGAATCTAGACTCTTTAGACCTGGCCATTAACTAGTGCAGGGTTGGCAATAAGTACCCCATGTGTGCATATATAATGGATGACATTTATTCTCCACTTATCAAACTTTAAGTATAAACACAAAAGTATCCACAAGAGGAGAGATACCTGATTTTTTTCACTTAAAACATGCAACAAGAGGCAACAATTAACCCTCAGAACTCCCAGCTATGTTTGGCAATTTTTGGTCCACCAGTTTTTTTTTTCTTTGTAAATCTTTGTAGCAACTCTATCCTTTTAAGCATTAAAAATATATACACATCTTTTTTTTTAAGAACAGCCTCAGCTGTCAGTTTATGGGTGCGAAAATTATGTAAAACGAATGTGACAGTAGATTCAGAACCATCAAAGTCAACCAAAAAACAAAAACGGAAATCGATACCAACAGTACTTTGCTCAAAAAATACACAAATCTACAGTGACCAAGCCTTTCCTCACCCAAACATCATTCTGTTGAGTCTTGGCTATCAGGAGAAGAAATATTGGGATTGGAACAAACACACAACAGAAACTATTTACGTTTTTTTTGCTATTAACAGTTGTCTATGCCACTCCTTGAAGCAGTTCCTGTCTGGAATGAGACAGAGGGCCACATCATACGGCTCATAATCTCTTCTTTGTTTGTTTCCAAGCATTAAAGACCATTACTTCTTATTTTGCAGACAAGCAGGGAACTTTCTTGTCTCTCGTTGATCTTTAGTTGCCTCTTATTGGACACTACCGTCAAGGGAACGATAGAAGAAGAATATGAGACCATGTAATTGGTCCAAAGTTTGACAGAAATAGACGTCATCAAAACTGCTTGTCAAACCTGGAAGACATTAATGGCATTTAGTGATAGCGATCACAACAATATGATAAATAATCATGTTTTCACCAGTATATCACTGCGGATTTACCATCAAACGTCTTTGATCAAACACCTATTTTTGTGGCTGGATTGTAAACCTTGTTGGAGGTGTAGTAATGCTTGGAGACCCGTGATAGATCGCCAAAAGGGTAAGCGTTTGAACACGTTTCATCCCATAGAGATACACCGTACAGTTCCTGGGAAACTGTAAACAATATTAATGGTGTCACGTGGGATTGCCAGCGATCCAGTGGAGTTATTAGTGTTAAATGTTGTAGCTAAAATCTTTACGAAGTTTGCAAAAGATGCTTGTCCAGAGTCATATAAAGAGGGCAGGGGGCCTTAGCCACCCTTGGCTTCCCACTTGAATCCGCCCCTGGCAGCTGCAGTGGGAGATGCACATTTATTAAAACTTTTTGTTGTTTGTTTGTTTGTTTAAGTTATGAATATTTTCTGTCTCTTGACCGCTCTCTGGCTCTCTCACCCTGTCATCTCACTATATGCATGGACTCACTCCTGCTGTGCAAACTTGATCCGCATTAGAAGTGGAGCACCCTGCAGAGAAACTAAAACCTCTGTTCCTCTTGAAGTAACTAACTCGTCTAAACTTGGTACTCCCCATCCTCACTCCCATCGTTGATCACCGGGCTCAGTGGGCGTCCGGCCGTCATCGCTCCGTGTTATTTTCGGATGTTACAAACTCCAGAGATGGTAGAGCGCGGGGCGGATTCGTTTTGCCTTTGGAGGCGTGGGTTTCTGTTTCTGTCCATCTCTCGCGCTATCTCCACCCTCGAGGGAGAGATTTCTCCGTTTACCGAGCTCCTCTTTTCTCTTAACGCGTTGCTGCTAAATCAAAATTACTTGTGACGGACGGAGGGTACGAGCGCAAAGGACACCGCGGCAAATTTGGCACCGGATTCCCCCCCACTACACGCACACACACACGCCGTCGGTATGAATTTCTGGATTGTGGGGACGTCGTTATGTCACGCAGGGTGAACTACAGACGCTTTCCAGATTCAATCACTCGAGCTGGAAGCAAAGGAGGCGCGTTAAAATGTGCAAGGATCAAGTGATACTCTGCTGCTGCTGCTGCGCATCTTCGGGGTTTTGCACGTAAATACCTTTTTGGACATTTATTTTTTACGCTTCTTTGGTTTGATGTGCAGAGCGTTAGTGTGATCAGAGTTGGCTTATCACCTTGATCATTTCCAGCATGATTTGTGTGCAGCTCGCACAAAATCAGTGTTTGCGTCGTTAATCTCTGCAGAGTGCTTTACATGTGGCATATTATACTCTAACTGGCTGTAGATCGTTCAACCAAAACGCACCAACAGGAGTTCACATTCCCCCCCAAATCCTAAAGCGACACAGGGGGCTGTTTGGAGTCACACGTGCCCAGGACAAACAATTAAAATGACAAAACCCGTTTACACGAGAGGTTGTTTTTTCTATCGAGGAAGCTGCACCGAGACCCTGGATTGTAACATAGTTGGAGGACAGAGAGCTAAAAAAGAAGAGAGGCAGGGGAGAGCCGCCGAGCTGCACAACAGAGCCCAGAGGAAAGCTCTGGCTTCAGTGATGGACTGAGCAGAAGGTGCGAGGAGCCCACAGTTCACCTGACAAGAGGCATGTATGGACAAACCGCAGCATAGGTGAGAGCAAGAAGGAAAAGTGCTGCCCACAGTTGAATACAGCAAATTTACAGCTCTGATGACTGAAACACATCAAGCTTTCACAAAGGAAGACACTGGCCTTTTCATATCTGGAAACCATTCCTCAGGTCTGCACAAACTGATCCTACCTTTGTCCCAAAAAAGCACCTGGAACCTCAGCCCCCTCCAAAGTGCCCCGGAGGCCCACCTGAGTCAGTAGGCACCCACAGATGTAACTAAGCTGTCAAGATTTCTTCTCGAGGAAGTCCTATTATTTTGGGTAAGTGTTTGCATGCAGACGCTGAACTTTAAATGTGTAAAACTCACTTATTGAAGAGCTACAGCTGATTGTTCACTGCATTGCAGGCCAACTGCTCCCTGTGATAAGTTCAGTGAAAATGGGACATTATAATACCGGCAAAAAGAAGTCAAACTTAAGCGCATGGTGCCAAATAAAATATGTCTTTGCTGTTGTTATCTAGTTCTTCTTTTAGGAACTGCCTCGGCTGTTTTGATGCTAAATAACTCGCCCAGGCTGTTCGGGGAAATTGGCACAAATGCAAATGAGCTCCTGTTCAGATTAGCTTGCTGTACTCTAAGACTGCCCCCTTCCACTTCCAGTGGGCTGATGGAAATTTGATAAGACCATTTATGGAGGTTTCCCACCTATGAAGTGATGATTACACACAGTTTCCTTGCAGGGAAGTAGGCTTTGTGTTAGGCTTAGGATTTGGGGAAATTAGTTGTCGATAACACCAGTTAGTAAAGTTGCATTTCAATCTCACATCCAAGTCGATTCCCTTAGGTGATATGTCTGATGCCTCACGTGTAAAACTGCAAGCCAGATGTCACATTGATTCAGTTAATCCATGTGCATGATGCCTCTACTTCATAGTAATGGACATGACCAAACGTACAACTCCTCTTAACCACCATTTGCACCATGTTGTCAAAAAGTGTCCCACTTTTACTGAAATTTCCACAGGGATCTGTGCACAGTTACACGCCGCACAGATCCATATAGTGTCCCTGATTTTTAAACACTCTTTCGAGCAAAATCATAACTGAACAATCATTCCCACTGCCTCCCATCTTAGCAATCAAAACACAGTAGATCTCCAGTTAATGAAATGTCTGCGACTGAGCGACTGCACACTTGACAAAACGAGATAAATCTGTCTCACTCTGACTTGATGGCCCTTAAATAGAGTCACTCTACTGGTTTAGCTTGAAAAGAAAGTCTAGATTTAGAGACATCTAATCTTTTTTGGTTGCTCCTGATCTGCTGAGATCTGCTGGTTGTCATCTGGGAGCCTGACAGCCGGCATTGAGTTGATTTGACTCCAGAACCAAGTTTTTCTGTTATAATTCTCCTCCTCTTCAGCCATCTTCAATGCAACGCATGGTGGGAGCTTTCTTTCCCTGCCAAGGACAGAAAGGCTTTGACAGTCTGAATTCTCTCTAAAAAAAAATGCAGAGCACTCTTGTCCTGCAATCCTCTCAAACTGTTTCTTTTGCCCAGAGCTGTTAATTTGTATTTCCCCTTCTCGTCTATTTTCAGCAAACAATATTTAAATTTTCGCTTTCCTTCAGTGACTCATGTCCTAACAATGGGTTACATTTGGATATTCAACTGTTTCCGCCTGCAGAACTAACAAACCCTTCCACATATCCTCCTCCTTTTTAGCTTTACACTTTAATTGGCCGCCATATTCCTAGTTTAAGTTCAGAAGTTAGAAAATTCAGCACATCAAGGTTGACTTTGAGGTTAACATGCTCACTGTCACACAAGACTAGGTCTGTTTATCAAATTGGCTGTTTAATGTTTTCTGTCAAAGAAGAAGGAATACAAATCATCGGTGATAAAACTGATGTGTCAGTGGGAATGCTAATCAATTAATCATAGTAACAGCTTGTGGTTGAGCAGCATCATGACATTTAGCCCACAAGGCTAGAGGAGGCAACTCTGCTCGGATGAAAACTGCCTGTAATTCAAGTATATGGCTTTTATATATTCGTTGGTGCAATTTTGTGGCCCCCTTGTGTGCCTCTTTATGTGCTATCATCACATTTGAGTTGTAAAACTAAACAGTATGGAGATAAAAACCCCTAATGATCCTTGAAAAAAATACAAAGGGTTATTCAGAAAAACAGAGTCTTGCTTTTAGGGTTTTTCCAGAGTCCTCAAAGACTTGTGTCCTGATTGAAATGAAAGATATCCTACTTACTGCGGGATAAAACAAAAATAAATTTTTAAGTTGCATCTCATTTCACAATTAAAATGTTTAGCCTTAAAGGGATATTCCGGCATAAAATTCATTTAGGGTCAAACACACGGTAAAACTGAGTCAGACACCCCCTCGAGAGATGAATGTTGCTGACCGCTTGATTCTCTAGTTATACCAACTTTAGTAACGACCGCATGATAGCAAAACACAGCGGTCTGAGGAGCCATAAACAAACCTCAACAAAAACGCCACTCTATAGCCACAATAACGAGTTTGATGCTCATAAATGTTCTTCCTTGAGCTGCGTCACCCTGAGGTCTCTCTACAAACAAGCGGCTGCTGGAAGAGAGTAGGTGAGTTGTGTTTAGTCTCTTTGCTAAAGAAATCAGGCAAAGTTAAAAAGATGTTTGGTGGCGAGTGCTGTGGCTGGGACCCTATATGTACTGTTGATGAAGTTAGGTGCTGTTCTGAGCATTATTTGTGGCTATAGAGTGGCGTTTTGGTTGAGGTTTGTTTATGGCTCCTCAGACCGCTGTGTATTGCTATCGTGCGGTCGTTACTAAAGTTGGTAAAATTAGAGAAGCAAACCTTGGCAACACTTCATCACTTGAGGGGTTGTCTAACTCGGTTTTACGGTGTGTTTGACCCTAAATTAATTTTACGCCTGAATATCCCTTTAATCTTAATTTCTTTTTGGACAGAAACCAAGATGATTGCTTATATGTTTATCTTTTGTTTCATTTGTCTTTATTGTTAATTATGTCCTTGATGTTTGACTTGAAATGAAATTCTATGTTAATTTTCTTGTCATAAACAAGGGCAAAAAATTCGGACTTTGTTGTTGCATGTGACTATTGGTCGGCTTCTTTAAAAGACTAAGACAGGAAACCTTGTGTCTGTGCCATATAGCTGCATGGACACATCTTCAAAGTCGTGGCTGCCGCATCAAACTCAGTTTGGGTTGGTTGGTCAAGCGGAGGTTTGCTGTGGCGGACCTGGAGTTTTAACCCCAAGTGAGTCAGTTTGGCCCCACACTGGTGGAAATCTACCTTTTTACCCCTGTCATCTAACTGCCCTGCAGCTTATTCCTCAGTCTGTCTCGCTCCAACATGATTTTTCTCTGTTATATATATGTTTTTATATGTTACCTCCACCAACGCCACTGTAGCCGATGGTTAATGGACAGTTTAACGTACAGTCCAGCCTCAGCTGTAATGTCCTGCTCTCTTTTTCCTCTATCATGGCTTTCCAGTGCTTTTTTACTGCTTTGAAATCTTTCCTAAAGTACCTCCATATATTGAGGGTATTTTACCACTCAGTCCTCCAGCGGTGCATCCCTCACCCTCTGAGCCCTGCGTTGTCACACTCACAGAGTTTTATTTTGACATCCTCCAGGTTTGATAGCACCATTTGCCTTTTACACCAGCTCTGATACACTCTGAGTCTTCCTTCTCAATACGCTGTCTTTACTCCTCCAGATGAAAGCAGCCATTTCTTCTCCCTCCAGGGACAGCAAGAGAAATAATTTTCAGATTGTTAGTGCAGCTTGTAAATTTGTTCTCGCATTTAAAACATTAAGACCCACACACCGCACAGCTTTGGAAAACAAACAGAAGGCAGAATAGTGTGAAAAAGAAGAAAGAAAAGGAAAAGAATAATTACTTTTGGCTATGTTATTTGTGGAGAGATGATGCAGGTAAATCATCTCAGAATAGTGAAATTGCGGTTTGATCTTGGTTCGACCGTTTTTGTTGTTTAATTGCTGTCTGTTCATTTTCAAAGCTCACAATAATATTTCTGAGCACATTAGTGAAAATGAAGGTAGTTTGATGGAGAGCAGTGCACAAGCTACGCTCATGTTCCTATGGTAACTGGGCCACACTACCCTTGGCTAGCTCACACAGACACACACACATAAGCAAGCAGGCAGAAGGACAGGAAGGAGAGAGGTGGGAATGCTGGAAGCCACACATGATGGAAAGATTATACATCAGACTGTTCATTTAGGTTATTTCATCCTCTTTAATGAGTCATATTTTAAAAACCAGAGTGTGTTGGCCTTGGGAAATCTTGGTTATACTGCGCTCTGTCTCATTTCTGCTAGTTTTAAAGCTGATATCAGGTTCTTTCCCTGGCGCCTACACCGGCCCTGCTTCTTTAACCCCTCCACCCACCTCTGCTTTCAATTGCTGCAGCTCTACCACTTCAGTTTGCTTTATATTTTCTTGATGACAGTGCTGCTTCTAAACATAGCATGGACGTGTCTCTGAACACGGCAAGACGTGTCACTTTTTCCTTTTTTAGCTCAACTTTTATATGTTTTTAATAACGGAGCAAGTTTGTCTCCTGGTTGGTTCGTCTTTCACTCGTAGAGTCATTACTCGACAGAAAATTAAACCAGGGAAACTAATGAAACAGCATTTTAGTATGGCCACTATTTTTCTTAATACTCAGTGTGGGAAGCTCGACTGCTGTTTTGTTGGACAGGATTCCTTTTGTAAGTTGTTTAAATGTTGTTTTTAAGTAGGGCTGGGCGATATGGGAAAAGGTTTATCACAATATATTTTTTTCATATCAGTCGCTATCAATAATATCACAATATTAAAAAATGAAATTTAACGGTGCTTGTTGGAATCATGTCTTTTGCAATACAATAAGCTACTGCATCTGTGAGGTCTTTGTATCTATTCGACGTTTTGTCGTAAGGCGTTGCGCTAGAGAAAGCGGACTGTCATCATCTGTTGAGCCTTCATCTGCATTTCTACTGGGGGTAGCACTCCATTTTTTTTTTCATACAAACAGTGCTGTCGGCTTCACGTGTTAAAGTGCTATGGTTGTGTGTAGCGGCAGCCTGCTACTACACAGTTGTTTGCTACTTGGTCCTACTTCAGCACAAAGTCGACCCGGAGCAACTCCCCTTTTCATTGGATATTTGCATAGTCTACCAAAACCTTGCACAATGCCGGCTATTGAAAAGGAAATTGACCATCTTTCATTTTGATGTTGAGGGAAATTAATTTTCAATATTTATCATTATCATTTTATTGCCCAGCCCTATTTTTAAGCATTTTAATCTTTCCTCCGTTTCCGTAACAACAAGTTGATAAAAAAAAGCAATCAATTGTGAAACTCCAGAGACAGACTAGAACCTTCGACCACTTCTTAGACACCATTACATAGGAGCAAGTCCCTACAGCATGCACGCATCAGGTGTTGCAGCACATTGTGTAAAAACAGACACTCACCATCCACACACTATCCATTAAATATACACTTCTGTTATGCAGGAGCAATCCATACTGTGCAGGAGACCAGAGAGATGTTGAAGGAAAAAGGCTGTTTTCTAACGTCCAACATTTGGACTTGATAAACATAAAAACATGACAGTGATAACAAGTTCAGTCACAAAGCATCATTAATGAAGATGGATATCATTAACACACCAATACAGTATCTCCACTTTGTTAAACAAACTAACAAGCTCTTCAACTAACGGGACGTTTCAAGCATATTAGCGCTCCCCCTCCGGCCAGCTGTGTCTCACTCTGAGTCCCTGAAGTGAAATGAAGAGGTATCATACAGGCTCTCTTCATTCCTGTCCATGTCTATGAGAGCAACAAGACTAAACAGATACACAAGCTGTGTCCCGGTCAGGAGGTTGCAGGCTTTCCCTCTTTTTATTGATGAACAGCATGCTAATTTAAGCAATCTGCTTCCTTCTAACAATTACAGAAGCAGTAAAATGTTCAGTGCTGATGCCAGTTGTTATCTTTAACAACTCCTCCGTTATATAGTTTTGATTTATGCCACGATTATAGTCCCTATTTCATTCTTATTTTTACTGCTCACTGTCTTTCAGTCTCACTCAACCTAACAGTATTGGCTAGTTGAGTGGTTAAATGCTAATGCGATCTGATTTATTACAACAGTTCATCAATCTTTATCTGTTTAATCTTAATCTTAAATATGGCCTGGCTTCTCTCTGGGTTTTTACAGCTCACTATCTATCAGCCTCTTTCTAGCTCAGAGTTGTGTCAGCCATCTTTCGGCTGTAATTCACCGCTCATTGTCGTTTTAGTTGCTCATCAATCAAGAGGTGAAATTACAACTTAATGTCAGATTCTCTACATTTATACGACCTAAAATCTAGGACACAGCAGTTTGACATTTTAAAAACATTTGAGCTTCCCCCCTGGAGCATGACATTAGAGAAACCGGCCTACTTATGAATATGGTAACTAAACCCTCTGATTGTTTTCTGACAGACATCGCATGACAAGACTTCACTCCATCAAGCAGCTTGTATCTGCTAGCAGCCGTTTGCTTTGTGTGTTTGGCAACCCCCGGTTTTATTTTGCGTCGTAAACCGCTGCTCAAACTTGGACCATGTCAAACCTCCTGAGGCGATGCTGCCAGCCTGTCAAAGAGCAGCGTGGTTAAAGCTGTGAGGTTTTTCTTCTGTCAGTCATGCCGGCTGATTGTTTGGACAGCTTGCAGTTAATGAACAGCCTTAACTTTCTGCACACATTTGACCTGTCTGTCCTTTTTAACCGCTGTGATGCTCCGATGAATTTAAGATGACAGCTGAACCGTCTTTGACCCAATGTGCTTTGGCAGTTAGCGTTAATTTTCTTTAACTAGCACTTCCAGAGTTAAGTGGTGGCTTTAAGAGTCAATTTGGACAAATCAGAGACAAAAAAAAACACATTTCCTTGCCCCCCTCTTGTACTACCTGTCACACAGTCTAAAGGAATCAGCTTAATACCTGGCTTCAGCTCAAACACATCACATTCAGGGTGAAGCTCCATTTTATGGTCTGGGGGACAGAAATACTGTCTTGTTCTGCAAAAGGAACTGCCAGTGCAAGAAACGGGAAAAGCTGGAACCAGAATCAGTTTATGGTTTATGTACGATAATAACCCAACCTATGAGTAAATTGATGTGGAGATTAAAACACTTTAATATGAATACCTTTTGAGTAGGGCTGGGCGATATGGGAAAAAAAAGTTTATCATGATATATATTTTTCATATCAGTCGATATTGATATATATCACGGTATAAAATAAAGGAAATTTAGCAGTGCTTGTTGGTAGCCTGTCATTTACAATACAATAAGCTGCTGCATCTGTGAGGTCTTTGTGTCTCTTCGATGTTTTGTCGTAGAAAGCAGAGTGAACGGTTGGCTGTTTCGACAGCACAGGCGCCATGGGCTCCTTGCTCCGCTTGGGGTTTGTAACCTCTTGCATTGTGAGTGCTCTGCTGCGTGGCACTACTTCAGGTGGTGGAAGACATTTGAGGTATTCCCCGACTGTACGAGAACATGTACTCGACATAATTTGCAGTGCACATTTCTCTGCTTTGTGTCTGACCTCAAAAAACCAAAATACCTCCACTGACGTTTTCATGCTAGTGTTGTCGACAATGTCGTCATCTGTTGAGCCTTCATCCGCATTTCTGCCGGAGGTAGCACTCATTTTCTTTTTTTCTCACCGACCGTGCTGTTGGCTTCATGTGTTAAAGTGCTACAGTCACGTCTAGCTGCAGCCTGCTACTTCGCAGTTGTTTGCGACTTAGTTCTAATTCAGCACATGATTGGTTCAGCGCAAAGCGGACCTGGAGCAACTCCCCTTTTCATTGGATATTCGTATAGTCTACCAAAACATGGCAGAATGCTGAAACTCGAAAAGCATATTGACCATGTTTTATGCTAATATTGACGGGAAATTCAATTTCGATATATATCATTACCCTTTAATTGCCCAGCCCTACCTTTGAGATATCTTCAGTAGTTCTGTAATCAAATGATATCAGCATACAGATGGACCTGTGATTGGTTGTAATTTTTGGACAATAAAACTGAACAGCAGTTTTTTGATCAGGTTGTCAGAATCATCATGATAACACCGGTAATGGTGCGGCCTGCAGCAAACTACATGATTTTTCTGCAGCTATTTTTTTTATCAAAATGAATCCATGACAATTTGGCAATCATCATGTTGTTTGTCAATTAGGTTTAATCAAAGGTCAAATAGAGGACTTAGTGTAACAGTGTGCTGTTTGCAGCTCTATTTACCAGTCTGGTGATGATAAGAACGGTGTTTACTAATTGGATTGTGGATATTCCTCTATGATATAAATGTGACATCTGCCCCAAACAGACCTCACTGTGAGTTACCAGGGGCACAAGTGCTGAAGACCAGGCCCACAAAAAGGTGTTTTGTTTGTGTGTGTAATCTGCTCTTGGAAACCCTCTTGGGTCAGGCACCAATTGTGAGAATTGAAGCAATTCCTGACCCTCCTTTTCCTCTGCACGACTTGTATTGAAGTCAGGCTGAATTTTAGCTCCATCACTTGTCATTTGCCATGCAGTGAATATGGGGGCAGGAGAGTCAATAACGGCCCAATCAACAGCTGCTTGTGACTGATTGGCTGCTAGCATGACAGGCTGCATACTCCTGCACAGTGAAAGCATAACCACGAGCCAATTCCCCGACACCAGGCCTTTTTTTTTTCTCTGATTACACTGCACAACATGGCAGACGGCATCTAAAAACACCATGGCTGCCCTCACTGATGTGAATGCATTGAGCAAAATATAAGAAATACTTGGAATATGGTGCACTTTAGTATGTCACCACTGCCCAGGATGCTTTCAACATTAAATACAACAAAAATGAAAATGTAGAAGCTGCATAAAAGTAGAATTTATGGTAATATGTTGTGTTGGACGGCACCAAACTGTATAAGTAGTCATATTGTATTTGCTTTAATGAAACCATGTTGACAATTGTCAGTGCTCTGTCCCTATTTAACACATACAGTATGAGCCATTAGGATGTGGCCGTACAATGTGAGCACCACATTTGTGAGCTTCAGTTTTGCATTATCAGTGTTTTGCCTGAATAGTGTGTGTTGGTTTTGTATACAGGTGCACAGAGTATGGCTGGCCTTACTCCAAGATGAACTGAAACGCTCCGTTGCTTCAAGGACAGTCACGACAGAAACTCTATTGTGCCATAAGGCTCAGCTCCCACACTCTTTAACTTCAATATAGATACTTTAAATAGTATGCAGAAGTGTGAGAAAGCACAATAAAACACATTTAGGCTTTTTATTAAAATGAACAAATGAAATCTATTCATAATTAGACCTGAAATTCTCATCAAATCCAAAGATTGTACTGTGATAACGTAGTATCATGATCCCTGAATTGTGAAAGGTATCATCTCCTGAGTTGGATGAATCGTTATTTTCCTGTTGAGCATGTTTTTGTGCATTTTTCTTCAAATTAAAGTAAACTCTTTATAGTCATTTACATAGATTATTGTTTGGGTGATTTGATTGGAAGTCTAAACCAAATTTTTTCCCCAAGATTTTCAACATCTTTCTGGAGCTGTGCCACCACAACAACACACGATTTATTTACATTTCTCTCCCCCCAACTTCTTTTATGCTTGTTTCGAAAATACACCTCTGTAAAAAAAAATCACCTTATTCATGCATTCGGTTATAAAAAAGCAAACCTGACTTACTTTCCCATTAGCATACTTCTGCACACTGAGAACCCGCTCCAGTGGTGTTATTTTGGGACACATGAGTTGTTAGTTTATGGCGTCAAACCACTGTAGTGTCAGCTTACAGGCTCAAAGTGCAACTTGCATGTAGACTCCATGTTATTTACCAGAACAGCAAATTCATGATGTTGTCCTGTTATGTAAGAAAGCATAGCAACAGGGTTCAGTGTCAAAAGAAAGTAAGCAAATTAATTTAACAGATAGTGGAAACACTAGATATTAAAGTAACATTGATTTAGGGTGCATGCTTTTAATGGACTGACCTAGTTATCCCCTGAAAGTGTAGAGTTTTGGTGCTGGTACTGTGCAGATAATCAATCCTAGAATTGATTGATGTATTTGGGAGAAGAAAAAGTTTCCAGATGTGTATTAATAGAGAGATATATGCTAAAGGTTGAATATGTTTCTCCTACTCCCACTCACAGTCTTCCTCTCCCTGTCTTTCTCTCCCTCTGTATCACTGTTAGCTAGAGGCTGTTGCCACCCACACACACACACACACACACACACACACCATCCTGACAGCAATTTACATTCAGAATAGCCCATGTGAACGCATCCATGTGTTTTAATATGTCACGTTTACTTAAAGCACCACATGTTGCAAGCGGCAGATCTGTTAAAAAACTGGTAGTATGCTTTGTATTCCTTCGCAGGGTCATTTAAACGTCGATGCAGCTCTGCCTCTGATGAGACACAAAGGAAACTGTAATATCTCCTTCAGTATGAAAAGATTCACCTCGTGGGCAGCTGATAGGTCTTATTAGTTCACTCTCACGCATGTTACCAGAACCACAGTGTTGTGCAGCATGTAACTTGGTGTTTTTTCTCTCATCTTTATTGTGCAGTTGTGTGCCAATATCTTCTACAGTTCAAGTAGAAGCCCTTGGAGTTGTTTCCATGGATACCAAACAATTAGCTGGGATTCAGAATAGAAACCTGGAGAGTCGCCTATTTACAGGCTTTGGGAGCAAGGAAATCATAGGATGACAGAGTGTCTTGATTCTCTGTTGCAGTGGGAAAAAAAAGCAGCTCCTTGGGGTAATGGGTAATTTCTAAACAAATAGCTGCTATGGATCAATCGCAGACTGAAATAGAACAGGAGAATGAATACCAGCACGAGACACTGTCACGTTTTCAGGTTTATAGGAGCAAATGTGTCAGAATGTAGGGGTGTATTGTCAAAAATAGATCATTTTAACATACAGATAGTGTGTTTTTTAGTGCGTGATCACCTGAAGTTAAGAATCAAGTCTAATAATACGCCTGTTATCTCTCTAGGGATGCCAGCTTAGATAGAGCAGTAGCTTTTTAGAAGTATGTCCCTCTTCTCAGACTCTGATTAGCTCATCCATGTACATCCTTAACCTTTATTAGCCTCACAACTCATGACAGAACATAACTAACTCCCAACCAATGAGCGCTGTGACTACGAGCCAACCAGAGGCCGAGTCAAGATTCGTAATCTTGCTGCTGCCAGGAAAGGTTCGGGTGAGGACTTATCAGTCGGTTGCAATCAGGCATGACATGCATGAATACCACTTAATCTCTGTAAAGGTCCTTCAAGGGATAGATCTAAGCTCTAAATCGGTGACATTCATGCCCACACTCAAACTATGATTTTAAGATGCAAGCAGCTAAAAATACACAGAGGGGTCACACAAATGAGGCTAATGTACCTTTATTTCTCTCTTATTACTGACACTAAACTCTATGTAGATTTAGTCATGCTGGATATTTGTACTGATTTCAAAAAATATCTAACTTCATTTTTTAATTTTTTATCCTGCTTAAAGCTCCAGTAAGCAGTTTTTCTTATTTACATCTGTAGACTAGACTGAACTTCAAATTGATGCCCTTTTATGATATCCAAAAGCAAATAAGATCATCAGTAACAAGATTGAGAGACTGTCATTTTTAATGCCTGAAACAAATGTGGAAGGGTAGGTATCAGCAGAGCAACTGAGGGATCAGACCTGTTATTTTACAATTTTAACATTAAATATAATCACATTAAATAATACATTTGACCGTCAAAACTCAGCAGGATTAGATTAGATATTGTCACCTTAATCTGTATTTATTCTGACCTTTATTCTGTGATCAAGTGTATCTAAAAGTCAAGGTCCTGAAGTAGATTTTATGTCATTCTTTTGATTCCTAAATCAAGATAGTGGTAAAAGTTGCTTACTGACCTAAGGCTGTTTTGAAATGTATAAGAATAGAAATCTAAACATGCGATTACCAAAAGGATTCATAATGATTAGCTGTTGAAACCCTGCAAAGAATCACAACTAAAACAATGTTTTGAGCACCTGCTCTACTCATATGTGTTTCACGGTTGCATTTCACTTACTTATTGCAGCTTATTTAATGTTGGACTTTTTTGTCACATATAACATTTTTTGTGCCATTTTCATGAATCCAGTTTGTTAACTATTGATTCAGGAGAGTATGTTCCAGGCTTTTATTGCCCCCATCAAACACTGGTTTGTTGTTTGTTTTTAAAAACTAAGGAAAAAACGTAAGACATATGCTGCGCTCGAGTTACTTCGGAAGTCAGATGTCGGAGCTAAAAATGACGTCACACTCGAGTTACCAGCGTTTCAGTTACCAAGTCGGAAATCGGAGGCGGAAACAAGATGGCTACATCTACGAAAGATATTTTAGCGCTTACCTTGTCCTTGCTTATATTCGGACAAGCGCTAAAATAACCTTCGTAGTTGTAGCCATCTTGTTTCAGCCTCTGATTTTGCTTTCTTCCGACCTACGCTGGTAACTCGGGTGTGATGACATTCCCAGCTCTGACTTTTGACTTCTGAGGTAACTCGAACGCAACGGTTGTCTCAATGCTGAAAAAAAAGACTTCAGGGCCCAGAAGAAGTAAAGCACTTCATCATACGCCTGCTGTTGCTTGCTGTCCAACACAAGCCTCCAGTTGACGTAGAGCTGAGGAAATCCGCACTAATGTCCCATGAAAATATGAAGCTTGTTTATTGTGTGGTCTGTTTTTGTGGAAAACCTTTTCCATCTCTGCTGTTGTTCTTATAGATATAAGGATTTATAAGATCTGTGTGGTGTTTTCCCCTCAATGATGCTCCTTCTTTTTGTATTGACTTCATCTTTTTAGCCAGCACACAGTCGTGCTCTAAAAGCTTTAGTTCTGTTTCCCTATGGATGACTGTCTGTACTTTTATAGATCCATCCTCATGTTCCAGAGTTTGCACAAGCCTAAAGTCAGACGAAGACTATACAGTTCAAGATGACTCAGTCAAGCCTGTTTCTTATTTAGACCGTATACAGTGCGATATAGCTCTCATGCCAGTTATTTTGTCATTTTCCTCTGGCTTTAGACGTAAAGTTTTTCCATTTGAAGGCCGCTAAAAAGCTTCCAAGTGTCTCTCAGTCTGTCACACTGTTGTTCTTTGTGCTTTTTTGAGGCTGTAGCTGTCTGTCCTCATTGGTGAGCTTTGCTTACACCTACTATTCTGCATTGTTGCTGTGCTGGTAGCTTGTTTGTGAATATTATGTGTTTGCAATGCTTGTTCTAATGCTATCCTTCTTTCTGTTTGAGACACGAGCAGCTGCAAGGTAATCGAACAACCCTGAGATAGTGCACACTATTGTACTGTTAAGAATGTGCCAATTATATGTCGACATAGTAGAACAGGGTTAATATATCATGACATTATGGTCCATTATGGTCCATTATGGTTGTGTGTTCAGGAGAGCTGTATTGTACTTGTTTTTTTTTTCCTTTTGCAACTTATTTTCATTTGATTTTAAAAGGTCGATCAAGCTCAAAATGTTAATTGTCAGAATTTTTAACACATTTTTTACTAGATGTCATTAAGTTATTCACAATATAAACATGGATGAGCTCAAAAGAAATTTACATTTTTTCAGATTTTATACTATTTTCCAATTTGTGGCTTAATTGGCCAAACTTATGTAAAACAATCATTGTTCTATTTGTGTGAGCAAACTCTATTTAGATGAGCGCAAGATAGGAAAAAGTTACCCTGTTACAGCCATATGCGAACACAATGGATTGACGCACAGCATCTGACTCACAGTCTGTTTTCAAAACCTTTATTTTCTGTGATATGGGTGGTATTAAATTCAGAGAAAGGTGTATGAAATAGAAAAAGGTTAAACAGAAATAGGATAGAAAGTAAAGTGTATTAAAACTGGAATTGGTGTCTTGGTTTTTTGTTCATATTTTCGATGTTCCCCTCATTTTTTGTCTCTGTACGGCACTCTTCTTTCATAGACCAATCTCGCAGGGCAAGTTTTGCCTCTGTAAGGCAGTCAAGCATGGAAACTCCTCCAAATGCCACCCCACAGCCCTTCAGACAGCCGGTGAGTACAGCACTGTCAGTCACATCCTCCTCATTCATACATCGACTTTCTGCTCACATCCACTTTTCTTCCTTTTTAATCCAGTAGTTAGGACAAGTGTTATATTTTCTAATGTCTTTTGTTTTTCCTCTTATTGAATGTTTAGAGTTTTCTCAATCGAAGGTTGAAGGGCTCCATCAAGAGGGCCAAAAGTCAGCCCAAACTGGACCGGACCAGCAGCTTCAAACAAATGATTCTGCCCCGGTTTCGGAGTGCCGACCAAGAGAGGTAGATAACCTTCACTGCAGTAACTGCATTATGGAATCAGTTGTGCATGTGCAGCACTTAAAGGGATATTCTGGCGTAAAATTAATTCAGGGTCAGACACACCATAACACCGAGTTTGACACCCTGTCGAGAGATGAATGTTGCTGATCGCTTGCTTTTCTAGTGATACCAACTTTACTAACGAACGCACGATAGCAATACACAGTGTTCTCAGGAGCCATAAACAAACCTCAACCAAAACGCCACTCTTTAGCCACAAAAAATGCTCAGAACAGCACCTAACTTCATCAACAGTACATATAGGGTCCCAGCCATAGTACTGATCATTTCTTCATGGAAATGCAATCAGACCGAGACGCTAAGGCAGAAGAACTGCTGCGTCTACAGTGCAAAATGATTAATTTGGTGATTATTGCTTCAAGGAAATGATAAAGTAATGATCATAAATGTTCTTCCTTGAGCTGTGTCACCCCGCTGCAGTCCGTAATAGACTGGCCCAAGGTCTCATTACAAACAAGCAGCTGCTGGAAGAGAGTAGGTGAGTTGTGTTTAGTCTCTTTGCTCAAGAAATCAGGCAAAGTTAAAAAGATGTTTGGTGGCTAGTGCTGTGGTTGGGACCTTATATGTACTGTTGATGAAGTTAGGTGCTGTTCTGAGCATTATTTGTGGCTATAGAGTGGCGTTTTGGTTGAGGTTTGTTTATGGCTCCTCAGACCGCTGTGTATTGCTATCTGCGGTTGTTACTAAAGTTGGTATAACTATAGAAGCAAGCGGTGAGCAACATTCATCTCTCGATGGGATGTCTAACTCGATGTTACGGTGTGTTTGACTCTAAATTAATTTTACGCCTGAATATCCCTTTAACTGCATTACGAAATCAGTTGTGCATGTGCAGCACTAAAGATGAATGTCCTCCAATAGGATAATCATGTGCATCACATTGCGTTGTATTCAGTTCAAGACAAGGTCAGTGGTTTTCCTGAGTCAGAGGCTGGAATCATGTCTCATCAATGTGCAAAAGTCAGGAAACACAAGGGTTGGGTTGCCAGTTTATCACCAGTCTGCAAGTTACTTGAAAAAGCATCTATTTCAAACATCTATAATTAAAAGACTCGCTAATTACATTTATGGTGAGATCATACAGAAATGATTTGATCAGATGAAATGAAACATGAAGATGATTACAGCAATGACTCTTTGTTCCTCTGGACTGTGGGAGGAAACTGGAGCACATTGCAGAAACCCACACAATGCCAGCAAGAATCTTCACACTCCTTTCAGACAGAACCTGAGACCAGTCATCATTTTTAGATTTTTGATGACATTTATTTGATTGATGACATGTTGACGTGCAAAGTGAAGGCAACCAATCTAAGTCTCTGTATGCATGTTTCGGGAACATCAGTAAGCTTTGACACCAACAATCAGATTTTTCCTTCTGCTGCTTTGTGTAACTTCATCAGGATGACTGTAACTACCTTAAAAGTCGCCTCTCGCTCTGTCTGCCCAAGGTTACATAACTTTCTGAGCTGCATCCATGCATTTTATTAACACAGTTAATTACTCATTTCCAGTTGTTTTCCATCTCCTCACATTTTTCTTCCAATTCTGGGATAACAAATCTGTTTTTCAGATGAAAGGAATTAATTTATCCGACGATCTCAAGCTTGTTTTTCCATAACGAGATATTTTTTGATGATCTGGGAAAAAATCATAGACTGATCTGGAGTGGGTCAGACCATAACATGCCATGCTACGATTACTGCACACAGAAGTGGGAATTTGTAGGGATGTCCTGATCCACTATTGATATTGGATATTAGTACGATATCAGTGAAAAAATGAATATCGGATTATATGGGCCCACATCTCAAATCTCTGATATAAGCACTCAAATACAAGCAATCCATTTCAGAGGCACATCTATCTAGCAGTGCCCGGATCTAGCATGCAGAGCCCACGTGATCACAAAAAACCACTGAAATGTAAAAGTAAAATGTTGTGTCATGCCCTGCCTTATTTTTATAATGAAACTACACAATTGGCTGAAGGCTATTACAATGAAATAATTTGAAAGAAGTTGAAGAAATATTAATCAATAGATATTTATGTTGTATGACTGTCATTTCAAACCTGTTTTAAAGAAGGCTGTTATTGTAATAGTAAAAGTAATGATAATTCTGACGTAGCAGGACAATCACAGGTGTAAAAGATATCATAGGTAGCATATACTGTATGTCTTACTGGGAAACTTGTTAAGATTTAGAAATGTTTGTGTTTCGAGTTACTTATGCGGCACCTAAGGAACAATATCTACATTTGTGAATATTGTTGTATGGTCTTGATTTAAAAAAAAACCTTGTTAGATGTTCAGGTAATTCTTAATATTACAGGTTTTGTTATTTATAGTTGGGAGGCAACTTACAAGATCTTAAAAGATGCTTATAGACTTATAAAAGAGTCTATGTAAGTGTCAATAAAAGCATAAATAACACTTTTGTTATTGCTTAACAGACATTTAAAAACTCTCATTAGAAACTTGTTAACAGTTTTTTTGCCTGTCATGAAAATTAATGAGAGGTTTATTAATACTAAATAGACCTTATAAGGGTTTATTATTGACTAATAACTATATTTGTTATTGACTTGTAACACACCCATGGGGAACTTCTTACAATAGATAGCTTTTAAAATTGAATACAGTGTCCATCAACATGAACATAGTTGTATGAATCTTAATCAAAATCATAACTAACTTTAACAAATGAATAGTGAAGATGACAGTTTGCAGGGGAAATGTTATATTGTATAACTTGAGTTTATTGAATTTGTAGGTAAAATGGCCGCTCTTCATCATTTCCACCCTTATATAAATCCTGCAAGAATTAAAAACGATGTCCTAGTTTTACATTTTCATCATCAGCACATAAAGAATAAAACCATAAAACTCTTGAATTGATGTTGTCTTTGTAAAAGATATTATTTTCAAAAATCTGATTAACACTGCGCCCTTATTTCTTATATTCCATCAAAGCAGGATATGAAAGCTTGCAGCTCTTGAGGGTCTCATGGTGGTGTTGTTTGTTTTTTTGTTTCATACTCTGACTCGAGGTCACGTCCCAGAAGATCTCTGCTTGCACTGGTAACCAAATTTTTTGCAGCCTTCACACAATCCAGTCATGATTCTCATATGGGAAATGTAAAGAGTGGCAGAAAGTAAAAATGCGCTGCTGACAGTACACTTTCCTCTCACCACAGGAGATGCATAATGAACAGTTTTCGGCCAGGTGCGGATGTCGGAGACTCAGGGATGTGAAATGTGTCGTTTAGGAAGGGATGTTGAGAAATCCTTTGTTCAAAAATGCAGGATGAGCCAATGCAGAACCCTAGTTCAAACGTTTAAATGAATAATATATAAACCCGAGGGGATTGCTGGAGCCAGCACTGATGGGGGTAGCTTAATGGTGTTGGGGTAAAAGCGACTTTCTACCTCAGACTGTGTGCATTCCCCCTCTTACCACAGCCTTCCTCCTGCTCCCACCGCTGCTTCAGACAGCTGCCTTCACAGCCTGCTTTGAGTTCTGCCCACACACGCTTAATTCACTCGGTAGTGTTAAGTTGACTTTGCTATAAACCCTCAGCATCCAACTTCACACTGTAGCTTTCCAACGCAGCTGCTGTTCCTCTTCTGCCAAGTCGGTGTACCAAAGCATTTTTGATGTACTTTCAGCTTCTCAAAGTAAACGCTTCCCTGCACCTCTCAACAGCGTTAAACCTGCCCTTAAATTAGTCCTCCTCATCTGCTGTATGATTATCAGATGTTTCTTCAAAGTTGCACCTCTCTCTCTTTCATGTTCAAAGCTATTATCACATGTGGAGCATGCTAGCTCCAGCTTCTTCTAAGTGTAGATGAGGACCACATTTACTGCTAAATTGTTCGTAAAACTAGTTCCAGAAGATTGCACATTAATTATTCAGCTTTTAAAAAATTGCAAGTGGGAGTTAAGATAAGGAGATTAATACCGCTTTCAAATTTCTCTGTTCGCAAGAGCCAGCAGGCTAATTTAGCGTAATGGCAAGAAACAGAAGGAAAATAGCTTAATTTTCCCTCTAATATAAAAATTAAATAGTTTCTAATCTTGCTTTTACAATCTGAAAGTAATTGGGCACAGTTGTAACAGGAGCATCCCATCTTCATCTTTGTGAGTGAAGCACTTTGTAGCACTCAGCGAGTCAAAGCAGCAGGAAAATAAACTTCCCTTGAAGGTGGGGTAGGCAGGATCTGAGGAAGTGACAGTATTTGGGAGAAATCTTGAATGTAAACTCTACCCCTTAAAACCAGTTTTCCCCTCAGCTCCTCCTCTCCCCTCCCTCTCTGCTTCAACAAGCCCCGCCCACAAACAGACGCTCCTGCTCGCTCGTATCGTTTCAATTAAATTCAGATATAATGCAGATGAATACTTCAGATAATTACAAATGGGGCCCAGTCAACGTGAAAGTAAAAAGCATTGGTGCTACTGTAGATGCCAACAGACTACCAGCAAACACAATGTTTGCAGGACTTCTACAACTAGGATGAAGTGACATACCTCAGGACCCAAGGTCAACAGTTTAGCGGCGCTACAACACGCAGCAGGTTCCGTTTGACAGCAGAAAGGTTACGGTAAGATCCTGAAGCATCTCCTATCGTTTTAGGTTGACCGGGCTTCTTAGCTCTTGTCCGGTCTACCTCCTTTTTAGGCGCCCGTTATTCCGCCAGAGTCTCCGATATTTACTTTGTTTTCTTGCTTGTGTTGGCGGTCGTGGCCAAAGGAGGATTCAGACAATTTCCATAAGGTTTCTACTATCAAATATTGTAGCGCGTTAACTTTGTTTGGGCTCCTGAACGACACGGTGGAGCAGCGTCTGCCTCACAACCAATCAGGTCGGGGAAGGCGGAGAAAGGCTTTTCTTTCAGTCAGACAGAGCGGACCGCTCAAAAATTTTAAAATGTTGACTACATAGACATAACAAAACACAGCGATATCGTGATACTCCCAAATGTCATCAATAATTAATAGATACTGACTGATATTAAAAGCTTATTTGTAAATACACCACAAGAGAAGATGCTTTTTTAATGGAATCCTGCCTACCTCACCTCTAAACAGGCAGACACCTCGAGCAGAACCAGATTCACGTTGGACAGTCATCTGCTGAGACTGCATTTGGTTTATTACAAGCTCAAAATAAAGACTTGTCTGACTGTAACAAATAAAAAGAACTGCAAATGCAACACGCAAGTCTTCTTATGAATTTCTTTCAAAGACAGGGTTATAAATAATAAACAGGAAAATTGACATAATCAGGTTTGTACCAGATTTCTCATTCTGTGCAGATTTAATCTTATTATTCGGTGGCTTAAGCTTCATGTTGTCCAGCACCACATCTCCAGCATCACAGGCTGGCATTTTTCTGAGTGAAGCACTTTGTAGCACTCAGCGAGTCATAGTGGCAAGAAAAAAACGTCCCTTAAACAGGCAGAAACCTCGAGCAGAACCAGATTCATATTGGACAGTCAGCTGTCGAGACTGCATTTGGTTTATTACAAGCTGGAAATAAAGACGAATATGACTGTAATGAATAAAAAGAACTGCAAATGCAACATGAAATCTTATGAATTTCTTTCAAAGAGTATTTCAAAGATAGGGTTATAAATAATAAACCAGAAAATTTGACATAATCAGGTTTGTACCAAATTTCATCTTATGTGCAGATTTAATCTTATTATTCGGTGGCTTAAACTTCATGTTGTCCAGCACCGCTCTAAAGGAGAGGACCAATAATTCTCTCATATATCTGAAGAAGTGGAGTTTCCCTCGCTCTAGTTTTTCAATTGCTCCTCTGACCTTACTCCACTTGAGTGACAGTCTCTCCTCGCCTTTTTGCCTCCATTTCCACCACAACCTTTTCTTGAGAGGGGACCCCACTTCCAAAGATTACCCTATGATCAGTCCTCTGTGCTTTTTTATAACTGCAGACTAGCCCCGCTGAACTGCTCGGCTTAAGTATTCTCCTCATATAACACGGAAGGCAATACTGTGGGCTGCTTCCTAACATGCAGAATGAGTCACATGTGTCGAGTCAACGGTCCAAGCTGCGGGAAACCAGAACTGAAAATCTGGTTGTCATATCTTTCCCATAAACTCATTATAAAAGGATCAAATCTCTGAAATCAGCCAGAAATAGAAGCAGCAGCAGTGATGACTGAGCTGCAGTGACTCAATTTTGTGTTATATGAAACCATCTCTTTTAGTAAAGAGCAATCCAGCAAACATATAAAGATCAGTGTTTATCTTGAATTAGGAAAGTAATAGATCTTTTCTTCTCCTTCTCTCACCAGGACACGGTTGATGCAGAGCTTCAAAGAGTCACACTCGCATGAATCCCTGCTTTCTCCGAGCAGTGCTGCAGAAGCTTTGGACCTAGTTTTGGACGAGGACGCCATAATCAAACCTGTCCACTCCAGCATTTTAGGACAAGAGTACTGCTTTGAGGTGCTCGTAGTTGACAGAATTCATCCTAACCTATTAATGGACATATTTAAGAATGAAATGTGTGCATCTACTGGAAAATAAAAGTTAACATTTGGTTAGAGAATCCACAGACACTTCCTCTTCTCTGAATTAGACAAATGAAGCTTCTTAGCGGTTTATGGAGTTCATGCTGGAAAGATTAGCAGAGCGATTAAAAAATTAATAGAGAGGGATTTCGGATCATATAATCCTCTTTAGTCTTATATCCGGAAATTCTTTGGTTGCGATTTTAAAATGTGAGAACATGCTGTATTCCTCCAACCTTTACAACTGTAAATTAAGTTTGTTTAATTCAGGGCAAAAAGGCGTTTTTTAAGAGCTTGTCTTGGGCGTTTAACTAAAAGATTAAGACGAATTAAACAGATTTTTATTATTTTGAAAACTGTAAAACCATTTCTATCAAAAAGGACAGATTTGAGATGAACACGTTTAATAAAAATGAGAAGAAGTGACTGAAAGGTAGAGAAACAGGGTTTGACTTGGATGTATGATGACAGGAATAAAAGCATGAAGGACTCCAAGCAGCGTGAACCCGACTGAGCTTCACTTTTCCTGCAGGTGACCACCAATTCAGGGACAAAATGTTTCGCCTGCCGCTCGGCCTCTGAAAGAGACAAGTGGATTGAGAATTTGCAGCGAGCCATCAAACCGAACAAGGTAGACATAATATTTATTTTTCACTCTGCAGAATTATTTAGACACCCTGTGACCTCTTTGATCACAAGATCCAGGGTGTAATGTTCAGAACCAACATGAATAAGGACTGTTATAATGCAGTAACAGGACTCCCCGTTTCGTTTCCAGGATAACAGCAGACGGGTTGACAATGTGCTCAAACTGTGGATCATCGAAGCTCGAGACCTACCGGCTAAGAAACGCTATTATTGTGAGCTGTGTTTGGATGACATGCTGTACGCACGCACCACCAGCAAACCCCGAACCGACACTGTCTTCTGGGGCGAGCATTTTGAATTTAACAATTTGCCTACCATTCGTAGCCTTCGTTTGCACCTCTACAAAGAAACGGACAAAAAGAGACGCAAGGTAAAGAATTTAGTTTGTGTAATAATGTTCAGTGATACGATTATTGACTATTTTAGTTATTATTGTTATTTAAAAAATTTTAATTAATTTTTCAAATGCAAAAACAAACACATCCACAAATATCCATAAAAGGGCACAACATACAGACTTCATACATACTAAAGCTCCAATGATAAAAAGTGTTTTTTTTTTTACATAGATTTAGAGCAGGGGTGGGCATTTAATTTTTACATGGGGCCACATGAGAAACCTGAACTGTGTTGGAGGGCCGAACCAACAATAACTTCAACCTCAAATCAGGGGGGTTCACACATACAGAAAAACAAGCCCGAATAAGCAACTACTAGTTAAAAACAAGCCCAAAAAATGAGTTTTACAAGCGACTTCTGAGAGAAACAAGCTTAAAGTCTTTTATAATAAGCGGACTTGGCAACTCTAAGGCATCTACATATATTTTGCTGATGTTTAAACTCGTCTCTGTTTACAAATGCAGATCTAGGATGTACACAAGTGTGTCCAAACGGATATAAAACAATGGCTAGGTTTTAAAAAATAAAAGCGACACACTTTTATAGCATGTTGATGATTTGATTGACGGACCTCACGAAGGGCCGTATGTGGCCCTCTGGCCGTCAAATGCCCAGGTGTGATTTAGAGGAATCACATATTTAAGTTCCAGCATCTCAATCTTTTGACGGATCCTCTGATTAAGTACTTAAACTTCTCAAGCTTCAAATGTGCCATCACGTCTCCTACCCATCGCCTGGCTGACTTCCATTTAAATAAAATAAGGTGTCAAGCCAGTAAAGAGGAAAAAGCCGTAACTTCTGGCCTTAGACACCCCTATCTGATCAGAGACCACACCAAAATTAGCTGTTTCTGGGTCAGGGCTGAACTCCTTGCCACAGATATAAGAGAACGTCTCAAATACAGAGGACCAAAATGTTATTAATTTTGGACATGACATCGAGAACAAGTTGGGTCAACATCTGGATATATCCCGGCAAGCCTACTCCTAGAAAGGTGAAGCCTAGACTATTTTAATTTTTGAACATTTCTTTTGTTGACGCAGGAGAAAAGCACATATCTTGGCCTCGTCAGCATCCCCATCTCCAGCATCACGGGCCGGCAGTTTGTCGAGCAGTGGTATCCGGTGATCCAGTCCAGTGTGTTGGCCAAAAGCGGCGGTGTTGGAAGCGCCAAAGTGATCAACGCCTCACTCCGCGTTAAGTCACGCTACCAGACAATGAATATCCTCCCGATGGAGCTGTACAAGGAGTTTGCGGAGTACATTACCAACAACTACAGAACACTGTGTGCAGTTCTTGAGCCGCTGCTGAGTGTGAAAAGCAAAGAGGAGGTGGCGTTTGCTCTGGTGCACATTCTGCAAAGCACAGGGAAGACAAAGGTTAACAAGGCGTCAAATGTGTTCCCATAAAGAAATGCTATCTTCCATCTGTCAGCTCTCTGTATGCTTCTAGCCTGAACTGTAAACATAATCTCTTCTCAGGAGTTCCTGTCAGACATGGCGATGTGCGAGGTGGATCGATTCATGGACCGTGAGCACTTGATCTTTCGGGAGAACACGCTGGCTACAAAGGCCGTGGAAGAGTACCTCAAACTGATAGGTCACAGATACCTCAAGGATGCTATAGGTGAGGCTGCTGCAGATGAATCCGAGAGCACAACTCCATCTGCTTGGATGAAAACCTCGCCTGAAGCTTAAATGAGATCAGATACTTGAATGAAGTGTTGTCAGGGGAGGATAAATTCCAGCACTGTTAACTGTTGAATTGTTTGATCTTTTTGACATTTTTGAAATTGGCTGAAATTCATATTGATGCCGTTTAATGGTATTTAAAAGCATCAAAGGGCATCAGCGGTTGACCAACTGATGCGAGGGGGTATGTGTAAATCAACCAGCTTTAGAAACATCCTTGTTTTTACACATAAAATATCCACAATGATACTTTTTAGCGTCAAAGACCAGCAGGATGAGATTTTATTTTGTCAAAAGACTCTTCTGAAGTAAAAGTCAAGATAAGCAGACTGCTTTGTCCACAGAGGGATGCAAAAATTGGCACAAACCAAAAGTAAAACAATAAAAAAACAACCAGCAGAATGTCATTTGAAGTTTTTTTGTTGATGCACATAGTCCTTTGTAACCCACCAGGAAAAGAAAGAACAACCTTTAACTTTAACTATCGTGTGTTTTTATTTTTGAGGGTTTTATTCGACCATTTTTCCAAAAAGTTTTTGTTTTCTAAGAAGTTGGGACTTCAAATTTGAGCTTAAATCGACTTTTTTTTATACATCGGGATGATCATTTTATTTTTTTTAGTTTAATTTCTTTCTCTCTCCCTAATTTTTTTAAAATATGAATTTATTTCTGATTGCCTTGAGTGGTACAGTAAATGCACTTTTTTTTGTTGTTCTTGTTGAAACATGATTTGAAAGACTGAGTGAACGTTTTTGTTATTTTCAAACTGCAGGTGACTTTGTTCGAGCTTTATATGAATCTGAGGAAAACTGTGAGGTGGATCCAATGCGAGTCCCTCCATCAGTTCTCGCTGACCATCAAGCCAACCTTCGCATGTGTTGTGAGCTTTTACTCTGCAAGATTATCAACTCCCTCTGGTGGGTTTTCTCTTATTTCTCCCATAACTTATAATAATATGTTGGTTCTTTGTTTGTATATAAAATATTTCTTCCTATCTGGTGTCTACTTTGGTCCATGTCAGTCACTTTAATCCAACATCTCACATTTCCTAAAGACAGTACAGATCTTCTTTGTGCTGTAGTAATGTTTCCTTTATTCATGAGGGCTTTGGATACGCTGCTGTCGTTTTATTTTGCTGCTCTTTTTTTAAGCGTGTAACAAAATATTCTTATTTCAGCATATTTCCTCGGGAGCTGAAGGAGGTCTTCGCCTCATGGAGAGCCAGATGTGCTGAGCGTGGCAGAGAGGATCTGGCCGACAGCCTCATCAGCTCCTCCCTTTTTCTCCGCTTCATGTGCCCGGCCATCATGTCGCCCTCCCTGTTCAACTTAATGCAGGAGTACCCAGCTGAACGCACGTCCCGCACACTCACTCTGATCGCCAAGGTGATGCAGAACCTGGCCAGCTTCAGCAAGTGAGTCTCTGCCCGCGCCCGTCCTCCCACACTGTGTCACAATAACATGAGTTACTTAATTTTGAGATGTCTGAATGTTAGATGACATCCTGAACATCCAGTTAGGTGGGCTGAATGTCTCAAAGTATTATCACAAGGCTCTCAACTGTGCCTTATTGGTTTCTATCTTCACAATGTGCATTTTTTATATATATTTAAGCGTTTAAGATAAAATAAGATAAGATAAGATGTTGCTTTGATAGTCCCATGGGGGGGAAAATTCCAAATTTACAGCAGCATATTACAGACACAAAAAGAGAAAATTAAAGGATAAAGAAACTTTGAGTTAAAAAAGATATGTACATGAGTCATATTTACGTGTGTACAGAGTATAAATAATAATTTTATTTTTTATTTAATTTTTTACTGAAGTGAAAAGGCATTTTTTAACTGGAAAAAAATGTATTCGTATTGCAGTTTCTCTAGTTTTCTTATCATTTAAAACAGTTTTACATTACGTGTCGTATTCCCCCTGACATTAGGAACATTGACTCACTCTCCATCTTCTAATCTCGTCTCAAAACTGCATTTTTTATTGATTTTACTATTCTACTGATGTGTCTTTTAATTGCCCTGTAAGGTGTCCTTGAGTGCCCTGAAAGGCACCCACAAATAAAATGTATTATTATTTTACGATTATTATTTATTCAGGTTAGGCATTCTTCCCAAAGACATTTTGGTATTCGGGTCTAGGGGTCTAACCTCCTGATAGAGAGATGACTGACTCCACTTCTGAGCTACAGCCTCCCCTGTTAATTCAAAGACCTTGTAACTTGTCATATGACAGTCCTCAAATGAAACATATGGTTCAAAATGACTAGGAAAAATGGTTAGTAAGTTTTATTTACATTCATTAAATTTATTTACAGTCTAAATTCCCTAAAAGTTTGGGTGCTTTTTAAAATGTTAATAACATGAATTTAATGTCAAATCATTTAAAACTTTATATGATTGAAAATAAAGCAGAGAAAACACATCACTTGTTGAAAGTAAAAGGTCTTATTGTTTTGGACTGAGTAAGGAATCTCATTTTCTTTCAACAACACTTGACTGAGTGTCTTTCTTATCAATCACCTGCCTATGTTAAATACTTGATTCTGATTGGTCCAAACCCTTTTGACAATGGGCGACAATAGATGTTATTGTAAACATTACATTCAGCAACTTATTTTATTATTATTTTTTCTGAACTGCAGCCGTGGTTACTCTTAGTGCCGGTCACCACAGCCTCAAGGTCAACAGAGTTATTTACAGAACACAGACTGAAAGAGCTTTTGTGTGTTTTTTTTCCTGCCGTGGTTCATAATGCGCAATAAATAACCCCGTTGAAAGGAAATATCCACTTTAGAACAACTGCAACAAGCACTGACAGAATTAGCAGAGCACAGCTTGTACCACTCTGTCCCCAAGGGATGCTGGGATTGCTTCTTTGAAATATCAAAAGTTAGTTATAGGTTTTCTGATGCCTTTGATGGTAATTTATTAAAGGAGTGGGTCATATTTTGAAAAAAGACAACTCTGGAGGCCCCACAGTCATCAACATAGATGTTTATTAACTCAAGGTCCTCTTCAGTTTTCTTGTTTTATCTGCTCACGATAAGCAAGGGCAGAAAATCATTTAAAGTCATATTGTGGTGAAGGTTCTTTTTTATCATAAATTTCAGCTTTCGTGATCAATTATGAGAAAGCTAAATAAAAGCTAAAGTCAAGCTAGAGTCATGACCACCAGGAAATGATCAATGGAAACCTGGGGGACATTTAAAGTGGGAAATAAAAACACAAAGACACGCACTGGCTGAATATTTTTATCTCACAGTCACAGTAAAAGAGACTCAAGCTCCCGTCATCTTCTTCTCTGCCTGTATAGACTGTATTTGTCATCCCCTGTTATCTTTTCCGAACAGATTCGGACCAAAGGAGGAGTATATGTATTTCATGAACGAGTTCCTGGAGATGGAGTGGGGCTCCATGCAGCAGTTCCTGTATGAGATTTCCAACATGGACACTGGAGGAAACGCGGGAGGATTTGAGGGCTACATCGACCTTGGCAGAGAACTGTCGATGCTGCACAGCTTACTGTGGGAGGTCATGGGTCAGCTTAGCAAGGTGGGTAAGAAATAAAATAAAATAGAAATGGTGGATTGAAGACTACTTGCACTCTCTCTCTGGTACTGGAGTGTAGAGAGTTGGAAATGAGTCTCTACAGCTCTCCATCAGTCAGACGTAGGATCAAGGTTGTTGAAATCCATCAAATCTCTGCTGGAATTGAACCTTTATGTTAACTCCAGCGCTTACAGGGTTAATTCATCAGACCTGCTGTGGTCATGATAGATTTCAAGCTCAGACTTATCTTGTTTTCTCTGATTGAAATACTTCTAACGTAGTGTTCTCTTGTATTGTTTTACTATCCTTTGAGGCATTTTTCTGTGTTTGTTGAATTAATAACTAAATGAATCTAATTTTTGTATTAAGTGTCTGACCCTGAGGTTATGAAACATTAACTGCATTGTGATTTGGCAAAAAATAGTTCATGAAAGTGAAAGCTATCCAGTTTCTTCTCTTCAAACACAAACTATAATCTAAGATTTGGTTATCAGGTAATACAGATTACCAATCCCGTACCGTGATCTCCTCATAAAGAGATGGAATATATAAAGTTGACAAATGTATCAAACTTTTTCCATTAAATGCCTTAAAATGACGTACTGATGCATTTAAAGCTGTAATGGTCAGCTGTAATTTCAAGTTCTTATCCAGCTGATGTCTTCACAATTCAATAATGTGAAAAAAATGAGTGTGAATCGGCAACATATAGCCAATCTTCTCAATAAGGTCAGCTGTGATACCTAGAGACTGGATCAGATTAGCCCTCGTCCCTGTCATAATGATGATAATGAGTTCAGTAATCACCCGGACCATGGCAGAGTCTGTGTGAGAGTTATTATTCCCTTTGTCCTCCTGTAAAGTCTCAAACAACAGAGGAAAGGTCATTAGCAGAAGAGGTGAGCACTTTTACCTCCTAGAATAGAATAGAATAGTCCTTTATTGTCATTGTAACCAGTACAACGAAATTAAAAAAGTGCCAGACAGTCAGTGCATCATTAAAAACAAATACGGTAATAAATAGCAGTTCTAAATAAATAAATAAGTTCCGAATAAATAAAGTAAATGAGTAAATAGGTATTCAGTCACTTCCTTAAGGCATTGAGGGTAGTTATTGCTGACGGAAAAAAACTGTTTTTAAGTCTGTTCGTTCTGGATCTGATTGTCCTATAGCGTCTGCCTGACGGCAAAAGTTCAAACAGGAGGTGACCAGGATGGGAGGTGTCTTTGATAATGTTCTGGGCTTTTTTAGCACAGCGAGCGCCATGAAGGTCGTCCAGTGAGGGAAGGGGGCAACCGACAATCCTCTGGGCTGTGTTGACGACCTGCTGGAGAGCCTTTCTCTGGGCCACAGTGCAGCTGTTAAACCATACACAAATGCAATATGTAAGAATGGCTTCGATGGAACACCTGTAAAAGGACACCAACAGTCTCTGTGTGATGTTATTTTTCCTGAGGACCCTCAGGAAGTGGAGACGCTGTTGGGCTTTTTTAATCACCTGTGTGGTGTTTACAGTCCAGGTCAGGCCCTCCTCAATCTGAACACCCAGAAACCGGAAGTCTGACACCTGCTCCACACAATCCCTGCCGATGATGAGTGGTGTGATGTCAGTCTTTATCCTCCTGTAGTCAATCACCAGCTCCTTCGTTTTTGCTGTGTTGAGCTGGAGGTTATTCTCCCCACACCATGCTGCCAGATGTTCAACCTTGTTCCTGTACGCAGACTCGTCTGCCCCAGAGATGAGCCCCACCACCGTGGTGTCGTCTGCAAATTTGACAAAGGTGTTGTTGTGATGTGTGGGGACGCAGTCGTGTGTGTAAAGGGTGAACAACAGGGGACTCAGCACGCAGCCCTGTGGCGAACCGGTGCTGAGGCTGAGGGCCGTTGATGTGTGATGGCCCACTCTCACCCTCTGGGTGCGACAGGTGAGGAAGCTGTTGATCCATATGCAGGTGGGGTGAGGAATGCCTAGATTGACCAGTTTGTTCAGCAGTTTGTGAGGAAGTATGGTGTTAAAAGCAGAGCTATAGTCCACAAAGAGCATCCGTACGTAGCTCCCCTGCTGCTCCAGGTGGGACAGTGCAGCATGGAGGGCTGAGGCAATGGCGTCTTCTGTGGATCTATTTGCCCTGTATGCAAACTGGTGAGGGTCAAGGCTTTTTGGCAGGTGTGATGTGATGTGACCCCGGACCAGCTTTTCAAAGCATTTCATCACCACCGGGGTGAGAGCGACTGGCCGGTAGTCGTTGAGGCTGGAGATATGAGGTTTCTTGGGCAGGGGGACGATGATGGAGGACTTCAGGCATGGTGGAACACTAGACTCGGCCAAGGACTGGTTGAAAATCCTTGTGAAGACTCCGGCGAGCTGTTCCGCACAGTCCCTTAACACACGCCCGGGCACTCCATCAGGCCCAGCAGCCTTCCTTGGGTCCACGGCGCGCAGGGTACGTCTCACCTCATGTTCTGTGAGGGTGAAGTTGCTGTGTACCATGGGGTGTGGTGTGGCTGCCTTGGGTGGTTCCACCTCGAAACGTGCAAAGAAGGTGTTTAGCTCCTCTGCCAGCGAGGCCTCACCCTCAGCTGCTCCCAAGGTGGATTTGTAATTGGTGAGCTGCTGGACTCCCTGCCACACCTGCCTGCTGTTGTTACTTTCCAGGTGTGCCTCAATCCTCCTCCGGTAGTCCGACTTGGCCCCTTTGACGCCTCTCTTCAGGTCAGCCCGGGCCGCAGAGTAGAGGACCTGGTCACCAGACCTGAAGGCGGTATTCCTCTCCCTCAGTAGCTGCTGGACTTCCCGGGTCATCCAGGGCTTCTGGTTGGGGTAGATCCGGATCTGTTTTTCCACAGTAACAGTGGCTATGCAGTGTTGTATGTATCCAAGTACACTGCCTGTAAAGATCTCCAGATCGTGATGTAAAAACACCTCCCAGTTCGTCCTGTCGAGGCAGTCCTGCAGCTGTTGAGAGGCTCCATCAGGCCAAGTTGTTACCGTTTTTGTGATGGTGGGTGTACTTTTCCTGAGGGGGGCATATGCGGGTATTAGCAGCAGAGACAAATGGTCGGACTGGCCCAGGTGAGGTAGTGGTTTGGCCCTGTAGCCAAGCTTGATGTTAGAGTAGACCTTGTCAAGAGTCTTATCTCCACGGGTTGTGCATTTGACATGTTGGTAGAATTTAGGGAGAACTGTTTTCAAATCGGCATGGTTGAAGTCCCCTGCTACGATGTGTACAGCGTCAGGATATTTACTCTCCTGGGAGCCAATGCTACTATGTGTGTTGTTCTCTAGCTCCAGTTTGAGGGATGACTAAAACGATGTGATTCTTGTTGGATTCCCGTTTTTTGTAGGATGCTATTCTCAAACTCGGACCCCTACCACGCCTGCTGAATGACATCAGCGTCGCCCTGAGGAACCCTCAGCTCCACATGCCCACGAATCACCAGCCTGACCGACCAAAGGACAGACTCTTCTCACGACCATCGTTCAATCGTCTCATGTCCTCGGACTTCCAAAGCCTTATGATGCGCGACTTAAACAGGTAACCAACATGGTTTCATTAAAGGCACTATAAGGAGTTTTTAACTGGTGGAGGAGCAGATTGAGATTGATACCGATGCCTTCTTTTGACCTAAAAACCCAAACAAGACTATCAGCAAGAAGTCTGGTAGTTTCATTGTTGTAATTTTTATGATTATAAACGCTGTTAGAGGGTCGATGTCAGACTAAATGATTGACAGTAGGCTGAAGAAACAGCCTTTACTGACTTATTACACCGCAAATACTGTCAGGGAGTGATACGTTTCATTTTCAAAGGACAATAGAGTCACACTTGGTACAAACAGAGGACAAAAATGCACAACTCTTGACACCAGTAACTGTGTTGTGCCAAAAATCAGGCAAAGTCAGTGAGCGGAAACAGGTCCAAAACTAAAGAAACAGGTCATACATGAAGAATAGTAACACTAGAAAAGGCTGTGATGAAACTCACACTGGTAAGAGACAAACTGGCACAGAAGGAAAGAAACAAGGAGATTGAATACTCGAGGTGAGAGGAGAAACGCATTAGAGAGGTGCAGGTAATCACAGACTGGCAACAGAAGGTGGAGGATCTGAAACAAGACAGAGAGGTGACTATTAAAATAAAACAAGAAACACATGAAACATATTGATAACAAAACCTAACTATGGGGAATGTGATAAATAGGATGAGATTTTTGTCTAAAAATTTTTGGCTGTGTCCGAAATGGATCCCTAACCCCTATATAGGCGACTGTATGGTGGTTAGCGCCATTTTTAGGGGTGTCCGAAACCTGAGCGATCAATTCCAATGCCCCATATAGGCGACTCAAAACTTCCCATAGAGCATTGCAAAATGTAGTGACCATCCAATGGTCCCTCACCGGTGGTGGGAATCCCGTTATGCATTGCATGGTGCATCATGATGCATCATGCAAGCAAGAAGAGACAGAACCCGAGCTCTATTTGCCATTTTCAGCGTAAGTTTTTTATCTTCCCTCGGAAGCGATCTGTACAGTTTTCGAAAAATAATTGTTCGCTGCGTCATATAGTCTCATGCACAATATGACGCAGCAAACAATATTCAGCACGAAAATGGCCTTTTAAATAAATTATTAAATTATAGTTTTTTTTATTATTATTTTTTTTTAGGAACATCCTGGTAAAACAAATACATCTATACAACATCATAAAATTCAAGAGACGTGAAAACAACAGCCTCAACTTCAGACGCGGCAGTATGACCAGTGACATCACAACGGTGCGCCATGTAGTGTCCGAAACCTCCCGTGATTGAGCCCACTACATAGTCAGCTATATAGTGAAACCCCACATGGGGGTTAGGGGTTAGGGATTGAGTGATTCATTTCAGACACAGCCTTTGTCACTTCAACATGTAGGTAAATACTGGCAGCAGGCATCTATTTGTCCACTGGGGGCACCAGTATCAACACATATCAAAAGTCCCTTACTGTAGCTTTAACTTTATACTTTTTGTTGTTGTTGCTTTTATACATTAATTATGTCTTCTGAAGGCTAAAGCTTGACCTTTAATTTTGACACAAACATAATCAGAAGAATATTTTAGTATCCTCTCATGAGATGTTTTAAGATATCAAGAATACACAGTAAGTGTACTCAGTAGCTTGAAACAAAGCACTGGTGTATTTCTACCCTTAAATGCTTATTCTAATGCACCTCTTCAGGCTTTTTAAGTATTTTATCAATCAGTAATTGCCAGCACCATCTGTTCCCAGACTCCCTTACCCAAACGTCTCTCCTTTGTGTTTTAATCCATTACCACTCTGCTAATGTCAAAACACAAGAGATTCTCTTATTACCACCTAATAGTCTAAACAAGACCTCTTTAAAAAGAACGAAAACAGGTATTGTCAGAGGCCTTCACTGCTGCTATTTTTGTGTTTACTTCTATAAGACCCTCATACTAAGTGTGAGTCTGTTTGTATCAAAACCTGCTGCAGTGTTTGTATTTGACAGAGAGATATCCAAATTCCTCTGCAGGTTGGTGTAAGAGATGCTGCAGATCAAACAGTCCAAGGTTCAAACCTAAAACACAGCTTTCTTTACCCATAGTTCAAAGCCCAGAGGTATGAGGCTAAGAGTTACTGACAGGATGAAGTCAGGTTCCCCCTTTTTTTTTATTATGCAACAATTACGTAATAAAGTGAGTTTAGTCCTTGAAGGAAATGTTAAAGACAGGTACAAAGGGTTGAAAACTTTTGGATGAGAGTAAAAGTGGTTCTTTGGTTTGATGAATGCTTTGTTTTGAAGAGAGAAAAGAGAAAAGCGAAACGTTTTTTTGTGAAAATTTTAATTTATTTTTATCTTTTGATGTTCAGTCCTCCATGAATCATCCCCTTGTAGAGGAGTATGTGTATCCTTGTTAACCTGGGAGCAGTATTGTTGGTGACACAAGGAATTTACACATTTGGTTGACTCAATAATGAATAATGTCGCTCTTCTAGCCGGCACTGGGAATACTAGTTGGTTGCAGTAGCTCAGCCACCTACCACTGGCTGGGGCAGTAGCTTCAATTAATGGTTAATGCTATGATAGTTAAATACTCCACCATCTGGATGTAAACAAACACAGATATCGGATGTCTAAAAGACGCTCTTTGGGAGGAATAACATGGATTCGAATCTGGCTATGGCGCCTTTGACTGCTTGGAGTTTGTCCCTTTTGGTCTACATATTTTTTGTTGACATTAAAAAAGCCTACAGGTGTGTCCCCAGGGTGGTCATGTGGGGTACTTGCACCATACCAAAGCCAGAGCTAAGTCTGCATCCAGGGTACAAAGTCAGGCACCTTCCTCGTGTTAGTCCCTGATTATGTTTGGGATCTTCATATTCAAGATCTCTCAGAGCAGGGTACTGATGTTTTTCTGTGATTTTTTCATTGCTTTGAAATTCTGCTGTATCACTTCTAGTCTCTAAATAAAGTCATCTTTTTATTTAACTGTATCCCACGGGGGGCAAATGGAAAGTAATGAAGTCCAGATGACGAATGTTTTTCTTCTGTGTGCCACATCATCTCTTCCCACAGACAGTTTATCTTAAACCCAGCAGTCTATCAAGTAGTCAAAAGCTCACAACACATCAAAATTTACAGACTGTGTCCTTCTGTATGTACACAGCCAGCTTCACCACTCACTCAGCTTTCTGAATTATCCAACTTATCTTATTTTTTTAACCTTTTTTATCTAGAAAAACTGCACTTTCTTCTCAGACTGATAAAAACACAAATGATGATAGACTTTTATCGCTCACTGTTCTTACACCAACTACAAGATGCTAGCATGTATTCAAACCATATGGTTGTATTTTGGCCTCTTCTCTTATTAGCACCATGAATTATGCAAACAAGAAGTTAAAATGGGATAATCTCACACAGGAGTTGGCAACAAAAGACTGGAAACAACAGGTTAGCTGTTGATCACAATGTCCTCTGACGGAGCTTTGTGAGGGACCTTGGAGATGTCTTATTCCTCTCTTTGTCTCCAATCCTTTCTCTACTGTCTTGAAGGCCAAATTTCTTGTCTCTGCTCACATTATTTCCATCTCAAGATGTTGGGGTGAGATTAAATATCTCTTTCTGCTGTGTATTCATAGTTCAATAGACATCTCTCGCCTCCCATCCCCAACCACCGGAGTCTCAGCTGTGGAGTCCCTCTCCTCCAACCTGAACATGAGGCGTCATGCAGAACGGGATCTCCGCTCGTCGAGGGAAGTTTTCTATGTGACTCGCCCGCCGCTGGCTCGATCCAGTCCTGCTTACTGCACGAGCAGCTCTGACATCACCGAACCTGATCCAAAGGTAAAACATGAAAAAGTCACATAAGAAATAAATTTTATTCAGGTATGAGTATAGACTGTCTATAGAATGGACAGAGTCTGCCTCCTCGTTGGGTGAAGCCACTATGAGAACAGCACCCTCTGGTGACAGGCTGCAGTATAAGTCATGAATCCTGACTCCTCCAGCCATCCTTATGGGGCTGTGGACAAACTTTAGAAATTTATTACACAGAATATAAAATTTTCTCCCCCCTGCTTGCGATGTTGACATGTAGTTATTGTAAGACTGGTTTGTGCTCAAGTCCTCTTTCTTCTGTGCAGCTCCATTTTTAAAAGTTATAAGGGGGTTCATGTTTTTTATGATTGACACTTGATACAGCCTATTGGCATACGAAAATTGCGTAGGGGGCGATTTTTTTTTTGCAGGATAGTAGGGGAAAGTCCCGCCTTCTTTGTCTCTGATTGGCTAGAAAAGCTGGAAACGTCATCACACGCTCAAGCCAAAAGCGGGCTGTTGGCTCTGTACATCGAACAGAACATTATCGCACTTCTGAATCTCCTAACCCTAACACTAACCCTCATCCTAATCCTAACCCTTACCCCAACTCTAACCTGACATATGATGACGTTTCACAGCCATTAGTAAGAACCAATCGGAGCCTAGCACTTCTCGCCAATCAGAGGCGAAGGAGGGCGGGACCTTCCCCTACCACTCTACAAATAAAAATTTCGAATTCGCTGTTTGAGCCGAGCATCATCACAGCGACTCTCGGCAGCTCTCCTGCCGAATGCGTACAACGCTACTGTGCAACACTACTGGTTTCAGGACGTGGAGAAAAAAACGGAAATACTGAGAGCTTTACGGCTTCAAATCTGTATACTGGTGGAAGGCAGAACCAAGTTGTCCATAGTTTAAACAGTCTATGGGTTTTAGTTTGACATTAGATACATTGTCTTAGTTTGGACCATTTTGAATTGATAAGGTTTAAAATGACTTGCAAACCATCTAAATCTGTTTTGGGGAAATCGGGGTTGTGATTTAAACTGCAACAAATCTTTTTGTCGTCTCTCTTAGGTCCATAGTGTGAACAAAAGTGTGTCAATGATGGACCTTCAGGACTCGCGTATGAACAGCATCTCCAACCTGAACTCTGTCGGGGACATGCTCAACTCCTCTCAGGCATCCATCGCTGGCCTTGCCCACAGTTTTGGTAACCTCAGCGGCCCTCTCCGTATGGGGAGCTCTGGTTTGAGGCTGAGCCAGATGGGCCACGTAGGGGGGCCCACTGAATCCATCTCTCAACAGCAGCAGCAGGCGGCAGCAGCCATGAATTTCCCGCTGTCTTTCCAGAACCCGCTATTCCATCTGGCTGCGCAGAACTCCCCGGCTCAGTCCCAGCCTCATCCCCCTCCTCTCCTTCTTGCCCCTGAACCTGAGAATGGTCACCACGACTACCAACCGGCATTTGGCAACAATGCTTTCTCCCGCAGCGAGGACTTGTCCGGTCTGCGGTCGCAGAGCAGTCTGGTGCAGCCCAGCATTGTTCACTCACACAGTTACAGCGATGATTTCACCCGACAGAACCAGAACAACGACTACGCCTGGCACCAGCTGTCACTGCAGGTGCAGGTAGGAAGCTCTGTCTTATGTCGGCATTTAGAAATCACAGAGACAGATTTTTTCGACTAAAGGACCTTTTCTGTGCTGAGAAGGTTTACGGTTTTATATCAGATGTACATTTAATTTAGGAAACAACATCTGTGCTTAAAACTGCTTTGTCACCATGTACCAGAACAGGTGACTTCTGGCTGAAAAAGAAAGCTCAATTGTTGGTACCTGTGATCATATTTAGTGATGCAGCTCCTCTCTTTTAAGAAACCTGTGCAGTTTTGTCATTTCACAGTCCAAGAGCTAAATTTAACACTCATAATGTATTTCAAACTTCAATCAGTGATTAAAAAACATTTCTTTGCTGGAAACTTTTAAAGGGGCGTGTCCAATAAACCATCTTTAAGTTTATATCTCAAGCTTAAAACAAACCTGATAACATAATTTTTATAAGTCTGATATTTTTGTATTACTTAGTTTGATTTCAAAAGGCAGACAGGGTGATTGCCAGGCGAATTAAGATTCATCTGCTCTGTGATGAATAATTTCTAAAGACCTTAACACGGCTGCTTGTGATTATCCTCAGTCTGGTTTTTGTCATCAGCTTCAACTGCTAGTTGTGATGTGAATTTATAATCTGCATCCTCACTGCAGAAACTTTCCACAGAAACCCTTAAATCTGAGCTCAGAGGATATAATTTTAGCCCCTTATGGTGAAACTACTTTCCAATATACCAAAAAAACATTCTTGGTTTGGCACATTTCTAGAGAGCAGCGGCTGCATTTTAATTCAGCATTAGAATCCGCAGGGACTGAGGATGCAATAGATCACAGATCTCATGATTCGGTTTGGATCACACTTTTGTATCAGGGGTTGCATCACTGTTCCTACATATAACTTCTCTCCTTCTTGTTAAGCCACGTCTGTCTCCATGCATCTCAATAATGTGTCACCTCAGTTTTATTCCCTACATGGCAACAACTCTGATTATTACAAGCATGCTATCAAACCTAGCAACTCACAGCAGGCTAGCAGCACCGCTTAATAACAACTTTCTTCTCTCTTTGTGTCATAATCATATGTCAACAGAAAACAGTAGTGTACTTTAAAGTAAATTAACCTTTAAGGGCGCTGATATGATTGAAATGATTGCTCAATTTACAAGTCAAGCCAACAAGTGACCAGGAGTGAGGCATGTCAAGCTCCTGATGCTTGCCTCATGAAACTGTGAACGCCACACACATTTTATATTATTTGTTCAGAACTGTTGCAAAAGTCATGTGTCAACAGAGAGTCCTCAGCTGTAACTAATGACTGGAGCGAACGTTTTAGCTCTTGATGGTAAAACACTTCATCAGTAACTATGTTTGCATTTATGTTCTGAAATTGAGCTACATACTTACAGACTGTACACAGTCACTGTGTTTGCATTTGTGGATCTGTTTAAGATCTGTGTACACATTATGGACGCGTGTACAGATCTGTGCTCATATCTGTGGATCTGGTTACACATTTACACACTCTGCTTCCTCAAGCTCCAAAATAAGGTTCATCAGAATCAAGCCTTTTTTTTTTCTTCTCTGATGTTATAGATTAAATTTTGGATTATTCATTCTTAACGCAAGATAAAGTGAAGCTGAGCTCTTATTGTTGTTTTCCTATTAAATCCACTTGATTAGATTTAGCAAAATGTTTTTTACTTAAAAATTTTTGTCTTGAATTTCATTTTTATTTTTTACATACTGATCATTAAGCAGGACGACAAAGCGTCCACTAACCTTTTTGAGGACATTTTTGTTTTTAAGTGGTCTTGTTATTTTAAGGATTTCATGTTTTCATCCTTTCCTCCTGTCTCCAAAAACTCTACGTTAGATCTTTGCCCTTTTTGAGCTTCGTAGTGCTTGGTGAAACCAGAGACAGTTCAGGAAAAGACAAAGTTCACCTCTCTCTGTGTTTTTTTTTTCTGGAGTAAAACATTTTCCTTAACTCTACCACCAGGGGGCACATCCGTTTTTCTATGATACCTGTCTGGTAAATCATTTCATTCCTCACAAAATCATCATTATTTATTTATCTTAGCAATTTCCTCTTTACTCTCATTTTTCTTAGGAGTCCCTCCAGCAGCAGCATCTGATGGGGGTCATTTCTCAGACACCCACTGGCACGGGCACTCCCGCCTCTTTGGCCACACCACCCACCACGGTTCATCCTGTCCGCCAGTCCTCCATCGCTCCAGGACAACACCTCAAGTCACAGCGCTCCATCAACAACTCGGCCACGGCCACGCCTCCGAAGGTCCGCCCGCAGAGCAGGAACCTCCTCCTGGACTCCTCTGACACCAACTTCAGTGGCAGTCAGCCGAAACAGCGCCCTACTCAGCAGCAGCACCAACAACAGCAGCAAGCACAGCAGCAGCAGCAGCAGCAGCAGCAGCAGCAACAACACCAGGATGCACAGCTCTCCGTCACCGACAGTCCAGCTCCTGGGCTCCCGTACCAGACAAGCTCCGCCAAAGAGAACCAGGGCCCGTCAGCGGCTGCAGAGGTATCGACCGACACGCCAACAAAAAGCACCAAGAAGTCTCAGGCACAACTTCAGCCGCCTCAGCAGCATTTGCTCAAACCAGGCAATAAACAGGTCAGTTTATAACCATATTTTAAATGTTCTCAAACTGTTCCTGAAGTATCCACACAAACAGATACTCAGATTAAAGTAAGAAAATATCAACAGCTTTCTGATTAAAATCATGAATTTAAGGCCTAATTGTTTTGGTTTCAGGGTTCCCAGTCTACGCCGGCCCTCAATGAGCGAACAGTGGCCTGGGTGTCCAACATGCCTCACCTCTCTGCTGACATTGAGAGCCTGCGACCGGATCGTGAGGGACAGCTGAAAGAGTACTCTAAGAGCATGGATGAGTCACGACTGGAAAGGGTCAGCACATTGGTTTTTCTTTCTCACAATAATCTGAGATTTCTCTATGAATATCAATATCTGAGCAGATGGTTCACTCAAACGAGAACTACAAGAAAATACCAAAGTAAACCTTGAGTGTTTCTGTAGGAGTTGAAACTAGTATTAAATTTAAACAGATTGAAGTCACAACAGTTTTTCTTGGATAATAAAACTGAACTCAGAGTTCATGTTGGCCAAACTAGAATAACTGGTTCAGTTTTGGCTTAGAAAAATTCAAGATGAGGACTTTCACCTTACTTTAATTCACCTGAGCACATGAATTGTGGGGATTTAATCAATGACTCATACCTGAAATTGCTCTTTGCCATTTTCTTTGGCTAATGTAAAAAGCTAACTGTAGTCTGTAGAGGTAGTTCCCAAGAGCAATAGCTTTTGACAATGACAGACTTATCTTGATATTATATATTATAAAACTTTACAGAGGGGAGCTTAAACCAATGAATTTCTGTTTTAATGTGTAAGAGCATTTTTGTTTGACTTGAAATGACTGCTATTACCGTCACTTAACTTCATATGAGAGAACTCAGACACTGTCACTTTAGTCCATTTGGTGAACGACTTTCTGATCGATCTTGGCGCTACCCAAATTCCACAGTCTGAGTTATTTTTATAAAACTTTTCTCATTTGCAAAAGAGTAACTCTGCACTGATATATTTCCATTTCAACTCAATTACAACAATTCATTATTTATTTTTGAAGAAAAAAAAAAAAAAAAAGGAGGGTGTTACAGTTGATGGGGTTTGGGGGCCCCCTAGAGGTCGGAGGCCTCTGGCACCAGCCCAAATGTATTTGACTTGAGCTGAATAATGAACTGGCTCTATCCAGACCATTCTTACTTTTAAAAATTTCATAAAAAACAAACAAAACAAACAAAAAAAACACCAACTAATTTATAGGGAATAACTTCACTCATTTTCTTAGTCTATTTATCAGCTGCTGCTACCAATAAAGCCCAATGTTGTTGAATTTTAAACTCTGAATCTAACCATTTAGATGTTCTGCACATTGTCATCACAACATTGAAAATTCACTTTCTCGATAAATCTAATTCATTGAAATAGAAGGATGAACTTGTTGAAAAGAGCAAATTGAGGAAATTTTATGTTCTGATGAAAGCAAATGTACTACCTAAAAATACAGCCAGGATCAAAAGTAACAGCTATCATCTTTTTTTAATGTGGTATTTGAGAAAAAAACATTAGCTGATATCTTTAGGCAGCTAACGGTACTGTGCTGCAATTGTGCTTCTTCGGAGGTTACATGTTAATCATCACTGTATTCTCATTATTTGCTAGTTTCTGCACGTATTAACTTAAGCAGGCAGAGAACCAAAACATGTCTTCACAGTGTCATCCTCCTGTGTTTTGTGGTACATTTACTGTGATGTAAAACTCCCACACTCTTCTCTACATTAGGCGCACATCTCATCATAGAGAATGAAATTTTTGATCGCACACATTAAAGCATACCACAGGTCCTCCATGGCTTTGTACATTTATTTCACTTGGCATAAAAAGAGCTGAACGACAGGGCTGTGTCAGTGTTAAAAATAATAAAAAATCATCACTCAGGAAGGTTTTGGTGACAACAACAGTGAAGTGACTTTGTTTTTTATTCCAGGTTAAGGAGTACGAAGAAGAGATACATTCCTTGAAGGAGAGGCTGAAGATGTCACATCGTAAGCTTGAAGAATACGAACAGAGGCTTCTGTCACAGGAACAGCAGACAAACAAGATCCTGCAGCAGTATCAGAACCGCCTGGAGGACAGCGAGCGGCGTCTGAAGCAGCAACAAGTGGAGAAAGACTCCCAAATCAAAGGCATCATCAGCAGGTGATTAGTGTCAAAATTTGACCAGGAGCTTGCAGATCTGAGGCTGTGCCAATTACTGTCTGGCTTTTTCACACGAAATATGACATCAACTTTATCAAAAAAGAAAAGTTTTTTTTTTTTTATTGCCAATTATAAAAATCTACAATGTGTCTCATACATATGCCCTACATAAAGATACATAAATTAACATTCACTGCATGGCAACAGTCTCTGCAGCTCATAGAGTGTGGTAGGTTAGTGTTTGTTGCCGTAGAAGCAAATGTGTGAGTGACTTTTATGGTGTTGAATGAATGCATTTTGCATCAGTGCATTGTTAGCTTTCTTGATGTGGAAAGAAAGAAGAAGACACTATTCTTGTGTCTCTGGTGGAGCTAGAAGGGGAGTAGCATAGATTAGCAAAAGGAGCAGAAACTAGGTAAGCAACATGCTTTAAGTAGTGCTTATGGTTATTGTGTTTATTGGAGTATCAAACTTACTGGCTTTGACTCTATCGCTGATGTGTTATGTTTACTGTGAGTCCAAACCATAGACTGTATATAGAATGGACAGCGTCTGCCTCTCCAAGAGGCCAAGAACAGCACCCTCTGTTAACGGGCTGCAGTATAGGTAATAAATCCCGCCTCCGCCAGCAATGCTTATGGGGCTGTGGACAAACTTTATAAATTTATTACACAGAATATACATTTTTCTCCCCCCGCTTGTGATGTTGACATGTAGTTACAGTAAGACTGGTTTGTGCTCAAGTCCTCTTTTTTCTGTGAAGCTTCGTTTTTTAAAGTTATTAGGGGGTTCATGTTTTCTATGATTGACACTTGATACAGCCTATGGGCGTTCAGGGATTGCGTAGCTCTCCCGGGGGATATGCTGTTTGAGCCGAGCGCATCACTACTGCGCAGCTCTGGTTTCAGGAAATGAAGAAAAATCCCAGAAATACAGAGAGCTTTTCGGCTTCAAATCTGTATACAGGTGGGAGGCGGAACCAAGTTGTCCATAGTATATACAGTCAATGGTCCAAACACAGTCAACTTATCCACTTTTGTCTGCATGGCAGTGTTTACATGCCAAAATGTTACACACACACACACACACAAAATAAGCACCCTTGTATTTGTTTTAATACATCCCAATTCCAAAAATGTCAGGACACTGTGTGTGGTGCAGCTAAAAACTAAATCTGATGGTTTGCACATATTTAAATTCTAGATTTGATTAAAAGTTGCTAATTTTTAATTTAATACCAGCAACAGCATCTGAACTGTTTGGGCAGGTTTACCTGTGTGTTGCATCACCCTTTCTTTTGACAACACTCTATACATGAGGAGATTAGTTTTGGGAGTCTAGAAGATGAAATGTTATTCCTTTTATGCCTGATATAGGATTTCACTCATTCAACAGGTCAAGGTCAAGCCAGATTAGCACCTAAACTCTCCTACTTTGGAGCCATGCACATTGAATATGGTTTAGCATGGTCCTACCTGGTGAAATACAGAATGTCTGAACTACATTATGTCGCCCCAAGGCTGGTATGTATCACTCAGCCTTTGTGGTACCTGCCCAGATGTGACCACCACCCATGCCATGATCATCCTCATATTACCACAGTTGACGATAAGAAGCCAGGTGGTCTCACCGCTCTGTAGAGCAGAGGATGTAGCATCCATGATTTCCAAAAAGAATGCAAGATTTCTTTTTGTTGACACTTTTCCACCTTCGCTTCCTCCCACCATCTTAACCAGACCTGACCCTGAAGAAGTCTGTTTGGTTTCTTCCAAATATATATTAAATGACACATTTTAAACTAAAACATACATTCATGGATGCAAAGAAAAACTGTTGGGTTTTTTTTTGGATGTGATTTTGAACCCTTGAAGACCATCCATCTCTGGTTTTCTGCCTTGTTCTTTTGGTGAGGAGATGATTCTCGAAATTCTCAAATTGCTCATGCAGTCTCTCACAGAGTGGTGAGCATCCTCCTGTCTTGACCTTGAGTAGACTCGCCCTCTCTGGTGCTCATTCGTGTTACTAACCTGTTGAAAATTAACCAAACAGTTGGGAGATACAGGTATTTTTCACTTCAAACATTTGCCAAGTCGTTTGCACTCTTTCTATTGAATATGTTGTGGAAATGATTTGTAAACAACTCAAGTATTTCACACAGTGTACTAACTCTTTTGGAATTGGGAAAGGGTTTAAAGACCCACTCCGATGAAAAACATGTTTTTCCTGTATTTTATATGTTCATATGGCATTTTTCTGATGCTACAAGACATATCATGAAAAAAACTAAATGTGAAATTGCTTTTCTGAGTATTTCTTCATTCAAATCGCTGTGAATCTCTGGCAGACCCAAACGGCAGGTTCAGAAACGGTGAGGCCAAACTCTGTATATAAAGGAGAAATACAGAGCACGATTGTGTGGAACAAGCATGTGCGCTAGTGGATTGCAATGCTCGTAAGAAAGCTAATTATGATATCAGCTTTCATCATGTCTCTGAAGATGTTGGTGTCCGAGAGCTGAAAAGCTCCTGTGTTACCTGCCACTTCTACTACACACCAGTTGTGCTGTAGAATGCACCCCCTGGATTCCATCCACTCGTTAGCTTCTTAAAATGGAAGAAAATTATCTCATATTTTAAAAACTACGAGTATTTGATCATGACAACTTTTGTTCTGTTTTTATGCGTCTCAAAAATGCACATACGGAGGTGTGCTTGGGTATATAAATTGTACAGTAAACTGTCAAGCTAGCAAACATTATATTTTTTGGGACAGCAAATATTCCGAATCAGAGGGCTATTTTTTCGGCTTATCTGAATAGCCTGAATGAAATTATTAAAGGCACATGCTTATGAATTCATCCATTGGTAAGGAAAATAAGTACTTTCAACCGCGCTCCCGTCGGGGGTGCATTCTACGGCACAACACCTGCAATGTTAGGCTGCAAGCTAGCGTGAAGATGAGTGTGCAGAGCAGGGCTGTCTCCGCCCACGACTCAGAGGCAAATTGCTCATGAAGCATTTGAAAATGACACAGGTTACACGATTTCTGGTAAAAACTTCATGATCACAATTTAAAGACCACTGAGAACACCTGAAGTAGTGAAAAGAAAAACGATCGGAGTGGGACTTTAAGCAAATGGGAACTATGTAGAGCAATGCAATGTTGCAACAGACTTGAATGTCATATTTTCAGTGGCTGTTTGTTTTGCTTTGACTGAGTATGGCTGTTGTGCAAATGAAAGTAGAAAACAAAACGGAAACGACGAAGGGCTCCACTCATTCACATGTTAATCCACAGAACCACTTGTGGCAGAAATCTCCACAGGTCAACTCCAGCACATGGGCAAAGAAACGATACCAATCTCTTTTTATTCAGCTCTCAGTAGAAAGTTAATGATCCTTTTTTCTTGAAATATAGCTGCTGTAGATGTTTGGTTTCAAATTCAGGGAAATCTTTTGTTTCGCAGTTCAGTAACAAAACCCAGACAGATTAGCCAGGATATTTTTGATTTGGCAGATTGAGCTGAGTAACCTTTACAGGAAGGACATGTTGATGAGACAGAGTGGGAGTTCAACACAGTAGATTTATCTCTAACAGCCAACATTTCCTATAACTGGAGTGCACAGAGGTCATTTTTATTTAAAAGAAAGCCTCCTTCAGTTTAATTGAAAAAAAACAACAACAACCTCTGAATACAAAGACAGCAGATGGGTGCACACTCAAAACTCAATCATCACACAAGTTCTGTTTCTGAGCAGCTGAATCTAAACTGCCTCAGACATACTGAAGGCAGTTCACATTCAGCGTCTGGGAGCTCAGAGGATAGCTGAATGTACCCAGAAACATGTCAAGACCTTAATATCATCGTATGGCTGCATAATTCAACATTCAAATTGAAAGAACACCGGCTTTTTAATCCTATTTTTGTCAACCGGTTTGTTTGTTTCTATTTTCCCTGTTGTCAGACTCATGGCTGTGGAAGATGAGCTGAGAGTGGGTGCCATTCCTGATATTAAGCCTCGAATCCTCACAGACCAGGTTTGTGCCTGTGTCTACATCTTTTATCATCTCTATTTGCTAAACCAGTCATGTCCTAAAACAGTTTGCATCATTCCTACATCACATCCAAAGCATTTGCCAAAGCCAATACAGGGGGAAAAGTTTGCCGCAGTCATACACTTCACCAAATCTCATCTCTCAAAATACATTTCTGTCACATCTGCTGTAAGATTTCACCATTTATTGCAAACGTCTGAAAGGGGAGAATGAATAATCCTGATAATCCAGAGCTGCTTGAAGCTTAAGTTCATGTACGGAGGTTAAACTTGCTCGCCTGTGTGAAGGAATAGCAAGTCATCAACACTGAGAGTGAATGTTATTTAGCATGAAAAGGAGTGATTTTCTGCCACAGACCACATTAATCATGAGAAAACCTTGACAGTGTGACTCACCGACGGCGTCACAGGGATTCTGCAGGGCCGAGCGCTGTGAATGCACCATGTGGGCTGAATTCTGACGCAGGTGAAGAGGCTGTTTGTATATGCCTTGTTTACGCTGAAATGAACTCCGGAGAGACAACATTTCCTATTCTTAAAGCCTCTTGGAAACTCCAACCATATATATAGAGTCTGCTGAGATTGAAGCTATTTTCCTGAACGAATAGAGTTTGGGTTTTTACGCCATCCCTTTTTGGCTCAGGTTGTAGTCATAGCTTTACAAAAGACGCTTTCATGATGCTGAAGATTTCAGCCTTTTAAAGAAAAATCATAGAGTGACTTAGTGTTGAGAAATGCTATTCCTTCAGATTAGGAGATTCTTATGTGGACGGTCAGTTCCTTTGAAATACTAAAAACGAGGATTGAAAAACTCAAAAGAACTGTTCGAACTCTATTTACTGTTTTGCTGGAAGATGGTGATGAAGGTTGATGCTAATATCACAAAATAGGTTGAAAAATCTGCATCGAGGGAATTTAACTCAGCACAGAGGCCGGAAAGAGGTGGAAACAGCGTGCCTGGCTCGGTTTAAAGGTGGGCGCGAAGGTTAAAAATGGCTGATGCCAGTTTGCTGTTTCATGGGGGTGGGTTTCTGGACTGTTTCTTCGCCAGTCACTTTCTGGACTCTACTCTGGTTGTCTCTCCTGCCAAGGAATCCTCCTACACGAAAGTTTTTCATTCTGACCGTCTAATTTTTCGATTATACAAGGGGACAAATATTCATGTATGGCTTAGCATCATAAGTGCTGCCAATAGATTGGTTGAACCCGGACTGGGAAGAAGGTCGAGCTATTCTCCGTGTCCATCTTTGTGCTGAGCTGACTGGCTGCTGATTTCAACCATAGCTACTTTTTCACCGCACTTTCAGCAAAAAAGTAAATAAACATCAAAATGTAAGTGAAAGTGGACCCTTTGAGGCGTAAAAAAAGGGATAAACGTTAATCCTCTTCTTTTTCTCTCCCCTCAGTCTATCAACCAGGGCTATGGTGGATCCTGACTGCCGCTTTCAAGGTGACCAGAGTTCATGATGGTCACCAGGGTGTAAGAAGACTGACTCAGATCTTTCTACGAACACCCACGAAGAAAAACTTTGCTTTGCATCCAGCAGGACCACTGGAGGCTTCTTCACACGTTTTTTAAAAAGACCTTTGCACATACTCAAACTTAGCCTGTACAAGAACTTGACAATCAGTTTAGCATGAGGACCAATGTGTGCAGGGAATCATCCACACATTCTGACTGATACTAGAGCCAATGCCACAACAATGGCAATACTGAACCTAAAGAGTTTCTTTATTTAATCAAAGTGAGAGAGGATGTGTTTAACACTTTTTTTGAAGATGGATGCATTATGTTCCCCCTCTACACGCAGCACAAATAACCTCTCACTGAAAATACTGCAGACAGAGTTTAGACTGAGTGATGCCTGTGACAAGCAACAAGCATGCTACTCAATCATTTGCTGCCTAAGATCAAACATACAGGGCACAGGCAGAGATCTGTACTTCTGTATTGATTTAGAAACATATGGGCACTGCAGGGTAGTTCAAACCTATATGGAAACCAATGTGGTTTAATGCATCTTTCATAGTGAAATCATTACATATGATGAGATGCCGTACAAACAAACAATCAACTGACTTCTATACAATCTATGTGGCACATTGTATAATTTTTTTTATGCTAAGAGCTACTAAAACTTTTATTAATTGGAATACTTAAAAAGTAATCTGAGGTTGGTCACTAACAGATTATGACTTTTCAGAGCAAAGAAATAAAGTGCTGCAAAAGGAATTCAGGAAAAGACTTCAAAATGAAAGACAACATGGGTACAAGCTGTTGACTTTAAAGGGGAATTCCACTGTTTTTTTTTTTTTACACAGTAAAGCACTTCTGAATGCGTAAACTCGTTTTAAACAATTTGACAACTATTGCTTAAGCCCAGCCTTTATATAAAAAAAACCTGTGACTAAACATGTGTGACATTCCAATACCAAAGGAAGCAATGCCATTGATGGTTTCATTCATCCATCACATTTACAAGCGAAGACTTTCAAGCAGCTGATCGTTCTTGTATTCTGCTCAAGCTAGCAGGTGTAGTTGGACTGCTGTCATGGTGGTAACACTGCGCAGATGTGACTGACACTCGGTCAAGAGCTGTTCACGACGGGAGCCCTGTAGATGTCGTCTCGCCCACTCAGAGCGCAGCGTGGTTTTGCATGCACACAAACATGCACTTGAACATGCACTTTCACGTGTTTTTACTGACCTAGATAGGACATTCAGATACAGGTTTCATTTCATCTCCAGGTTTCAGATGAGATGGAGAATCCAAATCAATCGGCCTCGGCAGCTGCAGCTTGAGCCTTTTTTACTCCACCTGTTATGAGGCTGAATGGGAGTGTAATATAAAACCCCTGGAGTGCTGCCTCTTTCTGCGAGGTCAAAAGAAATTTACCCGTTTGAATGAAAGTGTCTTCAGGAGGGTGATGCTTTCATTCACATCTGAAAGAAAAAATTCGACTAATACCACCTTTCTTATAGCAACGGAAGGGCTCCAGCTCAGCTCCTAGAGATGATTGTGTCACACCTGACAGACAACGTTGGTATAAAGCCAGCCTAAACTAATCGAGCCTCAAAACTGACGAGTCAACCTTAACAAAAAAAGGATCACGGTCTGCCATCGTCATTATTAACTTTTATTTTTCAACTTTTTCTTTTCTTTTCTTTTCTTTTGTACAGCACTTTGTAACATTTGTTTGAAACTGCTGTATGGATCAATTTTAATAAGTATGATTATAAACACTATGTGCAACTGGAAACAAATCGTATTATAGCAAGTGGTGAATTACTCATCTGTTGTGTTTAATGTTTCTGGAGCATAGATGTGCAACAGTTCTGCATGTGCTTTTTAAACTGCGAGGACGAGTAAGTCGATTTGCTGTCAGATATTATAATGAACAAAAATGAAACTTTAAACATGCTTTCTGATGGAGGGCATCTTTTTTTATCAACCTGCTGACTCTTCCGTTTTTTCCAGAAGAGGTGGCATTCGGCCTTTTGCATTATACAACATACGAGTACTTGTAGAAGAAAACAGAGGCGACAGACCAACAAAGGTGGAACAACAACAGGACATTAAACAGCAGGGATATGTGGTGTATGTGCATAGGATTTGACTGCCTTACAGTCTGTGTCACACAGGGCAAAAATAACAATGCCAATACAAAAAAAAAACAACTTGTAAATTTGTAAAATGAATGTCCTTTTTGTAGTCAGGTGATGAATTAATAAGCAGTGTAATGGTTAACTCTATATGTTAGTCAGAATCATTTGTATTACAGATTTCATGGGTGATATAATTTATCTTAACCTCTTGCCTTCAAAAAGACATTTCCTTTGAAGATAAATATCAATGATATAAAGTTATATGTTTATGTTACCAGAAATGTATAAAATAGCTCAGTGTATATTTATTCTTATATGTAAAGGTATTCAAATCAAGGGTAGGCCTTCAGGCATGTTCAACTCGAGGTACAGAAAAAAAGATTCTTATATTATTAACTCTTAATGCTGCAATCCAGAAACTACAGTGCTATGGCGTGGCTGAGTTCATGGGATGAGAGCTGAATAACTTTCCAGATTAGCACATTTCTGTTGTGTGGATTAACAAGAGAAACGTTTTCTCGCCCATGTTTATGTAACCAAAATAGCAGTGGTGCTTTCAAAAAATACTGGATTGCAGTTTTAAGTGATCTCCTTTTGAAACATGCATTTATTTATTTTGCCTGCGTTGCAATACAGTATTTTAAAATGTTATACTGCACATTTGTTTTCATTTGAAAAAAGCTGCAATCTATTGTCTGAGAAAATGTTTATAAAGACATGAAAGTTTATAATATTCCCATGTAATCTTGAAACTCTCTATCTTAGCTGCAGTGGTATTGTGTGCTACCTCTGAATTCATGCCCTTGACACCCTATTTTTTCATGAAGGAACCCTCATAATCTGCTTCGAACCACACACACACACACACACACACACACACACACACATACGGGGCCTCTTTTTATTTTAGACACATTGCTTTTTTATTTTTATTTCTTTTCTACCAAATGTGAAAATTGTCCTAATCTTTGGTTGCTTATTTCAACACTGAAGTTTACATTTTTATTGGTTGTTCTCGATTGCCACAAACACTTTTATACCTGTTTCTGATATCACAGCCAAAATGTTTATTGCTATTTTTCCAAAGGCAAACAAGTATTCATCACTATTACTGACACTGCAATGAATATTTTGCTAAAATAACACGCATTCTCAATCTTATTTTCAACATTGCAATCAAATGTTTATTGATGTTTTCAAGTAGTTAGAAGGTTCACCTTCATTTCTGAAATAGCAATAAACATTTTTTAATCAAGCTGGGTATACTGCATGTATTTTTTTAAAATCAAAGTTTTCATTGCCATGTCATGAATAGTAATTCACATTTTTCATGCCAGCCTTGAAATAGCTACGCGTTTCCCATTGCTTCTTTTGAATTGGCAACGAACAAGCAAAATAGGATCTATGACACCATCACAGGACCGGTCCTACTTTTTCCTGTTTAAACTGAAGTGCTGTTACCGTGACATTCATGAGGATTTTTCTTTAGTTCAAGATAAGATGAGTTGTGTTCTTTGTATTTGTCAGATGTTGCATTAACACAAAGAAATTGCCAGCAAGAATATTCAATGTGCCCAAAAATGGTGAAACACAATCTCTGCTGAAGAAGTCAAGAATGACTTAAAAAGCACATGAAACAGGGGTCAGTGCTGAGGCAACTACTTTATTATTATTTTTTTTTACATCCCTGGCCGACACACCTTTCATGTATTATTTGTTACAGAAATAGGAACAAGAGGTATGTGTCTTGCCTCAAATGAAAGCATGGCAGTGCTCCAAAGTAATAAAACATGGTGGTATATTATATTATTGAAGTCACTGTTGAAGCGGTGCTTTATGTTTACAAAATCAAAGCATTTCTGTTTATATACGAACCCGATAGAGGAAAACTGTTGCTTTGCTGCAGCTTAAGCTGGACCTGAGAAACAATACAAGCTATGTTGTATATTTTAAATAAAGATATTTAACATCTTACGACACATTTATGTTTTTAAAATGGATGTATAGCATAATGGAATTAATCAAAGTATTTTTCTTGGCAGCTATTATTCTGCACAATTGATCATCTGTGTCACCAATATGTAGTCGATGGGAATTCTGACTTGAATTGGGCCTACTGGATGTATAACCTTAATTTACTTGACTTTTCTTTTGAAATAAGCCATGCCCCTAGATAAGCCATACCCTCCAGTCCCCTGATGTAGTATGGTGGATGTTTAATGTTGGTAGTTTTATTTACAATGGTAGTTATTGTAGGTATGATTGAATTGGTAATCATTATTATTATTAGTGTACTTGATTGATATGATTTGTTTTGTTTGAACAAAAGGAATGTATTCATTTTTCAGGTGATTTTTTTTTTCTGAGTGATTTAAATAAATCTTAAAATCCCTAATTGAAGATCTCCTGTTTTTACTGTAAAGGTTAACGACAGCAACAGTAATTAAATTTAACTACATCTGCATTGTATTGAGTAACATGGCACTGTACATAGCATGACTTGAAATTAAACCTGATTAAATCCTAAAAGTTAAATTGGATCTATTTTTGTTTTTTTAACAGATCATTAACTACTGATTTACTAGAATATAAGGAGTCTTTATCAAAACTATTCTGATCACGAGAAGTCAGATTAAAGGGTAATCAAATAGAAATCTAGTTTGAAATAATGTTGGGGTTACATTTTCAGTTAAACAACTGCAGTCACATTTTTCTATTCAAATTAAACTTGTTGTTAAAGAAGATTTCAAGTCAATTATCAGATAATTTTTTTTCTACAACCTTTTTTAATTGTTATGGTGTCTGTAAAAACAAAATCAAATCCAACAATCCATTGCTTTGATTTACAATACTATACTTAAAAAAAGGTTGTCTTAAAGTGTGTGATTGAACAGCACCATCTTGTGGTTCACAGGGAGTTGAAAGAGGTGGATGAGTGTCTTTTATTTAAAAATCACACTCAGACAGTATTTTCACATTCAAGTGTCAAACAAAATGATATATTCAGACATAACTTGTTACATTTTTCACATGGATATAAACGCAGCTGCAGCTGAATCTATTCAAAATTCAGCCCAGGTCTGGCAGGAATACCCTCACCAAAAGCTTTATCCAAACAGAATTAAACTCTGGATGAAAACAGATGTTGAAAATAAATCATCATCCTGTAAATGACCCAATTTTAATGATACGTTTAAAATAATACAGCCCTTTTACATCTGCGCTCCCAGTTTTTTTGGAGTCTTTTCACTGTGATCTTTTTGAGCATGTTAACATCATCTTCATGTAATGAAACATACATGAAATAGTCCATCTGTTTCAAAGAATAAAAACCCTTTTGTGCCCTGTATTTTGTGCCACTGTTGTCAGGATGATATCAGTGTCAGGGGGTAAAAAAATGAGAAATGATCACCTATCACCCTGATGAGTCCTGATCTCCAGGTGTGTCTCTGGACTGATCCATCCTCTTTGTCTATTTAAGAAGACTGTCCCACGTGGGCTGCAGAGAGGGGTGTGCTGGTGAGGGTGAACGTGGCCACACTGTGAGCTATGGCCAGTGCTGTACCGTTCTTTGAATGTCTCTCTACTTCCCCCACGCTTGTGAGTCCCACCTCCCCGTCTCCCTCCCTCACCCCCCACCTCCTCGATCTCCACACTCTTTTGAAACTGTCAGTCACAAAGCAGTAAACCACTGGATCCAGGCAGCTGTTTAAACTGCTCAGAGTGACCGTGATGTGATAGGCAAGTACATGCCCCGCCCCCTGCCCCACCCCCTCCTCGCCTTTGACTTTGACCCTGAAGTAAACCAACACCTGCCTGATATGGAAAGGTGTGAAGCAGATTGTGAAGACCACCAGGACAGCGGCCAGCAGCCTGACAGCCCGTGCCCTCCTCGCCCGGCTCTGCTGGGGCATCAGGCCGTGGCTGGAGGAGAGGAAACAGGCAACACGCAGAGTGAAGCCCACGACGGCCAACAGAGGGAGGAGGAACTCGAGGATGGTGAGGTAGAAGAGGGCAGGGAGGAGCACACAGGAGGAGCTGAACCCTAATGCGGTGGTCTGAAGAAAAGAGGAGAGAATCCAAACATACTGAGTTACCCTAACTTAATTTTAAGCCTTAATATCCCTTCGAGCACTTTGGTGTTTTATTTGTAACTGTGGTGTGTTTTTGTCAGCATTTTTAAATCTATCTGTTTATATTGTGTTTGCATTGTGTGTGTGTTTTTACCTGGAAAGAGTAGGTGACCACAACTGCGATGAACCAAACTGTGGCGCTGACACATTTGGCTGTACCTATGGTCCTGCATCGATGCAGAGTACTGGACGCATGGACAACAGCGAGGTAACGATCTACACAGATACTGTAGGAAGAAAGAAAAAAGTTCAGCGAAGTTTTAACTTTACCTTCAGATTAATGTATTCATCAGGCTGACCACCCACCTTGTTAGAAATAATATACTGCAGTACATATTGACAAAATAGCTGAAGGTGTGAACATAGGAACAGGCCACACAGGTGCCTCCACTGTGGTACAGAGCAATACGAGCAGGCAACGACAGCGCCACCAGCAGGTCAGCTACTGCCAGGTTTATGGTGTAAACCACGGAGGCAGAGGAATGAGTAGAGGCCCCACAGAAGATGTAGAGAGCCAGACTGTTGAGGACCACTCCAACCACCAGCATGAGAGAGTTACACACCTGCAGCGCAGAGACATAGAGCGTCATCCATGTGATTATTCGCCGAGTCATAAACATTTAAACTGAGTCAGGGGTTTGTAGTTCTTCACTTTAACCTACAATCCCTTTAAATTATAAAAACTAATCAATAGACGGCTACTGAAAATGTACTTTGTCTTACCATGAGAGAGACCCACACAGCATAGAAGTCTTGGTACAGCTGTACATCCAGGTGAGCTAACCTGTGCAAATAAGGTCCGCCCCAGCGCTGGTCCCAGGAACTGCAGTTTTTGGGGTCAGGGGTTGAAACTGGTAAGAGGTGCGGAGAGCTGATGTTGGTGTGAATGGTATCCATTAGTAGGAAAGACAGGCTGATGTTTGAGGTGAAAGATGACTGAAGAAAAATAGGACAAATGCATAGTCTTCAACCACATTGTAAGGACTAAAATATGGTCAACAAACTTACGAATCACTGTTCCCAAAAACCAAAGGACCTGTCAAGTCATATATTTTTGCTGTGGCAGATTTATATGGTACCTCTTTAGATAAATTCCCAGCTGGCTTGATTTAGGACTGACTAACTACAGTAATCTCCCCAAATGACACCAGTTTGAAGCTCCTGTGCGCAACTTTTGGTTTACATCAAACATCAGTCTTTTCTTATCTTGTTCTCTTCTTATTTTTGATGGGGCTGTTTTTCAGCTGAATGGCTGACACCTACCCACTTGCACCATTTTCAGGCATTAAGAATTACACTATAAATATTGCCAATCATGTCGTTGATGGACTTATTTGCTATTGGCTATCATAAAATGACATCAGTGTGAATTTCAGTCTATTTTATTGATGTAAAAAAACTCATAATTGAAACTTTCATGAAATAAATTTCTACTGTTCTGGTCTGTTTTTCAAAATACAAACAACCAGATGGATTAAATGCTTGTTAAAAAGCTGTTGGGTTACTAATAAGAGTTACCAACAGTCAATGTCAAATATCTTTTTTTCTGTTAAAGTGCAGAATAACTGATTACTAAATCAGCTATTTGGCTTAGCAGCCACACCGGGATGCTAAAAGCGAATATGAATTTTTGAATTGACTTCGTGATGCAAGGTTTTTTATTTTCAAAATAAATTCCTTTTTATGGTGGACAATTGAGCTAAAAGGTTGAGGCAATTGTGCTCTTAACCGATGATGATAATTAAGTGTTCAAATCTCTATTAAGAGAGGAGTTTTTCACTGTTTTAATCAAGGGAGGGTGCTATTATGATAGTAAGACATCATCTGCATACAGGTAAAGTTTGTGTTCCTGTGTTGTGTTTACCTGGTTCCTATCATGTTTGTGGTTGGCAGGTATCTTGAGCTCCAGCCTTGAAATCAGCGCTGTGTTATAAACTGACTTAATTGTTGAACGAGTGATTCGTGACTAGAGTCATGAAAAGCACTTTTTAAGATCAGCCAAGTGAGTCCTGAGAGAGGGACGTTAGCAACCCTGGACTTATAAACAACACCCTCTCTCAGAGAGAAGAGGACGAGTAGAGAAGAGCTACAAATCTTCATATGTTCACTAAAGGGATGAGACACTTTCAACAAAGTTCGACATGGGACCTCTTGTGTAACTTTAAACATAGACCACAGTATTAACACAAGCCACGTCAGTGTGCCCTGCTGTTTCAATGCACCATGTGTTCGACATGTTTAACATAAATCTAATTAATGTGAAACATCCTGTTTAAAGAAAAGAGGCTCTAAAATCCTTATTGTGTAAATGTGATGCACTTTCAAAGATGCAATGCCAGAATGAAAAGTACACTGTGTTATAACTCAAGAGCTTTTTGTGAGCTCAGACTTTATCATCTTCATGTGCAGTTAGCAAAGTTCTGATTTCAACAGGTTTGATTAATATTTTAATAGATTTTCCCAAACGCATGGCTACGTGATTACCCTTCAAATTTTTGACAGACCTGAAAATGCTGTACCTTTTTTAAATAAAAAAAAAAGAAAAGAAATGAGAGACAGATGAGCTACTGTCTGTTAACACGTCTTGCTGAGGAAGGTCTTTCCACTCTTCATCATCAAACAGACAGTTAGATAAAACATGTCTGAGGTTCTGGGATTCAAGAACAGGAACGTACGCGCTCACCCCTGATCCTGCTGTTACTGTAACCTCATGTCCACGTTTAAGATCTGGATGCGGCTGTTTAACGTCAGTGTATAGATTGAATATACTAAAATTGGATAACATCTGTAACATTTGATTTTCAGCTTTAGTGAAACAATAAATGAGTCACTCTGGCAGAGTGAAATTCACTTTTTGTTGTCTCTAGCAGAGCAAGGTGAGCTGAGTGCAGCTGCGACAAGAGGAGGATGCATCTGCAGTTCTAGTAGAATACAAAGTTTCTGCCTGAATACATTTGACAGAAGTCTTCGATACAATTCAATACTATGAGTCCTTTTGAGCGAATAAGTATAAAAATTTCATCATAAGAGTTTAAGCAAAAAAAGCAAAAATCAAACAATGTCACAGAGCAGTTTTATAACCTTTTTCAGACACTCACCTGGTGAAGACAAAGACAGGGAAAACGGTTTCATCCAGTAAATTCACATTCAGTGTCCGAAGGTTCAATATTCATATCTGTGAGTGTAAGACTACTCTTTTTATTTTTCTGAAGAGAATACGCAGAGACGTCTGATGTGATTGTCTTGAAGCAGAGCACACTGTGGACCTCCCCCTCAACTCTCACTAAATCTGGAGTACAAGACAGCAGAAAGAGTCCTTTCTTCTCATTTTGTTCAGTCCTTATCCACATCCAACTCTGTACTTGCCTTCATCCTACAATATGATCATTTTCTCTGCATCTGCTTCATCCCATTCTCTTAAACTTTCCAGTTAAGTCAAATGATTTCAGCTGAAACATTGAAAAAGGAAGCAAAGGAGTGCGGTTAAACCAAGGACTAGTAGATGGTGAGAGGGTGAGTTACTAAGAGTGGTTTAAGTGGCTGTCCAGACAAGCAAGGAAGATGCAAGAAGTCAAAACATGCAACAAAAGAGGCAGTAAGGATGAAAGTTTCAAAATGTTATAGATCTCATGTTATGTAAAACGTTATGTAACACACAACCACCATACATACAGTCTTTGAGAGAATGACTGTAATGGACTGTTTCATTTAACTATGTTTTCAATAAAGTTTATTTAAAGCTGTCTCCAGGGTGGTCCTCCACTGAAAGGGTCTTTTCTGCCCCTGTGTGTACACCTTATTCAATTAGAGAAAGAGAGGCAAGAATGGAGGAATGAAACAGACAAAGAAATATAAACTGTGTCTTCAAATGTTTTACAATACTGCCAGCTCAATCACATTTACACACACACACACACACACACAGACACACACACACACACACACGAAAAAAAGAGAAGAGGAGAGCTAAGTAGAGCGAGAAACTTTATTTTGACAGAGATATTCTTTGAAGTGAGCAACACCCTATAAACTGTAGTGAAATAAACCATGAGCGTGTGTGTGTGCGTGCGTGCGTGCGTGCGTGCGTGCGTGCGTGCGTGCGTGCGTGCGTGCGTGGGCAGCTATGTCAAAATGTCAAAAAAAAAAATCTGAGTATATAACTTACTTTAATAGTTAATTTATTATTATTTTTGTTCTTATGAAAGTAAGAGGAGACACTGTAGTTCTTTGTGAAATTTCTGGTGATTTCATTTCGTTAAGTGCCTGGCTAATGTTTGATTGAATGTTTCTTAGCCTGTTTAAATATTTGAAACCTTCGTCAGATCTACCAAGGCTCAGCTTGTTTAAAGTGCTGCAGACTGAGAGGAAGGATGTTCCACTTGACACTTCAGTAGGATTTAGTGGGTAAAAGAAGTTCTGAAATATAGCCGTGTTTAAAGTCTATTTTAAGATACTGTGGCTATTATTGTATTAGAGGATTAAATGGGCAACTGCTCCCATTAAAAGCTGTTTCTACAGTTCAGGACAATTATTTTAGTGACATGAGCATCATTATTTTTGTTTGGACTTTTAAAATAAATACTGTGTAACAAACATGTGGAAACTTTGAAAACAGTGCAGTATTTTCAGCTCAATGGGCTCCGAGTAGATGACATGAGACTCTAGACAATTGAATTACAATGATGATACCATGGTGTGCCACATAGGCTGCCCTTAAGGCCCTAAATTAAGTTTTTATTAATGTATTTTTCTAAGTCTTGCATTAAGTCCATGGATTTAAATTTGATTCACATAAAGGAAACAATCTTTTTCAGATATTTTACCAATTATCCATTCTGACATTTTAACTACTGTCAGCAGGTGACCTTAGTGTGGCCCCTGTCCATCACTACGTTTAATATCTACATAAGAAAATGGCATATTTGATACTTGTTGCATGAACGTTTTCGGCTGATGAAGTTAATTGTTACAATTAGGTCGTAATAAAAGTTCAAGTCAGATATGAGATGGTTAAAATGTATTTGTCACTGCAGATCACTGCCGATAACACTCTTCAGAACTCCAAACTGAGACAAAGATTACACGTTTTGGAATGCAAATGATATCACAGCCTTTTGCTTGGATTATTTGTGAAGTTCTATAAAGATTATTTATATTTGATGAGTGGCCTCAATCTTTGTTTTTTCTAATAAAAACCTTCGGCAGTGAAGTATTGTGGATTTCTAGATTTAAAAATGATCTTTATAAGGTGTATTTGTTTACTTTTAACTGCCTATATGAAAAAGTTTGAAGATAGATTAGTCCATAAAAAAAAAATATTTTGCAGAGAGCAACACATGACAACAATCAAACTAAAACTTAAGATTTACAATACAACAGGGTTCTTAATTAATTCACCAGATGTCTACTCAAAGAAAACTTTACAGCTCAACTCCACAGACGGTCTCGAAGAATCGTGCGAGTTCATCTTTACTGCTGCAAAATACAAAACAAACAAATATGAGTGTTTGACCCAAATCACGGCACATATATTCTAGTGTGCAAATGTCTACTGGTATGATAATATGTGTGTGAGTATTGCATAATTAATTAATATTTTATTTTACATGTGTGGAGGTGTGTGTTTCACCTTCGGTTTTTGGTTTTGGACAGGCAGAAAGAGTTTAAACTCTGCTGGGAGCTCATCCTCAGAATACAGTCTGTCAGAGAAATACACTCTCCGTATTCGACAGTTGCCGTGGATCTAGAGGGGAAAACAGAAAGTTAGCCATTGCTTTAGAGATGATTCAGAAAACTGAGTGTAGGCGCCTTTTAAGGACTGTTTTTGGGCTGTCTGAGTTTGCTAACCTGCACACGCAGCGTCTCTAAGTAGTTGGTTCCATAGGCTCTCCTGGTGAAGTCGGACAGGTTGAACTGGATCTGGTTCCAGCCGTCGTCCAACCTCATGGGCATTGTACAGATAAACGGCTTCACTCTTGTCGTGCTTTGGTAGTTGCTCGCTCTAAACCGTCTGCGAACATTTTTATCATCTAACACCTGAAAGTTACAAAAATGTAGAGAAAGCATGAAAAACCATTAAACTGGTACAACAAACTCAAGATTTACTTGATGTCCTCAGTGAGAGGACGTGTGTTCTGGGATAACCTGGACTTCGAAGGTGAAATACTTCTTAAGGTTCTTAATGATCATCACCAGAAAAGGAAGCTTGATTCCCAGGGTCTTCTTGGGGTCTGCAGGGCATGTTATATAGGTGGTGCTGCAGGTGATACATAAAACAACAAAGAAGATGAATGAAAGAGGCGAGAGAGAGCTGGAGAGTCTGTTTAACTGACACACATACTCACCAGACATTTTGCCCTTCGACTTCCAACACCTGTGAGTGAATGTCTTCGTCAGTGACTCTCCTGATTGAACCGTTTCGTACCTGTGACCAAAAGAAATCATATGGAGGAATCCTTTAGTATCTCTTCATCAAAGGACAGTTGTCAGGTGAGTTTTTGCACTGATGCATTAGTATGTTTATCAGCCAAAATAATACCAAGAAATGGGAGAGCAGGAACTCAGAAATCATGTTGCTGTAATTCAAAGATGGATGTGGAGGCAGGAAATAAGACATTTCAAATGTTAGGAGAGGAGTGTGGTAAACAGTTAGTAAACCTGCAGGATCTTAAAGACGTGCTATTACCTTGTTGTTGTTTTCATAGTTTGAATGCAAATGTAAAGGTAAAATGTTGATTGCCTATAATGTTGCTATTCTTATCAGTTGCTTGGCAACTGCCTGCCTTTTATTCTGCAATTCTTACAAGGGGCTCCTAAAATAGATTAAAATATCCAGAAAATGAGTCTTTTACAGTTTAGGAAAGCCGTCAAAGAAGCTAAAGACTGAAGTAAAACTGTGTTCTTTGCCGGAAACGATGTATCCAAATCCTACTGACAATGTAAAAGGCGAACAAGGTACAAACAAAAACGGCGTTTTCATCCCCTCCAAACCAAACAGCAGCAGAGTTCAATGTGATCAGAGGGTTAAATATGACCAGAGGGTTAAATACGGCTTTATCAAGAGGCATTCAGGTACTGAGATTTAGCACACCTTACTAAGGAAGCTAACTGCATTTCTATCACGGACTAAATCGATGCTCACCTTTTTATCCCATATCTGCAGAGGTTTGCTGCCGATGCTGTACAATATGGACAAAAATCCGCTCTGGAACGTGTTTTTAAACATCTTCTTTAAATAGTTAGTCCAAAGTTAGTTTTCACATGCGTTAAGTCTATTGAAACTGTGAAACTCTATGAAAGTGGTGAAACTAACGAGCGGTACGTTTGTTTACAAATTTGGTTGCCATCCCAACGCTTTTTGGTTCCGTGTGACACAAGATAGCCATTTACGCCACGTTAATTTTAATTTTTAAATAATTTTTTTAATTGGGAATCTCTTTTAATTTGTTTTTCACAAGTATCTCATTAAGAAGTCAAACAAACTCATGACACGGTCATTTCTTATCGTGTGTTGTGTCGCTAAGAAAGAATCTTTCCACGTTGTTCACGACGGGCCATAGACGTTGACGCACCAGGGTTACCATGGTAACGAAAATCAGTCAGACGTTTAGATCGCTACCCGACCCGTCTCTTGTTTTTCTTAATCCCCTATAAAACGTCAATGGTATATTGTAAAGTGTAATAATCATAATATACATTATGAGTTTAAACTCTTTCTGCCTGTCCAAAACCAAAAACCGAAGGTGAAACACACACCTCCACACATGTAAAATAAAATATCAATTAATTATGCAATACTCATACACATATTATCATACCAGTAGACATTTGCACACTACAATAAAATGTGCCATGATTTGGGTCAAACACTCATATTTGTTTGTTTTGTATTTTGCAGCAGTAAAGATGAACTTGCACAATTCTTCGAGACCGTCTGTGGAGTTTAACTGTAAAGATTTCTTTGAGTAGACATCTGGTGAATTAATTAAAAACCCTCTTGTATTGTAAATCTTATGTTTAGTTATAATTGTTGTCATGTGTTGCTCTCTGCAAAATAAAGTTTTTCATGGACTCATCTGTCTTCAAACTTTTTCATATAGGCTGTTAAAAGTATACAAATACACCTTATAAAGATCATTTTTAAATCTAGAAATCCACAATACCCCACTGCCAAAGGTTTTTATTACAAAAAACAAAGATTGAGACCACCCATCAAATATAAATAATCTTTATAGAACATCACAAATAATCCAAGCAAAAGGCTGTGATATCATTTGCATTCCAAAAACATGTCATCTTTGTTTCACTTTGTAGTTCTGAATACTGTATGAACACATCAGCTGCACATTTATTTAATCAACACTGCATCACATAATAGACAAAAATCAACCCAGATTAACTTAAAACTGCATTTCATATATTCTAACAGCAGACTGAGTGCAACAACAATGTGAAAACAGGAAGTGCTGCAGTTTATGTTTGCAAAAAGAGTTTTTACAAAACAATGACTTGCATTGATTCTTTTTTGTTTACCAGCATTTCTCATACTGATTTAAACATTTTTCACTTTGGAGTTATAGTCTGAACACTTTATCGACTGGATTATGACACACTTCCCAGACAACAGCTCTTTGCATTGAGTGAAATGAGTTGTATGTATTTCTTAAGACATTATTGCTACATCTGCTACCTCAGGATATAATGAAAAGTAAAGCCTGAACAAGTATAATCACAGTTGAGTGTATTCACTCGTTATAAACCGGGTCATTATTGATAAGTGTGTCAGGCTAACATAATAAAGCTGCTATTTGTAAACGCCACATCAATGCTAAGATTAGAGTTGGACATGCTGTATAAGGCCTCTATCCACTGTAATATTTTGTTTTTGAAAAACTATAAAAAATGACGTCTTTAAAAAGTAGTATCATATCATAAAGTCAAGAATAGTGATTTTTAGTCCAATTGAATAATTACATTTTGAATCTGTTGGCAACACAAAAAAGGTGAAATTTCTCTAGTTTTGTTTTTTGCCCCCTTCTCTCTTTTCCTGCAAATTTTATGCAAATTTAGCTTTAAGTTGAGTGCTAGAGTAATATTTCAGTAGGCACTTAATTTAAGTATCGTTATGATAGCTAAAAGGCTTTAATTTCATATGTCCACTTAACTGTCATTGGGTATTGGAAAGCATATTAATAACCTGAAAATTCAATCATATTAACTCATCTTGCATTAACTTTTATATGGTTGTATTATTATTGAAAAAAAAAGAGGCTCTGGAAACTTTAACTTTAGATCAAATTAAGAAATCAAGATCTAAAATAAAGAAAAAAGGGCAGTTGAACGTCTTCTTTTTACAGTAAAACAAACTTAAATTCAGACAACCCTGCACAACATCAAAGTGTCTCTTAAAACAACATAAAATTCTGTTATTGGAACAAAAATAACTGCTTTCTTGATATATTTAAATTAAATACATTAATAGAAATGTATTGCTTCAGTTCATAGCATGCATCTCTTTAAAGTGCAAAAAAAAAAAACATTCATTGGTTCACGTCAGTAAATCAGCAACTGCATGAAGTCATTGACAGAAATATAAAAGAAAATAATTTCAAGTTGGCACATTATAACGGCACGTAGTCCAACTGCATGTAAAATGATATTAAGTACAAAATAAAACACCTTTTAAGGGAAATGCAACAAAAAGGAGACAGTAAATCAAAGGCAAACAAACTCGAGCGTGTTCAGACCCAAAGAGTTGACATCGATGTTTAGCCTAAAAGGAGAGTCTGTACAAAGGTCCACAGTTGTAAAAATAAGGTCACAAAAATATCCTTTCCTCCGTCACTTCTAGGCTTCTTTCCTTAAACTCCTACTTTGGTTTCCTCTCTTTTAACATTCTTGACAAGATTTTCTATGATTTAATTATGTGAGTTTGACGACCTCATTGCTTTAAAACAGAGGGAGAAACGTGAAATGTTCAGCATACATGTATGAAAAACTGCTGCCTTTGTGGGGAAATTGTGGACAAGCCTAAGCATCCAGCAAAAAAATCTTCATTTGGCTTTTCAGTTTCTCTGTTGCCCTTAGATACGAAGCGAATTCTTCACCTCTGCTGTAGAAAAACTCCCATATTGGTCCTGTTCTGACTCACACTCAGTCGGCAGTGTTATAGTTACACTAGAAAGAATCCAAAACTTGTGAAGTGCTTATTTTAAAGAAGTGTTCCCACTTTTTTAATGCATCCAAGTGCTGCTGAAGAAAGTACAAGAGTTTTGTTTGTTGCATTAAACTTGTTTTTGAGCAGAGAAGTCGCCTGCCAACAATACTGGCCACTCTCGGAAATCTTAGCACCACACTTTCACTGGTGTTTTAGTGGAAGATAAAATCAAATCTAATGTTGGGACTAGAACCATCTGTGTTAGGCTGAAATGTCCAAACACTGGAGAAGGACAGAGGACTTATGGAACTGTTAGGATGCCTACAAACCTGAAATGAAGTTCTTTTAACAAACACCTCTCATGTTAAATTATTTCCTGACAGTCTGCGGTATAATTTTCTTTAGTGCAAAAGCAAGTCAAAGATTAATTCCCTGCCGTTCACTCAAGGGTTCAAACTTTCTACTTTAATCACCTGCATTCCCTTATCAAGTCCTCCTGCAGGCTGGTGTGTGTCCATGTGCGTGTGTACATGACTTCTGCATGTTGATGTGTGCGACTGCAGGAGCGTGGTTGTGTTTGTCCAGTTCTATGTGGCGCCCCCGTAATGAATGACATAGTAGTCATGGACGTACATCAACACAGCAACAGGCTGGCCAATGATGAGTGATATCCACACGGCGGCGTTGCCATAGTTGCCATTCAGGAAGCGACCCACAAACCAAGCCAGAGGGACCTGAGGGTGTGAGAGATCAGGAGTGTGTTTGTCCACAAGCTGTAGGTTAAGGGATAAATTCAACAGAAACGGACGTGTCTTACCTGAGCCATCATTCCCATAAAAGCCCACAGTCTGAACATCTTCAGGGGAACACTCACGAGGTACTGAGGAAGAAACAGAAGAAAAACATCATTAATGCATGAAGCTTTAGTAGTCAGGATTCGTCAAACGTCACCAGAGGAGTTGCATATTTTTCCAGCAGTTTTTAATAATATTTCAGGCAAACAATTCAATATGTAATTCGTATCACAAAAATCTTCCTGTTTTTTTTAGGTTGATCAAGAGAGGTGGAATTGTTTAGTGCTTTTGATCACATAAGGAATGACTAAGTTGTGCTTTTTACCTCGTGGAAAAAGGCAGACACCAGGAAGACAGCTGTTTGAGCCAGAAACTTGTTGACCCCCTTTTTCAGCATTGGTTTATAAAAGTGCCTGTAAGAGACACAAAGACACTAGATGTAACACTTAGAAAAACAAGCAAACAAAATCGAAAAACATTCAGTCTTGTTCGGTCGGAGTTCGATACTCACCTCAGGCACCACTTGTGAACCGGGATGTTCCAGTTGGACCAAAAATACGTGACTGTCTCAGAGTTCCTGAAGCGAACAAGAACAACAAAGTCTGAGAATCTCACATCAAAATTATAAATACTTGTTAAAATATTACATGGGACACACTCAACACAAGTGCAGCTCTTGTCTCTGTTTTTCTTTGTTTTGACCTGAAGGTGTGTTTTTAGTGCAGACTTTGTGTGTGTGTGCTCACCACCAGTCTCTGTAGAACTCCCTGTCTCCAAACTGCAGCAGCTCTGCCACAAAGTTCATAGAGGAGTGGAAAAACCAATAGAAGAATATTAACCATATCAAATGGTTTGGGACCTTGAAAAGAGAAGAGAAGAGAAGAGAGGAGAAGGGTGTGTTCATTTTTTTCTTGTGATAAGACTGTACAAAGCTAGATTTCTAAGTCCAGAACATAAGGATACTCACTGCTAACTTTAGGAGGCGCTCAACCATCCTAGAAAAGTCCATTTCCTGAAAGAGGCAATCAAAAACATCTTATAAATACCAGTGTTCTGCTCCAGGTGAATATAATGAGCTCATATTTTGGGAGGTTGTGGGTGTGAGTGTGCACACCTGGAACGGTTTCATCGAGTTCTGTATGGTGGGGACCATCCACTGTTGACCACAAACAGAAATGGCTTTAGTTTGCATTGTTCTATCGATAATGACAGATTTAGAAAGGTAGATCGTACATCATTTAACTTTGCAATATTATTTTGCTCTGAATTTTAAGGTTAGCCAGTATGTGGAGAACTGTGAATCCTCCTAACACCGCCGATTTTTGTCTGAGTGATGTGATCCTGACTATGTTTGGCTTACCTGCTGTATCAATCCCACCAACAACTGCATGAAGAAAAGCTACAAAAGATATATAAAAACATATATCATCATCCAAAGTTTATGTCATCGGCAAATAAACATTGAAGTGACCTCTCACCATTTCAAAAAGTCTTCTTATCAAAAATCTTTTACGTATACGAGGTGAACGAGGGAAGTTGAGCTGGTAACACAGAGTTGGGGCAAAGACAAAGTAGTACATATCTAAAGATAAAGAAAGACAGAACACTTGAAAACTTAAAATAAATATTATAACTATGAAATAAGGTGTTTTTGATTCAAACTTTGATTTTAAAACAGGGCTGTGGCAGGATACCTCTGTGTGTGAGGTTGCCAGGGTAGGAGACATGAGACTGAACTGCTGAACCATTGGACTGTGCCACATTCGGACCTGAAAACACATGCAAATAAAAGTGTGAAAGTAGTCAATTCGCACTTTTACTCTAGCACGTAACCACATTTTTTCTTTAACAGTCAGACAAGTCTCCCTAACAGCACTTAATGACAGTTTTGGGTCTCATGCACTTCTCTATGTCTGTCTGAGCTCCTTCAGAATATAAAGTCATCAAGTTGCATTTAGGATTTAAATAGCTTCAAAAAGCAGAGGGTGATAACAGCTGTTGAAGACGCACGACTTTGATCTCTGACTGTGTGCGTCACGATTTATGTGTCAGCCAAGAGCTGCTTCTCCCCAGTAGATGGCAGTAATAGAACAATAATACATAAGAAAATGGCCTGAAATCCTTTTTAGTCCTTCACATCCTTTTACATTGATGAGTACAGTTCCAGGATTCACCTCTTACCTTATAACTCATACCTCACTCTAAATACCGCCTGTTTTTGCCCACTCACGGTTTCAATAACTTGTGTCTAAGTTCATGTGCTTGGTGACGTACTTACATGAGTATGACCGTGTTAGTCTCTTGGCTTTCGCGTGCCTGATTTCTCTGCACCACCTGTTGGTGTCTTGGTAGGAGTACAGCTTGAGAAACAACACAGTGTAGACTCCTAAGGAAAGCACACCACCCACTGACAACACACACACACACACACATTGACTGAGTAATAACAGGGTCTCTGCAGGTTTTAACAAATCACATTTAAGACTTTTTAAGACTTTTTTAAGACCATAATAAATGCAATTTCAGACCTATTTAATATCCATACTGACAAAAAAGTACAAAAAACATGAAGGGAAATCGGAACATCTTACTTTACTTCAAATCAATTCTTATTCCTCTGGCACGTTATTCATTTGTAAGTAGAGTTGACACATTTTAAAGACCTTTCAAAATTGTATTTCAGACGTTTTATGAGATTTTAAGAGAATTTTAGACATTTTAAGGCCTTAAATTCAAATTATTGGATTTGAGACGTTTTACAGCTTTTTAAGACCCTGAGGATACCCTGAATAAATGCAATAATACTTTGTGACTGTGCATAAATACAAAAAAAGTGAACATGTACCTGGAGTTATGGAGTCTACAGTGAGTACAGAGGCTGAGGGAAATATCAACAAGGATGCCAGATTAAAAAAGTGAAGAATCAGTCCTGTTGTTTCAGAAATGGTGCCCTGAAACGACAAACAGAAAGAGTGATATCACTGTGAATTATTTGATCTCTTAGTTTCCATGATTAGTCCATGTCATTTGAGAGAAAACAGCATCTTTACTTCACAAGATTAGACCAAATCTGACTTTTATTTTGAAAACACCGAGCTGAATGTAAATGCTTCACATCATGTTTGTCTTAACTGAAGCCAAAGTGCTTTTCTTATCAGAGTTCAGAGCAGGTATGAAGAGAGGTGTGTCACTGATTTCACAGTGTAAGCTCAAGGATCTGTTTCAAGTAAACATCCTTGAGAAGAAATCCTTACATTATAAATTTAAAACAAGCACAGACTAAATCGATCTGAGAAGAACAAAAGCAAATCTAATTTAAGAATCAGAGGACTGTCACGTCTGTAACAGCTGACTTACAAGTTCAAAAATGTAAAAGAGCTTTTGTTGCACCTGAGGAAAAATATGCAAATGATAAGAAAAACTCACCACAGCCAGCCGTCGCTCTGTGTACAAGGCTGCTAGGATGAAGACATTGGACACTGAAACACAAAGCAGAGAGCCGGAGTCATTTTCTACACAGACACATATGAACCACAACAGGTTGAGTTCATTATGTTCCAAGTGTAAATTCAATTCACACAGACAGAAACAGAGAAACAAGTAAAAGATAACACTCTTTTTCCAGGAAAGATTCAGACAATAGTTCAACAGTTTGTTTAAATAGCAGCAGATTATTTTGATTGATTGTTAAAGTTACTTTACATGTCCCAGCCCATCCCATTGTTTCCCACAAGGAGATATACGTTTATTGACTCATTTGACTGATATACTGATAAGGCATGTTGTTGCCTGAATAAATACTGTTCCAAAGAGTGAACCTCCTTTAAGAACGATAAAGAAAGGATATTCAAAAAAGCTGTTGTAGAATAATCAACACAGGAACAATACTTTTTGGTGACCCCTATTTTTCATCCAGGATGTCAGCTTGGACTGCGCATAGCTGGGGTAAATTTGGGGACTAAACTGGACTGAGCTAAGAACAATGAAGCTGCCTACAAGTAGGGCCTGAGCCACATCTACTTCCTGAGGAGGCTGAGGATTTTCTTGGAGTCTGTTGTTAGGGTTAGGGTTAGGGTTAGGCCAGTGCAAGCTAGTTTTCTGTCGTGTGCTGGGGCAGCAGGCTGAAGACAGTGGAGGCCAACAGGCAGAAAGGTGGTGAAACACCTTTTATTACAGTCAACATTAGCACCTTATATTTGCTGATATGAGATCAAGAAGTAAAGGTCCAACCATTATTTGCCAAGCTCAGGTTGAATATCAACAGAAAGGTCATGGAAGGAGGACACACCTGTTACGGTGATATTAACACAATGAAGACGTTAAACTGAGGGCTTCATACCAATAATGAGGCAGGCTGCTGGCCAGCTGTAGGGGTCCTTTAAGAAGAGAGACACCACTTGGATAGGATCCACCAAAATACCATACCTGCATGAGGGGAAAGAGAAGAATTCATTGATGCACTTGATGTTGATTTTAAAATGTTTATATTAGGTGTGTATCCCCTTTTAGTTCAGTTTTAAATACATTTTAGACAACCATGCTTACTTATACTTCAATCTGTGAATTTGAAATACAAAATGCAGTTATCCTAATAAAGCTTAAAGTTGTTTTTTTTAACTTTTTTTTTTGAGACGGCATCTAAAAATGTATGCAGTAAAATGAGGTAAAATATGATAGCCAGCTTTCTCACTGAATATTTGTGGACTATAACCATCTGTCTGATTCTAATACTTACTTTATTATGTTCTCAAGGAAGAGGCGTGCATTACTCAGCACCTGAAAGGTTGGACAAACAACAAGCATCAGATTATAAATTCACACTGTCAACAAAGGTCACATATTTTGTTCATCGCCACTCATTCTTTCTCATATATAGTTACACACATCTGCTATAAATCTGAGTGATTCCTTTATGGCTATTGTTAGCTTTGGGGCTTGAGTGTGTCTGCATACTTATCTATCAACTGATTGATCAATGGTGGCATGGATCAGATCAAAAATTGGTTGTAAAATGTTCCTGCAGCTTTTGAACCTTTGTTTCCGTCACACCCTCCTGCCTCTCACTCTGTTAAAAGTAGGTTTATGATTATATTGTGTATCCAAGTTCAATGCCAGAGTTGTTCTCAGGCTTACCTTATCTACATTTCTCTGAGATAAAACCCACTAACACAGATTATCAGCGCTGCATGTGAACAGGACATGTTTACTTTGTCCTTTTTGTGGTGTTTTCAATTTGTAATTTCTAGAAACGGTCAAGATGAGGACAGTGAGGGTTTGACACATGATAAGGTCGCATTGCGGTGATAATGTGGCATGTTGCACCACGGCCTGCGGGCCTGCCAAGAGTATGCAGCAATGTGGTTTTGATTCAACTATGCCTTTTGTACGGATCAGGGACCTTTGCCTCAGTGACCTCCAGCACGGACAAGAGAGGACCGTCACTTAAAACAGAATGACTTTGACTATGAAAGAGTGTGCTAACCCTGATTTTTGCAACATCAAATACAACTTTGCATTATCAGGGGTCGTAGATTAATGGCAACACTCTGCAGGAATTCAAAGTCCTGCAACTTCCTCAGATTTTTTCTTTGCATTTTCTTAAACATTTTCCTGCTGGAGTTGACTGTTCCCTGGGAAGACAGGATGGAGGAGGCCTTTGAGAGAAAGAAAGCCAAGTATGAGGAGCTGGCAAGTGAATGCCGAAGCAGGGGATGGAGGACCCGGTGCAACCCCATCGAGATTGGATGCAGAGGATTCGCTGGCCAGTCCCTCATCAGGGCTCTCAAGATGCTGGGAATGGGGGGACTGCACAACAGGCGAGCCATTAAGAACATCTGTGACGCAGCAAAGAAGGCGTCCAGATGGCTGTGGATCAAACGGGGTGATCCGTGGACACATGCTCTTAAGACACAAGCCGGGACTTGATCACCCCGGCTGGGTCCCCTGGGCGAGGGTGTATGTTGCAAGACCCGAAACACCCAGTGAACCCAGGTGCCAACACTGATGATGTGTCTTAAGTTGCACCATAAGTGTATTTCAGAACTAGTTGATCTGGCCATGCCAGTGACCTCCGGGAATAGGCCGGATGACGACCATGAACAGTATGGTGACTGCTGGAGAGTCAGCTGACAACTGGAAAGACAGTAACCGGGGCAGGGAGGGCCAGCAACCCAAACTGCAGCTCCTGTGAGGGAGCACCCACAAGCACGCTACGAAAAGCCCTGACGAAGTATACCCCCAGGGGTGCCCGAGAGGGGGGGAGGATGAGCACCCCAACAGGACTGACAAACAGGCAACGAAGCGGAACGGAAAAATGACTACGAGCGCAGTCTGTCCATGCGGCAAGGTCTGCAAGAACCCGCGTGGTCTGAAGATCCACCAGACCAAAATGAGATGCTTGACGGGGAAGCAGGTGGTGCAACGCACAGGTCCAGAACCTGGTGAGACGCAGGAGGTGCCCGGCCAGGAGTCAACCCACAGTGCCCAGACCCTCCACGCCCCACAAGTCCTACCTCGTTTCAAGCATTCAGAACATCGACGGGTCGTGTGGCCTGCAGCCAACAAAGAAAGAGAGTGGCTCCAATTTGATGAAGACGTGGACCGAGTCCTTGACGCTACTGCAAGGGGAGATGCAGACCAGAGATTGCTGTCAATGTCGGCGATGATCATCAACATCGGTGCTGAAAGGTTCGGCATAAAGGAACAACAGCCAACCAGACACCCAGGGGAGCCAACCAGATGCCCAGGGGAGCCAAACAGACGGGAGGTAAAGATCAGCCAGCTGCGGCAGGAACTTAAACTGCTTGGACGACAGTTTAAGGTGGCAAGGGAGGAAGAGAAGGCCGGGCTGGCAGAGCTCCGCAGCACAATAAGGAAAAGGCTCATCATCCTCCGTCGAGCAGAGTGGCATAGGAGAAGGGGTAGAGAGAGGGCCAGGAGACGTGCAGCCTTCATCTCAAATCCCTTTGGCTTCACCAAGAAAATCCTCGGGCAGAAAAGAAGTGGCCACCTTGCCTGCACTGAAGACGAGGTTAACAAGTACCTCAATACCACCTACAGTGATAGTGCAAGAGAAGAAGATCTTGGGCCATGCAGAACCCTGATAACTCCGCCAGAACCCACCTCGGCATTTAACACCAAGGAGCCAACTTTGAGAGAAGTTGAGGAGGTTGTCAAGGCAGCTAGGTCCAAGTCAGCACCAGGCCCCAGTGGAGTGCCATATGTGGTCTACAAGAGATGCCCCAGACTCTTGAAGCGACTATGGTCAATCCTCCGGGTCATCTGGAGAAGGGGGAAGGTGGCCCAGCAGTGGAGACATGCAGAGGGAGTCTGGATTCCAAAGGAGGAGAGCTCAACCACCATCGAGCAATTCAGGATCATCTCACTCCTCAGCATCGAGGGCAAGATTTTCTTAAGCATCGTTGCCCGGCGCTTGATGGAGTTCCTCCTGAGGAACACTTACATCGACACCTCTGTGCAGAAGGGAGGAGTCCCAAAGGTCCCAGGATGCATCGAGCATACAGGAGTTGTCACCCAGCTGATCCGGGAAGCAAGAGAAGGCAGAGGAGATCTGGCAGTCCTTTGGCTCGACCTTGCCAACGCCTACGGGTCCATGCCACACAAGCTGGTGGAAATCTCGCTCGACCGACACCATGTTCCAGGCAAGATCAAGGACCTCATACTGGACTACTACAGCTGCTTCAGTTTGAGAGTCACTTCCGGAACAATAACATCTGCATTCCATCGGCTTGAGAAGGGCATTATCACAGGATGCACCATTTCTGTGGTACTGTTTTCCTTGGCCATGAATATGCTGGTGAAGTCAGCAGAGGTGGAGTGCAGAGGACCACTCACCAACTCAGGTACGCGACAGCCCCCCATCAGAGCATTTATGGATGATCTGACGGTGACTACAACATCTGTCCCGGGCTGTAGATGGATCCTCCAAGGCCTGGAACATCTCGTCAGCTGGGCCCGGATGAACTTCAAGCCAGCCAAATCCAGGTCCCTGGTGGTGAGAAAGGGGAAGGTCGCAGAGAAGTTTCGCTTCTCAATAGGAGATACCCTGATTCCATCTGTGGGTGAAAAGCCAGTTAAGAGCCTGGGCAAGATCTACGACTGCACCTTGAAGGACACCACAGCACTCCAAGCAACATCAGAGGAGTTGGGAACCTGGCTGACGGCAGTGGATAAGTCGGGGCTACCAGGCAAGTTCAAAGCCTGGATTTACCAACATGGCATCCTACCTCGACTTCTCTGGCCACTGCTGGTTTATAATGTGCCTGTGACCACCGTCGAGTGCTTCGAGAGGAAGGTCAGCTCTTTCTTGCGGAAGTGGCTGGGCCTACCACGAAGCCTCAGCAGCATCGCATTGTACGGGAAGAGCAACAAACTTAACCTACCCTTCAGCAGTCTGACGGAGGAGTTTATGGTTACCCGTGCAAGAGAGGTGCTGCTGTATAGGGACTCAAGTGACATCAAAGTCTCCTCGGCAGGTGTAGAAGTGAGGACCGGCAGGAAGTGGTGTGCTCAAGAGGCAGTCGATCAGGCTGAGTCCCGCTTGCGGCACAGTGAGCTGGTGGGAACGGTGGCATCCGGACGGGCAGGACTTGGGAGCAACCCGAGACCTTCATATAACAAGGCCAAGGGGAAGGAAAGGCGTCAGCTGATCCAGGAGGAGGTCCGAGCAGGGGTGGAGGAAGCCCGCTGCAGCAAGACAGTGGGGATGCGGCAGCAGGGGGCGTGGACCCGTTGGGAGGAGGCAGCTGCCCGGAAGGTCTCGTGGTCAGAGCTATGGCGCTCTGAGCCTCACCGGATCAAGTTCCTCATTCAGTCGGTCTACGACGTCCTCCCAAGCCCATCCAACCTCCACCGCTGGGGCTTGGCTGAGAACCCACTGTGCCCTCTCTGCCAAAGAGCAGGATCACTGGAACACATCTTGAGCTGCTGCCCAAGAGCACTGGGAGAGGGGCGCTACCGCTGGCGCCATGACCAAGTGCTACGGGTCATTGCGGAGGCCATCAACACAGGCATCTCCACCAGCAAACACACACAACCATCAAGGCAGACCATCGCCTTCGTTAAGGCTGGGGAGAAGCCGCAGCAGCTCAGGAGGCAAGCAGGGGGGCTGCTGGCAACAGCCCGTGACTGGCAGCTGAAAGTCGACCTAGGGAGACAGCTCAAATTCCCGGAGAACATCGCAGTGACCACGCTCAGGCCAGACATGGTCCTGGTGTCTGAAACAACAAGGCAAGTGGTCCTGCTGGAGTTGACTGTTCCCTGGGAAGACAGGATGGAGGAGGCCTTTGAGAGAAAGAAAGCCAAGTATGAGGAGCTGGCAAGTGAATGCCGAAGCAGGGGATGGAGGACCCGGTGCAACCCCATCGAGGTCGGATGCAGAGGATTCGCTGGCCAGTCCCTCATCAGGGCTCTCAAGATGCTGGGAATGGGGGGACTGCACAACAGGCGAGCCATTAAGAACATCTGTGACGCAGCAGAGAAGGCGTCCAGATGGCTGTGGATCAAACGGGGTGATCCGTGGACACATGCTCTTAAGACACAAGCCGGGACTTGATCACCCCGGCTGGGTCCCCTGGGCGAGGGTGTCTGTTGCAAGACCCGAAACACCCAGTGAACCCAGGTGCCAACACTGATGATGTGTCTTAAGTTGCACCATAAGTGTATTTCAGAACAAACAACTGCTAAAGTGGTATCCAGTCAAGAAATGTCATTTTAGCCTGCTGTGACAAACGTGATGCAGTGAGAACCAGATGAAAGTTATCCGCTCATCATGAGGTTTTTTTTGTACCAGGAACTATTAGAACTTTTCAAAATGACATGTCCAGTTTAATCGTGTTTCCGTGTCCCTTTCTACAGACAGGAGACGCGTTTAAAAATAGCAACAGCTACTGCGGTTGGCGGAACACAGAGCTTGACACACAAAGCCGACCTGGGAAAACTGATGCCACCAAAGACTTGAATGGTCGAACATTTTGCACTGCCTTCAAGACAAATCTACAGCTCACAGCCAGCTGAACACTAACAGGCATATACTGTGTGTTTACAGCAGCTGGCACTGTAAGGTTTCACACTGTCAGACACTTCTCTCATTGTCATTTAATCCATTCACAGGATGTTTGGCTGCACATCAGAGAGGACAATATGAACCAGCTGAAGCACCGATTGTGTTTTCGCATCACATGCTGGGATGGTTTTAGTTTCTCAAGTATCAACATCATTGTGATTTATCCCAAACGTCTCTAATTTCTGCTTTACACCTCCATATTATCCAGGGCCCCAAGGTACAGCATGTTAAAAGACTAATCTATCAGGGGGCTCACGGATTATGCAGCACCAATGTCAATCTGCTTAACATACTGCGAGTATTTCTTGTTGCGGGTTAATTCCTGCAGCTCGCTCAAAGTGAACCTTAAACATGCTGCTGTATGACGAGCTGATTAAGCTGTAGTGGAGGTATTTGTCTCCAAGGAGTCACCACTCAAGACTTTACGTCGCAGACAAGAAGGTTTTTCGAGGACTGGGTTTAAAAGTGCCTCAGCAAAACACCTAATTTTAGTCCAATTTTTTTCACGGTTTCCTTAGTTACCCGATAACATCAGTGAGGCACGCTGCTGTCACAACAAACACGACTAGCTTGACAAGACTGGGCTGGTACCAGTCAAAAAACACTGCAAGGTTACAAGAACTTTAAGACAATATGATAAATACAGCAGATGTTTCTTTAATACTTAAAAACCAGGAAATACATTTCATCAGTGTGCATGAATTTGTCAACATTCAGGGTGTAAAAATGAAGAGAAGTGAAACTCTCATCTACTGCAGATGAAATTTTTAGGAATTTAGCCGACTGTCCTGGCTATCAAGGACAAATTACACAACTAAGCTATTGAATGCACACATATACACACACATACACACTAAAATGGTTCCACTTTACGGTCTTACGGTCTAATCCTAAAGACTTCCTAAAAACAGTCTGAAGCGAGCAGCATCAACTGTCCCAGCTGACCATGAAGTAGAGGACTTGGTCGTCACGCAGATATACTCTTTCAAAGATGGGGTTAATCCTGTCACACAGCTGCTAAATTAGACTTGATTTGTGCAAACCCACACAACCACACTCGGAGCACACACAGGCGCTTGTAAATGCACAAAACTCACAAAGAAACACTGAAATTATACCAAAATGTAAGGACAAGTTATAAGAATCATTTTGCATTAGGCTATGCATGTGCATGGATGCGCACATTTGCAAGGATACACATGCACACATGTTAACAGGTCGATTCCTAGTCTGACCATTTCAGTTTCATAAGGATTACAGCTAACTGGCTATTTGTATCCTCCACGCTTATCCAAATACGAACAGAAACTGGGTGTTTAGAGACACTGCAGGGTGCTTTTGAAGACACAGACGCTCACACACACGCTTTAACTCAGCCACAGCAGAAAGTTTGTTTATCCTGAAGCGACCTCAGCCCAAAGGGACGGTCTTTAACTGTGACACGTCTGTGATCAGTGCTGCAACCTCCACAGAGAGACTGTGAAACCTGCTTTTGAAATGTTTACTCTATATTTAACCCGAAACTTTAGGCTAGCATTTGGCTGGGTTGCAAGATTGTGAAAAGCCAGCACATACTCTAAAATTAAATCAACAGAACAAAGCTCACTCATCAAGGCAACCTCAGTCCGTCTTAAAAACTGGCCTACTTTCCACTGCAGCCTCAACATTGTGTGAAACAGGAGATAACAGGAGCTCCTGCTTGTTTAATTTCTCTCATACGATTTTGAAAGTGGCATCTGACACAGCTTTCAAGTGATCCTTCTCAGATCCTACCAGCATACTTAAGATTTGTAAGCACCGACTGTCAGGCATACACAGGCTCTTTGCAGGATTATTCATGAAAATGACCCTGCTGGAAGATTCATCTTTCAGTTATATGTTGGTTTTGGATTTTTGGGAAGAGAAACAAGTTCACTGCTGAAGCATGTTGACTCAGCTTGTAGAGGAAGACATCAGTCAGATGATGGGGTCCTGCTCACCCTCTCAGGATTCTAAAATGCATATAAGCGTGATAATAATACTCTTAGGGCTGGGCGATAAATCGAATATTTACCGATACCAAAATTTATGACAATAACCAACGTCATTTTGCCCATATCAGTATAATTGGTGTCAAAAAAACTAAATAAATAAAAGTTGGTTTTGGATGTGTGTAGGTAGGCTATGATCTCATGTCCCTTTAAGACGCTGTCCTACATCAGAGACATGACTCCACCCCATCCAGTCCATAAAAAAAAGAGGGAAAAACAGGTGAGGAGAAGGAGGACAGTTCAAAAGTTGTAGCGGCTAGAGTAGACAAAGTTAATGTGGGAGGGGGTGAGCAGCTTGTGGAGTAGTTATCGTAGTTATCGTCCATTTATCGTTATCGAGGTGAACTGCTCATTATATCCTGATATTGATTTGAGGCATATCGCCCAGCCCTACTATCCCTAACATTAAACTTGTGATTTAAATAAAGAAATAGTCATGGACATGGATTAGACACAAAGGTTCAGTTTGTACTCTATAATCACATTTTTTAATCTCTCTCGAATGACTCAGGGATGATAAAAATTCCTCCACCGCTTTCACATTCATCGTGTTCCTTAGTGTCACATAAGTCCTTAAGATATTCACTGTCAGCCTAACAGAGCAGTCTGTTAACATAGAAATGTCAGCTTTTTGATGACTGTGAAAGTTCACAGAGATTAAACTGTGACAAATAAACACACCCCTTCATCTGAGTTGTAAAGGAGAAAATACAGGAAGTTTAGACAGGGCCATGGGTGAATGTGTGGTTATGTGGTTTGTGTGAAGAGACAGAACATGAAAAGCAACTTGTCAGACTTTTCACAGGCAACCTTTATGTGTCACATAGTGTTGATGTAACGGTTTCTATGTGAGTACTGTACTGTGTTGGCTGGCACTTTGTGGTGGTGTGTCTCATGTTTTGCACTCTTCACAGATAGATAGAATACTACTAACATTTACTCATTGATGTAAACAGAGTAAAACTTCCAGAGTGAATCAATTCATTTAGTTAAAATATGGAGTAAGGTGTCAACTGCAGATCATCACCGTCCAGAATTAACAGATTATCCCAAATATAAGTTTGAAAGTATCAGTAAAGTTCATGTAAAGTAGTTTTTACTCACTAGCATGACCACACACCAGTTGAGGATTCCTCTGTAGTTGCTGTAGCCACTGGCTGAGCTCAGGAGAGACTCTTGGAGGACATGACAGCTGGAGGGAAACACATAGTCAGCAGTTTTATTGATCATAAAGCTCTTTAAATTCCGTACGTCCACATCATCTCCATGAGCTTAGGAGTAAAATTATTATGCATGGTCGTAGTCAAACCTCTGTGAAGGAAACATTAGGATGCATTTTTGAAGAGGCTTAATTATGGCAAGAGAGCGGGCCGGCTGGCTGAGCATTTGGTGACTGTGAAATATTTGTATTTGATTTGAGAGAGAGGAGAGCAGGATTGAAGACAAGACTCATGAGTCATGGTTACTCCACAGATGAGTCAGAGTAGGATGCACCAACTCTGAGAAAATTAGTCACATTCCACTCATTTGACATTACAGTGATGGGAGCCACTTTATACTCTTAACACTAACACTACAATTGTATTGTTCAGATGTGTTCAATTTGTCAAACTGTTTCTTTCTGGACTGTTCAGCTGCAAGGCACATAGTATCTTTCAGAACAACCGCGTATTCTAACTTTTAGATATTACATGTATTGCAATATTTATCTATTTATTTTTTTGCATTACTGCCTTTAAATACACTGATCAAAATAAGGAAGCTAGTGTTGTTTTGCAACAGCATCAGGTTAAAAAGTTATTGATCCAACTGTGCAAAGAGCGTTAGATAAACTGAAACCATTCATCCAGTAAGAATTTTTACACAACCGTGTTTACAGGGAGAAAACAGGGTCAAGATTGAAGAGTGAGGTAAAAGGAGAAATGAGGACTTCTCCCTCAGTTTAGAAGAAACAAGACTGTCACACAAAGCAGAGGATAATTCCCAAGAGGAAAATACACAACGTATGTGAGGTTATGGAGGAGGAAGTGAAGGAGAACTAGCTAGACAGGACTGAAGGGATTTCTCAATGGGTGCAATTATACACACAAGGCAGAACGTGCAAGCAGGGACGTAGTCAGCGAGCGCAGGGTTGCAAAAGCATGTGTCTTCATTGTTTCACATCTGCTGTAATACAGGAAAGTGACAGTTCACCCCGTCCATGGCAAGACTCCAAAACAGTGTTGCATTATCACTTTAACTGAGCAAAAAGGTGAAAAACGTGTAAAAACATAGCTGGAGTCTTGGTATGTTAGACTAGTAAGTTAAAGCAGGTTCCCCCTCAAACAAATGCATGTTTTAAATGTAAGATTGATGTGTCAGGCATCAGATGAACAGGGTATTAAGGGTAAGGGTCACAGCATTGTGTCTTCTCTCTCACTCAATATTCCTTGACTTGTTCTTTCTACAAAGCTATATGATAAGGCACACCACCTTTCACCAATATTGATGTGTCTTAAAGTTTGTGCGATAGCTTTCAATCATATAGCTTTCTGGTATTTCTTCAGACCACCAAGCAGTGGGCTCTTTTCCAATTCCAGGTGTTTGAGTTTGATTCCTGAATGAGATTACTATCCTGGTTACATGTAAAAACAGTTGATGCAGTTTGCGTTTTTCACAGATTAAAACCCATAACATCCTGGGTTACAATCATTACAACAATAAAGTTTTCTTTAACTCCCAGCATTGCCATTGTTTCCCATCATTGAGTCATTTTTCATTGAACACTAAGTGTGACAGTATGTTGCTATTCTTTAGTTTAACTTAGGACAGTGGTCTCTTTAATGCCAGATCTCTCCCTCATACTCAACTCTTGGTAAAAAAAAAACCCAACAAGATATTTAGCAAGCAAGGGAGGAAAATATAAGACACCCCCACATTAACGAGGAATGTAACCCCAGAATTAAGGACAGTAGTAAAGGTTTGATGTGGCCCTGAAATGAGGCTGTCTGGACACGTATTTTGGGAATCGCGTCTACCTGAGTCTCTGGTTGATGTCTTCTGCCACGCTCCTCTGTTTCCGCGGACTGTCCGAGAGCTGCCCCTTCTCTCTGCCCACCTTCCCGTTACTAGCATGCCTTGACACCTCGTCCGTCTTGGTTTTAGCGGGATACTGCGGGGGTTTCTCGCCGGCATCTTCCTGCTTGCTCCCGTTGGCTTGTTTGACGCCGACCGCTCCTCCGCCGCCGGAGATCGTGGTCCTCCTCCGCCGGGTTATGGGCCCTCTCATCTCGGCTTTGTCGCTCATTTCGGCGGCTTTAATTTTGCAGTTTTACCTATTTGACATCGCTGATACAATCGCTGGCAAACATTTATACCCGTAGCTTCACATCCAGGGCTGCACAGACAGTCGTGGGCTGTCCACGTTTCCTGTCGTGTCAGTGTTGGTAATGATAAGAAGGCGTTTCATCTCTGCAACAGCTCAAGGTGCAATTGTCAGAGAGGTTGCCAGGTTTGTGTTTTAAACTGACATCCCCCTATCGGAGTTGGCAGTCTTGCCCTATCAAGCCAAAATCCTAGTGAACTTCCAGATAAACTGCTCACGATAGACTGTGGGTTTCCTTGTTCAATAGACATGAGTTATTTTACCACCACTACATTTTAGTAAGATTAACAACTACAATTCTTTCATTCCTCTGAGCAGGGGTGCAGCTAGGGATTTTGGGCCCCATTAAAATAAATCTTACCGCCCCCCAACAAATATGTTAGTATTATTTTTCATAAAACTGCATTTTAATTATATTTTTGAGTATCATTTCTATATTAATATAAAAGAAGACCATGACAGTTGGTAGGGGAAGCATTGAAAATACAATTAAATTCATTTATATTCAATTAACCCATATTTTCTTTCAAATACTTGAATATATATTTTTCTGATGAATAATTACCTGAAGAAAAAACAAAACAGAACAGACAGCTGCTGCTCTTCTTAATATGCATGTGGGGGAAAACTGACTACAGGCTTAGCAGCTTGCCAAATGTTTGCCTGCATATTATTTAACCAAAACAAGAGTGAAATGTCTAGAGTTTACTTCAGAAAAATGAGCGAATACGGGAGAAAAGTGAGCTCGTTCATAATCTATGTACAAAGTTGGGAATAGACAACAGGCTAATGTTCCAGAACTTTAACCACTCACATGAACCACTCACTGAGCCACCTTGCCTGTGAAAAAACTGGGCGACATACTGTCGACTGGGCCCCTAGAATCCCTCTCCTTTTGCCCCCCTTTTTGACGCCCCAGCCTCTGAGTGCTGGAAATATCTAGGCTAATTGAATTTAGACCTACAATTCTTTATTTATTTATTCAATTATTATTACACCAATACCTGTTGTTTGTTTTAATCATTACTATTGATCTGCTGATTAACTGAAAGCTTAAAGTTGCATATTTCTTATAAAAAACCCACACTTTGGTCCTAAAATGCCTTTAAAATGTGTGCGCTTTAAAATCAAACACAGTAAAAATATACACGTCTTTTTAACGTAGCCCCTCAATGCCTGAAACCACAAATTATGGCCAGAAAATTAAATTTTTTTGGAGCTGAAATATTTATTTTACTTATTACTGAAAATCCCCCAAAAAATCAAAATGTCCTTAAAATTTAACACATTTATTTATTCATCTTGTTTGATACATTAGATGTTTTTGGAAACTGATAAACCACAAGAGGACATTTTTATCATTTATCAGACTGTATTAAGGTGTATAAAAGTTTCATAAAAGTATGTATCAAATATGAAAAAAAGGGGCATTAAAGGGTTAATTAATGTCTGAGTTGCAGCCAGTCTATTATTGAGCTTGTACAAGACATTAATGAAACAAAGTCCCTCATTTCAGCATAAATATCTCTCAGGATAACATTACACAGAGAAATCACTTTAGTTAATCAATAGATTATCAATTCAACTGATAATTCTCTTTTTTGTGAGTAAAAACATATTTTTAAAATGAAAATCAGAGGATGGAATAAAAAGCAACTAAAGACAAGAGAGACTGTAGTCCTCAGTGTCTCTCACATTGTTATTTTTAACATGTTTTATGTCCCCACCAGTGATATTGCAATTCACTCGACAGTTGCTTTTTAGCACTTATTAGTCTACCAGAGGAAATAAGAGACTTATTCAGAAAGGAAGCCCTCACACATAGTGTATCATACTCTTGTAGCGTCAAATTAAACAATATTCACACTCCTGTTTTAACATTCGAACTAAAAAACTACAATCAAGTCAGTTTGCAGCGTAATTCTGCTCATAGCCAATGGGATTCGTGTGTTGTGTCACACGCGTTTTCTGGCCAATCACAGTGGAGCGGTGCCATTTATGTTAGATTGACCGCCTCTACAACAGCTGTTGGAGCGAAGCTTCGCATTTAGCCAGATTTTATCAATATTTTTACCTGTATAGAGTCACATTTTTAATATTCCCGCCAGCCTATGGCTCTAAACACAGTTTCGGATTCGGTTGTTAGTTTTTAAAGGGAATGAAAAGGCTGAGGAGGAAGAGACAAAAAGCAGGAGTTGTGGTGAATGGATCTTTCTCCAGAGGTAAGTTCAGAGAGCTAACCAGGTGGTGTGTCACAATCATACACAGAGAACTTATCAAGAGGGATCACAGAGTACTCATCGTACAAACAAACTGAGTCTGAACGCAGAGGGTAAAAAACATTAAAAGGTAACAGGTAGATACTTGTCCTGCTCAATGTAAGCTGTATGGTGAATACCAGTGAACTTAATACTATTACTGCAGCCAGCTGACACAAACCAAAGCAGGAAAAATGAATCACGAGTTACCCGCAGTGTTTCCTCGCCCATTTCAACCTTCAGTTATCTCATTTTTTCAGCCTCAATTTTTCCAAAGAAACTGAAACGTCTCTTCTGCCTGTAGTGCTAACGTGGCAGCCAGTCAGCCAAGTTGGACAGCCTGGAAAGTTGAGGCTGTATACTTTAAATGATCTGTAACAATAACAAACCATATCAAACAAGAAAAACTGCTTTTAGGTGTGACATCCCTTACAATCCTTGACTTCAGTTTAACGCCTTTTTGCCATTTAAACACAGCCAGTCAAATTAAAACTTAAATCACTTTATTGTAATTATGTTTCAGTAAGTTTTACTGTCTGTAAACAAACAAGATCAGTCTGTTTATTGTGATGATATTGTTACCACAGGTTAGTAAATTCATGTTAGGGGAATTAAGATAATGATACAGTTTGGGGTAATTAAAGACAGTCCTCTGATCTTGTCTGTTGACGTAATACTGTATATCATGAAATGTTTAATGATAACATGTGCATATGGTTTGGCTCTTATTCATATGTGTTTCTAGCATCTGATTTCCAGTTTCTATTTATAACTCTTACGTGATCCCTCTCTTCCTCCAATGTCTACCTTTACTATCTCTTTGCACACCCCCTGTAACTCTGTCTCCGACCTTTTTTTCTTTTTCTTCAAAAATTCTTGTGCATGTGTTGTTTAACTTTCTCTTTCTCTGTTTACTTTATTGCTCCTCTGTCTTTCCTTCACTTCTTGAATATGTCTCTTTTCCTCAGCCAATCTTACCCTCCTTGCACACTGTATATTTTGCTCTTCCTCATCCTCTGTGTCCCTTTTTTTCTGCAGAACCAGATTGTGGAAAGAAACACAAGTTGGCTGAGATCAATCAGGCTTTAATCAGGTGAGGAAAACAGTTGACAGGAGAAAAAACTCCCTCTTCTGATTCGAATAGTATCCAGAGGAGATATTGTTTTCTGATGATGGATAACAAAGAAACATTGAAGGTTACAGCAGACACCCACTCACAACTTCCCCCAAATTTTGCCTAATAAATCTATTTCTAAAATCTAAGAAGTCTCAACTCCCACTAGAGCAGGATTTGTTTTCCAAAGTGGGAATACCTCACTTTCTGCTGACCCCTGTTACACATAGGTTGGTCTTTTTTATCCACAGACAGGTCCACAGCACTTCATCCTTCTGCACTGAGCTAATTTCACACATGATGATTTCTCACATGTTCCCAGAGGGATAGTGTGATGAGGATCATGAAGACTGTACTGAAAGAAGGCAGTGTATAAGGTTGATTAAATGGTAGAGGAAAGCTCACACTGAATTTATAATTTGAAGCAAAACAGGAGAACAAAACAAATGTCCAGTTCTGCCGTAGGACCTTATTTGTCCCCCAACAACTGATTTTATTTAAATTAAGTTTTACTCGTTTTGGTTAGAAAATAGTTTTGTTTGTGCTGTGTGAGCAGACTGAGAATTCCCACATTCTGTCTGTTGAACAAACAGTGATCCGGTGGACATTGAGACCCTGAGGAGAGCAGCAGCCAGTAAAGGAGGTCTGCTCACTGATGAGCTCAGGCGGAAAGTCTGGCCCAAACTGCTGAATATCAACGTGTATGATCTACCGCACAAGCCCGGTGAGCAGTGATTGAGTGTGATATTTACTGGCTGTGCTTTATAATATTGCATTACTAATGATAACTCGTAAATAAATCCTTCTGCTGTAGGTCGGGATGTGAGGGACAGCCACAAGGACTACAACCAGGTAGTCCTGGATGTCAAGAGGTCCATGAAGCGGTTCCCCAAAGGTCTGTGTGTTTTTGTTTTATCTCCTGAGAACAGCTGCATAGCTCAGCGTTTGTTTTATCAGTCTCTAACTTGTACTTACAGCAACTTGCAGATATGTGACAAGGTTTAATGATTAATGAAATGAGTAAAACCTGCACCAGAGTTAATTGTTATGTCACAGGAGGCCAGTGTTGTCAGCCAAAATTAAACTCTGGGACAGAAATGGAGGAAACTTGACCATTTCACTGAGGAGGAATAGCTTTATGCCCACTCACATGTTGTGTTCTTTATACACTTTGCTGCTAATAATGAAGCAAAAAGGGGAAATACAAAAATTGTAGAAAAAACTGCAGCGTTATTTGTCTGTTTTTCCTCGCTGGACCAGACATGCAGGATTTGGTGTTTTTTTTTCTTGCAAGAAAGTCAGAGTGAAAACTGTGAAAAGTGCTAGTGATTAAAAGATTGATTTGAAGAATAGAATAACCAAAAGAGAGGGAAAATTCATTTGTTATTGAATGTGCTGATTCGTGGATTCTCCTCAGGTATGCCGGCCAGAGAGAGAGCAGCACTGCAGGAGCAGCTGATAGACATCATACTGGAGGTTTTGAAACAAAACCCTCAGCTCCATTACTACCAAGGCTACCATGATGTGGCGGTCTCTCTGCTGCTGGTGGTCGGGGAGAGGATGGCTATCGCCCTGCTGGAAACACTGTCCAACTTCCACCTCAGGTTCTTATTCTTTTACTTATTCTTTTATCCAAACATCTTAACTCAGAACCTTTATTTTAGGTCCAATGGGTCTAAAACAAATCTCTATAACTCCTGCTCAATAATTTTAAGATCATTCAGAGGTGATAAAGATTGAACATTTGTCTGTCTTCTCTGTAGGGATTTCATGGATCCAACCATGGACAGCACGAAACATATATTAAACTATCTGATGCCGATATTGGAACAGGTTGATAGAGAGCTCCATGACTTCATGGTCAGGTAAACCTTCTCACTTTTAGTACCTTTCTTTATATACCATCAAATGTCAGTGACTTTGGACATCATGTGATGTGATGCAAGTCCACTAGAGGGCATCCAAGTGTCAATCTTTACACGTGAGCCTCTCAGGAAGGCTTAGAGAGTTCTTGTTTTTGAGTTCAAACTCAGTAAAAAAAAAAAATGAAAGAAAACATCAGTAATGCTCTCATTGGGGAGTTTTAGTATCAGATGGTCCAACAGCTGTTTCAGAGACTTTTCCGTCCCTCTGAGGTGTTCAAAACATTTACCTTTATTTGTGGGGTTTAATTAACCAGAAAATGACTCATGATCCTTTTGCAGCTTACTGAAACAAGTGCAGGCGGCATTTAAGGGATGCAAAGATAAGGGAGTTTGATGGTAGAATGGAAGAAATTTTAGCAGGTTATTATTGCTACCTTTTGAAACAGAAGCAACACTCGAATTAATAAGATGATTTTTGACATTTAAGAGAAAGTATTTTCTCACATTTTTCAGATGAAGATAACCTTTACCAAAACCCCCAGGGGAAGATTTAGTAATGTGGGTAAAACTCAGGTGTTACTGTCTTTCGCTGTTATCTTGATTCTTAATAATTATCTATTTGAAAACAATCTGATCTTACAAGTGGCCTTAGAAAATGCTGTTTCTGAAAAAGAAATTGGAATCATGTCTCACAAATTGTAAATAATAACTGAATTTCAATTAATTAAATCCCATGATAAAGTTACTGATGTTATCTCAGTGCTTTATAGTAGGTTATTAAACCCACAATGAGTCCATTTTCTTCACACAGACGAGAGAAAGCAACATTAAGTGGTTACTGATTAAAGCCCTTGAGAGGACCATTTTCTCTCCCTGAGATTTCTCGCTGCTGTGCTGCTTCGTTTACTTTGCACTGAAAGCTCAACTTTCCCTTCTACACTATTGATTGTAACACTTACATGCAATTCTTCTCTCCTGACTCTATGTTTCGCTAAATAACTTGCCACTACTGTAATACCGCTCGGTTGATACGTATAACCTTTACTTGGGTGTGTAGTTCTGGGCGACGATACCTCAGATGCATCAAGTTTGATGTGTTTGACCCTTTAGCGGTGACCTTTTTTCTGGTGGACAGGTGATTCGTCATCTTGAACGAGTCCTCGGTTATTCTTGGGGTACTCCAAACGCTCCCACTCTGTGTACTTCACATGTTTCTGCAGCGGATGCTAAATTTGCTGCCTGGTCTGTTTGCTGTAGTTCAGCTAATGTAGCCTTGTCTCTGTGCCTCCTGATATGCACATTGAGCTGGTGTCACTTTGCTTTGGTTCTATGCAGGTTACGTCCTACATCATTTATCAGCTTCTTCTTGAGAGAGACAATAGAAGTACTCGAAGCAGAGGAGCCCTTATGATTACATGATTGTGACAGGGTTTGTAGTGACACTGGCTGGTGGCTGCATCCCTATCAGCGACAGAAATGTCATTTTAGGAGGTGAAAACTCCAAATTGATGTTTGCTCGTTAGTAATCTGCATCTACAGAAGCTTGAATGTCTTGTTGATTGTTTGTAATTAATGTTGCGCTGGAAACCTGCACATCTGCAAATAACACAGCCACACAAATAACTACAGGAAATGAGAATCCAGACATTGCACTTGCTGAGAGACATGAGGATAAACAACAACCCACTTCAAAGTTTGCAGCGCTCTTTTTTTGAGCCTTCCCGCCTCCCCTAACCTCCTACCTCTTCTTTACCTCTCTTCTTATTTCCCTTTCCTCTTCCTCCTTCCCCCACATGTCTTTTATTCCTTTATGCTCTTTCTCTCCCTCTCTCATATCATCTTCATGTCCCTCTCATCATACATGTTCCCTGCCCTTTGCTCCCTGTTTTTACCCTTCCCCCCGCCCATCAATCCACAGCTTCTTTTCACTTGTCTCTCTCTCTCTCTCTCTTTCTCTCTCTTTCCTTCTCTCATACTTACCCTTCCTCCCCTCTGAATGTTCCTATCCAATATTTATCAGCAACTGCTAAGAGTATCCAATTTTCTGGAGACTCGGTCAAAAATAACTGCCTGTTTCTGTCAGCACACATCAAAGACAGACGGGGAAAGAGTCGGGGAGTTTGGAACAATGTGTGAATGTCAAAAGAATTGTTTCCTCTAGATCAATCAAGCCGAATCTTAAATCATCCATGTGGTTTTGGGTAAATCTACTGCCCTAATATTTAATGAACCTTTTGATAAAGTCAAACTACATTAAGGCGGATTTCAAACCAGGGACAGTGCTACCCAGTTTATCCAAAGTGGTATAGTTGGAAGAAAATAACCTTAGTTATGTCATTATGGATATTTCTTGTCAAGCTGCTTTTTAAGGGAAATCCTGTTAACAAACTTGTATGGGCACGTCTGACAGTTTGAACTGAAGTGATTTAAGAAGAATTGGGCTTTTCAAAGCTTTAACCACAAGATAAAGGAAAAAACAGGATATCTTAAAGTTTGCTTTGCTTCAATTTTTCTTCCGTATCATGTGCGAAGGATCAACACATCATTACTCGCTCTGCGACCAGAACTCTGTATGAGCTGTTGTTGTTGCTGTTGATTTTAATGTTGCTGCTGTCCCCTGCCTCTCTTTCTCTCTCACCCTCGCTCTCTTTTCCCTCTCCTTCTTTCTCCCTTGTTCTCTTTCTCCCCCCTCTGTCCTTCCTCCTACTCCTCCCTTTCCTTCCCTATCTCTCTGTATTTCCCCCCAAGTCAGCAGCGACGAGGTAGCTGTCTAACACAAGTCTAGGTCCTTCCCAAGGTTTCTGCCTGTTAAAAGGAAGTTTTTCCTTGCCACTGTCTCTCATGTTAGATGAGATGGGTCAAATCTGTCCCATCTTAAGGTTGAATCTTAGTAATTCATCAAACAATGAGTATGGTCTAAACCTACTATTTTTTTGAAAAGTGTCTTGGGACTGTAAGATTTGGCGCTATATAGGTAAATTTGATTGATTGATCGAACACAGTGTTTTTACTCTTAAGCAATGTAACAATGACACTGAACTCACGTTAGCAGATAATGCAGGATGCTAGGCTTTCAGTTTTCATATTGTCAGTAATCCATTTTCAGTCCAAGCATTAGAGACCAAACAGGTCATATAACTGTTATTAGTGATGCTTTTATTTTGAAAGGACTTTAAAAAGTACTTTTGCTCCAGCATATGTTACCACAAACCTGTATATATTATTCAGTATTAATGGGTTGCACATTGTATCTAGAATTTTCTGATTCCGCACAGTACTGTATAAAGTTGCGTTCAGCTGTGAGTTCTCATTTGGTTGGATAAAAATAAAAAACTCACTTTTATTTTGCATTAGGTTGAGTTGTGATGTTTTTTTTTTAATCTGCCTCTTTCCACACAGAGCTGAAGTCGGAACCATCTTCGCGCTGTCCTGGCTCATCACCTGGTACGGCCACGTGCTGTCCGAGTTCAAACACACTCTGAGGCTGTACGACTTCTTCCTGGCCTCACACCCACTGATGCCCATCTACCTCGCCGCTACGGTAAGAGGACAGCTCAGAAGCAAAGAAACCAGGAAATGAACAGCAGACGGTGACTTTTGTTCTGACGTCCACAATGATATTCAGCTGCAGCACACACAGAGACTCACACACACACACACACACTCACACAATGAGGCAGGGAACTGTGAAGTGGCTGGACTAGTTAATTAGATACCTCCTAATGAACAGATGAGAGAGAGAAAGAGGAGGTGATAAAAAAGAGGAGGAAAGGATCCAGCAACAGGATGACAGGGCTGCTTTCTGATCATTCTTGTTGATCTTTCTTTGTGTTTTTTCTCCACTTGTTCCCGTCTTAATCTCAGGCCTCCAGGTGCTCACACAGTTAAAATGTTTACAGCTGGATCATGTATGTGCGTCTGTGGAAATCATTTATCTTGTGTGTCGAGGAGGCTTCCTTAGACTGATGTGTTTGATGCATATGAATGAGTGTGTACATTGGGCTTGTTTTGATTAGAGGATGTGTGTGTTTGTGTGTTAGTGAAGGGGCTGGGCAGAGGGAGAGCTCTGTTTGAAGTGTGTGAAACAACAAAGCAGAATGTAGTTCATGTTTCCTCCAAGGCTGAGTGCAGCTCACAGCAGGGGGAGGTTTAACTCCTCATCTGCCTGCTCACTCTCACTCTCCCTCTCCGGCACCAGTGGAGCTGCTCAGTGTACAGTTTGTTGAATTAAACTCGAGTGTCCTCCTCCTCAGATTGTGTTGCACAGAGAGAAGGAGGTGAAGCAGACAGAGTGTGACATGGCCATGGTCCATCACCTCCTCTCCCGCATCCCTCAGGATCTCCCGTACGAACTTCTGATTGGCCAGGCCCAGGATCTGTTCGAGCAGTATCCTCCGCCTCTGCTGGCCAAGAAGGCAGCTCTGCAGTCTCGCAAGAGGTGAGGGGACAATGACTGAAACAGGAGAAGTTTAGATATGAAGATGTTGAAGCTGTCAAATAAAAACACAAAGACGGTTTTTGATAATCAGACAGAGGCTTAAATGGAAATGGAAATGTTCTTTTATTTATACAGCTCTTCACAACAACCCTTTCGGTGAACCAAAGTGCTTTACAATACATAGTAAATAAAAAAGAATAAATAAAAACAATAAAAAACATGAAAATGTCAAACATAAATAAAATAAAATACAATGCAATAAAATAAAGTGTCACCACGCTACTGGGAAATTTAAAGCCAGCATAAATAAATACGTTTTCAATCGAGATTTAAAGAGGCCCAGGTCAGAAATAATTTCGTTTCGTTGGGGAGCTTATTCCAGAGCCTGGGACCAGCAACTGAAAAGGCTCGGTCACCACAGGGTTTGTGTTTTGACCTGGGCACTTCCAGCAGAAGTTGGACCACAGAGCTCTACCCGGTTCCCGAACGGTTAAAAGATCAGTTGGGGGCGAGGCTGTTAAGAGAAGGTTGAAGGCAAATTAAAAATCAATGTTGGCATAAATTGTGTCTTCATAAACCAAAGTTATAATCATCATTATGATCAAAATTATGAATGCTTCAATCTGCTAAGAGTTATTTCTTTTCCAATCAAAGCTCTAGAGATAGATAGTGTGACACCTGCTATAAAATTTATAATCTTTTTTAACATTATGTTTATTTTTTATACTGTTTTTGTCATATAAAGAGCGCGCTTTCACACCTAAATGTTGCTCTGACTCTACCCTTAATAAGAATTTGAAAAAACTTGAATTAGCGTTGCTCATGCACAGATTTTGTTGAGCTTCTAGCAAAAGATTTTTGAAGCTGCTGCATGAGGACTTCAGATGGTTTCATGTAATCCCATCAGTCACCAACAGGGTGTGCTCAAAAAACGCAACCAGACACAGTGGACACATGGAACAGTTAGTGTGTTTGTGTGTGTTTGTGAAACCATGCATGTAAGCATTCGTCAGTATTTTTTATTATGGAGAAAGACACATGTGATACACAGCTGCAGTTTTCATCAGTGATCCACTCTCAGCTCGTGTCCCTCAGTTTCACTCAGTCATTGTTTAGGAGGAGAAGTGACATGATGGACATGAGGCCTTGACTGACTGATCTTGAAAGATACTCCCATAATGCATCACTCCCATAGCTGTGATACAATATATACGAGAGCTACCGAGTTTTTTAAATCTGTCATTTTGACTCTAACTTTCATCCTCATTGTTTTTGTCCATCACTTGTTTCTCTGGTCTCTCACTTTATATTATCTCAGGCTGTCCATGTTTCATCTTTGACCCGTCTCTGTTCTCTATCCTCGACTAACACACTCTCTCTCACACTCTGTTTTCTTCTCCTAGTTTGTCCATCAGCACCTTCCAGGCATTTCAGCTCTCCACCCTCCATCAGAGGCCCGACTCTGTTCTCCAACGACTCACCAAGGCCCAGGGCTCCACCGCCTCCAGACACGGTAAAAATAGTTACTGTAATCTTATTAGTGACCCTGAAGAGGGGCTCTGTGAAAACAGACCATACAGACACACATAAATCTAAGATCTCGTACTCAAACTCTCTGAAGTTGTATTCAAATTAACAGTGACTTTAAGATGTCAAAACAAACATCTCAGCCTGCCCATCATATTCGTTTGATGGATAGTTAAATCAGCTGTAAATACGCCATCCCCCACAAACTCAGCTCTCCTTTGGGCCAATCAATAACAAGTAAACAATTGATGCAGTTCCCCCTTCAGACCAATCAAATGCATAGTTGAATATGCCAAAACAAAACAAAGACAAGCTTTATTCCCGTATGTTTTGTGAAAATCTTATAAGCAGAGTCCGACATGTCGAACTTTGATGTACTGACAATCAAAAAAGGAAAAAAAAATGCTGTAGTGTTCCCCTCTGGCCAAACAGTGTATTATTAAAACTGATGCGCATCATTCCTGCAGTTTCATCACGATTCATTTAGCAGCATCCACACTGATATCAAAACAGACAGAGGGACTGCTGATCGAGAGAACCTCCTGATTTCATCATGGCAGGAAAATAAAAGGAGCTACTGTATGTCCAAACATGTTGAAATGTCTAAATGCTGATCAAGTTGTGAAGAAAAACCGAGCCTGACAGTCACGCCTCTGTGACGCAGACTGAGTGTAAGGTTTGGAAGTGAAATTCATCAGCCAGTGTAAAAGGCAAAATGGGCTGAATTGCGTGGTTATACATGATACTTGTGATGTTTGCCTACACGTCACACTTCATTTGCTTCCAAATCACCAGAACAGAGTGTAAAATCACACACCAGGATTGGCTAAAACTGATCCACTGCTGCTGTGAAAGCAGGGTTGTGCTGTGGCGATACTAAGACTTTAAATGGAAACCTGAAAAAACTGAATTTCTAAGGTTCGCACATCATATATGTAAGATGCAGAACTGTCAGCTGACTTTGGATCCCTACTTCTGTTGTCAAGTTGCTTCCTTAAGTGTTTTCCAAAGTAGCGCAAAAAGAATGTTTGTCTGTGTAGTCATGGCAACTGATACTCTGTTGAGTAATCAGCTGTTTTACAAACATTTGTCAAAGCCAATTTTTTCTCTTTAGTCAGAAAGAAAAAACTTCATAGCGTATCACACAACCACATCGAGCATGTGGGTGGAGCCTGACACAGACTCATGGGCGTGTTGACCTATGGGTATAATGTCCATGTAGTGAATTAAACATGTTAATTATGAATATGTAATAAAAAAAACAAAAAATTCTTACGGGCTGGACTTAAAGCTCCTGTAAGGAACTTTCAATTCTGTCTGTCAATTTTGGCGCCCCCTATGGACAGAGCAGTCTTTGCATAGGTAGTTTTTTCCAACAAAAACCTCATCCCACTGACATTTGATGGTCAAATAAATTATTTATTGTGAAATGTTAAAACAGGTCTGTCTCTTTAGGTACTTGGCTTGTAGTGACCTCTCTCACCAGTTTTAGACATTAAAAATCATTTACGTTTTGTCATTTACGTTTTTTATTTGTCTTAATATATCATTGCAAGGCATCAATATGATTTTTTAAGTGTATTTCTTTGATGCCAAAAAACTCCTTACAGGAGCTTTAAATGAGTTGCTCTTAAGGCCACTTTTTATTCTGGAGCGTCTTTTCGGGCTGTGAAGAAATAGAAAAAGATGAACTGGTTTGTAAAAGTTTTGTTTTTAAGGGTTTTTGTTGGTCCTCGTCTCCACTCCTAATGTTTGACATCCTTCGACCCCTTTTTGTTTATAATCCCAGGAACAAAAGTTTTGGCATGCTCCCACTTTAGTTCATTTCCCAGCACTTTGAACCCACTTGACCCTTTCATGTCTCTCTGCTCCTCTTGGCCTGACACCCTCTCCACCCGCCACCTGCCCTGTACTTGTGACCTCTCAACACTCAGGACTGGAAGCAGCTTTGCCCGGGGACCGAGGCCAGCTGTGGGGGAAGGGGAACAGGATGGTGAAGATGGCAGTGTGGGGGCTGTCTGCCACGCTCGGGGCGGCCGTGTTTGCCGTGGCTCAGACGGCTCTGGACTGGGGACCTGACGTGTTACTCCAACTGTTCTGACCTGGTGGTGGGAATTCAGACTGTTAGACGGGCACATATCCTGACACACTGCGACAGCAGATGGATGGATTACCCAGAAAAAAAAGAATACAAAGACTAACAAAGACTTGAAGTAACTCGCTGAAGTCTCTCCTGCTGGGAGGAAAGCAGGAGGAGGTCGGTTATCTCAATGCCAAACAGGTTGTTGCTCCTCAACCAGAGTGAACATATGTTAACTACCAGTCAGCCTCAGGATGTGTGTGCATGTGTGTGAGTGTGTGCATGTGTTTTGTATGTTTGCGAGCGAATATCAAAGACCTCATTTTACATTAACCGGTATCCAGACAGGCTAAATATTGTTTGAAAAACGCTGACTCTGAGAAATCAAAAAGAAAAGTCTTTGCAGAGGTGCAAAGTTGCCTAAAAATTATAGATTATAAAAACAGAAACAAAGAAAGACGGACAAACCACGAAAAAGCATAGTTGTTGACCAAGAGATACACAATTACATCGACATAATCACCAAAAGCTACTTCACTACCAACAATTACCAAAGTGTTGCGCTCGGAAAACTTCAAAACTATTGCAAAACAATTCCCATCATATGCACTTTTTTTCACCACTGGTGTAACATTTTGCACGTCTTCTTTTGTTTCCTGCTGGTGGATTATTTCGCTGATATCACACTTTTATTCCGCGCTGCTTGTTTCGGTTTTATTTTGTTGACGACGTGTAAGTACATTTGTTAGTTCAGCAGCCATGTCTGAGAGCCTGAAGTGCCCATAGCCAGTGAGATGACATGAAAACAAATTATTTAAGAGTGGTGTGTTTTCTGCTAAGGGGTTCCAGTGGTGAGGAATCGGAGAGGAAAGGGGAAGATTTTCACTGCGAGACTTTCGTATTAATGCTTTACTCCAGGTGTCAGGGAGCTATATTTACAGTGGAGTTTGACACATTCAACAAACTGTTGCTGCTCTGAAATGTGAACAAAACACATCATGAAGGACTCAATGCAGGCAGAATTTTTTTTACAGATACACAAGCCTTTACTGTCTTTTATTTTCAACCTTTAGGAGCAGTTTCTGAATGTTGCGGCCCACCTCTGCTGTATGAATTTTGGGGAAGATGCTCACACGCTTAGATTTTTGAAATATTTAGTAGGTTTGTGCCAACATCCACTGAGAACGCTCTCAAACAAAACTACAGCCCGCACACTCAGCTTTTCCCCCACATCTGTTTTTTCTTCGGCATTTTATACCGTTGAGTAACTTAGAAGAAGAATTCCTGGGCTACACTTTAGAAACATTTAGACAGATAGTTGAAACTCACACCACAGGGAAGAAAAAGTTTGTTTTTTATTGTTCTATTAACATTAGAAGAAGGTACTAGCATCTTCTCGCACATCGCCATATAAACTAAGCTTACCTCTATAACCTGAGAAGTAAATATTAATAATAGAGGCTGTTTTCACCTGAGGCACATGCATATGTATTGAGCAGAGAGGTGCTCCAAACGGTGATGCATGCTCTAGTTGTTGACTCATATTCTGAAACATTTATCAGCCTGTAGCAGCGTTGCTAAGCTGCTGCATCTGTAAACACAACTCCACTGAAGTCGCTACACTCCTCTGCCTGTCCTCCTCTGTCACAAACCTGTTCAGCTTAATGTGAAGTTCAGCCTGTTGATTTGACATCCTTTGTAGCATATGAGTTCAAGTGGTTTTCTCTTTGTTGTGTACGACGGAGGAGTAAAGAACAAATTTTACAAAGCCAGAAAAATCACATTTTAAGCCTCAGGGTGAATTTTAAGAATTGCAGAAGTAAGTATTTATTAAAGAAGTAAATCAATCTGTCATCCAGTGAAGTGGCTGGTTTGAGACACTTCTCACATGTCAATAACTGTGACATTGATAGGTGATAACTAGACACTTTATTAGACAGTCAATAAATCAATCTATAGCCTGAAGCTCAGGTGATCTGCCGGGCCTCTGGTCAGTGAACATTCAGGCATCCAGTAAGTCAGCTAAGTTGAAAAGACTTTGCGTTATTAATCTTACTTTTGTTAGTGTTTGTAATGTGTGTGTGTGTGTGTGTGAGAGAGAGAGAGAAAGAAGGAAATGTCGAAAGGGTCAGTTTCTATTTCTGGGCATTTTCTATGTTTGATGACATTTTTAGGTTTTCGGTGCTCTTAAAGCCTCAGTATATAAAAACTCATCACTATGGTTATTTATTTAAAGTCAACAATCTGATTGGCTATTTATTAAACCGGTAAACATGTGTTTGAATGTGTATTTAACATGATCATCAACAGCATTCAGGTTTTTCTGCACATGAATGTCTTCATGAATCTAACAAGAAGTTACAGGAGTAGTTCGACTTTGTTACGCTTCTTCTTTGCACCAAGTTGGACAGAACATGCAAACCTCTCTTTTCTATTTGTGGTCATAGTCCATATGCCTTTTAGCTTAGCTCAGCTTTGCTCTTTAAAGTAGGAGAAGGTGAAGTTGTTTGCCTGGCTCTAACAAAAACACCTGGAATGTTAAATACTTTAGATGTTGCTAATTTTAAAAAAATATAATTCACAAAAACTCAAACATTCAAACAATAATTATTGTTTTTATGACTTTTTCTTCTCAGCATGGCACAGGAACCAGTAGTACAGATTTCTGGAGGATACTTTGGTATACGGGATCGACTGCCTTGTTTAACTCTCTGTAAATAAGCAGATTTACAAGCATATAAAGAGTTGAACTATCCCTTTAAATACTTGACTCATGTGCTGGCTCAGTTTTAAGATACAAATTATAAAAATCAACAAAAAAATGCAAAGGGAACATTTGCCACCATATGGTGCACGGCTGGCACTGATGCGCATCCTGCTGTTATTGCATAACAGCTCATTCAGCGGTGAAGTCAATTCTGTTAACATGGGCTTTAATTTGACACTGATTGTATGTGTTGGTGCATTTTATGTTTTCAAAAGTGTTTTATTAGTGGACAAACAACAAAAGAAATATTTATTGCTTATACTTGATTGGCTGCCGAGGACATAAATATGCAGAGAGGAAGCTTTTGAAAATGGTTTGTGATCTTCAAAGTCAGATTTTGCTGTTACATTTTTGTGCCATGTAGATTTAAACACACACACATACACACACACACACACTCACTCACTCTCTTTAATACAGGACGAGAGTGTTGGAGGTTGGTGCCAGATCATAATGAGGATTTAATTTCTGCCCCTGGCTCTTGGCATGCTAAAGACAGTTTCTCCTTGTCTCCTTTTCTTTTTTTTTTTCTCACATTCACACTCAAACACCTACAACAACACCTGTACTGGTCTCAATCTGGCACAGGCCTTTGATGAAAAATTATTAAAGCTTGATGGTTAGTTTAAATTGAACCAACCTGGATGATAAAATGAGAAGGTGGATGCTTAAGATGTCTACCTTCTGTCCAAACTCGAAGAAAACAAGAATAAAAAGATGAATAATTTCATGTTAATGATGTGCAATGGTTTATGGTACTTAAAGTGTATTAGATTTAATCGATACTATTGTTTTGTTTTACTTGACATCAACCTACATTTGCAAAGACTTAAAAGCTATTTTGTACTCCACCTACTTTCCACCCTGTTTAATCAGTTTGCCAAATAAATGAAGGAAATGCCACAGATGATTCACTCCAGAAGAGTTTAGATAATTTGTCTAAATATGATCAGACGTAATGTTAATTATGAAACAAGTGACGTATCTTTGGAAAAACACCAAATTACTCTTGTTAAAAAGGCTTAAAAAAGAAATAAAAAGAGAAAAACAGAAAAATGTTTTATTAGTAGTGGATTTTTCAATTATTTTAGCACATATCTAATGTAGCAGCCACTCGTTGAGTTTAATTGAATTACCAGAGGAACAAACCCTCCCAAAAACAAATTTTCTTTACATCAAATAACTCATATTTCATACCAAATTATGAGCTCAGTGTTGTGTGATGAGGAGCCCGCAGCTGAACTCCCAGCGAGCTCGCATTGAGCCTCTCATGACCGCGCTGCCCTCCCCTCAGGTCTGAGAATATCCCAAAAGACATGCTTACACCAAATGCTTTTACAGATAGTAAAGTCGGCTCTTGATGTGTGCGTATCCCTCGTATCGTGGTTAATGAATATTTAGTACAAACTGTATCCGTGAACATATCAGGCTCTTTGCACCTTTTTCTTGTAAAGCAGTTGTGTTGAAGTAAAACAATAAACGATGAAGAGGGTCCTCATCAGTGTTCGGTCTTTTTGATAGTTATACACCACACTTACATATTTAAGGTTTTTAACTGTACAGCAAGCAATTACTAATCAAATTAGTCAACTTACCTTAAAGCTCTAGTAAAGAATTTTTTTGCATCATAGTGTAGGCAAGTGAATGCTTTACTGTTCCCTAAGCATAATAGAGCATATTTACATTATGTGAGATATTTATCGAGACACTGGTTTACACATCATGACAGCAGGGCTGTGACAGGTACCTAAAAACCAGTACTTCAGATCAAAACAAAAGCAAGTTAACAGTAAATAATTTAATTTCGAATACCACAAGTGCATTACTAGGAAGCCAGGTAGTAAACAAAACCTCAACAGATGAAGAAAGGTTGTTAAAAAAAGACTAAAAGTGCCTCTTGCTAACATGATTTGCTGACTGTTTTCATGTGTAATAGGTCAACAGGGAAACTACCCGATAGTAATGAGCTTAAACAGAGCATGTCGCCACCTACTGTAGAGGAGGCTGACATGCTTCTTTCAATAATTAGGTTCCTGTCTGGTGTTTATCAACTGGGGCAAAGATAGTACCTTGGTTAAATTGCCTCATCGAGCTATATCCATAACTTCACTCTGTCTGGAGATGTAGTGATATGGAAATGGGGGGCTCCAGGACTCAAAGGCTATCGTTAACTTCTATGAGGTGTTGTGGGTTTAACTTCACAAAACATCTGAAAAGAGAGGTGCCCCCTTTTTAACCCCATTGATTGTGATGGTTGCCCATTTGCCCCCATCTATCTCAGGCTGTGGGAGGTATTGGCAACTGTATAGGCTACAAAACTGATCCGTGGAGGGTGTAATGGAGTAGGTTTCTTCACTAAGTGTTTATCTTTTATGAACGCAGAATTACTTTGTGTTTATCTTGAAATAAATGAGTTGGCAGCAGCCATATCTTTAAGACAGTGGGACATGATGCTTTTGGGAAATGCAGCCTGTAAACACTACAGATTTCAGATAAGAATCAACAATACATGAAATCCCCCCACTGTGCCTTTAATGATGATAAACATGCAATGTTGAACTCTCTAAAGTTAAGTTGGGCATCTTTTTATATTTTATGGGATTTAATAGCCTTAAGAAAAAGTCCCGTATAGCACAGCACTCTGGAGTCTCATTGTGGAGGGTTGATTTAAAAGCGCTATTAACATAGAGCACAGACAAAAATCACCAAATCCATGTTTACAGGTGCTGAAACTGTAGCCTTCTAGGACTGGTTGCTAGTTTATATAACCACTTCAAATGACAAGTCAACCCTGATAGAGACGTCAAACATGTGACATGTGATTTCCATTTGTATGTAATTTGTCATGTAAGAAAATTACTGATTTTAAACTCTATAAAGATCTGACTGCTTTTTTTTTACCACTCTGCAGCTTTACAGAAAAAAAAACAAGTATATCACCTTTTCTTTAGTGTCTTTTTGTACTGTACAGCTGTTGTCATTTCATACACTTTGTTAAGCTAGCCTCCCAGGAGAAATGAGGTCAGAAATGTGTTTTTGCGTGTGCGTGGACAGGACAAGGCTGCGCATCTGTCCATCTGACCCCCCCGGGAGAGGACTTGAGACAGAGAGCAAATCAAAGACATGAGGTGAGGCAGAAAGGCGAGGGTTAAAGAGCAAGGGGAGGGGGGGGGATAAGGAGAGGGAAAGATTTATAATGTGGAGAAAGACATCTGGTGGACGGATTCAAGGGTGCTGAGGTAGCAGAGGTCCTCACATGGATGCATATTTAAGCTCAGACCCCCGAAGGATTTCTAATGAGCTGAAAGTGGAGGTGAGGAGGGTCCGAGCTGAGGAAAAAAACAGATGTTAAGAGGGATGGAGGGAATCAAGTGTTGTGGTCCTTATTTGAATATTAAACAGTGACCACAATCCACCAGGACACACACAGACACACTTTTTGTGTGTGTGTGTGTGCATATGTGTGTGAAGGAATTAGACGTGTAACTGTGGCTTAAAGTGAAATCACAGCGTAACAAAGTGAAGGTTGGTAAAGAAGGTAGATCCCGTTTGTGTGGGCATGCAAATACTCTGTGTGTGTGTGTGTGTGTGTGTGTGTGTGTGTGTGAAATATTGGGCACACTGGGGACAACAGCTGCTCCAGGGGTCTGTCTGATGTTTTTCCCCCCTTTTGACACACTCACACACGCAAGCACTCACACACTAATAACGGGAGCAGCAGCACCTTCACTTCCACTGCTGAGCTGTAACAAAATTACTCTCCTTTTCATTAATTCAATCAACACACAGAATAAGCTCCGCGTTTGCTTGTTTTGTGTGTTTTTCCTGATTCGACTGAGCTGATTTCCTCTCTGTGGTTTGTAACAGTGGCACAGTGCCAATCCTTTAATTAATAGGCTACATGGTTATGTTTTCCAAATGCTTGGAAATAAATGGCAATTATCCTGTGACATTTGAGATCATCACAGTATGTAGTCAAGCCAGACCCTGATTAACTAGAATTTACTCAATAAGCACCCCAACATGATTCAGGACAAGTGAGTTTGAATAGAAGGATATATTTCTGTTTTAGGGAGCTCGAAACCATGAGAAAGTAAAACTACATCCATCTCATCAGAATTATTGACACTTTTATTTTTCAGCTTATGGAGCCATTTTTCATGTTTGGTTCACCTCAAAACCAAACATGGATACCTTAAGAGAGTGAACATCAGTGCAGTTTAAGTTATGATCAACCAAGAAACGGGCAAACAGTTGGAGTGGGCCAAGACGTCTAGATTTTTTTAGACGTAATTTCAACTGTCTAGATTCTGTATATTTTTAGACAGAATTAAGATGTTGCACTTTAACACATTATTCGATAACTATTTATTTCAAAAAGCAACTATGAGTTGCATAACTGATCTCCAAGTACTTAACCAAAATAATTATGATAGCTGTTGAGCAATATACAGGGTAGTATAGATATACAGTACTTGGTCTAAATTTAGACGTCTAAGAAACTTTCATTTTTAGACCTGTGGTAGCCTGATTTTAGACCTGTCATTTAGGCTACATTTAGACGTCTGTTAGATCTCTTTTAGACCAAAAAATGCTCAGTGGTACACATTTATCTACAACTCTATACTGTCATAAAAGCTGAGATCTAAAAAGTTCTCACCAAGTTCTGTCTGTACGAGCTCAAGGAATGGGCTACATGCTGAAAACTGTTTTTTTTTTCTTTACATGTTTACTTTGACTATGAAGTTTAGGATTTTTATCACTATGTCTTACACATGTAGACAACTGAGGCATGGACGCCATCACAGATTTACGAAGCTCAATGTAAAATCCCAACATGGGCCTTATTGCTCTATTGCCACAAACATTATTATGGCTTCTTTCAGTCATTGGCTCCTTATATTCCTCCTAACTTTTCTGGAGCAGTTCTGTGTTGGCATCACTTTGGAAGAAAAAAAACTTAAGAAACGTCCATAGATGGTTGTTGATGGATGGCGTTAAATCCTTCAGCCATTTTGTTTACTTTTGTTTGCTTTTAATCTCTTGTTCAAAGCGGTAACTGATTAAAAACTCTTCATTAGTGCCAAAATAAAGGGTTGAGTTTGAAATTTATCCTTGAAAACAAAGATGACATCTTATGCAACATGTTCCCTAATTGGAACATGAATTTGTATATACAGCAAAAATGTGAAATTAAAAATGTTTTTGTTATGAGCCATTCAAACTTTTGGGAAACTGTTCAACAAAATAGTGCATAAATCCAGGATAGACAACAGGGAGATATTTATTTGGAGATTTTGTTTATTCTTTAAAACTAAGTTTCTGCCAACATGGTGGGCTGGGATCTAAAACTTGCTTCCCTTAAGGCGTCTTTGGTGATTCAAACCAACTCTTGTCCTTACATTTAGTAATAGTACAGTACAGAAAACAAAGCTACTGAAAGAGTTTTAAAAATCTTTGCCTAAAAATGCAGAATCAGTAGACGGAGGATTGGTTTTGGTGTTTGAATTTTGTACCCCGTCGTGGTAAATGTCTCCTCCCAACACCCCTTTAACGCTTGTTTCTTAAGTTTGTAGCTGGTTAGTGTCTGATAGGGAATGCTCAGAAATAGAAATCTTTGAGGACAGCCCTTTATCGCTAACCCTTGCTTCACAGGGAGCCCCCAAAGTAGGCTGTGGCCCTCAGAGGATGAAATGTCATCAGATAAAAAGCCTCAGGTTCCCAAGATTGGAGAAAACTAAACTGTAAAACAAGCTGAAGAGGAACTGCAAAATCTTTGTTGTTGCTGTAGTTTTTCTACCAACTGTACAACAGGTTCTGATTTTAAAGCCGCTCAGATTGAGTATCTAATATCCTTTTCTTGCTCCACTTAAGACCCACTCCAGGATTGTGCCTTTGTTCATCATGTCAGAGCGTGGCGGTTCACTGATATACCTTTTTGACCACACCTTTCACATCTAATTTAATTCATACTGAAGCTCTATCAATCACTGTGGCTTATGTGGTTTGTCTCACAGTCACACACACACACGCATACCACACACACACACACACACACACACACACACACACACACACACACACACACACACACACACACACACACACACACACACACACACACACACTGTCTCTGTCTACAGCCCTTTTCCTGCTCCATCCCTCCCTTTCTCCCATCAGCCCCTCACTCTGTCATGGATCACAGAACATGTCCCAGAGTACTTTACAGGCTACACACGTGCAGCATGTCCCTGCATGCTGATGTGACTCTACAGCTCCAATCTTGTACAGTATGTGAGTGTATGCGTGTGAGAGTGCATGTGTGTTTATGTGTGTGTGTGAATTCAGTGAGTCTGTGAAGGCGGCTGTACATGCTCTGACACCGTGTGAATATTTCAAATGAACCAACCTGACATGTTACCTTGAGCCGCTGGGGAATTAGAAGTTTGATCCGGTGCTTTCACATTTAGACACTCAGTTGGTTAAGAAGATGGAGAGAAA